TGTTGTTGTTGTTGTTGTTGTTGTTGTTGTTGTTGTTGTTGTTGTTGTTGTTGTTGTTGTTGTTGTTGTTGTTGTTGTTGTTGTTGTTGTTGTTCTTTCTTTTTTTTCTCAAATTCTAACATGCGATGGTTATCCGGATTCTCGTTTCGACGGTGGTGCAGGACGGCGAGATGAGAGAGGAAACTGGAGGGGATGCCTTGTCCTTGAGGAGAGAGCGGGAGAGCGAGGACATGGAGACAGGAGACAGGAGAAATCGGGAAAGAAAAATTGGAAAGAAGGAAAATCAATTGGGGGAGGAGGTATCATAATCATTCATCGTCGAGAATTCAATAAACCCATCAACGGAAAAACCCCCCTAGCATGAGGGAGAAATAAATCCAAAACAAAATCCAGACACCGATTCCGCTTCCGCTTTCCTCCCTTCTCTTTTCTCATCAAGAAAATAAAAAAGAGGGAATCCAACCCAAAAAAGAAGCAAAAGATTTCATTAAAAAACAACAACCGATTTCACGCCTTCCCACCGCCAAGTACATCCCTCCTCTCCTCGGCCTCCAGGGCCGCGACGGGTTTCGCGCCGAGGACATCCGCGACGCCCTCGTCCGTGAACTGGAGGTCGTCCTCGAGGGCCACCGTGTCGCGGACCTGGAGCCAGACCACGGGGAGGGCGATGACCAAGCTGGCGGCGAGCAGGCCCCAGCAGGAGGCGAAGATGGTCATGTAGGGCACGAACAGGCCGTCCATGCGCCACATGATGGCCGAGCCGGCGGACTGCAGGCCCTTGTAGAAACCGGCGTAGTTGGCGAGGCGGCGGGCGTTGTTCGTCAGGGAGCCGATCAGCCTGTGTGAGGAGATGTGAGGTCAGTCGAAAGTCGATCGGGAGAAATACATCCTCCCCTCTCTCTCGCGCGCGCGCGGAAAGAATTTCTGAGGTGATGGGAGATGGGGGAGAATTTATATAAAATGATAAAAAGAGAAAGAGAGCTTACCAGTAAGTGCAAGTCTGCCAGATGGCGTCATACAGCCCGTAGCAGATATACAGAAACATCGGGCCGACGTAGCCCGGCGTCGTCCAGTCCATACCCGGATAGACATCCGGATCCGTCGACTCCCGGGTATAGCCTCGCTGGAAGACGTAGCCGCCGCCCCAGATCGCCATGGTGAGGACGAACAGCGTCGCCCACATGATCCTCGCGCGCACCGAGCGACGGATGCCGCGGTAATCGAGCAGGGGCCCGATGAAGCCGGCGCCGACGATCTGGGCGGACCAGTAGAGGACGCCGTTGAGGGCGCGGGTGCGGGTGGTGAAGACGGCGGCGTTGACCCCGTTGAAGTGGTAGGTGTAGAACCAGTTGCTGGCGAAGAACATGGGGAACAGACCGACGATCCAGAGGTCCCGGCGCAGGGTCTGGTAGAGGCCGAGGAACTCCGAGCTCACCGAGGGGTGTTTCATCAGGATGACGCGGGAGCCGTCGGCGCGGACGACCTTGGAAGCGTCGAGCATGGTCCAGGCGAGCAAACCACCGATGATGGTGAGGATGAGAAAGCCGATGTAGGTGCCGTTGGAGACGGATGCCTTGGTGGCGGTGTTGATGTTGATGCCCAAGGGAACGAGACTGCCGATGACGCCGCCAAGGTTGAAGATGATCCAGAAGGTCGAGACGTACTTGCCCTTGTCGGCCTCGAGCGGGTAGGCCATCATGATGGTGCCCTGGGCGGTCCACAGGATACCCGCACAGATCCCCAGCAGGGCGCCGGCGAAGGTGATGTAGCCGATTCCCGCCTGTTCGGAGACGGGGCCAGGGGTTTTGAGAGCGCCGGTGGTCTGATCGTAGACGGGCACGAAGTTGTAGACGAGCCAGGCGGAGACGTAGATGCAGTAGCCCATCCCGCCGAATGCGAGCGACCATTTGACGCCTACCCGGTTGACGACGGAACCTGCGAAGAAACCGACCACGGCGAAGGTGGAGTAGAGGGCGGTGTTGGAGTCGCTGCTGGCGACGCCGGTGACCTGCCCACCGCCTCCGAGACCATTGAGCGCATTGAACATTCCTGTGTGGGAGAGAAAGAATCGTTTCGTCAGCTCCCATGTGCCTCTTTGATTTATTGCATGCGCACGCGACCATATCCAACGGGCGCAAACCGCAGTGTATCCTAGTTGAGATGAAGAGACCTACCCGGACATAGAAAGCAGACGAACGAGACCATCAACAACTGCATCTTAGGACTGGCATAGTGGGGCACGGTGAGAGGACCGATCTTCCAACTCTTGTACAGCCATCCTGTGAGAGGCGCGGACTGTTCGTGGGTGCTGGATTGGTCGAGCGGCGAGTCGGTGGAGCGCGTGTCGACGGGCGCCGAGGACTTTTCTCGAATGACGTCCGCCATGGTGGTGATGCGCTCGGTGGGAGAGGAAGAGAGAGCAGTGACGGCGGTGGGAGCGGTTTGTTTGGGTGCGACTGTGCGCGGAATGGCGGTTCGGTGTGGGGAGCCTCCCCAGTCGATTGATGTTGGGTGGTGAGGCGGGTGGTGGGTGTGTACTGGATGTGACGCGGGTTTGCTGTGGTCCGCCTTGACGGTGGAGGTTATCGTCGCCGGCGCGTTGCAACAGATAGAAGAGACGGAGAAGAGGAGGAGGAGAAGGAGGAGAGGGAGACGAAGCGGAAGCAAGGCAGGTGTCTCGGCTGTGTTTTATGTATGATGAGAACGGACGATGGATGAGGATACAAAGAGACACACCACGATGGACGCAGGTATCACTCACTCACTTACTCGCTGGATCAGCAGGTCTGGAGCTGTCTACTGTGCTCGCTATCTAATCTACAGTCTCTAGTATCTATCCATTCACGGGCAGTGGCACAACACTTGCAGCACGATGAAAATAATTATCATAATTATCATAACAACCATAATTGTCATAACAATCATAACCTTCCGCTCGCACTACTCCCACGCCTGCATTGATCGATGAACCATGTATCGCCCGTTTGGCCTTGATATCGAAATCCCGACCCGTAAAAACATTACTGGGTAGAGCCGTGGGGATCACCCAATGGACAGGACAGATGGAGTATCTGGTCATGCGACAGGTCCCCAAACGGGCAGGACGGTGGAGGCGCGGAGAGAGAGAGAGGCGGAGAGAGAGGCGCGGAGAGAGAGGGCGGCAGGACAGGACAGGACAGGACAGGACAAGACAGGACAAGCGAAAAGTGTATCTCTCCTCCAGTATCGTATCGTATCGAACCGTCCCGTATCGTATCGTGCCGCACTGCACAGACAAATTGAATGATCGGGTCAGGACCTGGGCACACACGCCATTTGCTCAGCCATCCATCACTCCCCCATGTATTCCGACATTCCACATTCCACATTCCACATTCCAGAAGGATTTCCGTGTCTTCCAGGGTTGTTTGGGCCCTTCTGCCCATTCCGGCCTCTGAACCAATCAAACTCGCGCCTGACGACTCAATCTGACTCAATCCACCATTCCGCCGATCATTCCCTTCTTCAGGAATAGAACAGCCCTGGGGAGGAGCTCCCTCGGATCAGCCGTTTCCTCCGTTCGCCGCCACACGTGAAGACCACACGCACGCCCCTTCCCGTATTGGGATCGATGCCCTCGTTTCTATATTTATTCCTTCCGTGTTGTGCTTGGCCTCGGGTTTTCCAAGATCGTTCATCAAATAGACTACAAAATCGGGGGGTTTTTCTTGGCTGACGGTGACCGTCATGTATCATCGCCGCAGCCGGTTCGCTTAGGATGACGACGACGACGGCGGCGGTCGAGAAATACGATCCGGGGAGCCCGAGAGCGAACATCGACATCACGAAACGTCGCAATGATAATGGTCCATGGATGACAACAATAGCACGCGAGAGTCTCACACACGAATTCGGAACGCAAAAAAAAAAAAGAACAAGGCGCCTGCATTGACCCCTCTTTCCTTCCTCTTTTCCCTGCTTCTTCGTCTTCCTTCTCACATGCCTTCCTCCCTTTCCTGGGACCAGCCAGCCAGCCAGCTAATGCAAGCACCGCACGCCTGTCTGCCCGCCTGCCTGTCCTTCAATAGATCCGGACAGAACTTCGAAATCTTTCCGACTCGCGCGCGGGAAGAAAAAAGAGGCAATGAGGACGCTCGCGCCCTTGGAAAACGCCCTCGTCGAGGAATGTGAATTTGTACCACACTCACTGTGTACACCCCGCTGGGACGCAAGGGATGTCCTTCCCAGGGGAAGCTTGTCTCACACACATCACCGTGATCTGCTCCTCTGCTCCTGGCTTCTGAGAGGCATGAGATGGAGAATGAAATCCCTCCCATGAAATTGACCATGCATAGGGGTGACATGCAGTACGTGCCATTCACGAAGCGAGGTTCGTATGACCTATCGTGCGGGTACGTATAGTTTCGTATATGGTGGCGGCGTTGTCCTCACCGTCGCCTGGAAGGACCAAGCGAAACTCAACGTCTCCATTGGTGACAGTCACTGTTTCTCGGACGGCCTAACCAGTTTCCCAGGGTCAGTCTGTCGTTTGGCAACATCGGAAGTTAAACAGTGCCGCGAAGATGACAGGGCGAAGTCCGATCGCAACAACTCCAGTGACGCCCGCAAAGTGAAGTTCACTCCTCCAGGTCGCGCCTGAAGCGTAGAGGCAATGAATGCCAATCGTCCAGATAGCTACTGCTCCCGCGTTTTCGTGGCCAGAGGATCTTAAATATGTCCAGCTCAGATTTCCTCCCGTTTGGGCCAGGTCTTTGCTTTGGTTCCTTTTTATGGTAATACGTCATGTTCCCAGGGGTTATGTTTTTAACCTCTGGTTCGTTCGTACCCGGTCGGTTATTCCCGCAGAAAGACCAATGCGGGCTCAGAAACAAGAATTCAAGGTGTCCGCAGCCAAGCAGATCGCAATGTACTCGAAGCGTGAACTTTGCAGGTTTTGGTTTACCACGGGTCACCTCATTCCAGATCTGCCGCGTCAGCTCTGCATCTACGGCCATGTTCGAGAGATCCCTTGCGTCGAATATATCCTCGCGATCTAACTTGCTACCTAGAGACCTTCCGTTATCCCATAGCTGCAACGGTACGACAGATCTTTGGAGAGGGCTCAACGTCAGAGCAGCATTTCTGAGGTTTGGAAAGGTAGAGAGCGCTGTATATATGTCGGTCTCTGGAGGCAATGACAGTGAACGAATCATCCTGAAACAAATACTCCGCAATTGTGGAAGGTCTTCTTGCAACATCAATACAGCATCTGCATCCAATGTATGGCAGCCGACGTCCAGTTCCTGCAGCACACAGCCGCGGATCTTCAAGGCGGGCGCAGGATACTTGGGTCCGTCATGGAACGAAGGGACCTCGAGGTAATTTAGATTCGGCAGATGACCGAGGAATCGCTCCAGAGCCAAATTGATTGATGCTCCGGGCTGAGAGTTGATTCGAAATTTAAGGCGTGTGATAAATTCGAGCTCTTCAAAGCTACTCAGCTCGGCCAAAAAGTCTAAGTCGCTTTGACACAGGACAGCGATCTCCAACGCATGCAGCCTTCTCGTTTTCATCACACCGCATAACCTGGGCTTCAAGTCACGCAATGGTCCTGTGAAGCCGAGACCTCTGAGCTTGCTGGCTTTTGCTCGATCGACGGGCGAGTTGCAAAATCTTGCCTGCCGCGCAGGCACGCCTCGCCGCTTTCGAAAAGCGTTCGGATCCCACTCCCACGACAGAGGTATTGTGTCATACTCCACAAGTCGCACATGCTCTAAATTTGGCGTTGCACCTTCCGCCATTTCGAAAACCGCGTCCCAGTTGAAATCGTATGACGATTGGTTGAAGTTGTCCGTGATGTGCGCGGTTATGCTGAACAAGCATGGCGAAGTCATGAGGGTGAGCTCGCGCGGGTCAACTTTCGCCTCGCTCAGACTGCGGAGCCTGAATTTTGGCATGTGCAGACGGCAGTGTGGGCTTCGGCGGTGGAGAACTTCCAGAGCACATAATGGAAACTGGGCATAGGCATCAAAGATCACATCTTTGAGGGCTGGCAGACTGTCAAGTAGCACAGCAAAACTCTCCCAAAATGCAGCCTCATCGGCTGGCTCTGGCAATCTAGCCCACTGATAATCACGACCGTCCACGGTCTTCTTATGGCAATCCTCTGCTATGGAACCACAGTACGGATCGGATGTCTCCCAATGGTACCTTACAGGCTTGTACTCAGCTCGCCAGAAGTCCTCTACAAACAAAGTCTTGACCACGGAAGCGCAGTCGTACTTCGCCAGGATCTTCCCAGCCGTTTGTACATCCTCGGATAGGTCAAGAGTGCTATCACATAGTATGTATAGAGTTCGGAAGAGTCCTGATGTGGCCAACTTGTGAAACCTAGAATTGACCAGGCTGAAGCTGCGCAAGCTAGACATATGTGTGTCCGAAAGATAGTTCACAATCTCTAGAGAGATCTCGGTCGGAAGTCGTTCCATCACACCAGAGAGTGAGCATCAAGTTACAACGTCGAAAGCGGGACTGAAGCGCTCAGTGTCAGTGCTCTACTCAAATATCAAAGGGACATGTCGGCAAACTCTGCCATCACACTCGCCATCCGAATATTCATGTCGTATAATTGTCGCAGCGTTCGGATGTTCTGATTTGGAATGAATCATGCGTCGGCATCGAAGGGATGATGCCGACGGGTCAGACGAGGTGCCTGTGCCTCAGCTGCCACGGTCTATTCTAGGGTGCGTAAGGGCTGGGAAAATCTGGAAAAAAGCGCGCTAGTAAGAAGGCCTATTTCGAGGATTTCGAGTCGAAAAATCGAGGGAAATGGAGAGCTCGAAGGCCAGTACTCAACAACGCGGCGTCGTACCTACTTAAAACTCGTAGAAGCTTTTCTATATATATAGGTCTCGGTCCGTATAGCGTTTTTATAGATATATCGACGTTATTCGTCGCGAAAACCTCGAGATACTAAAAAACGTCGATTTTTCGAGCTTTTTTTAAAAAGTAGGGTTTTCTTAAATCTTTAGATTTCTAAAGGAATTTGTTTTCAGTTTTCTAAGGTTTCTGCGACGAATAACGTCGATATATCTATAAAAACGCTATACGGACCGAGACCTATATATATAGAAAAGCTTCTACAAGTTTTACGTAGGCACGACGCCGCGTTGTTGAGCACTGGCCTTCCAGCTCTCGATTTTCCTCGGTTTTTCCGTAAAATCCTCTTTCGATTACCCTCTTACTAGCGTACTTTTTTCCTAGCCCTTACGCACTGTGAGCACCCTAGAATAGTTTCGCAATCTTTGCTCCCCAGATTGCATTGACATGTTCCAGCAGATTGGAAAAGCCACTGTGGAGCCTCAGTGGCACATTCACGACGCAGCTACAGCAGGCACACCTCCCGCGACCTCGTGGCATGAGTCTTCCTCATATCGAAATGGAAGGCCTGATCACACATTTAACACATCCGCGCTCCTCGCGACAGCCTCAAACTTCGGCCACGTCCTCCGGATCTCCTCCCTCAACTCCTCATTCGAGATCTGCATCGCCGCTGTCAACTGCCGATGGGCCGCCTCCACCGCCCTGCCCAGCGGCGAATCGCGACCGTATGAGCCGGTAACATGCTCGTGCACTTCAAGGATAAGTCCCGCAGAGACGATCCTCAGATCCAGCCCTCCGCGGAGAATCTCGCGGTAGAGCGCGTCGTCGTCGGGGGAGATGAGCTGGTTCGTGATGTTCGCCAGCGTCCATGCGTCGAGCAGACGGTCCGGGTATGACGGGGTCGGGAAGAGGATCGGTGCGGTGAGGAAGTGCATCTTCGCGGCGATGCGCCAGGCGGCATAGGTTTGTCCCGTCGAAAGCTTCGCTACGAGGAGCTGGCGGAGTAGGTGCGGCACGGGCTGTCGCGCCCAGTCCCACATGCCGGAGTTCAGGCAGAGGCGGAGCGCATCGCGCGTCTCGTCCTCGCTGGCGTGCTCGTTGCCCTTGTTGAAGTCGAATGTGGTGCCGCTTACGGAGAACGCCTCCGCCGAAATCGCGGCTAGGCGTTGCTGTGCAGGAGAGGCATTGTCGCCGATGGCGAAGCGTTCGAGTTGCTTCGTGTGTCGTTGGATGAGGCCGTCAGCGACCTTGGAGAAAGTGGGGTTCAACTGGTCAATTGGTTTGAGGAAGCGATCTTCGCGTGCTTCGCTTCCTTGTTCACATCTGCTGCATTTGCATTCAAAGTAATACTGATCGTGGAGCTCCGCTTGACGTACGCTGCGTGGGTTCGTGATGTCGATGTACTTGATGCAGATTTCCTCGCCAGCAGGTATCGGTCGCAGTGCGCGTACGACCAGCGTAGGCTGGTTGAAGACCACAATCGTGTTGGGGTCACAGGAGTGATTTGCGCTGCACACAATCGGATCGAAGCCGGTGCCGAGTGAAACGTCCTCCATCCCGCTCAGCGAAACGGTATTGTTCATCACCTACCGCGAGAAGAAACGCATTAGCTAAGAGGAGGAAACTCACATTCTCTTTGTTCAATCTACCTACATTATAGAAGAAACCCTTGGCCAGTCCCAGTGAATCAACATCGCCAATCTTCGGCTCGCCCGCGTACTTCCACGCACCATACGCCAGCATATCGAAGTCCTCGCAGCGCTGCGGTTTGGCCTTCTTCATAGCCGCCAGCAGCCCCTCATCAGCATACGGTTGGAAGCGCAGGATATCAATGAGCTGCTCGTCCTTGCCCTGCGGGTCCGCCTGGAGCCTGCCGAGCAATTTGATCACCGCTCGCACGCCGTGAGGGAGATCTGGACGGTCTTGTGGTGCAATCGCTTTACATTCGTATTTGTGCTCGCGCTTCCAGGCTTTGCTTTGGCAGGTCTTGGAGCAATATCGCACTCGTTTACAAGCGGCGCAGGGGAGGACAGCAGTTTCCTCGTTGGCACTCTCATCATTGCATCTTGGCTGTCGGAAACACCATGCACATGTGTCCTGCAGCCGGGTTGTGTCTAACTCGGCAACGAAAGGACGACTGGTAGTGTACACGACATCACCCGTATCGAATGACTTCTTGGCGAAGAGACCGCGGCCTCCGCCTACGAGCTTGGATTGTCGGACTTCGACATCCATCATGGTGTAATTTCGTCGAATAGTATGGAAGGCCTTCATCTGTCCAGGTCAAGCCTGAGCCAAGCTCGCTGTTCAATAGGGTTTGTGTAGGGCAACGTCCATAACCCTGAGACGATCAAAATTGAATGTACATTGTGAATACAATCTATTGCAAGAGATAATCCTGGCAACCATGGATGATTTGCCTTTTAAGTTCGAGCGACTCATTTCGAATTTTACAACGTCCCTCTCATTATCATCGTGCTCGCCAGTTTCATCGTGCTCAATCCGAAATGTTGCTCAATGATGAAGGAGAAAGCCAAGCCAGGGACAAAATTTCAACCGTACAGCCTGACGCCGCCGAACGCCTGCCAAAATGAAAGCCCACAATCAAATTCGAGCTTCCAAGGCACCTCTCGATTTGCAAAACAAATGTCGCTTCTGTGGATCGAACACAGTACCTCCAGATACCGCACAGAATGCTGTGAGACCGAAGTGAACTTCAGTCTGGCGCTCTCCCAAGTGAGCTAAAGCGACTATTTTTGGTGCCTTGACAGACGTCATTGGGATTCTAATTGTTAGACAAGTCCGTTTATGGAGGTTGGTGATTTGACCCAACCCATGCCTATCCTGTAGAGAATAAAAAAGTAGAACAGCGCCCCTCCCTTACGTTACTATACAATCTCCAAATCATCGTCGTCGTCATCGTCATCATGAAAAAGGAAAACATCCTCCACAGCAGTGCGGGCATCGCCTGGTAAACTCTCTCTCCCGGGTTCCCGAATGCCCTTCGATAAGGCAAACCGTGCTCTCTTCTTGACCGGACTGGTGCTTCCTCCACTGCGAATACTACTTCCCTGAGAGCGTGGTCGCACTTGTCCCGCCCTCGCGGCATGTGAGGAAGATTCTGCCGAGTGGGAGGCAGATGAGAAGGACGTATTTGCCGTGTCTGCCTCTTGCTGTTGTTGTGGTTGAGAGATGAGAGTCTGGCCTCTCTCCCGTGGTAATGTAGATGCCGATGGGTTCTGATCGTGTGACTTTCGTGACACGAGGGCGAGACCCGCTTGCTTAGCACCGCCCCATCCCATGGGCAGATCGCGTTTACGTGCGGTGGCGGTGGTCATCTCTCCTAGACCGAAATGCCTCTTGCGGTCTTTGGCAGGGGAGAGGCGTGCTTCGTGGGCGTTCTTCGCACCGAGTCCCAAGGATGCTATGGTGGGTTTGTCGAAAAGTGCCGATCGAGCTTGAGCCGCAGCGTCGTTGCGATCGAGTGCATCGGCGATTGAAGGATGACTGGCACGTAAGTACTCGGCCCCTGCACCTCGTCCCATTTCCACAAGTTGACGGGCTAGGTCGCGCTCCTTTTGTGCTGCAGCAATACGTTTCCGTGAAGCCTCTTCCCGAGTCATGCTGTGTAGAGCATCAGTGTCGTCGGCATCGAGAAGAGTTGCAGCACTGCGACCCATGTCGGCGGAAACAGAGTAGAGTGTCCCATAATCTCCGTGATGGAACTTCTTCGCACCTGGCGCGGGCGCCTTCTTAGAAAGGACTCGTTTCCTACCATCGGGTGAGTCTGCTGTGCCACGAAACATGGAATTGACCTCCATGCGATCTTTCCGGCTTTTGGCAACTTGTAGGTTGATGTGAAATTCGCACACGGTTGTTTTGCGCTTGTCGATCCAGTCACCGCATTGCTGCCCGTTCTTCTTGATACTTGAGCAGTACCCAAGATCGCGTGCCTTTCCGATCTCCATGACGGCATCGTCCGAGCTCCCCAGCTTGAGAGAGAAGCGGCCGGTATGCTGGTTACCTCTCGGAGGCATGATTGCCGGGTTCAAGATTGCCAAGAGAGTGCCTGGAGTCAATTTCCAAAATTGGTTGAACGCTGTACCGAACAGGAATAGATCCATTTCCCATTTGAGATCTGTCAGATGTAGAACCATGAACTTGTTACGAGGCGCCTCTGTACTATCGTTGGACCGACTATCGGTCTGTTTGTGAGTCTGAGCAACGTCAAACGGATCCGATTTTGACGAGAGCACGGCGAACACGACATAATCTGATTCGCAGTCCGGTGCTTCGTAATCCGGCGATTTGACCTCTTTCAGGAGCCGAGGAAGAGTGTAAATTTCCTTGTCTGACATTTCACGAGCGACATCCGAATGTGCAATGAGCCGTTTGCTGAGGTGTATCTTAGAGAAGGGATCGTACGCGGCGTCCGAAGTTTCATTTTCGCTTGGAGCTTTGGCTGTGGAGGAGTTTGAAGACGAATGAGGGACCTCCTTGGTTGCCCTTGCCTGGCGTACAGAACCAATTCTTGATGTGATCGTACCGCGACCGTTTTCTTGAGTTCTACTCGTCTTTTGCGCGGACTGTTCTTCTGCAGTGGGTGTGCGGGATCGCGATACTCCGAATGCCGAGCTCCGCAATTCCTCCAAATGCTCCTTGCGAGCCTCTTGTTGAAGTTCCTTTTCTTTGCTTTCCAGGAGACGTTCGCTAAAGCTCTTTGGCCTGGGCACATTCACCTCGGCTGTTGAGCGACGGAGAGATGCTGGGACCGGTCGCGCACGCTTCAACGAGATCTCTTGCTCTCTGAATGGAGCGTCCAAGCCCAGGCGCCGTCGCGCTGGTGATACTTGCTCGATGAGCGGCCCCACCTTGCGGACCGGCGAGAGCGGCACCTCCACTCGTTCTGTCTCTGGGGGCGCAGACCGAGGCGGTAGTAATTTGCGAGGTGAGTCCGTACGCTTCTGTCTCGACAATGTATCCTTCTGCGTCTTTTGCTGCAGTTTCTTCAATTTGAGGCGGGTCTCTATCTGCTGCAGACGTAATTGCAAAGTCTCCTCGTCTTCTTCATCTTCCTCGTCGGCTTCCTCCTCTTCACTCGCACCCCCAGTCGCATCATCTAGCATGCGTTGTAGCGTCTGCGAAGACGATGTCTGTTTTCGCATCGGGGATGGTGACGGCGAGCGGGCGCCAGCTCGACTTTGGTGCTCCTGCCATCTCTTGCGTCCGCTTGGTGATGACAGTAGAGCCTGGAACGGCGATCTCGGCGGCCACTCGGCGTCATTTTTATCGGGAGATCGTTTCGCACGAGGTGATTCGCGGATGACGACCATGTCTGCCGCTATGCGCTCCGCAGAATGTGATGCGTTCGTGAGGCCCTGGAAATGGTTGGATAACGCGGTCGCAGCATGGTCTTCACAATGCACCTCCAGGAGAGACTGGGCGCCCTCAGTTGGCGATCATCTCAGATGAGACAGTAGATGCAGGCGAACGCCCTGGATCATGTGGCTTGTTGCTGTGACAGTCGAGGAGACAACGTTGTATTGTTATTGTCGGAAAAGGATTCAGGTCTCACCCGGTAGGATTGTTACCGTCGTACCTGAAACCACGACCCCATTCAGCCAGACACGCATGCAGCTAGAAGCTTTGGAAGTCTGGATGACGAACTTTGTCCGACGCGTTTGCGGCGCGTCTTCCCCACCAAAATTTCTCCCTATTGGAATGATCATAAAACATAGCGTGAACTTTTAATGTTCGTCAATCATTTCAGGGCAACGAACACCAATCGCGCCGGAGGGCCAATGCGGGTTAGTCTGGCAATGCGAAATCCGGGGGCGCACACACATGAGATTCGCTGTCCTCATCCTGCCCATGTGTATATCGATTTACCGCCTCGGCATCACCACAGTCGTTGCAATTGACACGTATTTCAATTATGGCCGAGTGATGGAATGTGCAGGAAGTCTATCGCTGTGGTCACGCCGGAAGAATTTCAACGACGGAAGAAGGCCGAGAAGGAACGGTTTCCATGAACCAAGATAAATCTCCGAGCAACGACCCTCAAAAGTTTCTGGTAACGGGATGCTGTGAACAGGAACCCCGAGACGGACACTAAATTATCGAGGATCATCAGCTTTCTACTTGCAAAAGAGCTCTAACCGGGGAGTGTATCAAGATGAAGGCTTACGCCGCACTCGCGGGCCTCACGGTCGCAACATTGATCGAAGCGATCCTGATTCCCCAATTTGTTCCTTTTCTGCGACCTTTTGGTGGAGTAATGCGGATGCTTTGTCAATTCTTGCTCTTCAATGCTATCGCTTTACTCTTCTATTTGATCATAATATACCCGCGATTCATTTCTCCTCTGCGGAATGTGCCTGGACCGTCGGGTGGACATCTCTTTACCGGGCAATTTGTTCCGATTCGACTAAGCTCGCCACCAGGTGCGCAGCTCAGCAAATGGATGGAAACGATACCCAACGAGGGTCTCCTCCGAGCACGTTACATCCTGGGCGCAGACGCGATAATTCCGACAAATGAGGCCATGATCAAGACCATTCTCCACGACAATGCCTATGACTACGAGAAGCAACCCCGAGTGACGAGCATGTTCAGACAAGTTCTTGGCGGAGGTCTGCTCCTGTCAGAGGGCGATGACCATAAATCTCAGAGAAAGCAGATGGCCTCGTCGTTCTCAATTCAGGTCACTCGAGACTTGTACCCTCTCATCTGGGCCAAGGCGCTGGAATTGATCAGCATGATCAAGGAAGAAGTTCCCAAGGCCGAATTCGACTTTACCACTTGGTGTACTCGCGTCACTTTGGACATCATGGGTACAGCAGGCTTTGGCAAGGACTTTGAGTCACTCAAAAAGAACCGACACGACCTGATCGTGCAGGACTACCAAGCTCTGGTCAAGCCTTCGTCGAATGTGTTCGTGCTCTTCATGCTGGGAATTGTCTTTGATCCTGAAATTCAAGCCCACATCCCTGGACTCAGTGCGGCCAAGGAGATGGCTAGAATCTCGGCACATCTACTGGGTTGGGCACAAGACATGGCTGCACAGCGACGAGCAGAGCTTGCCAATACGCGCACTGCTGAACTTGAGCGCAACAAGCGGAGGGATATTCTTTCTTTGCTGATTCGAAATTCGAATTTGTCTGATCGCGATCTCGCGAATCAAGCTTTGACAATGATGGCTGCAGGTCACGAATCCACGTCCCTCACCGTCGCCTGGTGCATCTATCTTCTTGGAGAGAATCCCATCATACAAGACCAACTTCGCGCCGAGATCCGCGCCCACCTACCATCACCTCGCGGTCCTGCCGGCGAGCGTCTCACAGCGGCAATGATCGATCCCTTGGCACTTCTAAACGGTGTCACCAACGAAACTTTGCGCTTGTATCCGACGATCCCTGTCACGACTCGCAAGGCAGTTCGGGACACACGAGTCGGGCCACACGAGGTTCCAGCTGGAACCACTGTATTCATCTCTCCATGGGCCATCAATCGCTCGACGAGCATCTGGGGCGAAGACGCCGAAGAGTTCATTCCACAGAGATGGATCGACAAGAACGGCAGGCCGAACAAGACGGCTGGCTTGAAGAACAACTATAACATCATGACATTCTTGCACGGCCCCAGAGCTTGCATTGGCCAAGAGTAAGTCGATCATATGTCGCTGGCCAGTTTATCAATCAGTCCAGACTGCTGACTTCCCGCTCCCTTCCAGCTTTGCTCGGGCACAACTGAAGTGCCTTGTTGCAGCGATCGTTGGAAGATATGAGATTCGAATCACAAGGAATAAGAGCAAGTATTATCCTGCTGGCATTTACACCACTAAGGCCGCGAACGGAATGTGGTTACAATTCGACGAGGTCGAGGGTTGGTGATATCTGATCTTATCTGATCATCCAAGGCAGTGACCAACCTGCGATTTCGAATTGCATCCTCAGGTGTGATTGAATAATATCGATCTCGGATCCAGTGATGCTCTGCGTGTGTAAGTGAAGTCGTGAAATGTCTTCATGCCATTACAACTGAATGCCAAGATAGCATCATAGCCCCGATGACGAGCTGTAGTCTCTCAACCCAGCGTCGATCAGTATTCGCGACGTCATTCCCAAAACATTGCCTTGAGCACCAATCGACATAATCACTAGATCTTCTCGGATCGCCTTGATGATCCATCGGCTGAATGGGTCGACAATAAGCTTACATTGCGGGTACCTTTTCAAGCCACCGATGGCATCTCATCAATCGATCGTATCGATGGGACATGAGCGATACCGGCGTCGCGAACGAAGTGACTGCGGAGTTGATAAACAGCACACCTCCACACCATCTCCGCTCTTCCGCTCCTACCAGATCTGTGCCTTGCACCACGCCTTCCATAAGCTTTCCCGCCAAGGAGACCGAAAATGACGATCTGGAGAATTAGCATCAGACCACGATCGTGGCGCTGCAAGCGAGCGCCTTCGACGAAGCATTCCGGAAACCAGCGTTGACCAGATGAAATTGAATGTGTCATGGCTTGCTCTCAGCGGTCGAATCACGCAGCGCGCGAATGTCACTCCTGTATGGTCATCACCAACACTGTCCTGACGATGACGACGAACATCGTAATCCTTTGAGTTCGTGTGCCTCGGTATGGAGATCATCGCGCCGGCACATGATGGCGATTACTCCGTATCGAAGTGTAAAATCCGTAGCGGTGAACACATTTGGAACGCGTTCGGTCCGACGCTGAGCGAAGTGAAGTGATCTATGCTCTGGGAACTGCATGACGAGTACACCTCGCCAGCCTATCATCGAGGTGGTAATCGCACAATGAGGCTTGAAGATGGCGCGCTAGGCAACGTATTTACTCAATGGCGCACTATGGCATTTGCTCGCATGATCTGATAAATGTCGTCCAAATGGCCAATCACAATGCTGATATAGTAATCACTGTATCCTGGGCCACGTGATGGGAGTCGAAGTCGTGACAAAGCCGTGCTCAAAATTTCGTAGCCATGATGGAATCGCGACACGCGCGGCGCGTCTCCATCGTTGGGGTAGCTAGTCGCGTATATCGAAATATTGAACATCATGCTACCATACGGCGATTACACCAAAGGACTGTCGGACGTAGGCAGCAAAGTACAATTGATATGATACGAAGACATTGAGGACATTCTGAGTCGGCAGCGACATTAAAATCATGGATCCCTGGACCAAGAGCGAGACCGTGGACCCGGAAGTGCGCGCATACGTCTATTCGCTCGTCAATGCCGTTGGTGGCAGTTCGACCTACGACAACAATTATTCAATCGGTGACGATGCCCTCGCTGTCCTCAAAGACCTGGCGCGATGGCTCAAGCTATACGACGAGAAGACTGGCCGGATGGATGTGAAGAGATGTCTGGCGGAAGCAAATCTAGTGAAGGGCGATTTATTGGAAATCCTCGCGTTGTGGCCGGAGGATGCAACAAATCACAAATCGAAGAGCCGACTTGCGCTTGCTTGTCTGGAGCTGCTGGTGCCGCTATCATGGCCTCTGGAGCTGGATGTCGAGAAGGCAACTATGAACCACCATCGGCACGTTCCGTATCTACAATTGGCGCAGGTGGGATACAAACGCGCAGTCCTGCAACATGAGCATGCGAAGATCTTGCGGACGGTGGTCCGTATTGTCCTCCCGGCCATGTCGCAGGTGAGAAGAGATCGGAGTAGACGTGATGAAGGCATCATCAAGCTTGGGCTATACTTCTTCCGCAACATGGCCATGATTACACAACCGCAGACACTTCCATCCCAAGGTGACGAGAATGAAATTAGTCGGTCTGCAACAATCGACGCTTTCCACGCGCAAGATGTGTTCACACTTCTCCTTACCCTGGGATCAAACATGGGTGATGAGTTCAAGGAGCAAGATGTGCTACTTCTCGAGATTTTGTTTCATCTCGTCAAAGGCGTTGATGCCAAGAAGTTGTTTATGAAGAAAGCTCAATTGGCCTCTTCGGAGATCAACGAGCTCCAGAGTCTGATTGCTCGGGAGAAAGCAATGCACAGCAGCTACAAGAAGCACGCACCCACACGGCACAATCGATTTGGCACAATGATCTGGGTGAAGCGGGATGAACTCAAAGTGTCAACTGTTTCTGGCCAGACAAGTATCACAGACGAGACTTCGACATTACATCAAATGGACGCGAGTAAAAAGTTCAATAAGCCACGGAATCGTGGAAAGAAAGCACAGGACTCGAGTGAACAATCAGATATTGGAGCACGCATCGATCTCACTGAAAGCGCTCGCGGCCATCTCAAAAGCTTTGTTGAGGATTTCCTTGATTCGTCATTCAACCCGCTTTTTGCAAGTCTTCGTAGAGCAATAGAAAGCGAAGCGGACCGTCTGCAAGAGACAATTCACAACAAACAGTATTTTTACCTCATTTCATGGTTTCTATCTGCTGAGGCGGCAAGACGTGAACAAAAGCCGACGAATATCGCAACGGGCACAGACGCGGCAGCGCCATCCATGCCCGAAGACAACTGTTTTGCATACATTGCATCTGTCCTCGATCAAGAGACCTTCGTGCTACTCAACCGCAAGATGCAAGCCGCTTTTGACAACAAGGAATGGCAAGAATTACAATCAACATTGATGTGCTTCACTCAAATTCTGCAGACTGTGCAGTACATGTCGGAAAGCAAAGACGAAGAAGATCAAGAGATCGCGGAGAATATCCAGAATCGCATCTTCTACGAGGAAGCGACCCATGATCGTATGGTGCAGATCTTGCGCGGATACACGAGTCAGGGATTTGCGTATTTAGATGCTATCACCGAGTGTGTACATGTCTTTGTCCGCATGCTGGAGCGATACAGCAAACAGAATGTCGATCTACAAGTGCGCTCGAAGAGAAGAGCGAGGAAGAAGGCTACAGCGCAGGCCATCGAGGGCAACAATGAGGAAGAAGGAGATGCAGCAGAGCGAATTCAGGATGAACGGGAAGCACACGAGACTATCTCCGAGCGCAAGTTCGACTTCGCCCGTTTCTCTGCTAAATTTCTCAGTCAACCGTGTGTCGACACATTTATTGCTATGCTTCGGTTCCACGCCGATCTCAACCCTGCACAGCTGAAGCGCTGTCATCGATACATGTACAGATTAGCATTCAAGCATGAATTGTCAGTCATGCTCTTCCGGGTCGACATTCTGCATTTGCTCAACAAGCTGGTCAAAGGTCCCGGAGGACTTCCCCCAGCTCTCGAGGGCTTCAAGGAATGGGAGCAGCTAGTTCAGCACATCTTCCGACAATGCTTCAAATGGATGGACCGCCTCTCTGAGGGTCAAGGTTGGAAAGAAGCAGCCGTAGTTGAGATGTTGTTCAGCAAGATTCCAAACAGTATCCACTACCTGCAGAATGGTTACGAGAAGGTCGTGCAGAAGCGAGCTCCCAGGCCTCCAGCCGAGCTCGAAGTCAAGGCTTCCGTACCTGCTGAGCAGAGAGTAGCGGTCGCTGTCTCAATCCTGATTGAACAAGCAAAAAGCGACTTATTGGATTGGCTGAAGAAGAAGATCTCTGAAGCGGCCGATGAACGTAAAGCTTGGGAAGATGCCAATGCAAGTCGTGACGCGGAGACTGCTGAGGACGAGCCCCCTGCTGAAGTCCCCGAATCTCCAACAATATTCCTCGTCCCTGGCAATGATCAACACAAAGACTCGCTCTTCAAAGACAAGCACCTGCGACTACTTCTAACCGTCCTTGGTCTACAGCGAATAGGCGATGCGGATGACGTTGATGCTAGCTGGGTCTTTCCCCCGACACTGACCTCGGACAAACTTACCACAGGCTTGGAGCAAATTCAGAAGGCTGAATTTGATCCGCCCACATTCGAGGGCGAGAAGACTGCTGCGCAGTTGATACGGCCAAAATCACTTGGACGTCGTGGAGAGATGTTCTCGGATCATTCCGACGACGACGACGATGACGGCGTCTTGAACGATGCAATGTTTCCCCCAAACCTCAAGGAGAAGCGGAGGCGGAAAGATGACAAAGATGAACGTCCGCGAAAACGCCGCAAGCAAAACGGTATCGAGCTTACCGAGGAGGAGCTCCGAGATCGTGCAAAGATGCGACGGAAGAAGGAGCAGGAGAAGAATGCCAAGATCAAATCGAAGCTGTTTGTCACTGAGAGTGATGATGAGAGTGATGCTGAAGGAGATGCGGAATTCTTCCGATTAGAAGAAGAGCGTCGGAGGAAGACGGCAGGTCTCATCAAGGAGGCGTTGATAAAGAGGACCGACGACATTGACGAGGATGATTCTGCTGGCGAGACAATGCAGCGGAAGAAGCCTACTGCACGGAAGAAGACCAAGCGACCAGAAAGCAGCGACGATGAGATGCCAGATGCGCATGATGCGGTCGGCGATGGCTCGAGAAATGCTCATACAGAGACGATCGACATTTCCGACGCAAACACGTCCTCCAGCGAGGACGAGGCCCTGCTCACTGATGATGATGATGACGATGATGCCGTCCTATCAGAAGAGGATGTGCCAACCTCCCGAAGACGAAATACAGCAAAACCAACACCACCACTGAGGGAACTCTCTGGGAATGCCGTCGCGAAGCTTGCGATAAATGATGATGAACAGGACGATGATGCGCCCGCGGCCAAACCTGCCGCCAGGCGCAATACTCGCGCGGGATTCATTATTGACGATGACAGCGACGATGAATGATTTGGGCGAATAAGTAATTGAAATGATATCCATTGACATGTTGAAAATCCATGCATTGTGTTGTGAATGACTTCCTGATCCTGGGATGTAGCATGCCACTCATCAAGATGCCAAACTTGCAACTCTTTCACCCCTCACGTTTCCATCCTCTCATTTGAAGCATTCAGATGACCCATGTATAACTCAGAAAAAAAAATCTCGACCTCTGCCGCTATCTCTTGATATCTAGATCCAGCAGATCATGCAAATGCATCAATGTTCTTCGTCCCTCCTTAGATTATAACATCATCTCAATCTACGCCACAGCGACCTTCTCGCCTCCAAAGATAGTATCCACCATCTCCCCTCCCCGCACCGACAAAATCGACAACAACGAATCCGCCAGACCATGCGTCTGCTCATTACATCCCTGCAAATAAATCCCCGCACCAGGCGCAACCGTCCCCTCCTCAAATTGCACACCATAGTCCCTTCCGACACTCCAGCGCTTACCCTCGGCATCGCCGCCGGGCATGAACTCACGGAGCTCGTGCATCATGTCCTCGTGCGCATTGCGCGAGTAGCCCGTGGCCACGACGACGAGGTCTGCGGACAGAACCTCCCGACGCAACTCCATGTTCGCGCAGTACAGCGCCGAGTCGTCCTGGACTTCGAGCTGGAGGCCCTTGCCGCCGGCCGGACCTGGACCATCGGCGACGCTGACGAGGCGGCGGTGGTTCAGGATGCGGAGCGGCCAGGAGGATTCCGGGAGGCGCTGGATGCGGTAGGTGTACATCGTGTTGTAGATTTCCTCGAGGAGTTCCAGGCGCACCACGCCGTAGTTGGTCGCTTTATCGTGGGCGATGAGCTTGGAGCGGATTTCGGGGGTTTGGGAGAAGATGTCGTTGACCTTTTCGGGGTTGAAGACTTCGTTGACGCTGTATGGAGGTTTAGTCGGGGGTGTTCCTTTTCTGGGTTTATAGGTCAGGTTGGAAATTCACTTACAAGGGAGAGTCATCGCTGGGCTTGAGAGCTGCTCCGCGGATGACCAGGAGTGATTGTGCTCCTGGGAAGCGTGATGGGATGTTGTACCAGACCTCTGCAGCACTCTGTCCGCCGCCGATGACGACGACGCGTTTCGGGCTGGTGCCTTCGGGGAAGAGCTTGTGGACTTGAGTGGCGTATTGCGAGGAGTGCAGGATTCTCGGGTGGTATTGTGGGAGAGGCTTGGGGATGTTAGGACGACCGCCCGCGGCGACGACGACGTTCTTGGCGTAAAGTTTCGTCAGACGGCTGGTTCGGTGGTCTACGGACGAGATCTGGAAGTTCTCGATCGCGCCGGTGTTGGGGTTGACCTTGCCGATTTCAATCTTCTGCACGTCCTGGCTGTAATCGGCCACGGTGGAGAAGTGGGCCGCGCACCACCGCATGTAGTCTTCATATTCTACTCGTTGCGGGAGGAATGTACCAAGATTTGTGAAGGAGACCAATCGGTCGTTTTGGTGTAAGTAGTTGAGGAAAGTGAAATCGCTTCGCGGGTTTCGTAGAGTCGCCATGTCCTTGATGAAGGTGATTTGCATCTTGGCTCCGGGTAGGAGCATGCCTGCGTGCCAGGCGAAGCCGTCTTGACGCTCTAGGAAACGGACTTTGGGTGCCTCGGTGGACAGCTTCGAGGCGTTGAGCTCCAGAGCATCGTGAAGGGCTACAGCGATGGCTAATGACGCTGGGCCAAATCCGACGCAGACAAGATCATGGACCTCATCGTCGGGGAATCGTTGCAGCAATGATTCAGGAACGTCTTCATATTCGTGCCTGCGGCTTGAAGTCTCGAATTGGATGCTATCGCCATCATCTGAGGGTGCGAGTGCGTGAGGCGACATGGTGGCGGTCAAGTCGATTAGAGACCACACTGATCTTTTCAATTCGAGATATTGAAATCTTGCTGTTGTGCGCTGTCGTGTTGTTGATTCGAATATCCGTTCAGTTTTCCAGTCGTAGTGATACAACGGTCAAGCTTGACGTATGTTTGACGTTTTTGGCAATACAAATGGGAGTGTATGACGAGGTGATGTCAACGTGATAGAAGATGATATCGAGGGAAAAGCAATATGTATTCACGAGATCAAAAACAGAACACAGATGCTACGAATGAGAAAGATATACAGTGCGGGAGGCGCCGTCACCTTTATGTTGTTTTCGCCAGCGATCTTCGCCGATCCGATACGAAAGAAAATATACTGTAATGCGTCAAGCACACGCATGGAGGGAACGCGAAGAGTGTGCGGACGGGCAACCAAGTAACAGCGTATGCAGCATGGCAACCGGGCTTCTCCTTACACACCCAGCCATCAGCAGTGTACGCACAAGCGCATCGCCAACGAGGATCAAGGCTCGTCGAATCACTTACCCAAGTCGGCGACCGACAGAGGGAACGATGGCCACGACGACGACAATCGATTACCTCAGTAGTCCACAGCTATAGCGGTCTAGTCCGGAAAAGTGGTGACAACTACTCATTCCGCCCACGCGGGAGAGACGACGACTACCAGGAATGCACCATCCACACGTGTGTACCACTGTACCGAGCGTAACCAGAAATTCAAATTGGAAGAAGTAGTGGTGTGGGTCAACCTTTCTCAGTAGCGAATCGAGCTTTTTCCAAGCCGTAGTCCGGTGAATCTCGCGATCGTCCCGCGCCCAGCTTGGCAGGGCAGAAGCAGTGCAGCTGGTGGAGGGCCAACTAGCAGGGAAAAATTATCAGATCAGGATTCTCCTCCGACGTATTTCACAGGCGGAGACAACACGGCCGACCACGCTTGGCCAAGGGTCCGTCTGACGTGGTTCGAATGTGGCTGAATGCTCTCGGACGGGGCTCGCAGGCTACAGCGGCAATAGCATCGCCGACGGTGATGGTGGGCATGTAACATGATCAACCGTCGCCGTGGAGGTGGAGGTGCGCAAGGCGAGTGGACGCTGAGGAGCGTGGGTAGAAGAAGATGTACCGGGCACGAATCCTTTTGGCGAGATGAGACGGAGTGCGCGCGTGCGCACCGCCGTCATCATCAACCTGCGCAAGCACGCATGCCGCCATCATGACTTACCCCGTCCACGGCGGGCCTCGCTACCTTTCTGGAGATCTCCATCACCGTGCAAATGGCGGCGGATTGGACGAACACATCACCAAGGTGCTGGACCCTGAGCATAGCATTCAGTCCGATCCTCCTCGCTCTCGTGTAATAACGAATGAAGAAAATCCAAGCAGAGCTGAGATTGGATCTCACCTGGGCAGTCATGTGGACTGGACGGCCGACTTCAGGAGCAACAGGAAGCAAATCAGGCTGAACGTCCGATCAGCACAGAAGAGGCGCTGAGAGAGCTGGAATCGCCGCCTCAGCTCCTCCCGCTACAGAGCATCACGGCCCATCTCGTCTGCTGCCGCGCATCGCTCACTCCCCTGACATCGATGTCGAGCGCGGAAAACTCGAATTTTCAACCACAGACATGGAAAATGCAACACTGCTGAAAACACACGATGATTCGCCGACGACCGGCCGAACCGAGCGCAACAGCGACAACACAGTAGATGGTCGTGCGATTAACGTTATCAGATCCCACCACAGGCGCGCAAACACAGAAAAGAGGCCGACGAGACCTCGCACCATGGCTGTAGCTGTAGCCACTATAGTAGGACAGTAGATCGAGAGTCCGTGTTCGAAAAGGAAGCGGAGCGGCAGCAAGCAGCAAGCAGTAGCATTTGACCCACATTTTCCCACCAAGAAACCGCCGTCGCCGCCGCCGCCGCCGTCTCCAATCCTGCTGCCCATCATCGCGCCATGTGGGAAGATGATGATGTTGTGGTGAGTGCTGTGGAAGAGCGCAGCCATCAAACGAGGCAGAATGATTCCTGGTACGTGCTCGAGCGAGCGGGCCTCCGAAGTTCGGCCAGTTCATCCCAGCGGCGTGGGAGGTTCGTGGATCCGAAAGAAGAGGAGGTCGAGATGTACTGCCCCGTAGCAATAAATCCCATCCATTATTCCCACGATTCATTTCTCGTGGATTTCTTTTCTTTCTCTCTGTTCGGTTCCTCTCGTGCGAGAGATGCGCGCGGCGGGCGTGCATGAAGGACCCTCACCATGCAATTTTGTGTTCTTGAATGATGAGACGGTGGCTTTTCGTTCGGCTCCTTTGTTCTCTCTGTGTACGGTTACAGCATGCAGTCCCTACCTGGTCACGTTTTTCCAGCCGATTGAACAATAGGACGGAAATGTATGTGTGGTAGAAGACGACGTCGAAATGACGTCGACACGCTCGTGCCTTTTCCGACAAAGTTCCCCCCTGAATCACATTTTCACCATTTGACGATCAATATAGCGGCATATGCAGCAGTGACATTCCACGATCATCTCCAACCGCCCGAAAATGATGATGAACGCCTGTTATTTGCAAGAGGACATCCATGCACGTCAACCGTTTGCGCGATTCGGATTCTGAAAGCGTCGAATGAACGGCTTCGAATCCAGCGCGTGTTGCGGACACTTGCGATCACGAATTTGTCCGGTAATTCGCAAAAGAGGAGAAGATATCTGATCTGTCGTCAACGACTTTTTCTGCTGATTATAAACACAAAAAACCGAAGAAAACTCCGTGCGCACCGCCGGAATTCCAATGCCGAGTGACATTCAAGAGAGTTTGGATCGTCGACCCATCAATTCAACAAGTCTTTCTATTTCCGCATCATAGCGCGCGCGCTTCGACGGCGGCGATGGATATTAATGGCAGATCTGTGAAATAGTTCATTCGTTACCCATACTGTAGCTTCCGCGAGGAGCCTAAATTGAAGATGTACGCGTCGCGTCGACGACATTGTCCCAATGACCAAAATTGTCTACGGATGGGTCGGCATGTGTTTATTCAGCTGGGGAAATCAGTGGAGTAAAATGTGTAAATCGAAAATGCAGCAAGAACGTTTGAACGCGTTAATGAAATGAAGAGAAAAAAAATCAATTATGCCACGCCCGCTGTATGTAGAAGTGAAAGTCCCAAGAGAAAACCGCCCAGAGGAGTCGTGCGCTCAACAGCAGATCTCGCAGATCATGCCAACGACTGCGCCTTAGCCATGCCCGCATAGAGACCACATTTTTGCATGAGTTGCTGATGCGTGCCTCCCGCGATGACCCTGCCCTCATCGAACACGAAAATGCGATCTGCCCTCGTCACGCTCGCGAGGCGATGCGCGACGATGATCGTAGTTCGGCCCCTGGCGGCCTCCGTCAATGCAGCTTGCACGTGAGCTTCGCTGTGGGCGTCGAGCGCGCTGGTGGGTTCGTCGAGGAGGAGGATGGGTGGGTCGCGGACGAGCGCGCGGGCGATGGCAAGACGCTGTTTCTGCCCGCCGGAGAGCTTGGAGGTTCCGCCGGAGCCGCAGGGGGTGTTGTAGCCGTCGGGGAGGGAGATAATGAAGTCGTGCAGGCCGCACTTCCTGCAGGCGGCTTCGATAGCGTCCTGAGTGACGGTGGTGCCTGGAGCGGCGCCGAGGGAGACGTTGTAGGAGATTGTGCCCGGGAAGAGGTCGGGTTCTTGGGCCACCAGACCCATTGTTTTGCGGAGGTTGCGAACGTCCATTTCGCGGATGTCGATCCCGTCGAGGAGGACGGTGCCCTCGGTTGGGTCGAAGAAGCGCTCGATGAGGGCAATGGTGGAGGATTTTCCTCCACCGGAGGGGCCGACGAAGGCCACGCTTTGCCCGGTCATGATGGACATGTTAATTTTCTTCAGTGCCTTCTTGGTCCGGTTACCGGGATAAGAAAGGCTGACGGAATCGAATTGTAATTTGGGATAAGCTTTCGATTTGTCGTTGATCGTGACATCGCGGAGAGTCGATGCACTCGAGGCGACTGCTGTCTTCTCGCCATCGCAATCCATTTCCAGAATGGTAGACTTGGCTTCGAGCAGTGAAAAGATGCTTCGAGCTGCTGTCTTGGCTCTGGCGATTTCAGGGCTCAAACTGAAGAGTTGTCCTGCAGCTTGTGCAGAGAACAACAGAGCCGGAAGGACAGTGAAGAATTGACGTGTTGAGTAGTTACCCTCGCGAACCTGTTTCGAACCCCACCAATATGCGAGAGCGTAGACGAAGTACGAAATTGCCAAGCAGAAGGCGAGCAAGAAACTGGACACGATGGTGAAACGACGAATCGCCTTGAGAGGCTTGTTCAAGGCGGCACGGTAGTCCTCCAGGAGTCTCTCCTCCATTCCGAGGGCGGCAACAGTCTTACGGCTTCGACATGCCTCGGCGGCAAGCGTGTTGGCACCTTTGTATGCTTCCCGGTGACGGATCTCAGAGAGCGTCAATGTGCGGAGCCGAAGAAAGCCGGCGACCACCATGATGGGAACGGCAGCGAGCAGTACAATTGCAATCTTCCAGGCCACGACGTGGGCGAGGATGATACCACCGAAAACGGATGTGATAACAGTGAAGATGGTTCCCAAAGCGATTCCTGAGAGGCTGGAAAGATCACCTGGGTCCTTGGTGAAAGCGGCCATGAGGTCTATATCGAATGAGTAAGGGAAATGATCAGACAAGCTAGCGGAGGACAGGACTTACCGTGAACGGAGTGGTCCTGCTGCGAGAACCACGAGATGTCAAGATGCAGCAGGCGATGAAGCGTCCGCACTCGGATGGACGAGGTGAGCTTTGTAGATGTCACACCGAATGCCGTACCACTGCTGATATATGCCACGAAGGCGATGCATCCCAAAATAAAGAACAATAGGCAGTAGAAGTCGGTACGGTTGCGATCCACAGTGGTCGAGACCTCATTCAGTAGCTGTGAAAGTGATGGTTAGTCCAGCGCCCTTTCCGAATCCTACCGAAGTCACGTACCTCGACCAAGCTTCCAAAAATGACTGATTCGCCGAGTAAGATACCTCCTGCGGCGATTGAACCTAGGATACCGATGAGCACGATCCAAAACTGAGGCTTGATCATCGCTCCAATACGCCGTGTGAGAGTCCACAGACCCATCGGCGGAGCGACTTTCTGCTCCTCAAGATCAGCATCAGGGGCGCTTGCGATCTTCTGGAGCTTTGTGTCCAATTCATTCTCAATCTCGCTCGACTTTGTGAACAGTGTTTCCGTCGACTCGAGGGACGGGTTGCGGGACATGAAGTTTGTGTTTTGCGTCTTGAGCAGTTTGCTGAAGACCGAAGGGGACTGGGAAAGTTCCTCGGGCGTGCCTTCCTCAAGAACTCGGCCTTCTCCCATGACAATGATGTGGTCGGCGTCGAGGACGGTGGAAAGACGGTGGGCGACCATAATGACGGTGGTTCCGGCCGCTGTGGCCTTTTTGACGGAATCCATGACCAGGACTTCACTTCTCGCATCGAGAGCACTGGTGGGCTCATCGAGGATTAGAAGCGCGGGTTTCTTGATCAAGGCACGAGCGAGACAGATTCTCTGTTTTTGGCCACCTGAAAGTTGGACCTCGTTGCTGATGCGTGTGTTGAGGCCATCCGGAAGGAGATGAAGGAAGTCGACTGCAGCATCCTTGACGGCTTCGTCGCAACGAACCCTCTTCTCTTCTTCGCTGAGATCTTGACCAATAAGACCATGGCAGATATTTTCGAAAACAGTCCCCGAGAAGAGAATACATTCCTGTTCGAGGACGGCGAACTGAGAACGACGGTGTAAGCCATCGATTGAACGAAGCTCATCTTCGCCAATCATAATCGATCCTTCGAAATCATATGCACCAAGAAGAAGCGAGACCATGGTTGACTTGCCACCTCCGGACGTTCCGACCAACGCAGTGAATTTGCCCGCCTTCAACGAGAGGGACAGATTGTTCAGTGCCTTGACGGCGGGACGCGCAGGGTAGGAAAATTGAATGTTCTGAAAGTGGACGTCGCGTCCTCGAAGGTCAGGCTTCAAATTCGACCGGGTGCTCACGCCCGCACTGGTGGATGCAGTCTGCGCGTCGAATAGGTCCTGAATATCGCTCCTAGCTGCAGCAGCGCGCGTGAAAATTTCCAGGAAAGGCGCGAATTGGCCCACGACGAATGAGGCGTCAATGATAAGAAAGACGACGGCGTAGACAGTACCAGCGTTTCCTCCATCGAGCTGCTGGCTCCCAAGGAAGAAGGCAAGACCGTTGGCCGAGTATGCGATGAAGAAAATCAGACCGGTCTGCAACGCAGACATCATGGCCTTTTTGACGGCGAGCTTGGAGGACTCGCCCACACAGATGGAGTGCTGTTTGCAGATCGCCGCAATCATGTCATACGCTTGCACGACACGGACTGCGCGTAGGGAGTTCTCCACGATGCTGTTCGCTTCCTCATTTTTAGCGGCGGTCGCGCGGCTGAATTTGGTGATCAGGGGAGAAAGCAGGAAGAATGCCAACGAGATAGCGGGAATTGCAGACGCCAGAAGGATTCCGGTCAATCTCGCGTCTAGGATGAAGCCGACGGTAAAGGCGGCTACGAAGTAGGACATGGATTGGATGAAGATGCCGACCTTCTCGGACGTTCCAGCTTGGATGACATCGATCTTCTCGGAAATGAGGGAATTGACATCAAGGTCGTGGGTGTCGAGGTATGCTTGATCGAGATGGAGCAGGCAATTGAGTAATCTCTCCCGTAGTCGAACAGAGACCTTTTCGCTCGTTATACCGAAGGCGGTCGCGTACAAAGCGGTCACGCCAAAGTATGCGATGGCGACTCCGATTAATTGTGTTATCCTCGTTTCAATGTCGGCTTCGGTGGGCGGAAATTGATTGATGATCTTGCCAAAGATCAATCCGATTAGAGGTAGAGGCACGCCGGCCGCGATTGCGAAGAGAACTCCGGACCATGCTACGGCCCTGTCAAATATCGAATCTAAAGAATCGTACAGACTGAAATATGTTGTCTTGAAGGGATTGAGTCCAGCCAGCCGACGGAAGGCCTGGCTAGGGAACTCGTATACCTTTCCAGGTCTCTGTTGGGGACCTGATACACTGGCAAAGTCATTCTGGGCCTTTTGATTCCCCAGAGTCGATACGGTATCCATCTTGATGTTGATGTCGCGAATCGCGTGGTGGAACACGACGATTTGGATGCCTGAGATAGCAGGACGTGAAGATCACCTCTCAAGTCTGGAGGGCATTATCGAGAAAGCCACGCGAAACCTTGCAGAGGTAGGCGAGACGCATTCCAAGAAAGCACTAAGGACGATGTAGCGTTCGAACGGAACTCTGAATGCCGTCCGCGAAGGAAAGTTCAAACAGCCAAGAGAATTGCAGATTCAAATCGTGGGTGTGTTCTGACCAGGGCTAATGCGAAGAGGAACAAAAATACTACAAGGGAAATAACAAATGAATGGGCGACGATCTTGGCCGAATCTGTGATGAACTTCCTACGTGCAGCGTCCCACGGCCGTTGCAAGTAGCGTAAACATCTCTCACGGCCATTGAAGACTTTCTGTTCCGAGATATACACTATATTTGGAGAGTCGACATGATGCTCGAGTCAAATGACGTTGTTTAGCACGGAGACGCAGGGACTCGGTATGTATCGAGAAGAGGCTTGCTGGGCTTGATGGAGGAGGCCCAGAGGTGGATGAGGGAATACTGCGCAGTAAGACGGGCGCGCGTCGGTACCGATGGGCAAGGTTACACGCCAGTTCACGACATTCGCTACGGTCTCCGCAACAGCTGCACCATGGCGACAACAAAAAGTCGGGGAGCCACTGCTCCGGGTGGGGACGATCGTCACCAGAAAGATGACCCACCAATGTAGCCCATCGTTGTCTTTTCCCTCCAATGCTTCTGGGGACACTAGACAGGAGAAAGAAGGTGCTCGTGGCGTTGCATTAGAGTCACAAGGGCCGAAAGCCAAAAAGCAGGGTCTAGAGGCGCCGATCGATGCATATTTCCTAGGCTGTAAAAGATGAAAGCATGTGGATGACTTGTGGACTTGTCCAACGGCCGATGGAGTGTGCGTGCGCTGTAGCAGAAGAAGTTCAAGTGTGTGGGAGAAATAGACGAGGGTGTCAGAATGGCGTCGCACCATCACCACTGATCCATGCAATCAGATTTCGTGATAAGCGAATCGGACGTCATCGGGCTCGTGGGATGTGGAGTTTCTGCCACCGTTTCCTTATCACCGTCTTTGAACAAGGCGAGAAATTTTCAATCGCTTCATCGCTTCTGCCTTGGCATGCGTGGGAGAGTGTCGAAATTTTCCATTCCAGGGTTTTTTTATGCAATGGCAGAACTGCGGTAGCTGAGAGCGTCGCTTCACGATCCATATTCGACTCCACAGGATTGCGCACAGTCGTGAAATTGGAAGGATTTGCATCGTCGCTGTCTTAGCTGCCTCTGCCACTTTCGCGGGTGGCTTGAGCAAGGAGGGAGATGATGTGAGGGACAAAGCGCGAACGGAAATAAGGATCTGATACGGATCTGATACGAGGTGATTTTACGTCATTTCGCCAAAAATTTGACATCTCGAGGTTGCTTATGTATAGTGGTTTGGGTTTCCACGATCACAGTGCTCATAATATGTTGAGTTCGTAGACGATCCACCATGCGGTTGAGCATCACCGGTGACCGCAATGCTGGTGGCCGCATTTCTGCATTTATGCTTGTCCTATTAGCACTGATCGTGGTGTGAAGAGATCGTGTATACACCTAGGCAGTGCAAAAAGACGTTGAAAATCCACGATGGAATGGGCGAGACGGCTGCGATATCGGTTCACCGGCAGCCTTCCCAAAGAAGTTAGGTGGTCTGCTCTTTATATGCCGTGTCCTGTCCTGTGGTTCTCTCCAGCCCGAGGTGGTTTCACTCTCCACGCGCACGAACACATGTACTGTCACGACTGTATCGGCGCACAGATGAGCCAGGTATCCACACCTCGCAGACGTTCAGCCCCAACGCTCATCAATTCTCAATATTCCTGCTGCTGCATTGAGATGGTGGAAACTTTCCAGGCCAATGCCGAGCAGACCACGCCATCGCGCTTGCAGTGGTGGTGCATTTGGCGAGGAGGAGCGACGGTTTAACACATTAACTAATGCTACTGTACTGTACTGTGCGTGGGTATTGCCATTATGCTTCGGAGGAACAGGAGACCGAACCGTGATGGCTTCTGTTGTTACCACTGGCATCTGCTTCTCATTGTCATTGGGTCTGCGTCCCTCGTGGGACGATTCGCTTCCATGTCTGGGCGCCCGTCCAGTGCTGACTGAACGAGTCGCAGCCGAACGCCCTAAATGCATGTGTCTCTGCCTCGGTGTAGGGTGGATTGTCCTCGGGCTTTAGAAATTGGATCGCGAATTTTGCTTGTCATCGATCTCGTTCGGGCCCATCTCCTACTGCAGCTCTTCCTGCTAGGGATGGGAGAGTACAATACTGTAGTACCCCACGCAGCCGAGACGTAAGGCGTCGGTCAACATTCGGCTCGACGGACACGTACAGGTTAAAATCAGAACAAAAATAAAGTATGGAGCGTATAGAGTACTCCAGCTGTAAATGCGTGTGCAATGTCCCGTAGAAACGGTCCATGGTCGATGATGTCGACATTGGCGAATGTCAGGAAAATGCTCTAACAAAGTTCCTCGTCCCGCCGGCCATCACTACTGCCCACTACCAGGACATCGCCACTACTGATCATCACGGACACTATCCTGACTCTACGCTCAACTACCTACCCAGGAGTCACGACTGCAACCATCACCGTTGCCGCAGACCGGGCTTTGGGCCTGTTCGGATCGGGTGATCGGTACATATGTCCAGCATCCATGGATGTCACCCAGATGTGGACGCATCGTCGCCCATGCTCGCGCCCACGTCAGAAAATCCTGCCACTCGCACCCACCCTTCGAGCGCGGATCTGATACGGTGGTGAATGATGGCTTGTGTCTGTGTAGTCTTTGTTGTCATTGTCGTGCCCGTCCGTGTGTATGGCTCGTTCTCGGTGCGCGCGTACATGGTATGTGCGGCTATTAATGTTTATGGCTGGCCGTCTCATGTGTGCGCCGTTAATGTCGCTGTGATGGTGGATCGAGGATCACGACTCCATAATAATAATACCATATCATCTCCCCTTGGCCTACCGCCTCTACTAAACATGAAAGCGTCGTGACATCCTTCTCGTCGCTGTCTCATTGTCGGCATTGCTCTCGTTATTGTCTGTACAATTTACTCCTCACATACATTGTCCTTGATAGGATATCTAGAAACTTTATCCTGAATCTCATACCATAATATCAAGACGAGAATATACGTGTTCATCATGGCTGGAAAACTTTCCATCTCGAACCCTCAACCGCGCAAGCTCGCGGGCCCGGAATTGCTACACGACCTCGTCCCACCGACAGGGCAACAAGGAAACCACATCGCGATCGACTACATTGCAACAGATCCTTCTTCGTCTCGTCAATTGACTTACGAGCAATTACATCGACAAGCCGATGTTCTGGCGCAGCGGATCATCTCGCAATGTCCACCATCGTCATCATCCTCACCAAGTCCCGAAAGATTGATCGTCCCGCTCCTGATCCCGCAATGCCCGGATCTCTATATTTCACAGCTCGCGATCCTCAAGGCCGGAGGAGCGTTTTGTCCCATCGTTCTCGACGTGCCAGAAGAGCGTCTACGCTTTATTCTGAATGATATCGGAGCTCGCGTACTCCTCACGCATTCCAATGTTGCCGCATCGTTGCCCAGACTAGAGAACATCGCTGTTATCGCAGTCGATCGAGAAGATCTCACCAAAAGCCAGGCATCTACGCTATCCCTACCTCTCTCAAGTCAGAATGCCGCGTATGTCATGTATACAAGCGGCAGTACCGGTCAACCCAAGGGTGTGCTGCTGTCCCATGGCGCAGCGACCCAGGCACTGCTTGCGCATGATAAATACATTCCCGACTTCTCGCGATTTCTCCAATTCGCCAGTCCAACTTTCGACGTCTCCGTATTTGAAATCTTCTTCCCTCTCTTCCGCGGCCAGACTCTCGTCTGTTGCGATCGGAGGGAGCTCCTCAATGATCTACCCAGCACGATGAACCGTCTTCGCGTAGATGCGGCAGAACTGACACCTTCGGTGGCAGGCAGTCTCCTGCGAAAGCGAAGCAATGTGCCCTTGCTCAAGGTTCTCTTGACAATCGGCGAAATGCTCAAGCCTGGCGTTGTTGAGGAGTTTGGCGGAGACGCCGAAACTCCCTCGATCCTTCAGGGAATGTATGGACCCACAGAAGCCACCATCCATTGTACTCTCCAGCCCAATTTCGAAAAGTCCATGTCCTGCGGGAGCATTGGAATTCCTCTAGATACCGTATCTGCATTCATCGTGCGTCCCGAAACAGGAGACGAAGCCAAAGACGCCGATCCCGAAATCCTCCCCCTCGAGGAAGAAGGAGAACTCGCCGTTGGCGGCTATCAGCTCGCAGATGGATATCTCAACCGTGAAGAGCAGACGCGCAAAGCCTTCATCACGCACCCTGAGCACGGCCGGTTATATCGTACCGGCGACCGCGCGAAAATGCTGCCAGACGGTCGCTTCGAATGTCTCGGCCGCATCTCTGCCGGCCAAGTGAAGCTGCGCGGCCAGCGCATTGAGCTCGGCGAGATCGAACACGCGGCATCAAAGACCCCTGGCTGCTCAGACGTCGTGGCAGATGTCATCGGTGGAATCCTGGTGGCATTTTGCGCCCTAGATGCAGGTGCTGCGAGCGCAGAAGACGTGGTCGCGACATGTCGGAAGTGGCTTCCAACGTATATGGTGCCTGGTGATATCGTGGTCATGGAGGCTCTGCCGTATCTGGCATCGGGCAAACTCGATCGGAAACTTCTGCGGGAGAATTTTGCAAAGCGCGACTCAGAAGGGCAGGGCGATGACGCTGAATCTCAAGATCCTGAGACCAAGAGGATCCTGGAAGTCATTCGGAATGTCCTCGGTACCGCGGCGATCAATTCCAACACAGGTCTCGCCACGGTCGGTCTTGACTCCATTTCCGCGATCAGATTGGCGTCATACTTGTCCAAGGAGGGTTTTCCAAGACTTGACGCGAGCCGCATTCTCGCAGCGAGAACACCCAAGGACTTACAAACACTCATTTCTCAGGCTACAAAAACGACGGTGAGCTCAAAAGACGTTCCGGATGCTGATGATAAACGACTTCTAGACAGCATCTCCAATTCACCACTCCTCCGAAACTCCTCGGACTCCATCAGTGGCGCCTATGCTTGTACCGCTGTGCAAGCGGCGATGCTCAACGAGACGTCGAAGAACACTTCAGCATATTGCAATTGGATAGAATTCTCGTTGAGCGGCTCGCAAGACGTCGGAAAAGTTACCGGGGCGATTCGCAAGCTTGCACAACATCATGAAATGCTCCGCTCTGGTTTCATCACCTCTGCTGATTGCTCATGGGGGTATGCCGTAGTAGTTTGGGCAGATCTCTCCGATGCCCAGGTAGTCTCCGGCAAGCTATTCAGCCATGACTTCCGGATAGACTCCGAGGAGAAGCTACTGCGACCTTGCGAGTTTCAAATCTCCCATGGAACAGATGGCATCAAGTTGCTCCTCAAGTTACACCATGCTACTTACGATCAGTGGTCGGTTGACATCCTCCGAAGCGATCTTCAACGATTATTAGAAGGAGAAGAGCTCCACGAAAAGAGCTCGTTTGCTTCCGTAGCAGCATATCACCAGTCGATTACAGATGATGACTCAACATCAGTCGCATCCGAGTTCTGGCAAAATCAACTCAGAAATGTCGCTCCAACAACGCTCCCACTCCTACGAGCCCAGAAAGTACCCTCTGAACTCCAAAGGTCGTCGTGGATTGACCTAAGTACTCCTTCATCTGCCCTCAAATCTCAAGCCCGCGCTCTCGGCTGTAGCAGTCCCGCAATCTTCCAAGCTGCACTCGCCATACTGCTCAGCCAATACACCGGCGTTGCCGACATAACCTTCGGCTCCGTCTTCTCTGGCCGCACCATCGCTGTTCCAGACATCGAGCGCGTATTCGGCCCTTGTCTTGCAACTTTGCCGCTGCGCGTAGATGTCGCAAGTGTGCGCACCTGTGGTGATCTTCTCCGGACGATCACCGATCAGAATCGCGCCATCCAGGAATTCGTTCTCACGCCACCCACGGCCATCAAGCGCGCGGCGGGTGTCAGTCCGGGTAGCAGCCTCTTTGACACTTTATTCGTGTGGCAGGAGAACAGCTTTGAATCGGAGTCGGCTCAGAAAGTCAAAATTGTCGACTCGGCAGATCAATTAGAATTCAACCTCGTTTTGGAATTCGAGCCTTTGGGCGACACACTCAAGGCTCGTGCGACTTATCAAGCAAGTCTCATCTCGCGAGAACAAGTCGACATCCTTCTCGCGCAGATCAATGACCTTGTTGCAAGTCTCCTCAAACACACTGATGACAGTATCTCGACCATCACCAGCACGCTTCCAGCTGAACTGCTCTCTATTGCTAATCCCGACTTTGAAAATGTCGCTGATGAGGCATCCCTCGTACACATGATTGAGAAACAGGCTTCTTCCGTCCCTTCCGCCACGGCCATTTCCTTTGCGCAATCTCTCGAGCCTGGCAAGGCTGTGTTCAAATCTATCACCTTCGCCGAACTCGACGAGGCCGCCAACAAAGCTGCAAACGCCATGATCGTCGCCGGTCTTCGGCCGAATGATCTCGTTTGTGTCTGCATGGAAAAGTCGATCGAGATGTATGTTATGTTCTTAGCTTCGCTCAAGGCTGGAGCGGGTTATCTTCCCCTTGTGCCCGAGACGCCGCTTTCACGAGTCGAGAATGTGCTCCAGCAAGCAAAACCTGCACTATGTGTGGTTGATGGCGGTTTGATCCCTGACTTCAAATCTGTTACGAGCATCAAGGTCGTGGACAAGACTACGCTAGAACAAGGCATTCAGAACGGCACTGCACCAGATGTTCCCCAGGACCGCCAGAGGATCGCATATGCAGTCTATACTAGTGGGAGTACCGGCACGCCTAAGGGTGTTGCCGTGACTGTCGAGAACCTTCACGGGAACTTGGCGGTCCTGGCAGAGCTGTATCAAACCAAGCCAGGCGATCGACTACTACAGTCCTGCTCACAGGCCTTCGATGTCAGCGTTTTTGAAATCTTTTACGCCTTTTACAGCGGCCTCTGTCTCTGCTCCGCAGTCAAGGATGTCATTTTCCGTGACTTCGAACACAGCATTCGCGCTTTTGGCGCCACTCATCTCTCCCTGACCCCGACCGTCGCGGCCCTCGTCGACCCAGCCAACGTGCCCGATGTGAAGTTCCTCGTCACCGCCGGAGAAGCTGTCACGGAAAGAGTTCACAAACTGTGGGCCGGGAAAGGCCTCAACCAGGGCTACGGTCCCTCGGAAACTACCAATATCTGCACCATCAACATGCGCGTCACTCCCGACGATGTCCTGGGAAACATCGGTCCGCCATTTCGGAACACCTCCGCCTTTGTCCTCGCTCCCGAAGAAGACCCTTTGCGCATCCTCCCTTCGGGCTGCTACGGAGAGTACGCCTTTGGTGGCGAACAGGTCTTCCGCGGGTACATCGGCATGGACAAGCTGAATGCACAAAAGATCATCGATCATCCTACGTACGGCCGTGTCTATCGTAGTGGAGACATGGGTCGAATTCTTCATGACGGCACTCTGCTCATCTCCGGCCGTTTGGACGATCAAGTCAAGATTCGCGGAAACCGCGTCGAGCTCGGCGAGATCAGCGCCGTGGTAATCAAGGATGAGGCTGTGGCAGATTGCGCAACGCTCATGATCGGAGAAAAGAGCGCCGAGCAGCTACTTGCGACGTTCTGGGTACCACGCGAGCAAGTAGCAAGGAACGATTCAGGAATCGCACCTATCGTGGATCAAGATCCAAAGCGTATCTCAGCACTATTCACCCGTATCGAAGAGACCCTACCCGCATACATGATTCCCAGCGTTCTTCTCCCCATCACCCGTCTCCCTCTCACAACCCAAGGCAAACTTGACAAACGCCTTCTCAAGAGCATCTACAACGACCTAGATAGCTCCACGAAGGAACTTTTCTCCCATCATTCCGAGGCCGCAGATGACCAAGAGCCTTTGAACTCAACCGAGCAAATCATCGCATCCGCACTCGCGGATCTTCTCCAGATTCCGGTAGCGAATATCAGCAGACACTCGTCTTTCTTCGGCCTCGGTCTGAACTCACTCAATGCCATTAGTCTGGCGCGATCCCTCGAGCAGAAGTCTCAAGCACGTCTCGGTGTCTCGACTATCATGAAAAATCCCAGCGCCGCTCGTCTTGCACAGTTCCTGCTCAAGAAGGATGAACCTAGCTCTACGAATGCTCAACCCGATGTCGATCTCTCAGAGCTCTACAACGCGGAATTCAAGGACCGAATCGCGGTTGAATTTTCTGCCAGAAAGTCGAAAGTCGAGGCTATTTGGCCTTGCACGCCGCTACAGGAAGCCATGCTGTCGGCGAGCGTGACACAAGAAAATGGATCCTACTCCAACTCTGTGCGATTGAAGATTTCTGGAGATTTGGATCGCTTGATCAAGGCTTGGGAGGAAGTTACCCAACGGCATGCAATTCTCCGCACGAGTTTCGTGGAGACGCAGTCTTCGGAATATCCGTATGCTCAGATCGTGCAGGACCGCATCGCTACGCCTGTCGTTCTCGTCGACGGCACGAGCGTCAAGAGCAGCAGGGATGTGACCATCAGCCACGCTGAACCTTTCAAGATTGTCGTCGACAGGAGAGAGCCTGGTGAGGTTGATTTGTATCTGCTCATGCACCATGCCATCTATGACGGTATCTCGATGGAGAATCTGTACAAGGAAGTTCAGAACTTTTATAACGACGGGACGACATTATCCGGTCCTGCTTCGTTTGCGCCGTTCCTCCAAGAGGTCATCAAACACAACCAGGCGGGCTCCATGGATTTCTGGCGCAACAAATTTGCGGACTTCACACCTCACTCCATTCCTGCGATTGAAGGCTCGGCTGGAAAGAAAGAGGACTGCATTTTATCTACCCTCAAAGCCACGCCTGCTGATGTCAACACGTTCTGTGAACGTCACTCCGTGACCGTCCTGGGTGTCGTCCAAGCCGCATGGATCAAGACCCTTGCCTCCTTGCAGGAAATCTCGGATGTCTGCATGGGAAATGTCGTCAGCGGTCGCACCGTCGCTGTTGCAGACGTCGAGAATCTGATCGCGCCTTGCTTCAACACGATTCCCTCAAGAGTGAACCTCGAGACTGTGCGCAGCAACATCGATCTCACCCGGCATCTTCACCGTGCCAACGTCGAGGCATCCTCCTTCCAGCTGACTGCGTTGAGGCGCATCCAGAAGTTCTCTCAAAGCCCAGAATTGCATCTTTTCGATACGCTGCTCTTGCTGCAGCCGCCTTCAACGTCATTGGATGGCTCTATATGGACTGTGCAGGACGATGTTGGCTCCATGGGTCTTCCACTTGTCGTTGAAATTGTTCCTCACAATGACCGCTTCGATCTCAAACTCTACTTCCTTGACTCTAGAGTTTCTACAGCGCTAGCAAATGAGATCGGAGCCGCGTTCGATGCAGCGCTCTCGTCATCTCTCAGGTATCCCTCGAGTCACCCGGAGCACTTCCTCGACTACGATCGTGCAAACATCGCTGGCAAATTGGTACCTGTCAAGACCTCCAATCCTGGTAACCAGAGCAAAACCTCGAGCGACGCAGAGCCATGGACTGCCGAGGAAGAGATCATCCGTGCGATCTTCGCCGAACTGGCACAGGTCGACAGATCAAAAATTTCGAAATCTACATCGCTGTATCGACTCGGTCTTGACAGTTTGAACGCGGTGCAAGTCGCCTCCAAGATGCGCAAGCAGAAATTGATGGTCGATACCGCGGATGTCATGCGCCTGATGACGCCGATTGCTTTGGCTGAATTTGTTTCTTCAGCTTCGAAAAAAGATCAGAATGAGCCGCAAGCCTCGATCGATCTTGTCGCTTTCGAGAATAAGCACAAAGAGCACATTCTCAGCAACGGTAACTTTGACAGTGTCAATGTCGAAGCGATTCGACCTTGCACCGCCGCGCAGAGTGGCATGCTTTCGCAATCTATTCAATCTAATGGCAAGCTCTACATCAACCACGTGGTCTACACTTTACCCGAAGACCACAATCTTGACGAAGTTCGACTCGCATGGGACCGTGTACAGCGCAAGCATCAAGTGCTCCGTATGGCATTCCAACAGGTTGAAGACCCGCTTAGTCCTTTTGCAATGGTCATTCTGGACGAAGCGGCTTCCAAAAACGTTTTCACCGTCGAGGAAGAGGATCGTTCTCTAGAAGACCTCACCAGCCATACGAGCACCGACATTGTCCAAAATTTCGATCTTCCTGCTTGGCGGGTCAAGCTTATCAAAGGGGCCGGCCAGCAGTCGAAAATGTGCCTCTCGATCCACCATGCACTATACGATGCTAATTCGCTTCAATTTATTTTGTCTGACTTCGCAGCGGCGATTGCAGGAGAGGATGGCAGTCCGGCGACGACCATTGATACCGTCCTGGCTTATATCCTCGACGGGGCAACCAGAGCGCAAAAGGATGAAGGGGCTTTCTGGAAGCAGAAGATGGAGAAGGCTGCGATCGCAAAATTCCCAAGCCTGACCCCCACGGCCGTGACTGACGGCAAAACTGAAGTCGAGCAAATCATTTCATCGGCCTCCTACGATTCAATCCTCGCCTTTTGCCGCAAAGAAGGAGCAACATTACAGGCTCTAGGTCAAGGCCTGTGGGGCTCACTACTAGCGACTTACATCGGCGAGCCTTCCGTCACGTTCGGCACAGTCCTCTCCGGCAACAACGACGACTCTAAGCCAGTCGCATTCCCGACCATCACCACCATCCCCGTCGCCTGTAACACGAATCAAGGACTTCTCGCCACAATCCGTGACATGGTAGCTTACAATTCCGAGATCCAACGATATCGATTTACCCCTTTGGCGGAGATCCAGCGACATGCTGGACACTCCGGTCGGGCATTGTTCGATACAGTGTTTGTCTATCAGAAGAGCGCAGAGGCCTCCTCTTCCTCTCACCAGCTGGACTGGCCGATATTGTATGAGACTGCCGCGGTCGATTATACGGTCTCGTTGGAATTGGAAGTCACTTCCAATGGACAGGTTCATTTCCGTCTCACGTTTGATACTCGAGTATTGCCGCAGGCTCATGCTTCGCTCATGCTTCGCCAGCTCGATCATATCTTGGCCGAGGCTTTAGCGGAGAAGGATATTCCCGTGGAGTCATTCAGTCCGCTACTCGCAGCACTACCGCCCAAGGAAAGATCGATTGAAACCCCCGTCAAATTACTCCACGAGTTTGTCGAGTATGCCGCCAGACAGCATCCAGAAAAGCCCGCTCTGGAATTTGTGTACTCCCTCGAAGATCCAGGCACGCGAAAAGTCTGGACTTATCGCGAACTTGACGAGCGCGGTAATCAGATTGCAAACATGATTCGCAATTGGGGAATTGGCTCGGGAAATATGATCGCAGTGTGCATGAGCAAGTCCCCTGAGGCGACTTTTGCATTTCTGGGAATCCTCAAGGCTGGTTGCGCATTCCTTGCTATGGACCCCGATCTTCCCATTGCTCGCAAGACTTTCATTCTGGAGGATTCGAATGCGAAGGTTCTCTTTGTGGATTCGGGTGCGACCATGCCCGAAGCGCCTTCCACCACGAGAGTTGTGGAGTGCATTGAAAGTACAATCATTCACGAGTCTCCGCTGTTGAGCGAGCCCGCTGGTATCGATCCAAGCGCTACTAGCTACTGCCTGTATACTAGTGGTACAACGGGTACACCGAAGGGCTGCGAGTTGACTCACGAGAACGCCGTTCAGGCCATGATGTCTTTCCAAAGGCTTTTCGCGGGCCGATGGACGGACTCCTCACGATGGCTTCAATTCGCCAGCTACTGGTTTGATGTCTCTGTGCTAGAGCAGTTCTGGAGCTGGAGCGTCGGCATCACATTGGTCGGTGCGCCCCGGGATCTTGTGCTTGAAGACCTCGCCGAGTTCATCCGAACGGTGGAAATCACTCACATCGATCTCACTCCGTCTTTGGCGCGTATCCTTACGCCGGAAGATGTCCCCTGTCTATGCGGTGGCGTCTTCATCACTGGCGGTGAAGCCCTCAAGCAGGAAATTATCGATGCGTGGGGTCCTAAAGTCACTGTCTGCAACGGATATGGCCCCACTGAGGCGACTATCGGTGTGACGATGAACCCATTTGTTGGCACTGACGCCAAACCTACCAACATCGGACCTGCCTTCGATAATGTCGGCGCCTATGTCTTCCGGCCCGATACCGATGAGCCAGTCTGGCGCGGTGCTGTCGGCGAGCTCTGTGTCTTTGGCAAACTTGTGGGCAAGGGCTATCTTAACCGTCCGGATCTCACGGCCAAGGCGTTTCCATACCTTGAGCGACATGGCGAACGCTTCTATCGCACTGGTGATCTTGTCCGAATGCTTTCGGACGGCTCGTTTTCTTTCATCGGCCGCAAGGATACGCAGGCCAAACTTCGAGGGCAGCGACTGGAGATTGATGAGATCGATGCTGTCATTCAGTCGTCCACCGAGGGCATTTCTGAGGTTGCATCACTCGTCATCAAGGTCGGAGAGGCCAACCGGGAAACTCTAGTCTCGTTCATTGTTCATGAGGCTGAGAAGAGTCGTGAGCTACGTGTGCAAACTTCCGAACATGCCTCGAAGCTTGTACATGTAGCGGACCAGGCTTGCCGTGATCACCTTCCCGGGTACATGGTCCCCACGCACATTCTTCCAATTTCAAAATTACCGCTCACCGTCAATAACAAAGTCGACTCGAAGCGGCTGGTTGCGCTTTTCTCAGAGCTGACGCCGCGTGATCTTCAAGGACTCAGGAACACTCCTACGGAAACTCGAGAACTCAATACAGCTGAAAGGAAATTGGCAAATGTCCTCAGCCGAGTCCTCTCCGTAACTGCTTCCGATATGACGCCGCAATCGAATGTGTTTTCTCTTGGCTTGACTTCCGTGTCGGCCATTTCGTTCGCCACGGCTTTGAAGCGTGGCGGATTCGAAAACGCCAACGTTGCCACAGTCATGAAAAGTCCTACTATCGAACGACTGGCCAATGCTTTGGCAAATACTACAACCGATGGCAAAGTAGAACTGAACGCCACCCAACAGGCCAAGCTGTCTATCTCTGCCTTCTCGCAGCGCTATCGCAATGTCATCGCTCGATCCATATCAAGAAACTCATCCGATATCGAGTCTATCGCTCCGTGCACACCTTTACAAGCAGGTCTCCTGACCGAGTCCGCCAAGAACTCTGAGAGGCCGTACTATAACAACTTCGCCTATGACTTGATCGACGTTGATGCACAGAGACTGGAACAGGCGCTTGTTGAACTACATGGCTCGACACCTATCTTGAGGACAGTTTTTGTCCAGACTGATGAGGGATACGCTCAAGTTGTTCTACGGGAGAACGACTTCAAAATTACTCGCCACGAATTACAGCAAGATGATGACTTCGAGAATTGGCACGGCGACCATTTGGCTTTCTGGAAGTCGCAAGCAGATCGACAAGACTTCATCCAACCTTTTGAGGCTACACTGGTCCGAACTCCATCAAAGCTTGTTCTAATCTTCCATGCTCATCACTCCATTTACGACGGCATCTCATGGGAACTCACGATGGATCACCTGGCATCCTTTTACTTGGGGAAACCTATGAGCCTCGGTCCTAACTTCATCGATGCGTTACCATACGGACCCTTACTTCAACGATCAGATGCGAAACCATTCTGGGCTGATTACCTCAAAAAGGCTACATTCACTGCACTGCCTCTTGCTTCGAGCTCCACGGCGAGCACTGGGGATGTCGTGTGTCAAAAAGCGATCTCGGGAGATGCTGGGCTGGAACAGGCACGACGAAGTCTCGGAGTTTCACACCAAGCCATCTTCCAAGCTGCCTTTGTGGTCGTTCTTCACCAATTCTCCCCACACACTCGAACCTATGGAAATGTCCTATCTGGTCGGTCCGTCGCTTTTGAAAACGCAGATGTTGTCCTCGGGCCCATGTTCAACACGGTGCCATTTGTCGTCGATCTTGACGCGAGCGAGGATTGGACTCAACTGTTACAGCGCTGTCATGAAAGAAACACTGCACTGTTGCCTTTTCAGCACTCATCGTTGCGCGACATCAAGAAATTTTGCGGTCGCACACCAGCTGATCCGGTATTTGATGTTCTGTTGGTCTGCCAGAGTGTTGATAATACTTCTGAGCGACTGTCATCAAAATACTTCAAGGTGAGGGACTCACAGGTGCATGCCGAATTCCCAATGGCTTTCGAGGTGGAGTTCGACGAAGCGGGTTCTATTAATATCACAGCTGCCACTGCAGGCAACGTCAAGGGAGAAATATCGCTGTCGCAATTTGTGACGCAATTCGAGGAAGTGCTCAAAGCCATCGGAAGTGATTCGAAGCAGCGTGTGGGTGACAAATTCTCAATTTCCACCACAGAGGATCGCGTCGACAGTCGCCGTCTTTCCGAAGACGTCACGGATAATAACCAGGCCTCAGACTTCCAATGGACCACAGAGGCCAGAAAGATGCAAGAGATCATATCAACCCTGGCCAACTGTGCTCCTGATAGTGTCACTCCCGAGACTACAATCTACACGCTAGGACTCGATAGTATCGACGCAGTCAAGCTCTCGTCCCGGTTCAAGCGCGCAGGTCTAGCACTACCGGTGAGCAAAATCCTGCAAGCTCAGACACTACCCAAGATGCTGGAGCTTGTTCAAACGAGAAGCAGCACCGGCACTCAAGTACAAGAAAAAAGCATGTTGAGCACGCTTCAATCGAAGCTTGAAGCTCTTCCAGAACTTGCCTCGCTACTAAAACGCGACGATGTGGAGAGGATTCTTCCAGCCACTCCTGCACAAGAAGGCATGGTTGCAGATATGCTTCGATCTGGTTTCGAACAGTATTTCAACCATGATGTACTTCTCCTACAAGAATCCGTCGATATGGAAAAGCTACGACAAGCGTGGGAGACTGTTCTCAATGCAAGTCCCATTTGGCGGACTTCCTTTATCGAAATCAGCAGCTCGGAACTAGACGTCGTATATGCACAAGTCGTGCACCGTCCGGTCAAGATCAACTTACAGCCCATGGACCTCAAAAATGTGGAGGAGATTCCACAGACTCTTGACCAGATCAAGACAGATTTCCAGGGGTCGAATTTGGACAGCAGTCCTTTGCTATGCCTGAGGCTTATTAAGTGTGACGATAAGCGTTACCTCATTTTGTCCCTCGCGCATGCCCTGTACGACGGCCATAGTCTATCTGCTCTGCATGAAGATGTGGCGAAAGCCTACTATGGTGAGATTGCTTCCCGACCGTCGTACGATTCCACAATCGAGGCCAGTCTTCAAGCAAATGCTCCCGAGGCAAGACAATTTTGGCAGACCTTATTGAGTGACGCCAAACCATGTTCAATCGAGCGCAAGAAGGACGTAATGCCCACTCGAACGTGCCGTGAAGAGCGAGTTTGCTCGACGACGGCCGATTCCGCCCGTCATCTTTGCCAGAAATTGGGAGTTTCCATGCAGACCTTGGCCCAGGCAACGTTCGCACTGCTTCTAGCTGGGCATTCAAAGACACTCGATGTGGTGTTCGGCATTGTCCTGGGATGTCGTGACAGCGAGGAGGCTGAAAGTGTCATCTTCCCGACGATGAACACTGTTCCACTCCGAATTCTCCTGCACGGATCAGGTTCAGAGATCCTCCGACATGTTCAGGGCATTTCGAATGACATTCTACCGTTCCAAAGGACTCCACTTCGGACGATCCAAGCGGCAAGCGCGAGCGTTGTGGATTCACGAGCTGCTGAGGCTGGAGCTGGACTTTTCGATGCGCTGTTTATTTACCAGCAGACTGCAAGCCAAGAGAGCGAAGCTGAGCCGGATCTTTACGATTCGATCGATGGTGCTGCAGAGATCGAGTATCCGCTCGCTGTCGAGCTGCAGGTTGTTAAGCAACAATTGATCGTCCGCGTTGCCAGCAAGAATATCGTCCTGAGTGAGCAAGAGACTGCTCATCTACTTGAGCAATTCGATAATATCTTGAGGTCACTCGTCGGTTCCCCTGAGCAATCAGTCATTGGCTTCTCTGGGGATGAGGTTTCTATCCTCGGTATGCCGGCTTTCAAGCTCTACCAGACAGAACCCAGCGCTCCTCAGGAAGAAGTCGAAGGAGATGTCTCGGGTGAGGAGGACAATGAGAATCCCACGATGGACACGATTTGCAAGGTAATCTCCGAGGTTGCAAAATTAGACACGACAATGAGTCGCGATACCGCTTTCGACAGCATCGGAATCGACTCCATCTCCGCAATCAAAGTCAGCAGCCTTCTGCGCAAACAAGATGTCAAGATCTCCGTCAGTCAGATGCTCAAAGCGAAAACGCCACGACGTATGGCGGAAGCGATCCAAGCACAGAGTAGCAGCGTTTCGACTGAACAGAATATATACTCGAAGGATGTCATTGCAACAGCTGTCAAGAATATTCATGTTGCCAATATCTCCAACAAAGCACAAGTCCCACAATCCACCATCGAGTCCATTCTACCTGCAACAGCTGGGCAGGTTTACATGCTCAATCTCTGGCGCGCGACCGGCGGTCAGCTTTTCTATCCGACATTCAAGTTCCACGTGAAGACCCAGCGATCGGCGGAAGAAGTTCGCACAGCCTGGAATCGCCTCGTCAAGCAACAGGCCATTCTTCGAACCATCTTCGTCCAGTCTGACAATACTTCTGTCCCTGTACTTCAGGTTGTCCTCAAGGAGGGAACACAGAGCTTCTCGGTGGCAGGCGAGAAGACCGACATGACATCGAATCAGGAACAACAGCAACAACAATGTTATGCATCTCTGCATGCCACGCGCGTCTCCGATGGTTATGATGTGGATTTGAAGATCCACCATGCGCTCTACGATGCCGTCTCATTGCCACTCCTGCTCCAGAGTCTTCAAAATCTTCTGGACAAGCTCCCTACACCTTTACCCAGCATTGGAGCCGAGGACTTCCTCGCCCTTCCCCTAACGAGAGAGGCTCAACTTTCACGCAAGAAATTCTGGACGTCGTACTTCAGCGACCTGAAGCCCATAATTTCGCAGCAACCCACGCAACAACAAGGTGCACAGAACAAAGTGGAGATCTTCCAGCCACGACTCACAGCCTCTTGCGGCAAACTCGAGACCCTCGCGCGTCAGAACAACATCAGCATCCAATCGATCCTCTTCGCCACCTACGCCAAACTCCACGCCCAGCGTCTGACCACCGGCGAGCGGCGCGGATCCACCGATGCCACGGATCTCGTGCTGGGCATCTATCTATCCAACCGCGGCCATCTGCCCGACCTCGACCAATTGGCGTACCCCACCCTCAACCTGGTCCCTCTCTGCATCCGAAATGTCGTCCAATCCGACCTCATGGAAGTGGCACGACAGATCTCCTCCGGCCTCGCGCAGATCGGAACCGTAGAGAATTCCACCACGGCGTTGTGGGAGATTGAACAATGGACGGGAATCCAAGTCGATCTGTTCCTGAATTATTTGAAACTTCCCGAGCGATCCTCGCAGGGAGATGGGGACAGCGATGCGGAGTCACGCTCGCAGATCTCGGAAGTCGACGGCGAGAGACGCATGCCTCGGAGTCGTCTCGAGAAGGTCGAGTCGTCTCACCAGGACAGCACAACCTCTGCTGCTGCTGCAACTGCTACTGCTACCACTACCCGCGAAACATTCCATACCGGAAAGGCATATCAGGTACGTCCCATCCTCCCAAGATCTTTCCCGATCACACAAGGCAGATCTCCACTTCACACATTTACTGACCACTTTTCTTCACCTTTTTTACAGCATGCCATCGATATCGAGATGACGATCACAGATGATGGGGGATTGGACTTTGGTCTGTTCGCGCCGCAGGAAATGCTGGGGCTCGACGAAGGAGAGGCATTGATCGCCGGAGTCAAGGAGGAATTGGAGAAGCTCGTTTAATGTCTGATTTTTTGATGTCTGATGTTTGATGTTTGATGTTTGATGTTTGATGTTTGGTTCCTAATTTGATGATAATCAACGGGTTCTATTTCCCTCTGGCGCTGGTGTTTTCCCAAACGCTACTTGTGTTCCGGGCCCGAACGAAACACGTCGCGAGTGTGTCGCGATCATATTATCATCTTGGTCGACTCTCTTTCCGCGTCTCACATAGTCGATGAAGTTTTGGGCATCTGGTAATAATAAACTTAATCAATTTACGGCACAAACGAAGACACACCTGGGCAAATATATCTATACACCTAGGTATATATGCATATATGTACATGTATACCTCGTCGACCTTCTCTCACAGGAGACAGCAACCCTGGGCTTCAACATTGGATAAAGGGTTCAACCCTAATTTAGACGCCGCCCGCCCGCCCGCACTCTAAATTTACCCTCTCGCGCCCCTCATGTTTCGGAAGATATTCTCGGACTGAGCCCCACGTTCCCTACCTAGGTAGATAGAGGAAATTTGTATGCCCAGGTGCATGTCGGGTCCAGATACGAACCTCCACAGCTATTTGTACTATACAGTAAAGGTTCCAAGGTTGCAAGGTTGTCTGTCGACATTCGCAAGTCAAGTTACGTCAGGGTCTTTTCTCTCTCTGTCTATCTATCTAGGTACCTTAGCTCTCTGAGCCTCTTTCCCTCTCCCAGATCTGGCCAATTACTGCCATATCTCCCAACCGAGTATAGTATTGAGCATAGAGATAGAGACGGTAGATTGATATAGCTGCGTTGTACTGTAAATATACCAGTATGGCTACGTTGTATCGTAAGATAGCTAAGTATACTACTACCATAGCTGCGTTGTATTGTATTATATATATATTATAGATGCGTTGTATTGTATTGCGCCGCCTTCTCCTCTGAGAGGACATCAGGGTCTGTCTATTCATAGCTGTTTAGTAACTGACGACCTTGGAATACCTTCACTGCACATCTCTTGACTTGTTGTCCCAACTTCTCTCCTTCTCCTCCTCCTCGACTCTCTCTCTTTCATGATCACTTCTCTCAGTCTGTCGACGAGAAACACTTTCATCACCGCCAACACTCACAATATCGTCGCCTCATATCCACTCTCATTCAGACATACACACACGCACACGCACACGCACACGCACACGCACGCACACACACACACACACAAACACGTTCATTCATTCACCGCAATCATGGCTCCGCCCGCAGCAGGTCGCGCTGCGCCCAAGACCGACGCCGCCATCCTCGAAAGCGTTCCCAATTACCCACCACCTGCCGACATCAAGTACACCTATGGCACCGCCGGCTTTCGCATGAAGGCGGATCTCCTCGACCATGTCATGTACGGAATGGGTCTCCTCGCAGGCCTGCGATCCCGCAAACTCGGCGGCCAGACCATCGGAGTCATGATCACCGCCTCGCACAACCCCGCCGAGGACAACGGTGTGAAGCTCGTAGATCCCTTGGGCGAGATGTTGGAGCAGGATTGGGAACAGTGGGCCACCCACATTGTCAATGGAAAGACCCCCGAAGAGACCCTCGCTGCATACAACGATGGGGTGAAGAAGTTTGACATCTTGCACGAGAAGCCTGCTCGGGTCATCTTCGCTCGGGATACTCGTCCTTCAGGATCGCGGTTGGTGCATGCCCTGGAGGCTGGTCTCAAGGCCACCGATGTGGAATATCAGGACTATGGCATCCTCACCACGCCGCAATTGCACTACCTCGTCCGCGCCACAAACACCCAAAACGATAAGATCCCATATGGTGAGGTGTCGGAGGAGGGCTACTACAAGAAGCTGGCCAACGCCTTCAAGGTGGTCATGCAATACGTCAAGGTCACCAGCCCGGTCACGGTGGACTGCGCGAACGGTGTCGGCGCACCTAAACTGAAAGAGATGCTCAAATACCTCCCGCCTGTGTCCGAGACCGGTCTGGAAGTCAACATCGAGAATGATCGCATTGAAGAGCCGGAGATGCTGAACAAGGATTCGGGCGCGGACTACGTCAAGACCAAGCAGAAGGTCCCTGCGGGTTTCAGTGGTGCCGCCTATGCGCGATATGCCGCGTTCGATGGTGATGCCGATCGCATCATCTACTTCTTCACAGAGCCGGGCAACATCTTCCGCATGCTCGACGGCGACCGAATCGCGACTCTGGCTGCCTCGTTCTTGGGAGAACTGGTCGAGAAGTGTGGTCTCGCGGAGAAGATCAAACTCGGCGTGGTCCAGACCGCATACGCCAACGGTTCCAGCACACACTACATCAAAGACCGGCTCCGTCTGAAAGCCGAGTTCACCAACACAGGCGTCAAACATCTCCACCACGCCGCGCTCCGCTACGACATCGGCGTCTACTTCGAAGCCAACGGCCACGGAACCATCCTCTTCTCCCCGACCGCCCTCAAAGCCATCGAGAAGCAAGAACCCCAATCCACCGGCCAGCTCGAAGCCCTCGAGACCCTCCGCGCCATCGTCGACCTCATCAACCAGACCGTCGGCGACGCCATCTCCGACTTCCTGCTCGTCGAAGCCATCCTCGCGCACAAAGCCTGGACCGTCCGCGACTGGCTCGCCACCTACACCGACATGCCCAGCCGCCTCGCCAAACACGTCGTCCCCCGCCGTGAGGATTTCACCACTGTGCCCGGCAGTGCAGAGCAGAAACTCGCGACGCCTGTGGGTCTCCAGCGACGGATCGATGCCGAGGTCGCGAAGTATGGCTCCGGCCGCTGCTTTGTGAGAGCTTCCGGCACGGAGGATGCGGTCCGCGTCTATGGCGAGGCGTTCCATGCATATGATGTCGACCATATGATGCAGACGATTGGGTTCTTGATCCAGAATCACGTAAAGAACAACTATGCGTGAAGAACAAGTGGAGGGATGTGATCCTGCTGCTGCTGCTGATGATGATGACGAGAGAAAGCGGAGGGTGGAGGTGATCCCCTTCTTCTCTCATCATCATCTTTGATGTTTTATGAAACTACTACTACCCATGACGAGCTCCGGCATCTCTCTTTGCAGGCAGATGAATCCAGGAGGAATCGTTTTTCCCTTTTCCTCATTTGTTTCGTTTGGAAAATGATAAAAGTTGACTTTGTTTTTTTCATTCTGTCTTCCTTTCCTTTCGCTGTATGTCCGGCCTGAAGTGCATAGAATGTACCTTTGCCGTAATTCAAACGAGGTTGTGTTCTTCAAGAGACGATGTACGTTTGGAAATGCAAGTCTCAGGTGATAGAAACAAAGAGAGAGAGATCGCTACGGTATCCCGTCCGAAAAGTATCCCGTAGTCCCGACACTCACACTGCGGCGTCCTCGGGGGTGTCCTCTCCATCATTCCCCAAGCGGACGAGCATTTCAACTTTCGGGATTGAGATTTGATCGCGCGACCTCAACTCCAACTCCATCGCAAACCGGGGACCACACATTCGTTCCCTCACCGCATCAGTCTCCATCTCACCTACCACGACTCACTTTCTCAAAACGTCACCGAAATCTCGTCGGAAAGAAAGAAAAGAGCAAATCCGTGTACCACAGCCCCGACGGCGACGACACCAACGCCGCCCTCAATGGCGCATCTCCTCCGCATGTTATCGCCGCGCGGCATCAGCAACATCGGCAGCAGCAGCCGCAGTACGATCCTCACACACCGAGCGATAACGGCAACATGTCGGAATGTGGTTTTCCCTTCACAGCAGCAAGCACTACAACGACCGTCGTCACTACAAAACCTGCAATCCCTACGCGCGTTCTCCGCCACGCCTCAGAGGATGAAGAGGAAGCAGAAGGCTAGGAAGGAACCCCGTATCAGTACGTTGCATCCTCCTTTTGCCTTTTTTGAGATTCGGGATTCGAAAGAGACGGAGAGAGAATGTGTGATGGGGAGTGAAGGAGAGATTAACGCAGGAAGGAAGAGGGAAAGAGAGATCTAGGCGATAGGACTTCGTCCGAGGATTCAAGGAATCAATAGGGATTGAACAAACGAGAAATGACGAGTGATGAGGATATCGTTTGGGCTGACAGGAATTTGACAAATTGTAGCACACATCCGATACTACCTCTACCACCCCCTCACACCCCGAGCGCTGCGCTTCTCCCGGTAAGTTTCGCCCAGCCCCCTCCACTTTTCACTTCTTCTCCCCCGAACAAGGCTCTAACCGCCCAATCTCGCAAAACAACAGAAACCGCGCCCTCCGCCACTGGACCATCCACCGCGCCTGGAAACTCGCGCAGCGGAACCGTTTCGAAGCGCAGGAACGCTCGCTCGAGCGGCAGTACAACAGCATGTATTCGGCGTGCGAGGCCCTGCGGCTGATGGACAACGACGGCTTCACCGAGTCCGACCGCGAATCCCTGGCCGGCCTCGCCCCGCATCCCAACGGCAGCAAGGAGATCGGCCGGCTCTATCGCATCGCTATGCTGAAGCATGAGATCTGGAAGGGCGTGCCGATCGAATACGCCCGCATCCAGACCGAGACGCCCGGGCATGAGCCGTGGAATCATTCCTGGAGGAGATGAGAGGAGCGGGTTCGTCTGCCCCTTTGATTTCTTTTTAGTTAGTGGGGGATGGAGAGGAATGAAGGGGGCACTCGAAATGGAATCGTGTTCTTCTTCTTCGTCTTTCTTTCTTTTCGAGAGCGAAGAAATTCCGTCCTGAAACTCTGATGGCGGGAGTTACAGTCATAACGAGATGATCAATGTTGCGACGTTTCTCCCCCAGATCAGGATTGTACATTATCATTCTATTTCCATTCGGGAAAGATATCCCGAGGCCCGGACCATCGAGGAGAAATTCTTTTCGGCCAAATTCAGGAATTTCGAAAGCAAGTTCATCGAGTGTTATATTCGAAAGTGGGAAGAGTTCAAGAAATAAACAAACGGGGTATGCTTCGAAGATCATGGATTTGTTGAATGATGGTAATACAGTAATTTATCGTCCTCTCCCGCTCGAAGATACGCAACACCAACCCCCCCTCTCTCTTGCTTGAAAGAAAAAGGGGGTAGAACGCCGACAAACGCCGAAATTGAGCTCCACTGCCCAATCTTCCCCTATGCATGATCACTACCTTGTGTGAGAGTCCGTTCAAATCAGTACACAAGGATGGGGAAATTCCCGCTCGGCCCTCCCGGTCCATCTCCCTTTGCGAAAACCATCCGTTTGAACTCAATAGAGAAAAGGTAAAGAGCCGGCAAAACCCAGCGAAAAAGGATAGCGTCCTACCAGAAACTGCACCAGCCGATGTAATGCTGACAGAGATTCTCCAGGTTCGTCGCCTCGCTCAACAATTTCTCCACCTGGCTCTGCACATCGAGCTCCTTGTCCCTCTTGAAATCGCAACCCGTCAGCTTCTCCTTGACGCGATCGAGCACTTGCAGCGCCCGTGCGTTCTGCACCTCCTTCTGCTCAACTTCGTGTTGCTGCATCTGCGCCTGCTGCTGAAGCTGCGTCTGTTGCGGGTCGCCCGGCGCGATGAGGTGGCCGACGCCCACGGTGCCGATGCTGCTGCCGTTGGCGCTGGAGCGGTGGTAGGCGCCGGGACGTTGTTGTTGGGCGGAGGGCCGGTAGGAGCCGGTGCCCGGGTGGGCGTTGGAGTCGGCGCCCATGACGGACATGCGGCGGGCGACGGTGCCGGTGGCGGCCTCGGCGTCGGCGGCGGCGGGCCCCATGATGCTGGTGCGGCGTTCGGAGGGGAAGGAGGTCTCGGCGGGGGATTCGCGGTTGTTGAGACGCCAGGTGAGGAGCGGGTCGTGGATGAAGGCTTCGAGGACGGCCATGAGGGATTCTTTGTTCGCGCGGAGCAGGCGCATGACGTGCTCGCAGGTGGTGCGGAAGGAGCCTTCGATGTTGCTGACTTCCATTGCAAAGGTCAACATCCGGGTGAGGCGGAAGGGGACGCGTTCGGGGTATTTCTCGCGGTGCATGGCGACCTCGAAGCAATCGCCGAAATCGATGTGGATGATCTTGCCGGTGATTCGGTCAAGCATTAAATTGCTCGGGTGACGATCGCCGAGACCGAGGATGTATCCAACCATTGACATGACACCGAGACTGCGAGTGTAGTTGGTTCGGCGATCCAACCAAGCCTCGGAGGATTTACTCTTCAGCCACAGGACACGATACAGATCTTGACCGGTGGTGTTGTCGAGCGCATAGCCGAATACCTCCACTTTCTGCATCAAAGTCAAATTATCATAATCTGGCGCCATTTGCAGCATGATACGGTGTTCGATGTTCAGGAGAATCTTTCGGCTCTCGCGGTATTCCCTGATGATGACGTGCAGCGTATCAGAATTGGGCACCCAGCTCAAAAGACCGGATTGAGTAGACAGTGGAATAGCTGCATAACGCTGGATGTTGAGATGTCGTTTGAAGCATTCCGGGTCTGTCGAAAGCAGAGTGTTGACCAAGCCAAACAGCTGCATGACACGCTCGTCCTGTCGGATGTCCTCATGTCCCTTGAGGAGGTAATCGTAGCGGTTGCCATCGTCACCCTTAAGACCAAGCTTTCTGGGCCTCTGTTTCGAAGCGATGACCGAAGAGACTGGCTCGAAGCTCTGGATCTTGACCACAGGTTTGTGGCTCTGGTATGTTCCCGGGACCGCAAGCTCAAGATCTCGGGCATCCTTGAGACGCGGCGAGACATATTGCAACTCGAGGCTGACAAGCTGTGGCAGCTGGCGAGCGATTCGTTTGAACACGCCGTAGTACAAATCCCATGCTTGATTGAGGTCTCCAATCTCGCCAGTCGTCTTCCATGCTTCACACCAGTCGCGTGCCTCGTTCAGATCGCGGCCAAAAGATTGGATGAATGAGATTTCACGCAGTGTTTCTGGACCATTCCTCAACATTGCATGGAGAGGCTCGAGGGTGGCCATCATGCCCGCAATATTCTGATCGCCAAAGTATAATCTCGAAGCTTCCTCGAGTCCTTCATGCCATTGCTCGTGCCAAAGGACAGCGATTCTAATCAGCTCGTGACTGACCAAGTCTGCTTGCTCGATCAATATAGGTCCATTGCTTCGCAAGTTCTCCATGATTGCTGCTGCTGCTCTGGAGCGAGGACCGGTATCGCTCTTCTTGCTAACAGTGAGAGGGTACACCAAAGCTTGAGGATGCGTGCGTCCCACATCGATAAGAAGCGCGTGTACACCCTCCCGGACGATGCGATTGGGCTGGTTGATACGAGCAATCAGCTGTGGGATGACCTCCAACCATGTCTCTGTAGCCAATGACTTGATGCTCTCATTGATCGTCCGTGCGACTTCAGGTTGATGTCCGTGGGAGAACCACAAAGTCAGTAGGCGTAGAATATCCTGAAGTGAGCTGGTCTTTGAAAGACCGATGCTGCGGAAGAAGCCCTTGATCGCGGGAATAACGTGCTCGGTGATTATATAATCTGGCAGGCTGTTGTTTCCGGGATCGACGGAACTGGCGGCGGTCACGACCTCGAAGTTGGCGAGCGCCCAAGCGTGCCATGCCTTGTACCACGAATCATTATGTCGCGTTGCAGCCGAGTATGACACAAGCACATCTTGTACGTGATCCGCGCGCCAGTCGCCCTTGTGGAGCTTGATCTGCCAATCACCCTGCTTGAGGTAGCACCGAGCGAGCAGCATCTGCCATTCATCAGTCTTCTTCCGCTCCTCTTTAGGAACCTCACGAAGCCCTTGGGGACCAAAAGGTCCTGTACTGTGTATTCCATTCATTTGGCTTCCGTGTGTGAGCTCACTGAGTCGCGCATGTGCATCTGGAATACCGTTTTTGATAGCCTCGTGGAGAGTCCATCTCTCGTCTACTGCGACCTTGAGCCGCACGGTGAATTCTGACAGTGCGTGCAGTGCAGCGTGCTGCTGGTTGTTAGCCCACAAAAATTTGAAGACAGCATATTGCACCGTGTAGGGTGCAGTCTTGACGAGAGACCAATTTTGCGGGTCCGTCAAACTACCACTTCCATTTCCACCACCGAGCAGGCTATTCAGGCTCTTCTCCGCTAGACCGGTACGTTGCGCTTTGCGACAGATGGATGCGAACTTGATGTACATATCCACATTCTCCTGTGGTGTGATGACCAGGGCACGAACCTTGAGCATCCGCTGCCAAATGTCGACATTTCGTTGGCAGCCCTTCAGGCGTTCTGTCCATGTCTTTCGCATTCGCTCTTGTTTGGCGGGATCATTGTGGAATTGTTTGTATGCGATAATCTCCTCGAGTTCAGCCAGCATCTGAACTCGCACGATGACAGAATAAGCTCGAGCGTAACTCTCGCCAAGTAAGGCACTAAGTTCGGTGTCCAGGCCATCGCGAGCTTTAGTGATATGTGCGTGTGCATCTTCGAACTGGTTGCGATGGAGCGCAAGGATAGCACCAAAGAAGCTGCGATCAGGTGTGTTCTGCTTCATGACGCTGAGATAGTCGTCCATAGTATCCCATTGACCCATACCCCATGCGGCAGCTGCTGCGAGTGGCGCGATATTCCTCTTGTGCTCGCTCGAGGCATGGTTCCACTGGTCTTGAGCGATCATGGACAGGGTGTCCCATTCTCCCAAGGCGTGAAGACACCTCATCTTACCCATCACTACTTCGAAAGAAGCATTTTGCGGACCGCCTTCGGCTTCTTCGCGAGCTTGGTAAGCGACAAGAGCCTCTTCCCATCGTTGCAGCTTTTCGAACCACGTCTCTTTCAAATTGACATCGTTGTAGCCCTGCGCTTTCCTCAAGATACCAAAAGCAGCATCCGTCTGCTGGAGTTGATTGTTGATGGAAATTAGCGCTTCGACAGCGCTTGCATTTTGTTCTGCGGTAAACTCCAACTCCTTGTAGTGAAGAGCCTTGGCAAATGCATGGCATTTAGCCGCGTACATTCCAAGAGTCCGAACGTCAATGGGAAGAGCCTTGTCGTCGTGTTCCATGAACTCGGCAAGGTTGAGAAGTACCTGTAGAATCTCTGGGGGAATGTTAGGACTTGTTAATGCCACTTCAATGGCACGCACAAGCTCTTCTTGATATTGATCGTAGAGCTCAGTCCAGCAGCTGACGAATGCGCTGTTGAACAGGCTGCGAGCAAGAGGCGCGTGGATACTCGCAAGATTGGCACAAGCTCGGAGTGCTTGCTGTGGACTTTCCTTGAGCAGCTCAACTGAGAAGCGACGCATCCATTCTTGCCAATCATCCTTCGTCAGCTTTGAGCTCGCCTCCCAAGCATTCTTCAGATGTTGCTGGTTGACGGCAAGTTTCTTCGTGGCGATCTCGGTAGGATACTGATCATCGTCCTCGTCTCCGTAACGCTCGTCAGGGCTGAGATCCTGAGGCAATGGCTCGTGCTTCTTGAGCTTATTTACGATGAGATTGTACGCTGTCATGTTGATACGTTGGTGGACAAGAATCTTGTCGATCATGGGCACAAAGTGGAGGTAGTCCTGTCCCAACTGGAAAATAAGAGCACAAAGCGTCTCGAGCGCTGTCGCCTTCAAGAACGGATCGGTGCCTTGTAAGATGCGAGCGAGCGGATGAATAATCTTTGCAGCAAACTCTGAAATGTTTACCTGTTTGCTCATCCGACCGATAGTCCCGATGGCAGCTTTTCTTACCTCCTTGTCGCGATATCTTTCACTGGAGTCGAACATTCGAACTATCACCGGGATGATGAGGTGCATGTATTCTTCAGCACTTGAGCCGAACACGAGGAATGCATGAAGAACACGTAGCGAGACAGCCTTGCCCTCAGGAGATCGAGTGTCCGCATCAAGGACACCAAGCAGGAGTGGCAGGACGTTCGCGAGGTAGATTTTGAACTCTCCTTCGAGACTTTTGGCAATGCTTTCGATCAGGGTCAGGATGGTAATTTGGATCTGATTCCCCAGATGCCAATGATCTGACACGGCTTCAAGGATGATATGAAGGTGGGGACGGATATGCTGCCGCACAATCTTGACTAGCAAACCGAGTTGGTTGAAATAGCTCTCCAGCCTGTTGTCAGAAGTGGCATCTTTCAGCACACCCACGATCCCGGGCACGACAGTGCCAAGGAACGGTACGCATTTGATTCCCATTGTGGTGTAAATGTTCATGATGGCCTCGACGACATTCGAGTGAAATTGCTTGAGGGTATCTTCCTTGAGCATAGCCACTAATGTGTTGATGACTACCGTGGGATAGTACTCTTCGTTGCTAGGCGTAATGCCTCTCATGATGAGTGTGACATCAGATTCGGCTTCAGCTTCAGCTCGAAGATTTGTCTCGGAGGATTCTTCGATGACCTGTTGATGTTTGTACGGGTCGAGAGCGCCGAGGATACCCATGAGACGTATAGTCTCCCTTCGTAGATCACCCGGAGCTTCATTCTTGACGATATTGATTAAGATCGTGAGTAGTTCTGGGTGATCGTTGTAAGGCTCGATGACATAGCCGCTGTTAGTAGCGAGCTGTCCAAGAGTGCAGAGCGCAGCTTCACGTTTCTTGGGCGATGCCAGATCTTGCAAGCTTCGGATGATGATGCTCATCAGATCTGGGATGTACTCTTTCATGCCTTCGCCGCCAACAACAGCAAGATCTCCAAGAGCTCGAAGCGTGGTTGCAGCAACATCTGCATTAGCGTCCGCAGCTTTGGGTAGGAGGACCTTGACCATAGGGTCCACATATGGCGTAATAAGTTTGCTGCTGGCCTTGACGAGATGGCTGATCAATTGTGCTGATTCGCGCTTGTTTTGTGCACTGTTGGAGTACTCGATTTCGGTCAGCAACTGGATGAGTACTTTTCGTAATGAGGGAAAGACGTAAGCTGGGTTCACTGCGGTCAACCTGCCAATGATGGTGATAGCAGCCTCCCGGATGGGGAAGTTCTCGTCGTTCAGTGCCAAAAACAGCGTCCGAACGTGCTCGGCTTTTGCCAGGTATCGGTCAAAACGAGCATCCAAGGAAACCAGGACGGTCAGTCTGATGTCCTTTTGAGGGTCAGCCACACCCACTGTAAGCAACTTTTCAATCACATCCGACACGACCTGAATGGCGTGGTGATCTGATTGGTGGACAATCGTGTCTTTGACGAACAGTTGACAGCAAGTCAGTGCTGCTGCCCTACGGATCTCCGCGTCGTCATCTTCGATATATCGGATTGCTACATCGCGAAGGAAATCATTAAGTAAATGACCGCGGAAATCAAAAGAGCCCAGCGTGTGAAGCGCTAACGCAATCTCCGTATCTTTGTGCTCAAGATTTTGTGGATCGCGTCGATCTCTCCATTCTTTGTTGTATATTGGCGGAAGCCCCTTTCCTGAAGATGGATGTCCTAGTGTTTGAAAGGGTTGGCCGCACAAGGTCTTGCTCAGCAAATCGAGAAGCTTATCTTGAATGGTCGCTTTGACGGGTGGAATATAGTATGCCATGTCGACCAAAGCTTGTGTCAGGGCATCAGAAAGCCCACAAGCGAAGATAGGATCCAGCAGGGCTCCCATGTATTTGCTGAGTGTTTGGCCAACTGCGATGGTAATCATGCTGATACATTCGAAGATAGGCGCCTCGTCAGACTGTTTCGATCGGTTCTTTACGGAAAGAGCATCCCGAATATGTAACAGGATAGTGTCCAGGTAAGGTGCAACTTGGGAACCCACCGCATGCGCGATCTTTCCGATGGCAACAAAAGCCATGTTTCTTTGCTTCGGATCCTTGAGAAGTGTTTGGAGGTGCTGCATGGATCGGGCAAGGTAATGGTGACAGAACTCGCGTGGCGCATATGCTGCCAGTAGCGGTATAATATCGACAACAGTCCTCCTTATTGTAGGATCTCTATGCTCTCGGTATTGTTGAACAAGCACTCGTTCGCAGACTTCCTTGTACTTGGAACCATGCATGAAGATGCCACCCTGCACAAGAAGCTCTTTGTAGGCAAGGAATGATCCATGAATGCATTCCACTGTATTGCGCTTGAAACCATCCTGGGCGCCTTCGAGCATTCGGGATAAGCATGTGGAACGATGCTGAGGATCACGTGCGGAAAGTATTTGAAAGGAATGGAAGACCACCTCTGCAGCAGTCTCACGAATAACGACCTTCTGGTCCCTCAGTCCCTCCCATATGCTTGCGAGAACGCTGGCGATGTATGTGTAAAGTAACGTCGGACTGTTTCGTGCCAACTCTTTCAATACGAGAACTGCCGCAAATCTCCGATTCTCGTTTCGCTCCGATGTCAACCACTCCAGAGCGCGCTTGAGTTCGGCATCTACAAGCTCGGCTGTCCATGCACCTCCCGGGACAGCCATTTTGCCTAGACATTTGGCAGCAACGACCATTGTGCTCGTATCATTGCCCTCCAACGTCCGCCGGATATAACCACAAAATCGGGTGACCTTCTGACCTGCTTCGTCTCCTTTGAAATCGATCAATGCGCTCATCGCGTAGAATCCTCCCGTCCTTTGGTGAGTGTCGACACCGTTGAGAATCAACTTCACCATGCTGTTATTGACATCTGCATAAAACGTGTTGAACTCAGCAGGGTGAAGCTCGCGGAAGGCGGCTTGAACCTGGCTGAGCAGGCGACCTGCGGCATTGCGTCGGAAGGAATCATTGTTGGATTTGAGGTCGGTGAAGATAGCCTCCATCACTTCCTGGAATGCGGACGCCATGTTGACCAGCTATCTCCTGAGTACACAGAAGTTTGCTTCGGACCTTCAAGTGAGATTGCCCATAATCTTGCTCCGTCGCGACAGTTCGCGCGCCGCGGGTGAATCGCGATTGGTCGCAGGAACTCGATTGAATATGATAAACCTTGGTATGTCGAGCCGAGGTGGATACTGTGTCGTTCGTGGGCAAGCAAAACGCCACAGTGTCGTGTGCGGTAAGTCGTAGTAGTATATTGATGATGCAGGGCCGCCGAAGCTTGATTGCTTGGGGACGTCCAGGTGATCAATTGACGCGGGACTTGAATTGATCGCCCTCTCGGTATGCCGGGCGGACCGACCAACACGAGGGGCTCGCGCATTGCGGCTCTCCATACTGATCAGATAACGTTCCGAACCGTCGGAGCAGTGTCTATCTGACCCTAAGATCATTGCCAGCCATGGAGTGCCTACCTAAGTAGCTGTACATGATTCCTGAGAACCATGATCCTTGATGTTCAAGCACACGTAACGTGCAATACGCAGTGGCTCTAGTCATTGTCCCTCAAGACTATATCCATTGGACAGCGACCTTCAGATCATCGGCTCTGCGACTCTCTCGGAATTATGGGCTGAGTGCTAGCAGCAACAAGAGCGCACCGGCTCTTGCTAAATTCATCACTTTCCACACGGTTTGTGACTCCACTTTGGATGATCGAAAGCTTGATCAACGGACTTTGCAACATACCGCTTCTCAAACAGACAATATGGCTGGCGACGAGGATTCCAGCCTGTTCCCGAACATGGCCCAAAAGCTCGCCGCGCCGAAAAAGATGTCGGAGATGGAGCGGAACAAACGCGCCGCCGAGGAGAAGCAGAAGAAAGAGGAGGCTTTACAGGCTGAGACCCTACGAGAGTTCGAAGAGGCTTTTGGCGTTGCTCCTCCATCTCGGCAATCGGAATTCCAGTCGCGATATCCACCATCCGGCCCGGGACATGGTGGCTCAGGGTTTCGTCGAGGACCGCCTGGCGCATCTTTTTACGATGAACCTCCACCAGGCCCTCGCCGGAGTGGTCCAGGAAGTCTCGAAGGGCTCGCCGCGCCTCCGATATCGATACAAGAGCGCAAGCGGCGACGAGCGATGGAGGAGGATGAAGCTGCACGCGCCCGGGAATCCGATGGTTATGCCACAGGTTCAAAAGCTGGGCACGATACGCCGAATCGGCGAAAAGAAAGGGATACCGTGACGGCGCCCAAGAACAGTGTTCGCTTGTCCAATTTGCCTCCATCTATCACAGAACGTCAAATCAAGAATTTGCTCCGAGGACACCTTCAAGTTTTCTCAATCGATATCACGGAGCAGCCCAATGTGCATGGTGTCGGCCGTAGATCCATGACTGCTGTAGTCGTTCTCGAGACAGGTACTACAACCACGGCAATCGAGAAAGCTACTAGTGTTCTGAAAGATAAATACCTCGGCTGTGGCTACTCGCTCATCATTTCTCGCTATCTTCCGTCAGACGTGCTACATCAGGGCATGCCTGACGACAGTTTTGTTCCCGTAGACACGCCATTCGGAGCCCGGCCCATGAAGCAGAACTTTTCAAATTCAACAATGGGTAATCTCAGCCGTGCGCCGCCACCCTCTGATTTCGCGCCTCCAGGTTCTTACGAGGCAGGAATTCCGCCGGGGAACGTCTTCCATGCACCAGCTGAAGCGGTCGTGCAAGTTCGTGTTCCCAAGGACCTGCAAGTGACACAGCTCATACATCTGATGGCAAGTTGGTATCATTCTCAAGAAGACATGAACCTCGCACTGGAAAAGGAAAGCCAGCTGATGGCTGCCCCGCAAGTCCAGAACAACCCTCTTTTCTCATTTCTATACGACTGTACCGGCGACGCTGGTGTTTACTTTCGTTGGCTCTTGTGGAATCCGCAAGGTCTCGGCGCTCTTAGCGGTCACAAACGCGTCAACTCCACACCAGTCCGGATTCACGACGATGTCCCCATTGACTGGATTCCTCCCACACTTCACATGCCCTTTTCTGACGTGACCGAGATTTCCGAGATTTTGGAGCATCTCGATTTCGATTCTGATGACGAATGCGACGATGACATGCCTGGCTATCGCGAAGAGGATCCTATCCCTGGAGACGAAGATATGCTTGGTCCTCTGCGGCGTGCGCGACTTTCACGAATGCTGGCATGTTTGCCACCCTCCCGGGCCTTTCTCGAGCGGCGTCATGTGGCACCGATTCAAAATTTTGTCATGAAGCACGCCGGACGTGGTGCCCTGGAAATCGTCGATATTATCCAGATGAACATCAACCGGCCGTTCAACGCGTCTGGCTTTACTATCGCTGTTCCACCACCTGGGGACTCCGACGAAGACGATGACGAATTCATGCACCAAGACTTGCCAACCAATGGTGATGAGAGCTCTCACCAAGACTCTTCCACGACCATAACTGCTCAGACATACAACCCCGCCACCCGCACGCCAGCTCCACCCGATATTCTCACGGACGCCAAATTAGTTAGTCTCGACATTGTCACTGCCGTCTGCGTCGCCTCCTACCAGTCCGCGACACCTGGCTCCCACCGTTACCGGAAGCTTTTCCCAGAAGCCTTCCTCGAAGCAGGAGTAATAGTGGGCCTCGCCGAGACTCCGACGGAATACGGCTGGGGCATGATCAAAACGGATCGTTGGGAGCGTAGGATACGCGCAGTATTCAAGGTCTGGGAGGAGTGTAACTGCTTCACAATGGATGAGATTCAGTCTTTCAGGAGGATTTTCGATGGGGTGATCGCGGGAAGACATAAGAAGGCGGCAGAGGAGAAGAATGAAAGTGGCGATCAAGCCGCCCTGGCAAAGCCGATCTTCAAAAGCGTCGAGGATGTTATGGCGGAGCGGGAAGCCGCAGAACTTGGCGCGACTGGTGAAGTAGATGACCTGAATTCCGAGGATTCCGAGGATGACGATCATGATCGCGAGATCGACGGTGTGCCGATCGATCTCACAAGACTTAGAATTGCGAAGGCCGTAGACGGAGCTCTAACGTGGCAGTTGTTCGATTCAAGCGACGAAAAACTCGAGGCGATCTATCGACCTATCTTCGAAGAGCAACGTACGGCAGTGCACGAAGCAGATGAGGTACTCGTGGATGCTCCGGCTACCGATGACACAGCAGCAGTAGTGCCTCCGCAGCCCAAGGTCGCGGAGGCAAAAAAGGTCACGGAGGCGGTCTCATCGCCAGCACCGAAAGAAAAGAAAGACATCGACATGTTCGCTGACGATGACAGCGAGTGAGGATATAAAGCAGGCGACTCTCGCATGTGTAGAAACTGCGCACTTGGACGAATTCGGTCAAGGGCTGCTTTACACAGCCCTACGGCGGAGCCACGGCCTAAACTTGAGTACATGAGGCGCACGCCGACTCATCCTCCGCCCCCGGGGCCGTGATGTAGTCTAGCTTCGCCTACAGCACCAGATTCCTGGACGACCAACGATGGCTTTCTGTAAAAACAAATGCGGTTTAAACTTCTGAAATGTCGATTTGCGCTGTTTTGCACTTCGACGAAAACTTGGCCCGCAGGCAGCAGTGGACATAATCACATCAGACCCACTTCACACATATCACTAGGATCACCATGGACCGATTGCCAGCGGAGTTGATTCTGAAAATTGCCCAGTTCCTCGTCGACTCTCATTTGCCAAGTCTTCGCAATTTCAGTTCGGTTAATTCCACGATTCGTCAGCCGATCACATCAATTCTGTTCCGAGAAGTCAGCATCAGATGCACGAATTCCAATGATCTTGTATCTGATATCGCCGAGTTGTGCGATATACTCATCAAATATGACTGTGCGCTCAGCGTCAAGGCTCTCATCATGGTAGACTTTGATCGGCAGTTCACGAAGCCATCTTTATACCATTGGCGCGGGTCTGACCCATACTGTGGATCTATGGCGCGCGGAGAATACAACTATAAACGGCCACGACGTTGTGATCTGGCGGCTCCCTTATTACCACCTCTTGCCGAGAAGTGCCACTGGAGATCTCTGCCGGAGTTTCTGGAGCGAATACCAAAACTTCAGGATCTCATTTTCGACGTTCATACCCAGTTTCCCACGGACGCGCTGGAGGTGCTGCATCGAACTAATCCCAGATGCCGCCTGCACATGCCGCAGTTTAGACTTCGCAGTCTCGAGCAATCTGCGCCGAATCCACGTGAGCTGGCCCTCATAAGCTCGCCTTGCGTTTATAGCATAATACTCCGACTCAGAGCTGGAGTTCCAGAGCGTTACGATTTTAACTGGGACGCTGTTTTCAACATGATCAATGGGGCGGCGCCCAACTTACGGCACGTTCGCATAATAGACCACGAGTATCGGGATCATCTTTGGGATGAAACTGGCGAATATTGGTTTTCGCCTTGGATGCCAAAACTGCCGTCGCAACGAAAAATCTTCTGTCCTACTTCCAATAACCAAGAGAAGCCCGCCAACATTTTGTCCTTTGGTTACGACGGTCCGCCAACTCATCTCCTTCCAATATTCTTGACCGATCTGAATCCAGAACGTCTTCAAGCTTTAGAAATCTGGTCGAGGGCCCCTGATAGCGCGCGTGAATTGCTCCAATTGAGCACCGATTTCCAGTTTCCTTTCCTGGAACGTCTCTCATGGGACGGGGTTTTACACCAAGGGAGTATGGAACAATTCATCAGCGGGTTGGTCAATCTTCAACATCTGCATATATCGTCTCATGTCCAGTCATTAGAACGAATTCCACCAGTCTTTAAAGCATCTTGCGCGATATTGTGCGATCTGGACCTGAGCGAAAATTGCCTCGATGCGACCAGCGTCCAACGGTTGGCCAGCTTTATTCCTTCTTTACAGTCCATTCGTTTCAATATGGAACGCGCATTATCCCTGCCACCCGAAACAGACGTCTACACCGCTCTCAAGGATTTCCCGGCCCTCCGGTCCGTCGCTCTAATCATGACTTATCGTCGGAAGCCTCATCGGGAACCTTATATTCCGCCTATGGAATTGTGGGACCGCGCCCGGGGCCTGGATCAAAGGCTCACCTCACGGGGCATTCAGGGGGCGCGAGACTTGTGCAACATGGCTGTCGATGCTGATCTCGTGCGACAAATCTGGCTAGAGATCATGGGCCATCGAACGATGAGCGAGTCGCCGCTGACAGTCCGGGTCTTGCACGACTACGATCATGGCCGTACCGGTCGGGATCATCCTCATCGATTGGTCTGTCCCGAGTGGCTCGCACGCAGCAACCCCGGCGACGCCAACAGGATGCCCGAGGTCATTGATGTGGATCATCGACGATCAATACCACAAGATCCACCAGAGAAAATATGGGGCTTGATGTACATCTTTCGGATTCTCTGGCCTCCAAAGGAAGGCAGCAAGGATCCCTGGTACGATATGTCGTCGTTGCCGCTTCGATTCAGGCGGGATTTAGATGTGTCTCAGTTACCCTGTTGGTGCAGTATACGGGGACGCCCTTGTCAGGATCAGTGTTGGAAAAATTGGTCGTCCACCTAGATAATTGAATCGTTACACCGGGCAATTTCTGTCTCGCAAGCAAAACTGCTATCCACACTGAGCGTGTCCACTCTGCTACCCACATGTAGTTCGTAGGTAGGGCCACTGCTGAGCGGTGTTGCCCACATTGAGACATTTTTCCTTTCTCGGGTCCATCAATTCTCGCAGTGTTGCGTGAACAAGGGCACCGACAAGAAAGGCTAACCACAGCAACGGGCATTGTGCGCAAGGCGCCTAAATCGACGGCATTCTCCAAGCGAGGGTCTCTCCGGGGGCATACCAGCTCTCGAGCCGCTGAAGAAGAGTCGGAAGCGCAAGAACAGGACCACTACACAGAAGGGTATCATCAATACAGAACTTACATAATCATCAAACAACGCTCTATTACTCACAAAACAAGGTCAACCCCCGAAAAAACCAAACCCATTCCAACCTACTTCTAAAATCATCCCTCATCCTGATCCATGCCATCCCTCCTTGAACCGCCCTTCTTCCCCCTCCCACCCCCAATCCCACCACCACCAGCGCCTTTCCGTCCACCACCATTCTGCCGATCATTCTCGTTCTTCAACTCCGTAATCGCCACCCTCTGCGCCTCGTTCACACGGGGTCCAAACACCATGACCTCATCGCGTTCCGTGGGGTATTCCTCCAGTTTCTTACCCAGGGCATGTTCGATGCGCTGGAAGACCTCGATGTCATACTGTGTGACGATGTTGATCGCGAAACCTGATTTCCCCGCACGAGCAGTTCGCCCTACGCGGTGGACGTAGGTCTTGCTGTCGGATGGCAGGTCGAAGTTGAGGACCAGGTCGACGGAGGGAATATCTAGACCTCGCGCGGCGATGTCCGTGCTTACCAGGATGTCTTTGCCGCCGGCTTTGAATTTGTTGAGCACCCCGAGACGCGCTGATTGGGAGAGTTTGCCGTGAAGCGGGATGGCGCTGAGGCCCAGGGCGCGCAGGAGGTAGGCTATTCGCGCGGCCTCGTGGATGGTGCGGGTGAAGACGATGCACATGCGGCCGGCGAATTTGTTGAGCAGGTAGACGAGGTAAATGTCTTTGAACTTCTGCGGGATGAAGACGTAGCGCTGCATGAGGTTTTTCACTGTTTGGTAGTTGCTGTCGCTGACGCTGACGCGCACGGGTTGTTGTAGCGCGGCCCGCGTGAGGTTGTTGAGCTTGGTGTTCATCGTGGCGCTGAAGAGCATGGTGCGGCGCTCGCGGGGCAGGACTTGGAGGATTTTGTCGAGGATGGGGCCGAAGTCGAGATCGAGGAGTCGGTCGGCTTCGTCGAGGACAAGGTATTTCAAATGACGGAGAGAGAAGCCTTTGGTGTTCTCGAGGTGGTCGAGTAAACGACCTGGTGTGGCGACAACAATGTGAGGTTTCTTTGCGAGAGAGATCGCTTGTGGGACCATATCCATGCCACCGACGATGACGGAGCAGCGCACGTTAATTAAACTCCCTAGTGCTTCAAATTGCTGTGAGATCTGATATGCAAGTTCGCGGGTCGGTGCCAGGACGAGTCCGAACATGGGCTGAGGTTTGTCTAGAAGTGCTTGCAGAATCGGCAGGGCGAATGCAGCTGTCTTTCCACTTCCCGTCTCCGCTAGACCTATGATATCTTTGCCCTCAAGTGCGATTGGTATTGACTCTCGTTGAATTGGTGTTGGCATCTTGAACCCGAGCGAGGTGCAAGCGTCGCATAATGACTCCGTTACCCCTAGATCCGCAAAAGTCTTCTCCGGGCCTGTCGTCCCATTGCCGGTTTGTGCCTCATCGTTGTCGTCCTCCTCCCTCTCCGCCTCTTTCGCACCTGCTTCTTCGGCCTCGAACGAAGGTTCGATCGCAGTCACAAATTCCTCGTCCTCGTCGTCCTCCTCCTCTTCTTCGCTATCTTCAGAGGCGATTTCCACTTGAGCGTGTGCCCGTTTCTTGTTCGTCGGTGTTGCGACTTTGCCTGTCTTGGGTCGAGAGGATTTTGTCGACGGCGCTAGCACAGCTTCTTTTGTCGAGCCGTGTTCGGTCTTGCGTTTCTTGAAAGCCGACATCGCGTAGTATGGATTGAGGTTGTAACCACTCGACCGATACTGAAAATCTTGGTCCAAGATGCAACAAGATAAGATCAACGTAGAATTTCCTGGGTCGCGATTACTTCATAGCCTCTTCTGAACCGAAATCTTGGCAGGGCCTGTAACTAAAGATCGGACCCCCGAGAGATCAATGATGAAGAATCGTATCGCGCCCGTGTTTTCACAAGGGAATGAAGATCGTGAGAGTGTCTAGTTGAGTTTAGTACTCTAGATAGAGACGAATGTATATAGAATGTCCAGCTGCGAAGTCAAGTGACGGGGATATGCGCATCAGGAGCGCCGTCGCAAATCCTTATCGATTCCGGTGACGAAAAAAAAGCGTCCCCGAAGAAATTCTGGAGAAAGCTTGGGCCCTGCCTGGTCATGGGGAATTTTCAACAGGCGGACATTGATCTTCTACGATGATTCCCGACTATTGTTGCATTCCACCACATACTCAATCATGGCCAAGAGAAGAGTCAAGAAGCGTACGCATGTCGGCGCCGCCAATGGCACAGGCAAACCTGCGCCCAAATCCGGGACGCGCCCGCCGAAGAGTATGGTTATTCGAGTGGGCGCCAGCGAGGTCGGTCAGAGTGTATCGCAACTGGTGCGCGATGTCCGAACGATGATGGAGCCCGATACGGCGTCACGATTGAAGGAGAGGAGGAGTAACAAGTTGCGCGACTACACCACCATGGCAGGACCGTTGGGAGTGACACATCTGATGCTCTTCAGCCGGAGCAATACTGGCAACACCAATATGCGCCTGGCGTTGACGCCGCGAGGACCGACGTTTCATTTCCGGGTCGAGCAATACAGTTTATGTAAGGACATCCGACAAAACATGAAGAGGCCGAAGAGTGGTGGCAGTGAGCATTTGACCGCGCCGTTGCTGGTCATGAACAACTTCAACTCTCCCGCCGTAGATGAAGCGAGCGGCGAGAAACAAGGTCCTCGTGTACCGAAACACCTCGAATCCCTCGCGACCAGCGTCTTCCAATCACTTTTTCCGCCCATCAATCCCACCGCCACGCCCTTGAAAGGAATCAAGCGTGTCCTCCTCGCCGACCGTCTCCGCGACACAGACTCCCCTTCCGACGCAGCCACGTACGTTCTCAACCTCCGACATTACGCGATCGAAACCCGCACCGCCAAATCGGTCCCCAAAGCTCTCCGCCGTCTCGATGCCGCTGAGAAACTCACCCACGCGGGCCAAAAGCGCAAACGTGGCGGTCTGCCCAACCTCGGCGGCCTCAAAGACGTCTCAGACTATCTCCTTGATCCCCACGCCGCAGATGGCTTCACATCCGGATCCGACTCGGAACCGGACACCGATGCCGAAGTCGAGATCGCCGCGGCCGTGGCGCGCAAGGTCTCGAAACGCAAGCCCGCCAAAGAAGGCGCGGAGAAACGCGATGCGAAAGCCAACGTGCAGAGAAAAGCGATCAAACTCCACGAACTCGGGCCTCGACTGAAATTACGATTGACCAAAGTCGAGGAGGGCGTCTGTTCGGGCAAAGTCATGTGGCATGAATATATCCATAAGAGTAAGGAGGAGATCCGCGAGATGGAGAAATATCATGAGCAGAGGAGGAGGGAGAAGGAAGCTAGGAAAGCGGAACAGAAGGCTAATGTTGAGAGGAAAAAGGCGGAGAGGAGAGCGAGAGGAGAGACGGTCGAGGACGATGAAGACGAGGAGGAGGAATTTGATGAGGATGATGATGAGTGGGATGATGAGGACGGCCTTGAGGCGGACGACGGCGGACAGGATGAGGATATGGAAGATCGGGATGACAACGACGAAGCACCTGAGTGATTGAGTCGTTGCGAACAGTCCGAAGCACGCTGGATCATTGCTTTCATATTAGAGTGACGGCGATACCTGTCACGATACAATTCACCGCCACGAAGAATCATGTTTGTACGATGATGAGAAGAGAAACGTCCACTCCAAGGTCAGTTCATACCTGTTTCGAATCAACTTTGTAAATCGACATCGTCTGACTTGTCGTGTCGATAGTCATAATGCCAATCGCTCCTCGCCAGGTCCGCACGCACCCCATAGTTCTCCTCGGCGTCTTCGATGATCTGCATATCCACGTCCACTATCGCCATGCCCTCCGCGGAACTACCCAGACGAGTCAGTGGTCCTGCGAATGGCACGCAGATCTGTGAGAGACCAGCATAGCCTTCGCCTGGCGGACCTCCGGCGTTGGCGAAGACGATGGCTGTGAGATTTCCTAGTCAGCATTGAAGCACAATCAGGGATTTTCACCAACAAACAAAAGCTATCCACCCTCTAGAGAAAAGAAAAACTCACCACAAGTGTTTTCAAAAGCCCGCGCCGTGAGGATACTGTCCAGAAACAGCGTCTCAGCACTGGGATTGATCTTGCCTCCTTTCTCCCCGCTGTCCTTCAGAGTCCAAAACGTCGGAATCACAATGATCTTCGCCCCTTGCGCAATCATCTCCCGGAACGCCTCCGGGAACGCCAAGTCCCAACAGATCAGCAACCCGACGCGACCCAACGGCGTCTCGAATACGGGATGTGCATCGCTCGCGCTACTCGTGAGATGTAGCCTTTCCACCGGACCCCAGAGGTTCTTCTTCACGTACTTCCCGACGACGGCGCCCTTGTCGTCGATGAAATACGCGACGTTGAGGAGCCGCTCGCGTGGAGTGTGCTCATCGTGTAATTCGAGGAGTGTCCCGGGGACGATGTTGATCCGACACTCTCGGGCGAGAATCCGGTATCTTTCAAGATACGTCGCCCAGTCGGAGCAGAGGGATCTGAAACTGGCTTCGTGCGGCACCCAGCCTAGTAGGTGATATTCGGGGAGGACGGCGAGGTGGGCGCCTTGTGAGGCGGCGGAGCGGATGTAGGAGCTGGCGGTTTGGAAGTTTTCGGTGGCGGAGAGCGGCTATGGAGGAGAAGGCTTGGTCTCAGTATATGGTGGAATTTTGTCTTCTTATGTTTGGTTCTTTTCTTTCTGTTTCCTCTTCTTCTTGATCATGGCTTAGTGAGGATGTTGGTGAGATTGACCTTGGGCCACATCTGGATGACGGCGATCTTATAGACCGGCGCCATGGTGGAGAGAGTCTATTCTGGCGGAGACTGTAATCTGCGGTGCGATTTCCGTCGTTCAGTGACGATTGAGGGTTTCTCAGCGTGTATCGTGATATTCACATTCGAGTGTATCATAAAGATTGTTCATACACGTGAAGTACATATATCATAATACTGTAATAGGGAAATACTGCTTCGAGGATTAAATGGCGGCTCTTCTCCCCTCACGTGCCCCTCACTGAATAGTTATCGTTAGGGTATCACCAACGCCAAGATTTCCGCCCTCCCCACCACTGCACGCTAGTATGCTGGATAAATTTCCCTCCACATATACATCGAGAATCCGCGACATCCCTGCGGCTGCGACGACGAAGACGACGAAGACGACGACGACGACTGGCTCTCGATAGCAATCCACTACCAAAGAGTCCTGCCCGGCGGAAGCAGCGACTTGCCTATCAAATCAACCGCTGCATCTTCCCGAAACACTCGCATAGACACATTGCCCACCATGAGTGTCCGACAAGCCCCGGCATACCAGCCAGCCGCATCCGCGCAACATCGCGACGACGACTCCGACGAAGAGGCGCTCGCCAACGACTATCGCGAACAGGTCGGCTACCAGGAGGGTCACCAGGAGGATTTCGACTCGGCGGGAGGTGCGCAACAGGACCTGCACGCACAGCTGCAACAGGCGGCGACACCTCTGGAATATGGCGCGACACTCGAGACCAAGATGCAGAGCTACGACAGCTACTGCAATCTTTTCCACTTCATATTGAACAGCGACGGACCGGTAGACATCGAAGTGCCATCGGTAAGCTTATCCGGGACGAAGGGTTGGTTGGAGAGTGCTTGGGCTGATCGCGAGGTTTAATCTAGTATTTCTGGGCGTGGGATGTCATTGACGAGTTCATCTACCAATTCAACTCATTCTGCTCATACCGACAAAAGGCCGCTCTGAACCAGGGATCATCAAACGCAATCGATGAGGAGGAGTTAGCAGTCCTCCGCGAAAACCCTGGAACATGGGGCTGCTATTCAGTTCTTAACGTTCTCTATTCATTAATACAGCGGTCACAGATCAGCGAACAACTCGCGGCTAAGAAGCGCGGAGAGGACGCTGCTGCCTACGCTGGTGAGTATGGCAATCGCAGTCTGTACCAGATGCTGGGATACTTTTCCATCATCGGTCTGCTCCGCGTGCACTGTTTGTTGGGCGACTTCAGTCTCGCGTTGAAGACGCTCGATGACATCGAACTCAACAAGAAGGCCATGTTCGCCCGTGTCATGGCCGCCAACTTCACCACCTACTACTACATCGGTTTCTCATACATGATGATGCACCGGTACGCCGATGCTCTGCGCGCCTTCAACCACATCCTCATCTATGTCTCGCGCACCAAGAACTTCCAAAAGGGAGCCCAGTACGATAGCATCACCAAGAAGAACGACCAGATGTACGCGCTCGTCGCCATCTGCGTCGCCTTCTACCCGACCCGGCTCGACGACACCATCCACACCGCGCTGAAGGAGAAATACGGCGAGCAGCTCACGCGGATTCAACGCGGCGGCCCCGAAGCCCTGCCGATCTTCGAGGAACTCTTCCGTGCCGCCTGCCCCAAATTCATCTCCCCGACCCCTCCGGACTTCGAAAACCCGCACCTCAACCCGGACCCCATCGAGCACCAGCTCAACATCTTCATGAACGAGGTCAAGAACAACATGTTCACCCCGACCCTGCGCAGCTACCTCAAGCTCTACACCACAATGGACCTGACCAAACTGGCCGGCTTCCTCGAGGTCGACTCCGACACCCTCCGCGGATGGCTGCTCGTCAACAAGCAGCGCAGTCGCCAGGTGCGTCATAGCGAGAACGGTCTCCTCGAGGGCGAGGTCGTCAATTCGAGTGATTTGGACTATGCGATGGAGGGCGACTTGATTCACGTTTCCGAGGCCAAGGTCGGCCGGAGATTGGTCGACTGGTATTTGAGGAATTTGGCACGGACATATTAGAAAGGGCGTGAAATTTTCGTTGTTGGGTTGGGCGATTGGCTGGGCGTGGTCCATGTGCTAGGCAGATGGGGATGAACAGTTACGAAGGTCATGAGGAGATGTCCATGGTTGTTGGCATTGCGGTTTATTTTCTTCATACGATTGAGGAAATGAATACACATGACGAGATTAATCGCTGTGCCCTTGTTGAGCAAAGCAATCATTGTTCCCTTGTCCTCGCCCTTCCCCCGAGGAATCCGAAAAGATATGAAAATGAAATAAAACACTTCTTCCAAAAAGAAAGTCCCAAACCCGCTCGAAAGGAGAACAGAAACCCACTTCCTCTACCACGCATCCTCCCCGCCCCCTTCATCCCCACCTCCATCATCTCCATCTCCATCCTCCCCATCGTCGAAGTACTTCTCCGCGTTGTAATCATTCCCTAGATCATCGTCGTCCTCGGAGAAATCGTCATCCTGCGGTTCCTCGACGTCGTCCTCGCCGTTGTTCTCGTCGTCCTTGGGCACATCGTCGTTGTCATCGTTGTCGTCATCGTTCTGGGCTCCGTTCTCGTCGAACTGCGCCAGTTTGTCGATGCGCTTCTTCTTCAACCAGTCGAGGTTGCGTTTCGGTGGCTGCTGCGGGTCCAGCGGGTCGCCGGTGGATGTGGTGGTGGTTATCACGTCGTGCAGTTCGGGGGGGAAGAAACCTGGGACTGTTTTGCGGGGTTGATAAATTTGTGTGTCAGTGGGATGGTGCAAATGGGACTTCAGGTTCAGGATTCCTTGCTTTAGTCCTTCCTTTCTCCTTTCTCGAGTGGGGCTCTTTTCGGAAAACAAAAACGGGCAATAAGAAGGCATGGTCCATACAAAAGCACTCGGTTTCTCGCCGAGGCGGTACGTACCTATTGGCAATTTCTTCAAATTCGGTAATCCGCGGGTTCGTTTTGCTCGTTTGTTGATAAAGGATGCTTGGTCCTCGAACGCGTTAAAGCTGGAGAGGTCGCGTTTTCCGCTCTTCGGCGCATCGATGAAGAAGGGCCCGTTGCGCATGGCGGTGCGGTGCTCGCGGCGTTTTTGGATCAGCCGGCGTTCGGAGGCGGTTGCGGACGGTTGGGGGTAGATTTTCATGTTCTTTCAGGGTGAATGTTATGTTAGAATCGGATCGAAGAGAAATGAAAGTTCTTCCAAAGAGTTGATCTGAACAGATCCCTGCAGGACAAGGATCTCTATGCTGGACTGCTCCCCTTCACCATCTAGAACAGTTTTCCCTGTCTCTGCCTCTATACATTTCGGATAGAACAACGAAAAGGCGCTCAAACTCACCGGAAACAACTGCTTCGTCCACTCATCGGCCTCATCCTGCCCTTCCTTCTCCCGATAGGCGTTGATTTCGGATTCCAGGGCCATGTCGACTTCGAAGGGCAACATTTGCCCGCCCATGGAGCCGGCGCCCCCGCCACCGCCGAAGCGGCCTCCGCGACCGCCTCGTGACATCTTGAAGGGATGATTTCCTCTTATAGACTTTCGGTGTGCGCGAAGTTCGTAGGTAAAGAGAGGGAAACAGTTGGAGGCCTTCGCGGCGTTGTATTTTGGACTCTTCGGAGGAAATCTTTTTCAAGGTGTTGTGTTCGTGGATCCTGGGATTGTTGTTTGGGATTTTCTTGTGGGTCTTCGTCTGAAGCCCAGAATGGCGACACTTCTGTGGTAGACAACGTGATTTGTGAATGGAGAATCGACTTCTAGAAAATAAAAGAATCCAATGCCGAAATATGTGATGACTTACTACCTGCACAAGCCCTGAAGTGTGGTCGACATTTGCAGGTCGAAATCCTCCCGGAGTGGACTAGCGTGTAAATTCAACTTATCGAATTCAGAAATCAGATATACAAAATGCTTCTCTGAGGAAAGAACTGTCGAGTGGAAAGGGTATCTTGAGCGAATCTAAAGATCTATGCTATGGTACAAAAATCATGCAATGAAGAAATGAACAATGTAGAAGTACAAAAAATCGAACGTCAAATCAGTCCGAAAAAATTGGTGAAAAAGTGAAGAGTGAATCCCGGTCTCTTGTCCCTCCCTTTTGCTGTACTCCATGCGCGCAGAAAGAATGCAATGAGGTGAAAATTGGTAGAAATGATGGTTTGCGCCGCCCGAAATACCACTTGAAGGAGAATGGCCGCGCACAACGTCAACCAATCTCGAAAGGCGAGGTTCATCGCATGCGTCGGCCTCGGAGACCGTCCAATCACGGCCGTCCATGTACTACTCGCCTGGAGGAGGGTCCGATGGATCGGTCTTCCCTCACCTCGTTGCTGTCGCCAATCGGCCCTCTGTTTCTAAACGTTCTAGACTTGTAATCGCTTTCCAACATCCTGATGACGTGCCCCATGAATTTCTTGCGGAGACGCTCTTCTTCGGAGTCTCTCTTGTCGGTGGAGAGGACGCGGAGGAGGGATTGGTGGAGGACGCGGTCGAGAGCGTTGCGCATGTTGATGACGGATTTGTTGGCAAGACCTGGTCCCAGCCTACTTGTCATCGCGAAGGGCAGCCAGTCATCCATTTCGATTTTCCCAAAATCGTTCATGCCGAGTTTGCCACCGAAGAGCAGAACCATCAGCGGGCTGACGAGCGTGCTTTCCCGCATTTGCATCTGGCCGCCGGACTCGAAAAGTTGGCCGAAGGCGAAGAGGTCACCCGGAGAGGTCTCGGTGTCGACGTTGGCGGATTGCATGGGTATGATGACGGTCTCTTCGTGTGCGGTGCGGTGGACACGGCCGAAGCTCTTGACGGCGAGATTGGGGTAGGAGCCAGCGAGAACGAGAGATTTGATCAATTCCAAGTTGGTCGAGTTGGCGTTGAGCGCTTCGCCTCCATACAGACCTGGTCCGCGTCGCTCGGGGATAAGCTTGATCTCTTGTAGAATCGCGTCGATCTGTGTTGCGGTCTTTCTGACTTCTCTGTAGACGCCCATGTGCAGGTTCTCACGCATCGCGAACTCGAACACGGAATTGTGGCCGAGTCCCCGAGCTTCGAGCAATCTCAACTTGTCTAGGCCACGCAAGAGGGCAATATGGTCGCTGGAATCTCCCTTGTAGATCTTGTGGCCAGCCAACACCTCCTTCTTGGATGTGCCTGGGGGGAAGGTGAACAAGGACCTTCCGGGTTCTAGAGATCCAAGAAGCAGCATCGGATCCAAGCAACGGAAGATGATTCCAAGAAGGATCATCTTGCCGAGACTGGGATGCACGGGCATCTTCGCCAAGACCTGGCCGAGAACAGTCAACTCCTCCTGGTCGGTGAAAGCTTGCATGGACTTGAGGTATTTGATCGAGCTGCGAAGTGCACTTGGTGAAGGTGGTTCAATGGCTCTTCCGAGGAACTGCGCCAACGGCTCGTTGAAGCCTTGGGCTTTAATCGACAGGCACACTTCTGCTAGATCGCTTCGGAGCAGTTCTGGTTTTCCGGCTGCCCGCATGAGCGATTTGCGACCTTTGGAGAAGAGTGCGTAGTAATTGCCGTCAGAGACACGGCCAGCTCGTCCGGCACGTTGCTTCGCGTTAGATTGACTTTCCCAGACACACTCCAATCTGGTGATGCGCTTCGTGGCGTCGTATCGATTCTCGCGCAGCTTTCCAGCATCGACGACGTGCTTGACGTCAGGCACAGTGATAGAGGTTTCTGCGATGTTGGTGGCGAGAATGATCTTCCGACGACCTTCTGGGGTGGGATCAAAGATTCGCCTCTGATCTGCAGGTGGGACAGTCGAATGAAGTATGTGAACGTCAAACTTGTCGGAATCTGAGAAATCGATGCCAAATATAGGTCGGCGCCGAAGCAACTCATTTGTGCCCTTGATCTCCTCTAGACCGGGAAGGAAGACAAGTACAGCACCGTCAGCGCTAGTCTCAATCACGCGTGCGATTGTCGCGGCGACCAGGCCGACAGGTACGTGGTCCTCTAGCGCATCTCTCGGCATGTTATCATCGCCATCTTCGTCCTCTTCTGAGTTCTGCAGCTTCACTCGGCGTTTCCACTCGATTGGCCCCTCACCTTCCACATCAGCCGAATTCGTGCTTCGCTTGTCCATAAGCTTCTCCGCTACGATATAATCCGCAGTTTTTTTACTTTCACGCAATAAACTTTCGAGCTCTTCGTTGTGCGATGCCTGCAGATCTTCGAGGATTGTACTGAGATATCGCTCTTTGACGGGAAACGTCCTGCCAGGCACCGACACCGAAGGACATGGCTGTGATTCGCCGTCTTTCTTTGTCGCGAAATACTCCGCGAACAAATTCGTGTCGAGAGTAGCCGACATGAGGACTATTTTGGGGACGCTCTTCCCTACCGCCAATCGGTTCTCGAAAGCCCTCTTCAGATTGATCAGCAGCACATCCATGATCATGTCACGTTCGTGGACCTCATCAAGGACCAAATGAGAGACTGAGTCCAAAAGACTATCCGGGTGATGCCTCAGAATGGCAAGCAGGATTCCGCTGGTGCAGAAATTAATGCTGCCGCCCAAAGGCGCCAATTTGACATCGAAGCGGACGTGATGTCCGATTTGTTCCTGGAGACGTTGCCCGCGTTCTTCTGCAACGCGCTGCGCGACAGACGTCGCGGCGATTCGGCGAGGTTGCGTGCAAATGATGTCGCAGAATCCACCCTCACCTTTTGCAATGGCATCGTCGAGAATGAGCTGGGGAACCTGTGTGGTTTTTCCACTTCCAGTGGCACCGACAACAATGCTATACGTGTTGTTCGAAATCATTTCGAGTACTGCGGCACTGTGTTGGGACATTGGGAGGTTTGCCCGAATCTCACGCATGGCGGCGGTCGTCGGGTCTTCATTGAACGCTTGTTGTCTCTCTTGCAGTGTGCTATTCAGAGCTAGTCGCACTTGTTCTGTCGGCGCGGTGCGATAAGGTCTCGATTCAGCTCTCTCTACTTCTGCGACGGGCAAAGCTTGTCGTTCGCTAACTCTTCCGACATTTCGAACTTCCCGCATCGCGTCGTTCATGATAGTGAGCGTGTTTTCGGACAGCTGTATCTTCACAGGATGCTGCGGTCGAATGATCTTCCCGCCGCCTCTTTCAAGCGCTTTAGTGAACTCAGTGTACAACTCAGGTTTCGTCTTCAAAACATGCACGGCAGCGACCAGACGTGCGGCTGCGAGGGAATCCTTTTTTGTCCGGCCGATGATACGTGGCTCGACGATCTGGCCGTTCAAGTTGATCTCAATCGGATTGTCCCGGGTTCCCTGTTTACCAGCCGGAGTGTCAAGTTCGACATTCATGTCACGGCAAGTCGATTTCAGGAAGGTCAGAAAGTCGGATGCAGTGTCGACCGTGAGTGTACCCCAGTCAGGCATGGAGGATCGCAACTCTGCCAACCGAGCAGAGTGCTTTTCAAGACGCCGCTTCAAAGTCAACAGCGCTGCCGTCTCGGCTCGCACAGGATCCTTGTCGATTGCTGAAACGATGAAATCGAGTGCCGGTAGCTTAACGTCGACCTTCCATGACGCTGCGCCTCGTACGATGCCCTCTTTGAGCAGAACTTTACGGAAGGAGGGTGGCATCTTGGTCGACGAAAATACAGGCACGTCGCCAAATGATGCCGCAAAGTTGTAGATGTCAATCGAAGCGTCCAAGTTTGTACTGTCCGTGGTTGCTGACATATCTATCGTGTCGAACTTGGTCCTGTCCTCACTGTAGATAACGACGCGATCCGGTGAGTTTTGTGCTCCAAATAATCGCTTCAGAACACCGTTGGCGTGGAGTTTGGCTAGCATTTGCGCCATTGCAGCGCGCTTCTTACCGGATTCGCCCAAACCAACGCCCATGGCAGTGAACGTTCCAAATCCATCATATTTGTTGCCGCCAAGGGTTACAAATATTTTGCCAGCTGCGGCGTCAGGGTGATAGTCGGGTCGGTTGGTATTAAGACCCTTCTTGTCCTTCTGATTCTTGTAAGTGTGACTGAAACCGAGGCCGAATCTAAAACACTGTGTTTGCAATGCAGACAATGCATCTTCCGGTTTGAAAAGCCGGGCAGGTGCGTGCGGATAATCTTCGGCGGTCGGCATCACGAGCAATTTTTGATACTCCTCGATGGTAAGAGAATCTTCGAGAGGGTTGATAGGTCGTCGTTTTCCCGCTTCTGAGTTTTTGACCACATCTTCAACGGGCTGTGTGATTGAAGATTTCTTGCTCACAAACTTGTTGGATCGTGGTTCCGACGCTGTGCCTACACTGCGTAAAGCTTGAGCGGCGTTCTTCTGGGCAGCTTTCTGCCGAGCGACCTTCTTCTCGACAGCTTTAATCCGGGCAGCTTCATGCCGTGCGGCTTGTTTCCGTGCAGCGGTTAGCCTCGGTGGTCGTTCACTTTCTGATTTGGCAGATTCTGCTTGCGAAGCATCAGGCCTTGGACTCGGCCGTAGCTCAGAATCCCTGGAAGATTGTGACCTCTTGGCTAGCGATGGATTCCATTCATGCGCCGGCGCACGAACAGTGCTACTTTGCTCGAGACTTGAATATGAACGTCTGACAGCCTTGCATAACAGGCGATTCGCACACGACGGATTCGCACGAAGCCCATGACTCGCCCACGCATTACATCTTGTCGCATTGATGAGGAGATGCCAATTTGATGTTTTTGTCGAAAGTGGCAACCGTGGATATGGCATAATTAAATGACCCGAGACGCCAAATAACCCAGCATTCGATGGATCTGAGTTCGGTAGATCGTTCCTGATTGATCTAACTTGTGAACCTGAGTGAATCGGTGCCGAATCCGATGAAATATAATATGCTTGATGGCCGTAAAATGGGGTATCTTGTGGATGTATTTATTTCGTTGATGATCCGCTGCGAAACTTTCTTGAACTTCTCCCTGAATTGCATATGCAACTAGGAATCCCAGGGAACGGCTCCGGGCTCGGCCCGCGCGCATCGCGGCAAAATTGTGCTCGCGCTTATTTTACGCAACTTCGAGCTCAAGCTTCTCAAAAGTCCCACCGGCGTCATTGGCCCTCTTTACGTCATACCCATCAATGGATCACGTGTGCGGTGCTCGTCGAGAACATACATATTACACCACTTTCGTCTCCATTCGTTCTTGATCTTCTTCCGGATCTCATCATACGCGAAACAAATATCACAACCTCTTTCAAACCCCAAAAAACCACAAAACCACACACAATGTCTTCCGAAGCCAAGAACGAGAACGTCGTCGAGACTGGCGACACCATCGTCCACGGAACCGGCGACAAGAACGTAAGATTCTCCACATTTCTCAATGCTCGTCGAGGCAGCTGAGATTATTTCTGATCTCACTGACGCCATATGTAGATCACCTCCGAGGGTGTCGACCGCTCCCACAAGGCCGCTCCCCCGCCAGATGCCGAGGCTGGTGATGGTGTGAAGGTCGTCGACGGCGAAGTCTCTGAGCTCACTGTCAAGGATGGCGAGGTCGTCGCTGAGGCCGAAGCGAAATAGGTTATCATGGATCAGGTGAAGGAAACATGATCAAACGACAGAGGGACGAGATATGATGGGAGGATCAATAAATCATGATAGCTAATACAGACTTGTCTTGCCTCACCACTACATTAAGTATGGATGGTGTCGGCAGCAAGCTAGATCTCACGAAATCAAACTCCATTAAAGCGAGCTAGATGTACTGTCATCACGCAAGCTTCAGCTGAAACCCACCCTCCTTGTCTACTCCATCACGTTCTTTCAATATCGACCCCAGGTCAATGTCACCTTGTAGCTTAGGAGCAGCGCCGCGCGTGGGCGCGTTTGGACTCGCACGTCGCCGACGTTTCTCTTGACCCGCCTTCGATGGGAAGGTAGGGAACATAGCAGTGGCTTTGGGGCGAGGGTTCTCACGAAAGTATGCATGGTCTAAGAGCTCTTTAGCAGACAACCTTGTTGCGGGGTTGAGCGAGAGCAGGCCATCCATCAGTGCGATACCAGAATTCGTCATTGTTGGGAATCTCGATCGCATGTTGGATCCTTGGTTGGTCCTGCTCTGGTTCGGGAGTTTGAGGGATCGAGCATTCGGTAGTCGCTTGAAACCAGGCCAAGAGACGTCCGTCGGTATGCCACAAAGCTCGAAGATCTATAGGACAGTCAATGTCGCGCAATGGCTGTTCATCTACACGCTGGACCTCCTCATGAATAGACCAACAGACTCACCTTGCTCAACTGATCGACCTCGTTCTTGCCTTGAATCAGCGCGTTCTTGGACAGCAGCTCGCCAAAGATGCATCCGATGCTCCAGCAATCAATAGCTTTATCATATGTTGTGGTACCAAGCAAAAGCTCCGGCGCTCGATACCACAACGTCACCACCAACTGCGTCAAATTCGCCGGCGGGGGATCGCCGCAAAATCGCGCCATGCCAAAATCCGCCAACTTGATCTCTCCGCGGTTGTTCATGAGAATATTACTAGTTTTCAAATCTCGGTGTAGAATCCAGTGATCGTGCAAGAACTCCACAGCACTTCCTAACTGCAACAGCAGCGTCTTGACTTCGGACGGTGAGAAGGGTTCCTGCATTTCCTCCTGCAGCGTCTTGAGGTCATGCTCGACAAACTCCATGACAAGGAAGACGTTGAGTCCGGACTCGCCATTCGTCGCGGTCACGACCTCCCGTAGATCGACCACATGGCGATGGCGCGCCGCTTGTAGGCATTGGATCTCGCGCAACGCAGTCACTGCGAACCCGCCATCTCGCGCGGGGTCTAGTTTCAATTTCTTCACTGCCACGATTGTACCTGTCGCCTCTTCTCTCGCGCGCGAGACGTATCCATAACTTCCTTCCTCGATGTGATTCAGACTCTCGAAGCGTTCGATGGAGCGACAGGGTTGCCAGGTCTGGTTGGGGAATCGGAGGAGATACTTTTCGCTTTGCTCTTCGACAATGTCACGGTCTCGCGCGGAAGAGTTTGACACGCGTCTGCGCTTTGCCGGTCGATCATCAGCATCGTCGACAGCGGCGGCGTCGTCGCGGGAAGTTTTGGCATTCTGCGCTGCGGCGGCTGCTCGTGCTGCTTCGGCTTCGAGTTTTGCTGCTTTGAGTCGCTTCTTCTCTTCTTTGGCAGCCTTGCGTCGCGCATCTTCGGCGGCGTCTTCTGCAGTTTCCGCCCACCGCGATGTCATGGTGAAGTCTGATATTGTACCTGGACCTTTGTCTTAAATGAAAGAAATGCGCAACTCAACTCATGCTTATCCCCGATGCGCCGATGTGTTGAAGCTCGGACGCGGAGGTGAGCTTCAGATGATGACGGTATTTCATGAAATTGTTGATTCCATCGTGAAAGACCATCACCTTGCTTTCATCGCAGAATGAGCCGATCTCTCACGACGATTGCGAGGACTGCAGCTCGTAATAACTATTATGTGAGGCCAGCAGTAAATTGCGTCTTTGGCGTAAGATGGAATTCCACAGAAAGCAACGACGGCGGCCACAAGTGGTCAACACCATTGGCGAAGCAATTGGCTGAAGCAATCACGGTATGGAATCACGTCGCATTGCAAGAGAAAATCAAGATGCTAACATATTAATTATGCGCTTTAGACAACAGGCCCAATTCCAGTCGCGTCGTTCATGCGCCAATGCCTCACATCTGACCTCGGCGGATATTACACTCCCACAAACTTGTCCGATCACGATCAATTCGGTGCAAAGGGCGACTTTGTGACTTCGCCAGAGATCAGCCAGATATTTGGAGAGCTCATTGGAGTCTGGTTCGTGGCAGAATGGATCGCGCAGGGGAGAAAGAGTGATGGAGTATACTTGATGGAGGTCGGGCCTGGCCGTGGTACACTGATGGATGACATGCTACGGACGATTCGGAATTTCCAGCCATTGGCACAAGCGATCGAGGCGGTATACCTTGTTGAAGCGAGCGAGAACCTGCGGCAAGCACAACATCGTCTGCTTTGCGGAGACCATCCCCTCGTAAAGAACGAGATCGGTTACGAGAGTAAGAGCAGGCACAATGATGACCTCAAGATTGTTTGGACGGAAGATGTGCGCTTCGTCCCCCGTAAGGCGGATAAGACGCCCTTCATCGTGGCCCACGAATTCTTCGACGCTTTGCCAATTCACATCTTTCAAGCTGCGACACCTCCACCTGGCGAGGACGTGACTATCCAGACACCGACCGGACCTATTCGACCGGAGAGGAGACTACCGAAGCAGAACTTCTGGAAGGAGATGCAGATCACGCCCAAACCACCACATCGACTCAAGGAAGGCGAGCCGGAATTCGAGCTTTCGTTGTCGAAATCCGCGACACCACATTCAATGTATCTACCTGAGATTTCCCCTCGATACACTGCACTCAAGGATACGGATGGTGCAGTCATCGAAGTCAGCCCAGAAAGCCAATCCTACGTCCGCGATTTTGCGATTCGTCTAGGAGGTTCTGACCCCAATGCTGCCATCCAACCCCGAAAAGTCTCGGCCTCGGGCAAGGTTGTTGCATCTGGTAGCAGCGAGGAGCCGCTACACAAAGAGACGCCCTCCGGTGCAGCTCTGATCATCGACTATGGCCCACCAGGAAACATCCCGACCAACTCCTTGCGAGGAATCCGTGCTCACAAAATCGTCTCTCCCTTCGAAGCTGCCGGCGCTGTAGATCTGAGCGCTGATGTCGACTTCCTTGCTCTCGCGGAAGCCGCCATCAATGGCTCACCGGGCGTGGAGGTTCACGGTCCTGTCGACCAAGCTCGCTTCCTCACCGCCATGGGCATTGAGGAGAGGGCCGCGCAGCTGGTCAAGCGGGCGGTGGACAAAGAGCGTGGAGGTGGCTCTGGGAGCAAGGATAAAAAGGAACTTACCGAGATCGTCAAGAGAGTGGAGAGTGGTTGGAAACGACTTGTGGACCGCAGTCCGCAAGGAATGGGCCGCTTGTATCAGGTCATGGCGCTGTTACCTTACCATGCGAGCAGACAAGGCCAACCACCAAGGCGTCCCGTTGGGTTTGGAGGCGATGTCACGATCTGAGTTGACCAGATCCGTACCAAAATTTGTCAATACAAGCTCTCAAACGAACTGCGACGCTCAACTAGATTGCTGCGCTGGACGAATCATGAATGAAATGTTGAACATTCCTCCAGACAACGGCATATCCTCAACCACTTCGAATCCGAGTCGCCGGTACACATTGGCACCCTCGGGTGAGGCCTCAAGATAACACTCCAACCCGTCCCGATCGACGAATTCCAAGCCCTGTTGCAAAAGACGACTGCCGATGCGATGGCCTTGCAATTCGGGATCGACAAACAATCCTTGAACATCTGCCGCTCAAACTGTCAACACGAAGGGACACACGGGAGAATAAAAAGTCGCCTTCTGCGGCAAACACTTACACCAAACCTCCCTCTCCCCGATGAACTTCTCCCGCGCCGCATTCGCCTTGGCCTCCATCTCCGAGAACGCGGCCATATTCATCCACGACGGAGCACCCTCGTATCTCTGCGCCTTGGGTGGCAGCACATCCCCTCCCGCCTTCTCCAGCAACCCCGTACCCACCTCATCTCCCTTCGCCACTGCCGCCGCGAACATCTTCTTCTCCGCCCTCGCCCTCGACCCCGCCGGACTTTTCAACGCAACACACCCCACGATCTCGCCGTCCCTTCCTTCATCCACCGCCTTCCACACATGATAGTCCTCCCGTGAAGTCCTTGCGGCTAGCCTTGCGGTGCGCCACGCCAGGTATTCGGCTTGTTCGGTGGCGGTGAGTGCGCGTTCGGACGGGAAGGAGGACTTTTGCAGGGCGCCGGTGCCGAAGGCGCGCTCGCGCAGACGGGCGAGGGCTGGGGCGTCGGTTACGAGGGCGGGACGGATTGCTATTGAGGGGCTGGGTTTTTGGATGTTGGTCGATGGGTTGCTGCTCTCGTGCGGGATGACAGAGGAGAAGGTGGTGGTGGTGGTCATTGTGGAATATTTACTCTTCCTTTGCTTCTTGGGTGACTTAATGACACTTTCTCGCTTCTCCTCTTGAGAGAGACTGGGAAAGATGGTCGATGGCTATTTCTTTGTTTCCTGAGGAGAAAGTAATCTTCTAGTACGCATGTGCTTCGGGCCACTGGGACGAGGGCCCTACGTCGTCGCTGTTGTCGACTCAGCAGCGCCAATCTCTATCGCAAACGTAAATAGACCTGCCTAAGGGGTGTGCTTCAAAACTAGATCGTCTTCTTGGTCAATAGGTTAGGCAAGATGACTCATCAAAGGGCCGAGAAAGCGCGACAGTTGGAACATCACTTGCTTGGAGCCGTCGACGGCATCATTTGCGAGAAGTCACACTGTGAAATGTGGGTTCTAACCCAAACCCTAGTAACATCTGCGGACAATCACTCCGATGACTAATACGGTACATGAGAAATCCGTTCTTCTGTATTCTGAAAACTGGACAATAATACTATGTGAGTATTGTTATGATAAAAGAAGACCATCATAGCATACATCAGTCATATCATATGTCGTGAAGGTGGCGATGGTAGTTCCATATCTAGAAACGGACGTATTGTTCTGAGTGGAGAGGGCTTCCTTTGGAGGAACGATACTCCTGTCACCCAACAGCCACGGGCGTTTATACAGTACCTCTTCCCTATCGCTCCTCGAGTTCATCTCGTGCCTGCAAGCCATCTGTCGGCAAAGGATGTCGTGTCAGAAGCGGAACAGAGTACCGCCTCTCGTACCGGACAGAGACAGCTTACAGACCGTCGATCACGAAGATTGATTCGCGGCATAAGCGACAGGTACCTCGAGGGGCTCTTCATTAGGCAGCAGCTGGCCTTCCTCCCATAATGTGTCTGGACGGGTTCCAATTGTCTGCCCAACATAAGAGTCCTGTCCACTACTTGCTCGTTTGATCCAGCGGCTTCACTCGTCATGATGGCGGACTCCTCGATCTCACGTCCTTCGATCACAGTGAGCCTTCACGCCAGCCACGACGAACTCGACCTCTCAGGAAAATCACCTTTCGATTTCGACATCACCGCGACTCTCTGCGCCGACAAAGCGGTCGTGATCTACAGCTCGGATACAATACTCTCGCCAGTCGCCGCACTGCTACAGGGAGGCCTCGAGTTCACGCCCCTAGGAGAAGAAGCACTTTTGCCTCAGATTACCAGATTCAGCAGCCCGCCCAGCGAGCCTACACGCACGTGGAACTCCGCCAATTTCATCGTCCTGGGCCCAGGAGCGCCCAAATCTATTAGGATTCCATTCGGCGCGCTCGAACCACTAGCAGGCGACCAGTTCGACCTCCGATTCTGGATGAACACGGCCGCGTTCAAAGCTGGAAAGACGTACAAGGCTAGATTACCGTCCACAGCGAAGATTAGGTGGTGGCGGATTGCGACCGCCGCGGAGGTCAAGAGCGGCACTCCTGCTCTGCCTGGCGGCTTCTTGAGCGCATTGACTTCGGCGGTCATCTCGTGGTGGAATGGCCCTTGTTCTGTTGACGAAGGTGTTCCTGTCCTGCCAGAAACAGAGCAACTTACCGTTGTTGTGGAGGGTGATGGTGTAAGTTTCACGTGCAAAGGAGTACCGACGGAGATTCCAAGAAACGGTTGAAAGGGATGGTCCATCGTGAGTTGTTATGCACTTGGGAAGCAAGAGAATCAATCTTTGAGCTTGGTGGACCCCAATTGGGATAGTCTGATGGGTGTCTTTCCCGAATTCTCTGCGCACTCAGGATAAGCCTGGTGAGCATCGAAAGCGCACTGTCACCTGGGGATAGAATGAGGTGTGATCTAGTCCAACTGATGAATACCAGGGTTGTGCTTCTTCACCATATCCCAGAAAGGTCCAGTGCGCTCGTTGCGCTTCTGCTCGAACTCCTCAAACATAGCCTTCTGGGGCTCACCAACGGCGACGGTCTCCTTCTCGGCCGCGAAGCCTTCAAAGGCGGCAGTGACGAAATCCTTCACGGGCATGCCGGTCTCGCGGCCGGGACCCCAGCCGGGTTGCTTGTCGTGGAGCTCGGCTGGAATAACCTGCGTCAGTACTTTCCCCAATGGCTCATGGTCATCAAGTGAGACCACTTACTCTGCACGATCGGGGTGTAAAGCTCGATGAGGTTGATCTTGTGGCCACCTGCTGCCTTCAGCTGTTCACGGGCGCTGAGAATCCAGGATCGAGTTGCGGCTTTGCTGGCGCTGTAACCGAAGACCATGGGGTATGGGACGGTCTCCAAGCTAGTGGTAGTGCTGTAATTTCATGCCTTGTCAATGATAGTCTTGACGACATGACGCTCCACGATGAAGCTTACACAATGACGGCCGATTTCTCGCTGGCAGGCTTCTTCTGGAAAAAAGGAAGGAAAGCGTTGAAAATGTTCACTACACCCAAGTAGTTGATGTTGATTTCTTCTGACAGCTTCGAGATCTCGACAGTGTGAGGCTTGCTGACGTCCATGACGTGCTGAACACCGGCGTTGAGGAATAAGGCTTGCAAGCCGGGGTGGTTCTTGGTGACGCTGGAATATGGGTCAGTACGACTGCTCAACTATGCAGAGAAGGGTCTCAAGCTTCACTCACGTGTCAACGAAGCTCGCGGCAGTCTCGAACTTGGCGATGTCAAAGGCGTAGCCAGCGGTCTTGACGGCGACCGACAACGATGGTGAAGACGCCTTGGGACACCAAACGGTGCGCGATCTCCAATCCGATCCCGCTGGTGGCACCCAGCACGAGCGCCGACTTGTAAGGGAACGACATGATGGGATCTGAGATTCTTGGATATCGCTGAGTAAAGAAGACTTCTCTCTTGCCTGATATCGCAGGATGATGAGAATATCGTGAGGATTGAGCAGGGGATATATGCGAGAAAGTAAGGCTCTTCGGAGAGTTTAATCATGCCGTCATCTCGCATTCCAGTTGCCAGAAGAGGCCCATGGTGAGCTCGGGGTTAGCTGAACACGGGCATGCGTTGAAGGACAATGACGCGCAGCAACCCCGATAAAGCCACTTATCTCCGCCCGTGGTTCTGCTGCCATGCTGTGCCTCATGTGGACGACCATCACGAGGACGCACACAATGTAGGTAAGTTTTTCTGCTTTAGATAGCTCATCTCTTGCGCTGCTGGTGCCGTGAAACATGCATTATCACGTCTTGTGGGACAATTCATAGCTGAGGCCCACCGACATCATACTGCAACGTAGGAGTTGGGGCAGTCGTCCTTTCCGGAGAATGCCGCGCCTCGTTGTGGTGGTGGTGATGGAGGAGGTGAAGAGAGTTGGTAAAGCATGGGCAGTGATTGGGAGGTGAGGTCCGCTGGCCTGATTAGGCCAAGCTTTGCGAAGCTCGAAGAAGGTTTGAGTACCACTGTGCCACGCGTCTGCATACAAAGTAAACTACTGCACGTCCGGCTGAACGCCACTTACATCTACACGTAAATTGTTGAGTGACTGTGACGCTGGGCGGGGAGGCCTAACCGAGGTGTCGTTGAGGCCTCAGTCGCCGTGCTCCGCTACAGGCACATGTTCCCCTGCGTTGGGGTGTGACCTTTGACTCGGGACTGCTACCCCGAGTAGACCCAACACCCAGAGTTCCGGCCCGGCCCAGTTCCTGTAGAGTCGTCACGAGTTGCCGCCGGGATAAGCTTCGATGGACGATCAATTTCACAAAGTGCCCAGTGGCATGGCTTCACGGCGGTGTAGAGAGGAGTGTTGTCAAATGATGACAGTCACCAAAATGATCGTCCGCCCAATTTCGGTGGCGAAACAGGAATCGCGCCCTGGCCAGTAACAGCAACAGCAGCAGTAAAGGCATTGCGATCACTATCGCCGTCATTGCAATAGCAAGAGCGACCACGTCGACGACAGCAAGATTTCCATCGGAATGCGGCCCGCAATTCCAGCATGTTGTTCGTCGATCTATTGTCAGCATCGCTGTCCAACACCCGCCTTGCGATCATCGCGACAATCGCCATTTTTGCCCATGTGGTCAGCCGTGTGGTGTACAACCTCTTCCTCCATCCGCTGGCGCACATTCCCGGGCCATGGCTGGGCCGAATTTCGTCGCTCGGCTTGCACGTCTTGTGCTTCTTGGGCGTTGAGTCGCGAGCGTTTTACATGCGTTATTGGCATTCGGCATGCGGTCCAAGGTCTTGCTATCCTTTGTATTGCCCAATTCCGAAGGAGTTGTGGAAATGAGGAGATCAAGTTGCCCCTATCGGCAACAGTGCTATGCCGATGAACATGGTCTCGCGTACGAGGTATTTATTTCTTGGCCCAAAACTCATCGGGGCTTACTTCCATTTCTTGCAACGTTTCATGAGAATCGCGGCATATGCGAAAGCGTTTGGACATCAACGACTTCTCGCGTTGAGCGTGGCACGGGCTCGTTCCTACACAACAAGTCCGTCTCGTCATCATAGTCATCGTCGTCCTCATCGAGGAGGCCAGTGGCCTCGTTGCCGAAGCTCCGAACTTCAAAGGGATGGCAAAACTTTTAAACGGCCGACGCTGCGATGAATCACGGTCTATTAAACCTGCACAGGATACCTTGTTCTGACCTACCTGATTCCATTTTCTCGATTTTATATGCGATAGAGTCGGCTGGAGGGTGCCGCCATTGAGTCACCACATCTGGAGGACGGCCTTGAAGGTATTGATGAGGTAACACTGTTCAGGATCAATCTTCAGCAAGTAATTAGAGATTCACAGAAGCGAATGCGCTTCGAGGCGGAAAGTTGATCAGAAAGAAGACGCGAGGCGATGGTTATTCCAGCCTGGTGAGATGTTTCCGACGCGCATCTGTCTCGTTCTCCGTAACCTTCAACCTCAGGCTTGAAGCGTAAGCCCAACGACAACCCTAATCCCGACAATCACCTGTACTTCCATGCATCGGTTCTTCATCAGATCTTGTCAATAATCCAACTATGCGACCTCAACACGAAATCGATATCATCAACGCTCGCTATTGATACAATCCACATCGTTCATGGATCAAGATGGAACTAAGACAGCGGTGATAGAAGCCATTCCTGCGAAAATCTCACCACGTGAAGACATCATCAAGTCCCTGTCCGAAGCCGGCGATGGGAATGCCGGAATCTATTCTCAATTGTTCAATAATCCGCTGTTTACAGCCGGCTTTGGCCTCGCAGCATTAGGCGCCGCAGTTCGGTATGGGTCGCTCGGACTTCGCCATGGTGCCTCATTGCTACGGCGGCGGATGCTGGTAGACCTGGAAATCACCCGGCATGATGCATCGTACGAATGGGTCCTCAATTGGATGACGCGGCATTACCATGAGCAGGTCGTCCAGGGCGGTCAACAACGTAGCAGCGGGGCAGTGGAATACCTGCTTCGGAAATTCACTCCGGGCCTGCATCATCTTCAGATCAAGACCGATATCATGAAGACCGCGACCGGCGCCGAAAGGACGGCGTTCGCTTTAGTCCCCGGCCACGGGAAACACATTCTGCGTTTCAAAAACGCCTTCATCGCCGTCAGCCGGGAGCGCGAAGGACGCAGTTTCGATGCCAACGGCCGACCTTTCGAAACCGTCAAATTGACCACCCTATATTACCACCGCCACATCTTCCAGGAGCTCTTCACCGAAGCCCATCAAATGTCCCTCTCGCTGAACGAGGGCAAAACCGTCGTCTACACCAGCCGCAACACCGCCTGGGAAATCTCCGGCACGCCCAAACGAAAACGGCCCCTCGAATCCGTCGTGCTGGCCGAAGGTCTCGCCGAGCGTGTGCAAGCCGACATGCGCGAATTCCTCGACGCGAGGACCTGGTACCTCGACCGCGGCATCCCACGGCGCCGCGGCTATCTCCTCCACGGCCCGCCGGGCACAGGTAAAACCTCCTTCGTGCAAGCCCTGGCCGGTGCCATGGACTGCAACATCGCAATGCTGAGTCTCAGTCAGCGCGGTCTCACCGACGACCTGCTCAACCACCTCTTGATCAACGTCCCCCCGCACACCATCGTGCTTCTCGAGGACGCCGACGCCGCCTTCAGCAACCGCCGCCAGCAGCGCGAAGCAGACGGCTATTCCGGCGCCAATGTGACGTATTCCGGCCTGCTCAATGCGCTTGACGGAGTGGCCAGTGCGGAGGAGAGGGTGATTTTCATGACGACGAATCACATCGAAAGGCTGGACGACGCGCTGATAAGGCCGGGACGCGTTGATATGATTCTGCATCTGGACCACGCGGACGAGTGGCAGATGGGCCGGTTGTGGGATCGATTCTATGCGGATCCGGCGGTGCCGCAGGATGCTAGGAAGGAGGCTTTCCTCAAGAGAGCGAGGGAGGTGGGTGTGGTCGGGAAAGTGAGCACGGCGGCGTTGCAGGGCCTTTTCTTGTATAACAAGGACGATCCCGATGGGGCGGTGGAGATGGTGGAGCAGTTGGCGGTGGGGAGACCCGGCGGGCAATCATCACAGCAGGGGGATGGGCAGCAGAGTGAAGGCGCGGCGTCGTCCTCGAGATGAATATCTCTTGTATGAGTAGAGGGGAAAGTAATGTGTACGATTGGAAGGAGGCGCTCGCGCGGGGATGTGCACGCACGCTGTATATCACAAACATTTCTATAACATTACCGTTCGAATACCATTGATATGGACTGGAGAATCGTGACAGGGGTTTGATTCGAGCGGCAATGATTCTTTCGTCGCTGACCAGAGGCCTGAAGTATTTTGGGCTGAATGTCTCTCTGACGATTGTGGGACTTTCTCAAGCACCAGGATCGACTTTCTCTCCCTGCCGCTCAGGCCTTCGCCAGCACCGGCTCGTGCCAACCGTGACCGCAGCATCAAACTCCTCGTAATACATCAGATTATCAAATATGGAAATGACGACTAGCACGACGTCTGCGGTGAGTGTGCTCGCCGCGATTAGCCGAGATCTGGTAGCCCGAGGCATTCTTGTGTTCGCGGGCCCTCGGCGTTGCGCGCGTGTATCGGCACAGTGTCAACCGGGAACGGGAAAGTACGAATGCCGCAACAGAGATTATTCAAGAGTTCCACATGATAGATCCAACACAACGACAAGAGGGCCGAAGATGTATCGGGGGCAACTGTCTCTCGGGTCTCTAAGCCCGAGTCTGCGGAAGGAACAGACATCACCTGAGCAAGCCACCGTGCATGCGCCTCAACTCCGACGTATCTTGGCATTATGAGAACAACCGCTAGCACGCGGTAGCCATGTCGACACCAGCTCGCTCAAACGACTAGTCTGGGCCGTTTGAATGCGGTACTATGCTGCAGATAAGCGAGAGGCCTGGTTCTTGGCATTTCAAAATGTACATTGCATCTGACACCGGTCATGCTACAGGGCTGCGATATGTTGTTCGCCATGCCTGGAATTATCCGTGTTCCTGGGAATCGACACTGCTCCATCCTATTCTGGTCACATTGATGAATGCCGGTCGAGTGTTTCTTGAAGCAAACCCATGCACGATTTGCTGCCTCGCGTCAACATCGAACCCCGCTGGGTGTCTTGAAAAAACATGGGTCTGGAAGTGCTCAAGAGCTCACCAGGACGCGGAGACTACAACTTGTCACAAGGTCCCACCGCTTACCCCGTAGTGCCAGCCCGAGCAGTCCTCAGTCGCGGCAAGGATCGTCCTCCGGCGAATCTCTCACAAGACATTAATCTCCAGCAGCTACATCCGGGAGACGATATTCGACGTCACAGTCTCTTCGTAGGATCTGAATCAACACATGGGAGCAATGGGGTCCGCCTGTCGCGAAATGGGAATTTCATCCGAATCTTCCAACTAGAAGTCAACTGCAAGAGAAACGACGATCCGATCCGGGGTGATATGCGGATGGTCGATCTAGACCATGACCCCGAATTTGCGGCCCTCTCATACGTATGGGGCGATCCCTCGGATGATCGCTGGAATATTCAATGCGGACAGCATACCATCAGCGTGCCCTGGAACTGTATTGTCGCGCTTCGGAATTTACGACGGCGTTGCCGGCAGAGCATCTGCATTTGGGTCGACGCCATCTGTATCAATCAAGCCGATGCGGCAGAAAAGAGCCGGCAGATCCTCCTCATGGGACGAATCTTCTCTGCGGCCCGCGTGGTCTATGTCGACCTCGGATCCGGCGGATCTCTGACGGACGACGCGATCAGGTCTCTTAACAGGTATGCGTCGGTGGAATCGGGGTGGCTCTCACATTGCCTGTACTGCAGGCTTGCGGCCACGGGTCTATCGAAAAAGAAGGATGCTGCATTCCGAGCCCTGTTCACGCATCCATGGATCACACGCAATTGGACCCTCCAGGAGATCCTCCTGAGCCGCGATGCGACCGTCATATGTGGGAAACGGAGCATAGCCTGGCGAGATCTAGAGAAGGTGCTATCTCGACTCGAGGCTGCTTTCCTCTCACAGGAGATCTCACCGTTGCCTGCGTATTTGGAGCCTTGGCTGCAACTCGTTTCGTTATGCAGGGAACTTGAAGCACGCCGGAAGGTGGACGGCAGCGCTCCGGTCGGAACGCTGAAGAGGCTGTCGGATCAGGCCGAGCTAGCCGAGTTGAGTCGCTTCGCTGATCGTTGGACGTTCGCCGTTCACGTCTTGCAGTCCCTCCTACCTGCCCTGTTTTTCCTGTCGTGCATCGGAGCCTGGCTCGGCGTCATCCTAGGTTTCCAAAAGACCCTTTGGTGGGTGTGGTTCCTTTCGATCTTGCTGCCTCTGTTCCTCTTCTACGCCGCCAAACATTTGTTCTTCCTCGTCGCGAAACTCATATTGTGGCCGCTGCGAGTACGGGCTGCGATTGCTGTGCACGTTCCTGCAACTCAAGCCCTGGCTTGGGCGATTGCCACGAGGAGTTCGACGGAAGCAAAGGACAAGTTCTTCGGCGCGCGAGGGATTTTGCTATCACGAGATCAAGCCGTGATCGATTACGATTCGAGTTCCCTGGACGACGCTTTCCGTACGCTCACGACCAGCTTGCTGGACTATACGGGATCTCTCGACAGTCTGATCTTCACCTCCGATGACAGATTGGTCGGCGCTCCATCTTGGGTAGCGGACTGGTCGTCGGTGAATACCTTCTGGGCGAGGCTGCAAAGAGAGGACAGCCGGATACAAGACCCGATGAGCTCCCCGAAGGAGCGGGCCCCGACCGCCGAGCATCCGACCTGGAGGATCCTTGACGCGAAGATCCTCGTCGTCCGCGCCCGGATCATCGGGACCATCGACCGACTCTACCCGACGACGTCCGACCGGGACGTGCACTGCCCGATCGCCACGCGACGGAACATCGTCGCCTTCCAGAACCTCGGCGCCCGCTGCCGATGGGACTTCCACGACTGGACGGCCGGCCTGCCGCGCTCCGTGCTCGGGCTGGAGCGGCACCACGACGGGTTCCACAGGGCGCTCGGGGACTGGGCCGAGGCCATGATGCGCAACCGGATCTCGTATGAGGATTTTTACGGTCAAGACAGCGATGGCATGTCAACCGCGCCCAAATGGTCATGGGTGCACCACGCCTTGGTCGAGGAGGTGTCGCGAAATGGCGTCTTGGCTTCTCTGGGGATCCGCCAAGCGTCGCAGGAGCTATATCTCGCCACGATCGCCCCGAGGGGGGCCCGGGTTGGGGATTTGGTCGTGGCGGTCAGGGGGTGCGCGATGCCGTTTGTCCTGCGGAAGGATCTCGACGGAGGGTATCACATCTTCGTGGGGCCGATTTATTCCGCGCAGCACAACTGGGCTCGCGATCTGGGCGCAGAGGACGAAGGGACTTGGGACGAGTACATCATCGGTTGACGAACGGTACGGGAAGGAACGGTCCACAGCTTTGCGAAGGAAACACAAATCATCGTCATCACCCGCGAACCGAGCGCGTCGCATCATCATCATCATCATCATCATCATCATCATCATCATCATCATCATCATCATCATCTACTCCAACCCCCCGTCCCTCGCCTTAAGCAGCCTGATCGCATCCGCGCGGTTCCGATACTTCGCTGCCCGCATTGCCTCCTCCAGATCGATCCTGGGGTAAGGATAGGCATCCATCAAGAGGTTCATGCAGCCCAGATGGCCCTTCCCCGCGGCGAGCGCCAGCGGGGTGTTATAGATGCTGCCGAACTGCTTGGTCGTGGACACGCAGTTAAAAGCCGGGTTGGCGCCCTTCCCGATCAGGTAGGCGACGACGGCCTCGTGGCCGTGCAGCGCGGCCTCGGCCAGGGCGGTGAAGCCGTCGCGCACGCCGCTGTTGTCGATGGCCAGGTTCTTCTTCTCCAGCAGGTCGCGGACGAGGTCGAGCTGGCCCGCGGCGGCGGCCGACCGGAAGCTCGCGCCCGAGGTGTCGGAGAGGTTCATGCCGATGGACCGCCAGATGTTGGGCGAGGCCTTCTGGCGGGAGGTCACGCGGGAGGCCGTCGAGGCCGAGTCGATGCTGGGGCTGGTGGCGAGGGTGGAGGAGCTGCGGCGGCGCCCGTCGTCGTCGTCGGCGGCGGTGGTGTCGGAGAGGGTCATGGAGAGGACGGATCGCGCTACGTCTCGGGTGTCGTCGCTGTTGTGGCGCTCGGGGGGAGTTGCAAAAGCAGGTCCCGCGCCCAGATCCGGGCTGGTCGGAGCAGAGGTGTACGGCGTGAAGCCGAGCCCGGGGTTGAACGCCGGGTTGGGGGAACCTGGCATGTTCATGCGAGGCGAGGCTTGCGGGGAGAAGCCCGGGTTAGGCGATCCAGCCATGAGGAGTCGCGGAGACGATTGAGAAGTGTAGCCCGGGTCGGGGGAGGAGCCGGGGAGGTACATCCTCGAGTCGTAGGACATGGTCTCATCGGGGAATTGGTCCGGCGAGACCGCCTCGGGGGTGTCAGAAGCGGAGGCGTGCGGGATGTTTCCCACCCGGCGGCTCTCCTCGTGCGCGACGATGGCGTCGTCGACCATCTCCGTGATGAGATCCTCGACCAGCTCATACTCCTCCCGGTTCCTCTCGGGGTCGAATTTGCAGATCTGCGTGTGATCCAGATCGAGCGCGACGTTGTTCTCCCGGTCGTGGCTGAGGCCGAGCACGGCAGATTGCTGGTCGACCACCTGACCGGCTTGTCAGCCCACACCGCTCCAAAGCGATCAACATGGAAGAGTGGCTTACAATGCCGACGTGAGGGAGCGGTCTCGTCTCGAAGAAACTCAACACCTGGTAGTCCTCCAGCTGACTGCGGAAGTCGTCGATCTGCGAACTCGCGAACAGGCTGTCCTTCTCCAGGGACTCGAGGAAGCTGTTGGTCGGCGCCGCATGGACGGCGCGGACGATCTTGGCCGCGATCTTGCCCAGGGGGACGAACTCGCCGCCGCGGTGCGGCGTGGCGAAGAAGACCATGCCGTACGTCGAGGAGCGGATGGGCCTGTAGCGCTCGACCTGACTCGCGACGACGAGGGCCTGTGCCGGGGTGGGGGCAATCCCGTCAGCGGATGTGGAAGGGAAACCACCCCGTTTCCGGGATCGATCTTACCCTCTTCACGACGATCCCGCCGAGGCTGTGCGCGATGAAGATGAGCGGGCGATGCTCGGCTTGGTCCCGGCGGCGCTTCATGCGGACCCGGTTCAGGAGGTTGTGCGCCTGCTCCAGGACGCCCGCGGTCGAGCTCTGGAAGGCGACGTTGGCGTTGTACCCGAAGAGCATGACGCGCGCGGACTTGAGCTTCTGCGGGAGGAGGTCTTTGAGCCAGAGGGTCTGGCCCTTGGTCCACGTGTTCTCGGCATGGTTGGAGCCGTTGGTGGGGTTGAGGCCGTGGACGGCGACGATGCTGAGGGGAAGAAGGGAGGATTGCGGGTCAGCGTCGGGAGGATTTGTCTTCGGGGTTGGGATGTCTGTGACGGATGTGCACTTGCCAGGGGGGGACTCACTCGACTTCGGTGTCCTTGGGGCCTGGCTCGACGAGCACGCGGAGGAAGTTCTGCTCGAGGGAGACACTGGTTGCACCAGCACCCAGCGGCGGCACCGTTGCTCCTTCGGCAACAGGCATGATATCGGGATCGATCAGAAAGGTATAAAAGATATGATCCGCCACCAGAGCACAGTTGTGACTATGATTCCTCGGGGACACAGCGCAACATATATACCCCCGCCGCACCACACCGAAGTTCGAACGATCAACGAGGGAGAGGAGCAGGGACGACATTCCCCGCGGAATCCTCAGCCCCCCAGCGACAGCCACTCGAATCGCATCTGCAGCGATGCAGCGATGTGGACGCCCATCCAAGCCACGGATGCAGGGCATGTGATCCAATCGAGGCATCTCCCGCCTGCACGGGGCGCTGAGGAGTCGGCGTGGACGGTTTCGCGTCACCGGTGAAGCTTCAAGAGGCGTTTTGAAACAGTCCCGGAATGGAAGCTGCACGGCGATCCAGCCTCTGTGCTCGATTGCGGGTCCTCGTGCGGAAGTGAGAGCGAGAAGAGAGATAGTGCGGAGCAGGTCCTGTCCTGGCGTGCATGCGAGGATGAGACCACCTGTCTGCGCGTCTATCGGTCGCTTGGACCATCACATGTCGAACCTTGGCTGGGGGGAAGTCGATCCCGAAGAGACAGAGAGCTCTGGCGCGAACGCGTTTACTACGCGCACGAGCGCTCCGCTAGCGATGGACATCGCGCGCAGTGGTTCGGCCGGGGGGCTCTCCCCGATGGACGAGAGTCGAGCCGACGAACTCCTTTCCCACGACGAGAAGATCAAACCGAACCAACGGGCGGGAGTCGTCTCAGGAGCGGGACCTCCGAGTTAGCAGGGTCTCGAACGGGGTCGTGTCGTGTCGTCCCACGCGCCACCCCTGCCCATGCCGTCATGCAGGTGTGTGTAGCGTGGTGAATCATGCGGGTCTGATTCGCCGGACGGCTCGGAAACCTTGTTTTCGGTGGCGCATGAAGACATGGGCGCTGAGGGATAGTCGTATCCATCTTCTTTGTCATCAGTGGTCATTTGTAGATATAACCCCCAGTCGGATTGTTTGATGGGAAGGCATCGTGGGAGTCTGTCTGCTACTGCACAGGTGTCGTCTCTTCATCGGATCCTGTCGAGGCCGTTGATAAGATAGATAGTCAAGGAGTGGCGCATCACACATACTCCAATTGCGCGCGAAGAGAAAAGGAAAGGGATAGGGAGATAACCAGGATTGGATTTCGCATCGTCTGAGGAGAGAGGGGGGGAGAAGCAGAAAAAGACCAACGACGAGAAAGGATCGGTACCAGGAAGAAGAAGAAGAAGAAGAAGAAGAAGAAGAAGAAGAAGAAGAAGAAGAAGAAGAAGAAGAAGAACAGAGAGAGTGGAGGCAGTTCGAGCAGCAAAGACGTTCAAATTTCCTCTCTCGATATGAAAAAGATCATAAGCGAGTAGGAGTCTCAACTAAGAACTTCGAAAATAAAAACAGCGAGTTCAAAAACAAACAATAAATAGCACAAAGGGCCGCCCGATGGGGGCCCCGCCGCCCCGATTCCCGAATCCCGATTCCCAAATCCCAATCCCACTCTCCGTGACGCCGCGCTGTGTGTGTGTGTGTGTATACTTTTTCGCCCTCTCTCCCTCTCCCACAAAACAAAGACAAGACATTAATATTTATTTCTCCCGATTCCCTCTCCCCCTCCCTCTCCCTCGGCTCACCAAAAAGGCGTAGCTCCAACCAGAGAGAGAGTGTGGTGTGGTGTGGTCCTCAAAAGAGATCCCTTTCCGCGTTGCTGCCCGACCCCAAAGGTAAAAAAAATCCAGATCCAAAATCGATGCCAGAGAAAAATGGCGGGGAATATCGTCCAGGAAGATAGAAAACAGAGAACAGGTACAAGCTTTCCCAAGCGAGAGACGGAGGAAGAAGGGAAAACGGGGGGGAAAGAGACCCATCAAAGGCGCTCAATCACGCGATCCCCCCTTCGGCTTTCGTCTCGGTGAAGAGAACAGCAAAGGGGGGACGTCACGCGTGATTGTCAAGACAGCAGCCCATCAGATGGAGAAAAATCCCCCAAATTTCTTTCTTCTCCGCGGGAGTGGTGGGAGGGAGGAACAGGAGCTTGTACGATGTTCCAGGACGAGGTTCTTTCCTGATGAATTTGAGCCAAACAGTTCGGATTTTCCGACGCCTGCCAAAAGTGCCCTCTCGATGATGTTTGCGTGTGTGAAAGAGTGAAAGGAAGCAAAAAAAAGTCCCTTCCGACGGGGTCCTCCAAAGTGATCCCCATCTTGACTCTGAGAGAGGTATTCTCAAAGTGCGACCTCGGAGGTGTAGACGGACGGACCCCGGCCCGGTTTTGCAGATGATCTTTTCGCGCGCTAGAAAATGGAATTGGAAAAACCCCGTCGCCAAGTGAATCGAATCACGGCGCGCAGCGGGTTGATCCTCCAGAGAGGAAGCGATCGCGAAGTTCGTTTGCAGGATTTGGGTCGAGGGTGGTGCGTCGACTGGTCGGAGGATCTGAGGAATCCTCCTCCCGAGGAGGGAGATGTGGAGGTTGGGGGGTTTTGTCTGGTGGGTGTTTGCTTCACTTTTGGTGGTGGTGGTTGGAGTTGGCTCGGTCCTGTTCGTTGCTCCAATGCCGACTTCTTCTACCTCACCGGGCTCATTCAAGAGCTGGAGGTGGGATCGTGAAGGTAGTCATCGAAGGAGAAGAGTTGGTTGGAAAAGGTCGCGTCGAAGGCGCCGTGGGCGAAAGCCGCAAAGGGATCTAATGCGCCGAGACCGGTGCCGCATGAGGGAGCGGCGTTGGCATCGAGCTGAAACTTCGAATCGAGGAAGAGGTCCTCGGTAGTTGCGGCGGTGTTGGCGGCAGTAGTGAAAGAAAAAGTGTTGCCCACCAAGAGGGAGTTGGCGTTGTTCTTACCGCTGTTGGTGTTGAACGCGGCGTGGGTCGCGCGCTGCTCAGGCTGAACCGACACGGCAGGTCGCACAACATTTCTGCAGAATGTTGTGTCGGGTTCAGCGCGAGCAGCGACGGCTTCGCGGCGTTCAGGAGCGGGCTCTCCCGTTCGAAGGAGGAGGCGGGGAGGTGCATCGGGAGGAGGGAGTCGTGGAGGGGCTCCTGCTTGATCATGCTGTTGTGCCACAGGCTGTCGGCGGGGGACGAGGGGCCGGTGCCGGCCTCATCCATCGAGCTCCGGCCATCGGTCAAGGAGGGGACGGGGGTGTCGGCGCTCTCGGTGACGACGGTGACTTCCGGGAGGACGATGTCGGCCGGGAGCGGGCCATGCAACCTCCGGTAGGCCTCGAGTTCGGCGTTGGCGTGGGCGAGGGCGACGGCGAGGCCCTCGGCCTCCTGTCGTTTGCGTTCGCGGGAGTTGTGGGCGGCGGCGCGGTTCCGCTTGATGCGCTCGATCCGGCGCTGCTCCTTCTCGTCGTCGGTCTTGGCCCGCTTCCGGGGAGGAAGGTTGGTCTTGGGTTGAGGGAGTTCTTGGCCCCATGACTTTCGCTTCTTGGCGGCCTTGGAGTGGACGATGACGGGCGCGGGCGATGATTGTGAAGCGGACGAGTTGGTCGAAGTGGCGTATGAGTGGGTGAGAGACGGCGGCGGGCTCGTCGAAGGTGTCTCGAGGTCTTCCATGTTGAGGAAGGTCTGACTCGATGAGAAGCGGTGGTGGTGTTGTTGTGATTGTGACTGTTGTTGTTGTTGTCGCTGTTGTTGATATGACTGGTTGTGGTAGTAGTTGTGGTGGGGCGAAGAGAAGTTCATCTTGTCGTCGGCGTCGGCGGGGTCCTCTTGCTGGTCCTGTGTGGTGGTGTCCTTGTCGTCGGCGATGTCCTCTTCACCGTGGTCGATGAGTTCCAATTGCTCTTCGATGTGAAGGTCGGATGAGGCTGAGTGGTCTAGAGGAGTGGTGGTGGTGGTGGATGGTGATGATGATGATGGAGTGAATGATGAGTTGTCCTCGGGGGAGTTGGGTATTGATAAAGAATCCATTGGGTCTCGGCGGTGGCTGATGTTCTCTTCGACGATGACGATGGTGGTGCAGAGACGCTGGTGCAGAGTGTGTGTGAACGGTGATGGTCGGTTCAGAGTAGGAGAACGGCCCACTCGCGCTGGTGCTCCGAGGATGGTTGGATGGGCGGACGGGAAGGGGGACGATGGTTGAGTCGAACGGTCGGTAGCCGAGTTCCTGGGTGGGTTTGGGCGGCAGAATGGTCGTGAATGGGTCAGGACCAGGAGGTGGATGGGCGGCGGTAGGCGGTAGGCGGGCGGTTTGATGGATAGGCGAAACGAAGTCACGCTGATGTTTGGCGGTTATTGTGCGTTGGTGCGGTCGATGGGGCAGGCTGGCTGGCCGGCTGAGCGATGATGGTCTGGTCTGGTCAGAGCGGTGATGGTCTGGTTAGAGAGAGTAGTGAGTTGTTTGTTGGTCAGGAGGAGGAGGAGGAGGAGGAGGAGAAGAAGAGGAGGAAGAAGAGAAGAAGTTGGGTCAACGAGATGAGATGGTGAAACGGCCAGGAACCAGGGAATCAATTGATGTGGATGCAGTGACGGGTGGAGGAGAGCGAGAGAAAGAGAGAGATAGAGAGAGGGATCACAGGGAAGGAGGAGGAGTGTGGGTGGGTGGTGGGTGGTGGGTGACGGTGACGGGTGACGGTGATTAGGGGATCCAAGGGTTCTCTCTCTCTCAGCTGTGTGTCTATGTGTGTGTGGATATGTGTGTGTGTGTGTGGATACGTGTGTGTGTGTGTGTCTCTCTCTCTCTCTATCTGTGGGCACACGGCGGTGGGGCAAGGGAAAAGAGGCAGCAGCAGCCAGCAGCAGCAGGGAGGGAGGGAGAGAGATTCAGCCCCGGCGCAAGTGTGGAGATGGATGACTACACCTGCATATTCACGACGACTGCCTAGTCCTGTGCTGTCCTGGACTGCCACTGGACTGCCACTGGACTGCTATTGTACTGTTACTGTACTACGACGGTATTGCTACTGGATTGTTTTTACCAGGACTCACCTACACCTACTGTATCTCTCTGGGCTGAGTGGTGGTGCGTGCGTTCCATCCGTTGCGTACGCCTCTGCCTATGCCTATACGTACTAGGCATGCGTCTGCTGCGTGGTTCGGAAGTCGATCTTCGGGCACACACACACACACACACTCACTCACACTATACGCACACACTCACACTCACAAACCCACTCTCTCTCTCTCTCTATATCCATCACCACACAGACACACACCACACACAGGCACCGCTCTCTGGAAGGAACATGTCGACAGTGTGGACGACCACCGTCCTGTCCTCTCTGTACATACACACACACACACAGCTCCAGGAGTATCGCACGCCGCCATGGTAGAGCGTAAATTAACGGGCGATCAGCAGTTGAGGTCGCGAACGTCTCTTCCTCCTCCCCTCCTCCTCCTGCTGCTGCTGCTGCTGCTCTCCATCGTGCCTTTTCCCAGGCAGGCAGGCAGGCAGGCAGGGAAAAGACCAGTCCGCACGACCGATGAGCGGTGCAGCAGACGTTTGGACGGAGAAGGCGAGGGGGAAAGAACCAACCGTTGTGGAGAAGAAGCTCTGAGAGAGAGGGAAGGCTTGCGCGGACTGCGAGAGAGTCCACCTGTCCTCGCTCGTATCTGTCTTCCCCAGGTCGGTCCAACGGACTCCCTCCAGCAGCGATGGTCACGAACAGCGGCGGCAGCAGCGCAGTGGGAAAATAAAACCGTCGCTATACACTACACAATAGATGATACACTGTCATACAGTCCGGTCCCAATACCTACCCGCGCCTCCTCGCATGACATAAGCCCTCGTCACGACCGAAAGAGCAGCCGGGATATACAGTACGTCCATGGAGAGTCAATCAGGCCGCGCCGGGCATAGTAGTACTATATTTCATCCGACGGCCGATGGAAACCCAGCGAAGCATGGCGATGAGACGAGCGAGGTCCAGTCCCCGCCCGTCCCGAGTATGCACGCCCTAACAGTTATAGTTATCGTCGTCCAGTCGGCCTCGCATGCCCGCCGTGTGTGCCACTCCTCGGCCAACCAGGGAGCGGCGGGCGTGCTGCGGACGTCGGGGTTCCCAGTAGTCAGCAAGGCGGGCAAGGCGAAGCAAAAGCGGCGTGGGAGAACGGTGACCCAGCCAGGCCCGCTCGCACCGGGGAATTTGGGCTGATTTCGTCTGGAGTCGGTCGACGGGCATAGAAAAGCCCTGGGGAATTATCGATGGAGTTTATTGATTAGGCCCTGAACTTTCCCAAGCAATCCATGTCGCTTCGTGCTTTGCGTGATGGCCGTGGGAATTATAATTGGACATTCGGCCGTGTCTAGCGCGTGTGCGCTGCGCTACTGCTTAGTTGCCGGGAGAGAGGGAGAGGGAGAGGGAGAGAGGGCTTGTGGATGTCCACACACGGTCATGATGTGGAGAAGGAGGAGGAAGGTTTGGACTCTCCCCTTCCGTTGCCTTCTGTCGGTCTCCATACCTCGAACGAATGAACGAATTCCAGTTCCGCCAACCCACGCGGTCTTCGCATCGTCGTTCGCGCGACTCATCGATGGAGTCGTGGGCCCGTAGGAGGACCTACCTGCCTGCCTGGATGAGGTCCTATCTGCGAGATGGGCGAGGAGCGTGGGATCTCTATCGGATGCCTATCCATCCAAGATTGTCATCGTCACTGTAGGCTCCCAAAGAAAACAATTCCCCCGATCACGATGGTGAGAATCCATCAGGAATCCTGGAGGCCTTGGGGAAATCGAGGCCACGATCGGACGGCCGCCTAATGACATCCATCCTATGCATCCATCCACCCACCGCCACCACCACCATCCATAGGTCCCGACATGACCAGTGCCACACTATCTATCTATCATCATCATCGTCATCATCATCATTATCATCATGCTTTCGCCGGGCGAAGGCCATCGCCAGACAAGAAATGTCCAATGATAAAGGACAGGCCTTGAAGCCGAGCGATATACAGAGAGAGAGACACACACACAGAGGGAGGTGATCGGCGACCGGTGGCGCAAAGATGGCGCTGTTTGGCTCGCTGGCCGATGACGAACGAAGGTGAAGCTTGGAAGACACACAGCAGGGGGACTGGCACGACACGACTGAGAGTGAAAGTACGTAAGTATATGGATTGTTTCGGTGTACTACTTTTCAGTATCTTAGTACAGGAAGCAGCAGTAGTAGTAGTATTACTACCGTGATCTGGGCCTCTGTCTCTTCCTGGAGTATCGAATACATCTGGTTGGTGGACTCGTCTCGGCTGCTGCAGGTGCGCTGCTTTGTCTGTCTGTTCTGACGACTCCTCAATTGACCGCAAGCCACGGGGCGGGCGACCGCTTTTTCTCCGCATTGTGGTCGACGCCGGTCATGCAATCACGATATACAGTACCCCTACCCCTACCCCTACTACCACTTCTACTATTACTACTACAGTATATAGAACTATCGTTGACGGATTTTCCGATCTATTACTAGGTGCGAGAGTTGGTCATGCGCACGCAATTCGTCCTAAGAATCAATCATCACCATCATCATCATACAACAACATATCACTGTGAGTACGACGGGACTCGCGTATCTGAGCCAGATCGAGACAGGGACAGAGAGAGAGAGAGGTCTTGGCACCGGCACATGCGTCCCCACAGACCCTCGATATTCGTATTGTTAGCATCTCCATCGTATCTCAATTTGTGAACATGTATAGACAATAGAATCAATCAATGAATTCCATTTCCACACGACCATACACCGACATCCACACGACCGCTCAGAAAACCTCATCACTTCTGTATGGGGACATTTCAGCTTGTGCAGAGGATCAAACCGCTGGGTGCGATGGGCCTGTCAACCGTCCAGCAGCAATCCGGGACGAAAGTGAAGGTGGAATAGCATAACCCTAACCCGGCATCATCATCCACCTGAACCGATCAATGGCTCAGTCCCAAGAGGAATTCCCAAACACGAGAAGAGTAAATGCAGACCTAGCAATAAATTTTATTCCACTCCCTTTCTCTCTCGCCCATTGGGTCGTCCCTTATTGTTTCGGGACCTGAAACCAGAGGACTAGGAGTTACATTCCATCATGTACAGTACATGCGTGATACATGTACACACTCAGGCGCTGGCGGGAGACCTGTCAATGTCAACCCATTGCCCCATGACTCGAGGATCCTAGCCATGCACGATGGTCATTTCCCGCATTGATGATGGATGTATTTCCACTGGTCTAGTCGGGCCTCGCCTGCGAGATTGGGTTGATTGATTTGATAGACAGGCCCACCACCACCACCACCACCACCACCGTCACCACCTACACCTACCTCGACCGTGGAAGTATGTACAAGTGCCGACATACACCACTGCTGTTTTCCGGCCTGTGACGGATGGATCTCTTTGCCTGTCACTCATACAGCAACTACGTACCCATTCGTTGGATCCGTGTGTGGCTCTCTGTCTGTCACGATGGGTCAGCAAACTCACCCGTCCATCCACAGAACCTCATCCTCGGCCTTGTCTCTATCCGACGATGTTGGTCACGCTGGCTCTCGTAAAGCAATAGACGTTGAGTTCGCAATTCAAGCGATCCATTCATTCATCCATTCATTCGAGAGGCTCGACGATCACCGAACATGCATTCGTCACATGCTGGGCAGACAAGCACACACGCCCACACCCACCCCTCTTTCGCATGGACATTGCCTACGCATTCCGGAATTATATGAGCCCTCGCCCGTCTTGACTCTTCTACTCATTTCCAAGGACAGTCTCCGTTGGTTGGTGGAATGATTGGCCGCCTGTTGGTTTCCTGCTTTCACCACGAGCGACGGATAAGAATAGCCTCCCTCGTGATTGTCGTCATCTTCATCGTCTAACTGGTGCCTGCTTTTTTTCTCCTTCTCCGATGACAACTGTACTAAACGTAGATAGATGAAACGTGCACTGTAACCTAACTCTGCGACGATACCGACTGGGCATGAGATTCGATCTCGTCGTCTGCATCCATCCGCCCACGAAACACACGTCGCGAAGCCCTAAACGATGGACCTGGACAAGAACTAAAAGTTCAGCCCCCAACAGCATTGCGCTCATCGCTGCCGCATCCGCACCTGGTTCGTCCACACAGGAGCGGAAAACACCCACGCCGCAGGTCCGCAGGCGCCGCGCTTCACTCGCCTGAGTAGCTGCTATGCGCACATGCGGCTGAGTGGAGTTTGACATCATGATACAGATTTCGAGCTGATGGGCCAATCGGCGCCTGGGAGGGCTGGGTCGTCTCTTCCACCGCGCGGGCCCAATCATGGACGAGGAGGAGGCGCATGTTTGGGAGAAATCATGATACTGCACTGGGGCATTGGCGGCCTGCTCAGCCCGCGGATTGGATCGATGCTCGGGGATCGAAACCCTTTTCGCTCAAGGGCGCTCGATCAGCTTCCCATTCCTTTCTTTTCCTTTTCGCGTGTTCCCCGGCGCACGATGGCCATGGCGATGCGGATCACGATCATCGTCGCCATCGTTCGTCATATGTGCGTTGTCCACAGGACTCTCCACGAGAGCCTTCGCGCACGAAGGAAGAAGGACCATCTAGTGGCCACTCGCTGTCCTTCCTGGTCCTTAGTTCGTCCTTCGTCTTTGTCATCGCTGCCAACAGTCCCACGCGGCCAACGCGTCATCGTGCAAGATGCCGTTCAGCTTGTTGCAGGATTCTATACTTAGATGCGCACGACTTTACGCGGTTCGTCCCGTACCGAAAGCCCTTCCCGCTGTTGCTATACATAGAATTACGAAATGCTAACTTCGGAAAATTGAAATGGGTATGATTTTGCGCCGCTCTCGTGGTGATCACATGCATGCGCATCGCACACATCTTCTGGATACTGCTTACGACATCGCTTCCATCTTCATTTCGGAGTCCTCAGCCATAGTACGAAGCCTTGGCAGCGGTGCAAAGAGGTCTCGCCGTTGGAATTGGTCATGAGGGCTTGTGGCGCCCTGTCATCCAATGTGAAGAACAATGCTTACAGTGTCGATCATTTCGGACTCTCATCCGAGGCCGTCTGATCCATCCTTGGAAGACAGTAGAGAAACGCTCCTTGGGACTCGATAATGAGTATTCCCAAGCTAATGGGCAAGTCCCGCATGGCTCCGGAGTGATGCTGGCTCGAGCTGTACTCACCTTTCCACGGACAGAGCAAGTCTTGTGGCTCCGCTGTGTCGTATTTGTAATGCGCCACCAATGGACGGACTTTCCTGTCAAAAAGAAAATGCCCTGTCGGTCCACGGGTCGGAATCTGGGCAAGTGGACCAAGATGGAGCAGCGATGCACCGTCAGTTTGATCAACCAAGTGTCAAAATCCCTCCCCGGCCAAGTCAGCAGGTGAGCACACGACTCCACCCCGAATGGCGGGTAAATTTACCATGATCTTCCTGTTCCTCTCGCGGAATCGCAACCGTTGGGCCACGATGTCGGGATTCGCTGCGCTGTACCCCACAAGTCCCAACTGCCGTACCAGGAGACCGATCCCCGTTCATCACCCGCCCCTCCCGAGCCGAACCAGATCCATAACTCGGCCTTTGCGAACCCTACATATCAACCGCTTCAGAAAAATGGACCATCCAGTGGTTCACCTCTCCCTTTCTCAGTCCAGGCCCGCTCGGAACCCATCCCCCCTGGTCGAGCCAGCACAGCAGGGAGATTGGACGTGAAATTTAAAAGGCCCGTATGACCATCGCGATCGTTTTTTCCATCTGACCCTTCTTTTCCCTCGAATTCCCCACACAATTCCTCGCCTCATCGTCGATGCTGCGCAGTGATCGACAGATTTCTGCCCGACAGGGACGATTCGTCTCTTTTTCTTGGCCGTCGGCTCCTCTTTCTCTCTCTGTCTGACCCTCTCCCGCCTGGGAAGGGCGCCCGCTAGCTGCCTGGTCCGCCTCTGCTCAACGGTCTGCACAGCAGAGGTCCGCTCACACCTGCTTTCCCTCCCTCTGTCCCTCCTCCTCGCTTGCATTGACTGACTCGCTGACCATGCGTCGCACGTGCGGCTTTTCTCCGGCCGGCGGATGAGCAAAGCCATACACGCAGCGAGGCAGGGCGAAACAGTCCCCCCTCAACGGTAGGCCAGGCCCTGCTTCCCGCTCCAACGCAGTACGACGCTGCAACGGCAAGACCACAGCTCAAGCTTCCACGCAACGCATCCCCGACCACGCCGCATTCTCTCTCCCTCCTTGCCTCAACCTGTGGACAAGCTCTGACACCTCTGCCGCTGCTCCAGCCCCTGCGTCCCGTCCCTGGTCCACCCTTCAACCGTCGGCACCCTCGATCTCCCAACCCGGATTTCCACCGTGAACCCTTGGATCTTCTTCAGAGCCACAGCCAGCTCGCGGAGTCGCCTCCTAACGACCCCCGAAGAACACCTGCGATGCGCGAGACCATGGGTTCCAAGATTGTGATGGCCCCCTGTCGCCACGACGCCTCGATCAATTTCCCGGATATCTGGATGCGAGGAATCCGTCCGTCAGACGAGCCGCCACGACGAGGAATCCAAACTGCAAAGCGAACGTATCGCGGACGAAACGAGAACGTTTTCCCACACGAGAGGTGATGTTGCTGTCGTTTCCATTTCTCCTGCCCTCGAATTCCTCCATTTGCACTTTCCTCCCCAATCATCATCACCATCGTCACCGGCGAGGAGAAAAGAAAAGGGAAGCGGGCCAACGTTGACGATTCAACGACCGCACATGTTTCCCCCTCCTCCCCTCCCCTGCGTTTCCTCTTCTCGCCCTTTCTGCCCATCACTGCCCTTTGCGTCGCATAGGGAAAACGGAAAACAGGGTAGGAAAAAAGATAGACCGTGCCGAGACGGGAGCCTGCCCTGCATCCTCTCTCCCGCCCCTGCCGCGATGTCGTTTCTTCGGCTTTTCCCAGCCCCTGCCCACCCCTGCGTCTGTCCGGCTCCCTGCGTCGGTCCGTTTCTTCCTCCCTGAGATGTTCCCTTTTCCCTGCATTGGAATCGAATCGAATTCGTGACATCGTCTTTCTGACTTTGCTTTTTTTTTTGCGTCCCTGCGAATCCACCCTTGGACCCCTCCCCGCTGCATTGGACTTTTTCGCGATTGTCGAGGGTCCAGACTACCCTGACTGAGGCGGAAATGCGATCGGAGAGCTCCGATGACGAATTCCCTTTCTTTCTTTCTTTCTTTTCGGAGGGGGATCTTGCCCTGGAGCATCTCCTGGAGCATTTTACTGGAGCCTCCTGGTGGATTTGTGGATTTGTGAGGGGTCTTTCCGTGTTTCGAAGACAGGCCGACGTTTCATGCTGTGGAAGATGCTCAGCTGAGAAAACTTCGCCCTTCCAGCCTCGAGCTAGAATCATGACTCTTCAACGTGGACTCGTTGGAAGAAACACGGGTACGTCCGACTCCTTTTCGACTATCCTCGCTCGCCCACTATATATCACCCATCACCTTTGGTGGCGGAATGGCCGGGGGTGATCTGTGGAGTGTATTTCTTGTAGGTCATGCATGAGTGTCGCACTCATCTCGTGCTTTTCACGTCTATGATGAAGACACACGGGATGCCGCGCTTGCCTGTCGCTTTTTCTACGCGTGTGCCGATCACCTGTGACATCAAATCCTCGTCCTAGGGGGACAGTATCTTGCAAGTTGTGACCTTCGCGGTCTTGTCTGCGCCGTGGTGTATGACATCCCTCTATTCGTGCTTCCGAATTGGAAACCAAATTTGATGAGTGTCGGTTGAAGTCTGAATCCAGGAGGTCGAGGCTCTATGACCGTGCGGTCAACGCATCCATCAATCCATTTTGTCGGTCCATCTGCCAGGGAGTGTCCGGATCGGTTGATTGCACATGAATGGGCATAGTCGAAATATGACGGCCGGGCACAAGCGCGCCGTGAGCTCCCCTGAGGTGACCAGTCGTTTAAGTCCTTGCTCCAGCTTTTCGCCGGACCGTCGAACACTCTGCCGAGATGGGTTTGTTGTGGCGTCGTACTCGCATTGCTCAGCCAACGTGTAGTAAGCATCGATTCTCTCATGTTCGGTCAACCCAAAGATCTGCACGGGAGCATCTCCAAGTAAGCCGTATAGTCCCAAGGACGCCGCGGTCCTCGCTGAGGCATGTGTCACCACGGTGTCGACGACGACCATCCATTTCGACCTTCGGTTCAGCAGAGATACCATATCGTGACCCAGGGGGACGAGGTAGTCTGCCATCACCGATCCACAATTGCCATATCGGCCTACGAAATGTTCCAAGTTCCGCAGAGGCTGTTCGCTTCGATTGTCGCGCCCCTCGTAAAAAGCCTCATAGCCAGCTTCCCAGTTCAGATGCACAAAAGGCGTGCGATGAGCATCGGTCCATGCCTCCTCGGTGATGATCGAATTACGAGCCTCCCACTCCAAATCTTTGGGGATGTCAGGATCGCAATCGTCAATGTCGAAGGATCCTTCCTCAAACGCCACCTCGCGCGACTCGAAGCAGACGCGAGTGATGAGTGGCGGACGCTGATTGAAATATGTCGACGTCACAAGAGCACAAGGCGCCTCCCCTCGAGCGTAAATGCAGTCAGCGGCAGGACGATCTCTTTCATCAACGCGGTGCGGTAGGCAGAGACGCCATATCTTCCGGCGCAGCTCGACTGGAAGTCTGGAAAACGCAGCGAATTCCGGGGGCGCAGAGGCGGTAGTCGACATCGTTGCGAGCTTGTAATAACGCGGTTCTTGGATGTAGTTGGAATATACATCCTTCGCCTTTGCCTTTGTTCACGGCAAATTTAGGGCTCCCTGAGCCTCCCGTTCTTGTTCTTCTGTGTCGCTCTCTCACCAGAAGTCGCTGTGAAATCACTCACCCGAAGCAGATTGATGCGATAGGCTATAAAGTTCTATTTGACTCTTCTTTGTGTGATCGAGCTTGCGGTGTCCCGATTGAGGCGGACGGAACATGTTGTGCCGCAATGAAAGTGGCCCTCTACAACTCCCAAACAAACACAGTACACGGACAGCGAGCTTCGAACGTTCTCTCATTTCTTCACATGCCTAATAATAAATCATAGAAGTGTTTCCTCTTCTCGTAAGTAGTCTATTCTCAGCATCAAGTTGCTTCCCAAACTCAATTGCGTTTAATCATGCCGCTGCTAAAATCTGATGATGAAGATCAATGACTATGACATCTAAGCAGAGGGGAACAATCGGCATGACAAATCGTACATCCCGATTATAGGTTGGAGTGGAGGAGCGCAGCTCGGATTTCGCTCCAGCAGTACTGTAGATATACCCATCGGATGGATTCTGGTGGGCGGTGTGTATGAGCCGATAGACCAATGCCCGATTGAATTCCGAGCGAACTTTGCTCGCTTCGCCTGCTGGGAGCAGAGGACGTGGGACGAGAGTTGATGCCAGGTTATCGGACGTGTGCGCGTCGCGCGCTCCCTCCTCGCACAATTCCTTCCAAATTTGACACGCTGGGATGAGTTATGAAAGGACACGACCAGATGAGACTCCTTGTGTCCGGCATGTTCGGGCGCTTGTGTGCTCTCGCTCCACATTGGTCGCTGTGTCTAGAGGTGCTCTGCTGCAAGAGAAAGTCTCGATAAAAGAGCCCAGCAACGGAAGTGCAACATCCTCGGTCAGCGTCGTGGTCGATAATGTTTTCCGCCAGGACGATTACAACTCGACGGACACAAGCGAAAGATGATCGCGGGCTGCAGCTTTGATTTCAGGCTTTGGCCAGGAAGAATTCTATTTTTCTTTGTTATCAGACTCTGCAACTCTGCCTCCAACTCATTCGCGGACGGGCGGACGAGATTTTGGAGAGGATATACGCCATTGCCCAGCTCGTATTCCTCTGCTAACGTGTACATGGCGTCGATTCTGTCGATCTCTGTAGCCTCAACCATCTGTACAGTGGCATTCCCTAAGAGATCGTGTAGCTCTGTATGGGCGACATAGCTTGACGGCGCATGCGTGACGACGGTACGCATGGCTACTAGCCAGCTCGACTTTTGGTTGAGTATATCCACTATTTTGCGCCGATTGTCTACGCCGGAGCATTCTTTGAGGTATCTGAACATTAGTGATGTGCTGCATTCGATGACAGTAGGGAAATAGTCCAGATGTCATAAAGACTCATATCTGTTGTCGTCCCCGAAGTGATCAACCGCATAGCACTCATCCCAATTTGTGTGTCGTGCGTACATTCTTCGCTCGTCCTCACAGGTTTTGAAACAAACACAATTCCCGAACTCTCACGCCGAGGCATCTGACATCTCGGGCCCGTCGTATGATATATGATACCTCGCGTTGGGCCTCCTTAAATGCGACTTCCCGGGCTTCAAAGCAGACGCGAGTGATTAACGGAGGGCGGGTATTCAGATATGTGGATGTGTGAAGTTCACAAGGGACTTTCTCCACCACATATAGGCAGTGTCCAACAGGAAGATCTAACTGGTCCACACGATGTGGTAGACAAAACGCCATATTTGTCGTCGTATCTCGACCGGAAGACCTGGGAAGAACGCGAACCTGTTAATTAACGGAGACATGCTTGGATTCAGTGGCTCAGCTTGCGCACATCCTCGGCTTTTGAGCCAGGATCTTGGACATCGCCGAATCAACCTGGCGAAAATAAGCTGTTGATCGCGATGAGAGAGATGAGCAATGAACCTGAACTTGTTGTCAACACCGAGTAGTCGTCGCTCTGGTGTACGAAAACAGCTTTGTTTCCAACCGGAAGCCTATACTGAATTCGGATGGCAGATTCACGGCCAGAATGTCCATGCTGACGGGAGTCGTCGACACGCATGATTGCACATGTACGGACACCATCGAAACATGATAGCAGGACGTAAACGAGTAGTGAGGTTCCCTTCACGATATTTCTTCTTGTCTGTGAAGAAGTCTTGAAGTTCATGATCAAGCTCGGCCGCTGTCCGCCGAACGATCCTTTGAGCCTGACGAGGATCGCAACCTCTCTCGCATTGCTCGGCCAATTCGTACATAGCGGCCACTCTGTCAGCATCGGCGGAATCAAGGACTTGTACTGGTGCGTCGTATAGCAGACCGAAAAATGGCGCTGCGACGCTTCTCGGAGCGTGCGTTACTACGACATCCATTACCACTAGCCATCGAGACTCGCGATTCAGTACGTTCAGAACGTGGGTCCAATCCCGCTGAGTATATATCTGTTTCAAGTATACAAACATCAGCGAACCACAATCCTTGTTCTTCGCTGCGCAGTGCTCCAGATAAAGTAGTGGCTGTTCATACACAGCGCTTTCAGCGCCGTACTCCGCCTGGTATCGGCCGTCCCAATTTAAGTGTGTGAGATGTGTGCGAGCGGGAGCCTCCCATATGGTGTGGTTGATGGAGTTGCCAGCGGACCATCTCGTATCGAAGGGCGTAACTGGTCTTCCGTGATCATTAAAGGTGCCTTGTTCAAATGCGACCTCTCGAGACTCAACGCAAATCCTGGCGATCGTCGGAGGCTCATGGTTGAGGAGCGTTGAAGGTGTAAAGGGGCACGGTGCACGTTTGTGGAATGGAAACCAGCAGCCGCCGACAGCATAATCTATCTCATACACTCGATGTGGTAGACATAAACGCCAAATCTCTCGTCGGAGTTCAACAGGAAGCTTGGGGAACAGGGCGAATACACTCGGAGAGGAGCTATTTGCTGCCGGCGTCGCATCCGACTGTTCACGAGATGAAACAGGCATCTTACGGGCACCAGCATCTCATCTGACGTAACTCGAGCCTTCTGCACAGATCATGCTGCGTGCAGGAGCCGCGAACGTAAAGGCATCCGTCCAACTCATTGAGCCTCAAGAAAGATGCGTCGACTTCGGGCCGTCCGTGCACCCGCAACGAACTTCTCGCTGCCTGGAAATGATTTGGTGTTTCTGATTGAGCTTTTCGGTCTCGCATGGATGTCCGAAATGGCCGGCTGAAGCGGAAGGAGTAGACAGATCATGAATGGTCTAAATCGAATCCACCCTCTCGTGACGCTTCAGTGTACCTCAGCATAACACCGTCCCTCGTCCCATATTCCGACATATATTCATCGATATATCATGTGTGATCTAGTCGAAACGGAAGCATGGACGGATCTGTCTCGTTTTCAAATGGACAAACGTTTCGGAATAAACCAAACCCTAACCCTAAGTATGGGCGCGGCCGGGGTGCCGAATGATTCATGCCCTCTAGGTATTTGACGGCTACATTCACCTCGACCTCGCCAAGTATGCATCCTGCCTAGTTAGACACGAGCGCACACTGTGAACAAGAGGAGTGATCAGCCGTTCCGTCAATCTCACGAATGCGCTGGTGGTTCTTCCTCACGATGAGGTTGTTACACGGCTCCAGAAGTCAATATGACTCACCCGGCTACATTCCGAAGCATTGAGCTGCACTGCCACTGTCGACGACAACAAATATAAAACACACGCGCTGTCCGTCAACGTGCTGTCGTATTACTTTCTATCCCGAAAACCAGGATTGGAATTTCGAAGGATGGCGTCCGAACGCCGTGAACAGCCGCCATGGACTCCCCCCGAGCTTCTGGCCGGAGTGCAGCTCCCTAAGCTCAAGATCCACAACAGCCTGACGAGGCGAAAAGACGACTTCGTTCCTACCGATCCGGAAGGCAAGGTAGTGACGTGGTATGCTTGCGGTCCTACAGTTTACGAGGATGCACATTTAGGCCATGCGAAGAACTACGTTTCGACCGACATTATCCGTCGCATCATCAAGGATTATTTCGGCTTCCAGGTCAAGTTTGTGATGAACACGACGGATCTTGATGACAAAATCATTGTCAGAGGTCGTCAACAGCATCTGTTTGCGCAGTTCAAGCAGGAGCACCACACCGAAGATGATTTAGTGACCGATGCGATTGTGCAGGCGACTGAGTCAGCTCTGCAACAGTACATCAGCAAAAGCCTCCCATCTGTATCCTTGGCAAAAAGCCCAGGAACTCTTCTAAAGCAACTGGATGAAGTACTCAAGGATATTTTGGAGCCTCAACAGGTCTCTCCTGCGGCGAAGCACGAAGCCATAACAGAAGCCGACCTGATGCTGAGAGCACACATCGCGACCATTCGATCCGCCGCCGCAGCACTCCAAGCACCAGGTAATGCTCCCGACTTCTTTGCAAGGACGCAAGATATTCTCCTCCCATATCTCGATGCTCTACATGGTGCAAAAATGGATTCCAATGAACGCGATATTTACTTGAACCTCACGCATAAGTTTGAGCGTCGTTTCTTCGAGGATATGGACGCGCTCAACGTTCTCCCACCTGACAAACTTACACGTGTAACGGAGTACGTACCTCAAATCGTGAGCTTTGTCGAGACAATCGTGGTCAATGGCTTTGGCTATGCCACCACTGATGGCTCCGTATACTTCGACATTGACGCATTCGAGGCAGCTGGCCATAGCTATTCCCGCTTGGAGCCATGGAACAAGAACGATCGCGTCCTCCAAGCCGATGGTGAAGGCTCACTGTCGAAAGGAAAATCAACTAAGCGAAGCGAGAACCATTTTGCTCTCTGGAAAGCAAGTAAACCTGGTGAGCCTGCTTGGCCGAGCCCTTGGGGCAATGGTCGGCCAGGGTGGCATATCGAGTGCTCTGCAATGGCATCTGATGCCATCGGTAAGACTATTGACATTCACTCCGGTGGTGTTGATCTTCGATTTCCCCATCATGACAATGAGCTTGCGCAATCTGAAGCTTACTGGTCTACTCCCGATTGCCACGTGCAGTGGACCAACTATTTCGTCCATATGGGACAATTGAGGTGAAGACTAGAGTCTCATAATTCCCGAGAGAAGATGCTAATTTATCGCAGAATCCGAGGGTTGAAGATGAGTAAGAGTCTGAAGAATTACACGACCATCCGATCCGTTCTTGCCGGAAACGAATGGACATCTCGAACACTTCGGATCTGCTTTCTCCTTATGCCCTGGCAGGACGCGATCGAGGTGACAGAGGAGCTCATGAAAGCTGTGATTTCCTGGGAGGGCAAGATGAACAACTTCTTCCTCAAGAGCTCAAATATCGCAGCGCAGGCTGATGTCAAAGCCACTGCTGAGGTAGAGCAGACGCCCGCAGACTCCCAATTACTCAGCGCTTTGGAAAGTGCAAAGAGCGACGTCCACACAGCACTCTGCGATTCGTTCAACACTTCGGCGGTCATGCGAATTCTCTCCGATCTCGTCACGGAAGCTAATTCCTCTGAGATGCCATCAGCACAGACCGCAATCTCCATAGCGAAATGGATATCACGTATCGTGAGCATATTCGGTCTCGATTCGGAGGGAGATTCTAATGATACAAACCGCATCGGATGGTCGGGCCTTCAGATCCCTGAGCCAGCGAGGCCCTACGTCTACGCCGCATCTGGGCTGCGTGACGAGGTACGGGCGATGGCTTTCGCGAATCCGATAGAGCATGATGCGATATTGGAGTCGGCCAACGCTGCCTCCATGAATATGCCAGCACCGGCATCCGAATCCTCGAAACCATACCAAACGGTGCTCGAAGACTTCCGCGACGAGATCGCCGCGCTTTCAGCTCGAAAAGCTTCTGCAAAAGATCTCCTGGCTGTATGCGACCGACTCCGCGATACGCGCCTCTGGGATTTGAATATATATCTCGAAGACCAGAAAGATTCCCAATTTGCCCTGATCCGACCCCTTGATCGATCACTCAAAGAAGCTCGAGCAGAGCGAGAGTCTGCGAGTCTTGCCAAGGCACAAGCGAAACAAGAACAGGCGGTTCGCGAGGCGCAAAGGGAGCGTGAGCTACTGGAGCGTGCCAAGATTGATCCGCTGCTCATGTTCAAGACAGGGACCGAATTTTTGGAATGGGATGAGAATGGCATCCCGACGATAGATGCTACTGGTGTAACAGTATCGAACAGTAGACGGAAGAAGCTGGTCAAGGAATGGGAGAAACAGAAGATTCGGCATGAAGAATGGTCGGACACTAAGCAAGCATGAGTTCAATGCCCGTCTTAGCCGATCGTGATTGGATAGATAACATCGCATGCAACAACATCTACCCAAACACTTCAGACTTGACCTCGTGACACTGAATTCAGGGGATTTTTGTCCTTCATGCTAAATTGATCTCCGCTATAGCCTCGATCGTCCCACACTGCCGATCGGAATGGCCTGAGAACGCAATCCGCAGCGGAAGACATCGTCTATGGATAGAAACCTACCTTGCTGTTTGATAACCATGATGGGCCTAGCTCCAAGGCGCAAGAGAAGCTACCAAGTATCGACGACGACGACGAAGGCGTCGCATCGCCTTTTCGTGATCAATTCGACGACGACATTCTTGACAATGCAGATGGAGCATTGCTCATGACGGGTCGAAATCAAAGATCAACTGGCCATCCCTTCGAGCTATTTCCCGTCAAAGAGGAACGGAAGCTGGTACACAAGCTCGACGCACGGCTCGTTCCCTTCGTGCCCTACTCTACCTCGTACTCTCGTTCATCGACAGATCTGGCATTGGAAATGCACGGCTAGTTGGTCTAGTCGACGACCTTTAGCTCTTAAACGACGACTACGAATGGCTACTAACATCGCTCTACCCTATGTATATCCTCTTCGAGTGGATGGCTATTTGCAACTGACTATTTCCCGTATACCTCTATATCAGCTGCCATGTAGACGCCTGGGAGTTATCGCTTCGCTATAAGCCACTACTGCCAACTTCCCTTTACTCGTTGTCTTGCGCGCGCTACTCTGCACCGGCGAAGCAGCATTCGATGGTGTTCCGGTCTATCTGTCTTTCTTCAAAGGAGTGGACCTAGCGTTTCGCATAGGTCTATACATCTCGGCCGCGCCGCTGGCGACCAGTTTTGCTAGCAGTGTAGCGTATACTATTATAAGCCTCGATAATGTCGCAGGCGGCTCCGCCAGATACCGACTTTTGTTCCTAATCGAAGGTCTTCATGACTGTCTCATTGCTATGTAAGTATGGAATTGGCTTCCCGATGGTCCTGAGTCCATAGCGTGGCTGTCCCATCGGGAACAAGAAATTGCTGCTTTGCGCATACGGTATTCAGGCTGCTGGTGCGGTTCAGCCGACCGGTGAACTCCTGCAGTTGATCCTTTAGGCGGCGCAGGTGCAGAATTTGGATGTCTCTGCACTTTCAAAAACGCTGAATGGCATTGTAGTCAGAGCGATCGCTCGTCCAAAATCAGCCCTGCCGATTGTTCACCTCAACATCGCGACCCATGAATGCGTTTCACCATTTTTACTATCACTGGAAGTCCGCCTTGGAAAATCATATTGCACGTGAATCAAATATAGTAATCTATCTTCATAAAACAAAATCGACCACCAAGAACTCTGACGAACAAAGAGAAAAAGGAAAAGGCAATAAACCCAAGAACATCGCAACAGAAAAGGACAAAAAGGTCAATACCAAATTCCAGTACATCCCACATCAATAGATCCCAGTCAGAAATCCCAAGAGCACAGACACAACACCTTTCACCCATCCCACAAATCGTCAACAGTTCTGTGTCAGCCAAGCCTTCATTTCGCCAATCGTCGGACACTCCAAGAACAGCGAGCTCTTGATCTCAATACCGACCTCAGCGCGGAATTTCTCTGCCAGTACTAACGAGAGCAGGGAGTCGATTCCCAGGTCCGCGAATGCCGCCTCATCAGCGAGAGATTCCATGGGCAGATTGGTCTCGCGGGCGATGACTTGCAGACAGTGTCCTGCGACGCCAGCGGGAGCTTCGATGGTAATTTCGGTGACGGAGGGAGCTGGCGTCGCAGGTGCGGCAGCGGCGATGGGTTCGGGGTATACCTTCTCGAGGGTTTCTTCGGAAGGAGGCGTAAGAGGTTCCACTGGGCCAAATCTTGGCTTCGCCTGTTGCTTCGAAGGAGTGATGTCGATGCGCTGGGGAATAATGGGGATAGATGCGGGAGGAGTTGATAGCTGAGCCTTCTTGATCGGAACTGGAGGAGCATCCTTCTTGAACGCGGCAACGGCGACAGTGGATGCTGGCTTGAGGGCAGCGACCGGGGCTGCATGAGAGGTTGACGTATTGGCGTCCGGTGCAATGAAGAAGCGATCCATCAGCATCCTAGGAACGCGACGGAAGCGAATCTGGCCGACCATGCCCACGACGGTGTCACCCTGGAAAATGTAGACATCACCGCCGTAGACGATACTACCGCCGAAGTTCTCCGAGGGAAGCTGGAACATACGAACATAGCTGCGGTACTTACCGCCTGCCTCGAGAGGTTTATGCAGACGGAAGCTCTCGCAGCCAGGTGTGACGTAGAAGTAGTCGCGGGTGTTGGATGCATCGCTGCCGTTCATGATCAGGCCCGCCAAGTGGCAGACACTATCAATCCAGTGGGGCGGAGTGTGATGGCTTCCATGACGGTCGTTGGTCAAGGTAATGTTTGCAAACGCTTCGTGATCGTTAATGACAACGTCATCGATGCCCCGGTAACGGTCGGCGTAATCGACGACATTCTTGAACAATGTGTAAGCCATATTCTTGTTAAGTCTGCTGGCCTTGCCAGTAGCGGCCAGCTGGTCCAGAGCGTCAATCCGTCCGAGGATCAAGTGCTCGACTCGAGACCACTCGGCAGTCCATCGATTAGGGTCCTCGAATGACACGAGACCAGAGGCGAAGTGCTCATCGTGGCGCTTGCCGGTCGTGGAATCGACATTAAAGAAGCGCGTAGTCATGGTGCCAGAAGCAGCATCGAGCTGGGCTTCCAACTCCAGCAATTGAGAGATGCCGGGGGTTTTGGAAGCGATCTGCGCATGCAAGACCTCAAAGTCTTGGAATCGCATGTGCACATCTTTGGCAGTAGGGACCAGGAGCTTGTATAGATGCTCGCCGGCAGACAAGACCATATCAGACCAGATGGACTACAGAGGAGTATGGTCAGCAGGGCCTCACGTGATTTCCGAAGCTTCACACTTACCGATGTCGCAACACCACATCCATTCATCTGGTGACCCCAGATGCTCTCAAAGAATTCTCCTTGCTGCATATCGCTAATCGCGCGCATGTAGACGCCCTCGGCGCTCACAGTCTCCTCAACGACAGTGTGAATCAACGAAGTACGGAATGTGGAGACGGCGACATTCTGCTTCTCCGCGGGCTTATCAGGCTCACCGTACTTGAGCTTGGCCTTGTCAAGAGTCCAAGTACCAATGTAGGGAATCCAGTAGTTGGTGTTGTTCCAGCTGTACTTGGGTAAGGTTAGAAGGGAAAGAGAGGCCTCATCCGGCTTGTAAAACTCGTTCCACTTCACAGGTACTCCTGCGAGATGCAGAATGATGAGACTCTTGGCGATAGTGGTAAGGTTGTCCTCATTGCGACGGCACGATGCTGCGACACGGGCCTCCGGAATCAAGCTGCGGACGAAGGTAGTGCAGACCGGGTGTGGCCCGATGTCGACCCACATGGTCTTTTCGTCGACAATACCCATGTCATGTGCGGCGTCGATTGCCGCAGCAAAGTTGACAGTCTCGCGGGTGTGTCGCTTGAGGTATTCGGCGTTTGCGGTCTTGCCATCAAAAATGACACTGCCCATGATAGGGGAGATAACGGGCACGCTCGGGGCCTTGAAGTGGACACCGGAAGCAATTTTGCCGAGGTCTTCGAGAATGACATCCATTTGTGCAGTATGGAAGGCGTAGGGAAGCTCAAGCAAGGTGCACTTAAAGCTGAGCCTCTCAAGAATAAGTCGAAGCTTCCCGATTATGTCCTTGTCACCACCAATGACGGTGTCAGCATGGCTGTTGATGCAAGTGATTTTGTAAACGAGCTCGCCAGCATCTTTCTCTGCCTCAACAGCGGTCTGAATAGCCTCGGGTGTCGCGCGGACAGAGAGCATGGAGTGGCTACCAGCTTTGCAGAGCTTCTCTGTGAGTTGCGCGCGGCGACCAACAATGTTGAGGGCTTCGGCGAAGGAGATGCAGCCTGCTATAGCAAGAGCGCTGTATTCCCCAAGACTGTGTCCGACTACAGCTGCTGGACGAATGCCAAGGTTGAACCAGTAGTGTGCAAGGGCGATCTCCAGAACAACGATGCTGAGCTGACTGAGGACAGGCGAATCAGCGGTTTCTTCGGCAGTACCTTCGAGAATGGGCATAATAGAGGGAAATCCCAATCGCTGCACGATCCTGTCGAGCTGAGATACTTGGCTGCGGAAGTAGGGAGATTGGTCGAGGAGCTCTTGGCGTTTACCGCGCAGCGATCCACTCTGACCGGTGAAAGTGAAAACGACAGAAGGCGCGTTCATTGGAATGCACTTGACTTCCAGCTTCGCCGCGGAGGTCTCGAGGAACTTCTTCAGCTGAGAGATGTTAGAGACTGTGGTTCCGAGACGCAAGCTATGGTGAAGTCTCCGGCTGCAGACAGTGTAGGAAATATTAGCAAGGTTGACCCCAGGGTTCTTCTCCAAGTAGGAGAGAAGGTTCTGAATATTGCCAACGAGCGAGTTCTTGCTCTTGGCGGAGATGGTAAAAGCATGCGAGGTGCGGTCGCCTGTAAGCAGAAGTTTCTCCACTTCCGGGCCGTCCTCCAGAAGAATCGTGGTGTTACCTCCGTGAGCGCCGAAAGAGTTCACGAGTGCTGTTCGCTTCTTTCCGGCAGGACGCGGCCATGCGGCATTCTCCAGCGGCAAAGTGACCTGTCGTCGAGCTAGATCTTTTGGAATTGCCGGATTCACTTCGGTCTTGATACCAATGTGTCTCGGGACCATTCCATTCTGGAAAACAAGCAGAGCCTTGATCAATGAAGTGATGCCGGCAGCAGCTTCCGAGTGGCCGACATTACTCTTGACTGCACCGAGCAACAATGGCTGGTCAGCTTTCCTGCCGTGTGTTGCAGGAGCGAAAACGCTCAACACGGACTGCGATTCAGCAGCATCTCCAGCCTGTGATCATGGTGAGCACAAATTCTGACGGACGATAATAAAGCATTCATGACTCACCTGAGTGCCGGTTCCGTGCATCTCGACGTAGCCTACATCGAGCGGGTTAATGCCCGCGCGGTATACTGTGTTGCGGTAGTTGCTCTCCTGAGCACCCGCATGGGGATGGGTGATGGAGATTGCATCAGCCGAGTGGTTGGTCTTTGCAGACAGAACGACGGCGAGGATTTTGTCATTGTCAGCTTCGGCATCTTCGAGCCGCTTGATCACAACACTGGCTATGGCCTCAGCTCGGCAATAGCCGTCAGCGTCCTTATCCCACACCTTGCACTGGCCCGTCTTGGAAAGGAAGAAGGCATTGCAGAGACCCGCGTAGTTGTCAGGGTCGGTAATGACGTTCAATCCTCCAGCGATAGCAGTATCGACCTCCCCAGCCCAAAGCGCAGAGCAGGCGGCATTGATGGCAGCAGCAGAGCTTGAACAAGCAGTGTCTATGTTGAGCTGTTTTGTGTCAGCAATGGTAATATGATCGAGGAAGGCATCAAAGCTTACAGAAGGTCCACTAAACTTCATGAAGTAGTTGATGCGACCGTTGGCAAATGCTCGTTCACCCCCAGGCACGGCATAAGTACCAATATTTTGCGAAGCGTTAAGCTCACGCCAATCGTCACTGGCCTGACCGTAGTATGTGCCAATTCGCGACGGGTCAGATGAAGCAGTGCGGCCAGAAACTGTACCGGCCATCTCGAGTGCTTCGTAAGCAGTAACCAAAGCCAACCGCTGCATAGGGCATGTCTGCTCAGCCTGCGGTGATTTATTGGTCAGTACGTCTCTTCAGTTCTGCTAATCCATCACCATCGATGATGATTTGGGGGATTTTTTCAACATACCTCCCGTGGGCTCATCTGAAAGAAGGCTGCATCGAAATGGCCTGGATCCTGTAGGAAGTTACCGTACGGAGTCTGAGTTGCATTCTCGGTCTTTCCGGTAGGGTCGTAATGCGTAGCAAGGTCAAAGCGACTCTCAGGGATGGTAGTGTGAGTGTCACGACCCGAACTGATAAGTTCCCAGAACTTGTCGAGATCATCGGCACCGCCTGGCATGCGGCAGGCCATACCGACTATGGCGAGTTTGGCATCAGCTGCAGTGGCAGCTCGTCGGGCACCGTATTCCTTGAACGCCCAGTCCAGGAAGTCGACGTTGCTGACTTCAGCTTCGGTGAGAGCCGATTTGATCGCATTCGTGACGTTTCGGAGGATCAAGCTTGTGCGGAAGCTCTGAATGTAGCACTTATTCATGCCTCGCATGTTACTCAATCCGAGCACGATGTTGTCGGTCATATCATCCATGTAGATGGTACCAGTGATAAGCTCCTTGCAGATATCGCGATAGAGCTCCGCTGCTGTGGCTGAGGGATATGGCTTGCCAGTGCACGTCGACAAAAGCGCGACTCTGACAGGAATCGTACTTGACTGCAGAGCCGACTCTGAACCTTCGATGATCTCATCGACGTCACTGTCGCTGTACACATGCGAGGCATGGCAGACGCCGTCATAGACAGGCAATGGGAAGGATTTCGCATAGCGAAGGACACCACTGTGCTGGAAGGCGGCTTTGAGTTGGGACGGTGGTCCTGTGACACCGATGGACGATTTATCGGCGGCGGAGATGAAAACTTTGGTGAGCTCGGGGCTTCCGGTGTCTTTGTTGAATTTGTTGAGCTCTTGCTGGACGGCATCCTGAGTCATTCCCGGAACAACATGGGCCCAACTCTGGAGCGAGCCATCAGGCTGAGGAGCCTCGAGCTTCCGTGAGAAGTCGGCGACGAACACTCCCAGGCGCCATGAGACTCTCAAGGTCTCTGCAGCATTTTGGACAAGATCGGAGAGGCTGGAAGAGAGAGCGACAGCTGCAGCACTGAATAGACCAATGCTCAGACCAGCAAGAACGATGCGAGACTGTACTGCCTCCCAGGCCAAGCCTTCGGCCTCGTAGTGACTATGGTTTTGTGAGCGCCTGCATACAAGTCAAAAGCTATTGTGCAACGAGAAACATACCCGATGAACATTCCAAGTTGTAGTGTGGTGAGGAAAACACTCTCCATGGCAGCTCCCAGCGGTGTATTTCGGAAGTCACCATGCTCGATGAGGTGGCAGACTGAGTCGAAGTGAGGGACAACCTCCCTCATCGGTTGAGGCAGGAGTGAGACTTCCTTCTTGAGGACGCTTGTGACTTCCTCGAGGAAAGCGGAGAGCTGTCGAAACCGTCTGTCTTTGCTCTGTCTGTAGAGGCGGCGGAACAAGTCCTTGAGGTCATCATTCGGGAACTCATTCCCAAAGAAGACCAACTTGCCCGCATCAATGGCCGTGACGGCGGCCGATGGGCCACCGGAAGCAGTATCCTTGACGTTGCTCATGGTCACGGGCGGCACGTTTTAGATCGAAGAAAGAGACCTTGCGAAGCCATTGACTTGCCTTGAGATTAGATTGCGAAGTCGCGTTCTTTTGAAGCTTACCGGTCATTGTGAAGGATCCAGATCACGTACTGCAAAATCCGACTTTGGCAATGCATCTTGAGTGAGAACGAAGCGACACTATCACGAGCGACTATGTGACATACCGAAAGCCAGAGTGTAAACCACGTGGGATCGGCTTTAGTTGTACCAACCTTTGGGTGTGGCGCATGTCATCTCCCAACGAGGCGCTCGTGAGCTGGTAGATAAGACCTGGAAGTCAGCTTCGGAGTTTACTGCGAGCCTAGTCTCTTTTGAGCGTGATCCTCGGCGTGATGGCGAGCCATTTGTTTTCACGATGCAAGTGCACAAAACTTGACCATAATTCCTCATCGGCGCACAGTCAGACCCATGCCATCACGGCGACGAACACAAGTATGAGTCCATCGGACTGGGCATATTGATGACTAACCCGATCCACATCCTGCTGATGACTATTACGATCATGTGTTGCTTGCCCAGGTAGATCTTAGGACACCGACTACCCAGGCAATTTTGGTTAAGACGATAGAGTATCCCAGCCAGTTTGATCGATCCCTGTAGAGGTCTCGACAGTCTAGCGCAGAGCCTTCGGTTCGTGGCCATTCCGCGAAGCTTACTGTGGGTTGCCCTGAGTGCGGAGCCTATGTGCTGAATGTTTTTGCTTGGCAATAGTCACGGATTCTGATCGATTAGTGCGCTGATATATCGTGATGAAGCAATGGAGTCGGTTGTCACCAGCCCGAGTTTGGACCGACTTGCTTCCGCATGCGTCACAACAGCCAGCCAAGCGTAACAAGCTCTCTGGTGCCAGCCACTTCAACCATGGCACGGAAACCTGACAAACTGGACGACATCATCCTCGTGTTGAGAATGTGGCAATGATGCATAGTAGAAGACCTCTTGAAGAGGTTCGGGAACTGCTGCGGAAAATAAGCGAGAAGGCACCGGAATCAGAAATGTCAAGGTGGAGGAAGGGGTTGCGGGACAGGCGTCGATTTGGGGATCACGTTTGACCACAAAGGGAAGGTCAAGCGAGCATCCCGCATTCGGTCTAGATCTGGAGGAGCCCACGTTCTTACGAGAGTCCTCATGTGATACGAGAACCTCGACAAAGGCCTCCAACCTTTCGCTGACGAGCAGCATGTGAGAAAGCATTACTCACATCGATGGCCGAAGCCGAAATATACACCAGTCACGAATCAGCGCCGCCTTCGAAGTCAGGCCGGCCATCTTCTGGATTTGTCGCATAGCAACGTCGTCTCCTGCAGTAGTCTCTTGAGGACGATCTCCAATCAGCAAGCACAGATTATCATGTGCATCATGAGATACACAATATCCGCGTGCAGTTCACGTGGCTAGCACGCGATTTATTATCTCGCGAGCGTCGTGGTTGAGTTGTTCTGGAATTTGTCCGTGTCCTTCGTGCTGCATGTGCTTGTTGTGGAGATCGGCTTCTGGCAACGGACTTTAACCTCACCTCAAACCTCTGTACCCGAATCAGCGGAAACGACAATTGTTTCACTCTATCACTCATTATACCTGCATTCTTCGATGGATACGTTGCCAAATATACAGTGTAGACAATCAAGTATATTATAGCCATGTCCTCATCGTATCTCATCGATCATTCCACTCATCCTCCATCCCAACATCCTCACACGGCAGCCTCATCACCAACATGAGCGTCCAACTCCTCGCCGATGCCGCCAGGCAGCATGTGCCTTACATCTCCCTCATCCTGTTCGTGGGATTGCCCATTTTTTACATGGTCTACAATGCCATTTACAACTTGTACTTCCACCCGCTCGCCAAGTACCCGGGTCCTTTAATTTGCCGCATCAGCCGTCTTCCATGGGTACGTCGATGAACGAATCCCACCCCCTGCTGTGTTTGGATACTGACGATGCGACTACAGGATAGCTGGCAATTGCGCGGTCGTCTCCAGGACAACGTCTCCAAGATCCACTTCAAGTACGGTGACGCCGTCCGCATTGCGCCCAACGAGCTCTCCTTCACCAGCCAACAGGCCTGGAACGACATCTACAGTGTCGGTAAAGGCAAGGAGCAATGGCCTCGTCACCCTCGCCGTGTCCCGCAGGGCAAGAACGCTCCTATGTCCATCATGAATACCGTTCCCCGCGAGCATGCTCGTTTCCGCCGTCTCTTGAACCACGCTTTCTCCGAGAAGGGTCTCCAGGAGCAGGCACCTATCATGAACAAGTACATCGATCTCCTCGTCAAGAAAATCGGCATCCTCGCTGAGCAGGGCAAATCCACCGACTTCACCTCCTGGTTGCACATGTGCACTTTCGACATCATCAGTGACCTGTGAGTTGAGATATTACTTCCACTTTCGCCCCAACGCTAATTATAATTCAAAGGGGCTGGAATGAGCCTTTCAACTGTGTCGAGAAGGAGACCGAGCACAGCTGGATCAAGACTATCGTCACCACTGCCTTCGACACTCAGCTCAAGCTCGTTCTTCGTGAGAATGGCTTCGTGTGGGCCGCGCCATACTTTATTCCCAAGCGTCTCCAGCAGGATCGTCTTGAAAACTTCAAGTACGCTACTGCGCGTGTTGAGGACCGCATCAACTCCGGAGGTGTCAGGGGTGATTTTTGGGACAGAGTCATGATCAGTGAGTCATTCTGCGCCGATCTGTTCGATCCCCACCTCGATAATTTTCAAAACGATCGAAGACACATGTGTTCGAGTTTTGGCCTGAAGCTAACCCTGAGTAGAGTCGGTCGATGGCAACGAAGCCGGCGAAGGTCTTACCAAGCGCGAGATGGTTGTCACGGCCGTCACCCTCGTCGGTACTGGCTCCGAGACCGTCTCTACCCTCCTCACCGGCATGGTCTACTTCCTCGGCACCAACCTCAACATCTTGAACCGTCTCGAGGCTGAGATCCGCGACACATTCACCAGCTACGACGACATCACCCTGCCCAACTTGAACAAGCTTCCCTACCTCACCGCCTGCTTGCAGGAGACCATGCGCCTGTACCCACCGGTCGTCGGTCTCCTCTGGCGTGTTCCTCCCGCCGGTGGTGCTCGTGTCATGGGCGAGTACATTCCCGAAGGTGTAAGTTTGCTTTTAGACAGATATCCCTCTACGGTTTCTGTTCCAGAGAAGCTGACACTCCTGGACACTGCAGACTTCCGTCAACATGTCCCTCCCTGGCATGTTCAAGAACCCCAAGAACTTCGCTCGTCCCACCGACTTCGTCCCCGAGCGCTGGCTCGCCCACGCTCCCGCCGAGTTCGCCCACGACAACAAGGCCATCTTCAAGCCTTTCAGCATGGGCGCTATGAACGTAAGCATCATTTCCTCCCCCGTCTCCTCTTCTAATGCATCAGAATCTTACTAACCGTGAAATCTCCACAATCACAGTGCCTCGGCCAGAACCTCGCCAACGCCGAATCCCGTCTCATCATGGCTAAGATCTTGTATAAGTACAACATGGAACTTGACGCCGAGAAGACTCCGGCAGATTGGCTCGACCAGAAGTCCTGGGCTGTGTTTGTCAAGAAACACATGCACGTGCGCTTCAGCGTCGCCGCCAAATGAGGGCTTTGAATGTGATCCGAGATCAATGGGCTCTCGAGTGAATCAGGCCTCTGGTGCGAGTGGCTAAGTGACGAGGGGAGATAAGGCTCGATGGAATCGGGAGATGACGGGTCGTGCTTATGATTGGCAATTCGCGCTGTTTGTCTCTTATGTGTGGCGGAGTTTGTGTGGCGGGAGAAAGGTTCACCAATAGACGAATTTGAGCGAGCTCTTTCGCGCATTTCCTTTCCCATTCACTTTACTTTACTTGCTAATGTGCGCCATGACGATTGCAGTGTCTGCACGACCGTCATCAAGAGAATCGGCACGATGATTGCAAGACGATAGCTCAACGGCGTACGAGCTTTCGCATCGTAATCCTGGCTGGGGAATGAGATTTTTGCGTGCGCACCGAGATTTTTCTCCAAATGCGAAACACTTTGGTGCTTCTGATGCTGCTGCCGGATTTTGCGTCGTCTTTGTCCAGACCACCGCCTCCTTCAGGATGCGCTTGCATGTTGGCGAGGATGAGCTCTGCGATCCTTGTATAAGATCTCTCCCTGGCAATCATCAAAGCAGTCTTGGTCTCCTTTGACCCATAGTCATCATCACGACGGTACTCGCAGGTAGCACGCACGTTCGCGCCGGCTTCTAGTAAGACTTCGACCAAATCTCTCTGACCAAACCGCGTGGCTCGGTGCAGAAGCACCTCATAGGCACCAACATCATTGTAAAAGCTCTTGTGATTGACGTCAGCGCCGAACTCGAGGAGGACTTTCACCACCTCCCATTGTGCGGCTTTAGCAGCGAGGACCATCTCTCTTGTAAGTATGACGGAAGCTTCAGGAACAAGGCTCAACGTCGAAGCGCTGAGGAGAACGACCAGTGCCTGCAAATTACGTTTCTCGCACAATTTGGTCAAAGTCGTGGAAAAGATCTTGGAAATGGATCTGAAACCATGGTAGTATCCGCGTTCTTGGTCAAGTTCATTCATGAAATGTTCGACAAGCCGAGTATGGCCAGCAATCGATGCCGTCGCGAGTACATTTGACTTGGATATATCTGCTCCGTTGTCAAGAAGAAGTTCTGCAATGTCCAGATGCCCATGTTTCGCCGCTTGGATCAGAGGTAAGTCGTGTTCGGGATATGAACGCCTCATTGCATTGACATCTGCTCCGGCATCAATCAATGCCTGCACAATGTTATAGTACCCTCCAGCAACAGCGCCACAGAGAGCGTTGAGGAATTCAGAAGTACCATGATTGATTGCGTTGACCCCAGCACCTTTACGTAATAACATATGAACTGCCTTGGCGTGGCCGTTGCGAGCTGCATGTGCGAGAGGTCGTTCGTCGTTGTGCGTGAAATCAACGTCAAACTTTGCCCGGTCAAACAGAACCGACAAAGCAGGTATATCGCCCCCTCCTGCGGCTTCGTAGTAGAAGCGTAAGATATGAGGCTCAAATTCAGACCAAAACGTATCTTCGATTAGTACATGGCGGTAGAAAGAGATCCACCACCACGTGATTGGAGAGTTTGGGAGTCCAAAATGTAGCTCAGGTCCAATGATCGTATTGGATGTATGCATGTCCGTCCTTCTGCCAGTCATACTGAGCATAGCTGATTGCTCCAGTTCGAAAATGCGCTCCAGCGCGTGGCAGTGACTAAACACATTGTTCAAGTCCTTCGGTGGTAGATGCTGATGGTAATTTCGGAGGACCGCATTCAAAAGATCGGGCATCATGACATCATAATCGGGTCGAATGTCGCTGTGACTTTGCGCTGCGATGCCGAGAAGCGCATAAACCTTATCTCTCGGATCCGCGCATTGCAAGGACGTGGTCTCAAAAAGGAGGTCGTGAAGGATTTGTTTATTATCTTGTTTCCAGGTCAGGTCGACGACGAACATGGCGGGGCTCTTTGGAATGAACGTCAGCTCGAGGCCTCCTGCCAGCCTGGAGTGCTTGGGAAGCGTGAGCATCGCATCGCTATCGTACTCTCGTGCTTCAAGCAATAGATCACGAAAAGGCTGCCATGGCGATATGCGAGCACCGCACATCAGCAAAAGGTGTTTCGCAAGAAATGTTTCTTGTAGTATCCATAACCTTCGCCAATATGGACGATAGCACAAAGCTGCTATGTATAGACCTGAACTTTTTCCAGCGCTCATTTTGCGTACCATATCAGCGCGTCCACGATGGATTGTGCGATTGAAATGAGCGAATGCCACATCACTCCCGTTGTAAGATGGACCAAGCCAAACGATTACGATTGATGCAGCTTGGTAAATTTGAGCCATGAGATCAACTTGATGCATGCGCTCCCGATTGTCGTTCTGGTTGATACACAGTGCATCGATCCACAGCCATTGGAAGCGATCAAGGTGTGACGCCCGCGCCTGGTGCAGGAAACGTAACAGATTTCTACGGATCCGTACCTCATAGTCATTTATCATGATCTTATCAACGTCGGGTCCTCTGCCCCAGGTGTACGATAAAGCAACATATTTCAGCTCAGACGTGAGTACGAATTCCCGCAGTTCACAGTGTACGGCGCTGGACTTTTCGCCAGGCAGTATCTTAAGCAAACGAATACAGTCATTCGGTAGATCTCGGTATATGTAGCCTTGCCGATTTCGCTGTGGTGGACCTTCAATTTCTTCAGATGTGCCTTCTATCAGCGGCAACTCATCGAAGGCAGTGCAGTTATCTTCCTGTTTTAGACTGCGGCGGCGTTGGATATGGATATCGAGTCCTTCGACGATGGTGGTCCTTGTAACTCCTAATTGTTTACCATCTGTGTCACGATTGGACATTCCACAGCCCACTTCGCGATAAGATGCGGATCCGTAAATCTCTTCGCTGTTGCGATGGCTTGAAATGCTTTTGCCGGACACTGACCTCATAATCAGTGACGGGCCTTCCTGGTTCATTGAAGCGGTTGAGCACAATCAAATTGCGAGGCAGATGGCGCAGATTTGGTCAACATCTTACGCGGTCGATCGCGCGCCCAAGAGTCGGTTGGTTTAATTCAGTATCTCACGAAGCCACAGGTTGAGCGTGTATCATACGATGCAGCGAGGGCTACAGACGTTGTGCCTATAATTTGACAACCATCACTAGTCGATTATCATGGAATATGCATACCTACGTCGAAGTATCTGAACCTTGCATCTAAGCGCTTTTGTGTAGCAATAAAGAACCTTGTGGCCTGGCCGTGGAGCGTTCGGTCACAGCCACCGTCAAGCCGACTTATGGGTCCAGACAGGCCGAAACGGAAGTTTCCGCCCGAGAGCATTCCGCTCCGGCCACGATATAGTCATCTGAATGCATCAGGTGAGGTGAAGTATGTCACTGTGATCCAGAACTTTTTGGCTGTCACGAGACCGTCGACCTCCAATTTCGGTGCAGGGACTTTGCTGACTAATTTGATTGCTTCACACTTGATGACTAATGGAAACACATTAAATGAATTAGATCTATTCTAAAACCGCATAAAAAATATCGCTCGCTCGCAAGAAATAATCTAGGTCGTGAGATATCAGAACAATGATTGCTGTAAGTTTCAATCAAGCAGCAGCCTGGACCGGTTGTACTGCGGGCGGGGCAGCGGTAGAGTGAGAAGCAGCCGTCTCGCTCACGACGTTCAATTCCGCTTTCACCTCCCTGCCGCCGGACGAGCTCGCCTCATTCCACTCCTCAAGATCGCCGAGGCCATAATCTTCAACAGGGACTTCGTTCGCAGGCGGTCCACCAAAGTAGAACAACCCGCGGCCAAGTTTCTGGCCGAGTTTTTGCGCACCGTCCATGAAGCCAAGGATGCTCTCCATGACGTGAATACCGGTCTCGGTCTCTGGGTTGAAAATGTGTGGGAAACCTGGGAGAAGTTTCTGTGCTTTCTCGACGTTGGGTCGGATGGTCGTCTCGTACGCGGCGAAAGCATCGCTGTGTGAGGCTGGATTGGCGCGGAGTGCACCCGCGAGATTGTAGGCGCCCGTGATGGCCAGTGTGGTTCCCATGCCGGAAATGGGCGAAGGACAGTAGCCTGCATCACCAAGAAGAGCTACGCGGCCGTTGGTCCAGTGCGGCATCTTGATTTGTGCGACCATGTTGTAGTAGAAATCCTTTGCGTCATGCATCTCGCTGATGACGCGGTCACATTCCCACCCGGCATCCTTGAAAAGGTCTTCGAGGAGGGCCTTCTGCTTTTCGACGCCCTTGTGACCGAGGCGTGCGGCTTCTGGGTAGCGCTTGTCGTCATCGCTGACCACGTACATGAACACAGTCGATCGTTCGGGGGTCTCGCCAGGTCGGATCATGATACCTCGTCGGCCAGGGGCATGGAACCATCGTCGCCACAAGCTATCATTTCCGCCGTGTGGCATACTAAAGAATGCGCCATACATTCCTGTTTGGTGAACGCGCTCCACGTCGTTCTCGGCGCCAAACACCATCTTGCGAGTAGTGCTCAAGATCCCGTCAGCGCCCACCAGGAGATCGTATGAGCGTTCCTCGCCGCTGTTTGAGAATTTTACATGTACTTTTGATTCGTCTTGCGTGATGTTGGAGAGGGTCTCGTTGAAAATGAAGTTTACGCCGCTGCTCTGGTTGGTCTGCTGGAGTTCGGCGCTGTAAGACTTACAGCGTCCAAAACAGAGAGATGCAAGCCGTCCACGAAGGATCTCAAGGTCGCTCGTACCGGTTTGTACCTTGCCGGTCTTGTCTGCTGGGAACTCTGCGGCAACACGATCGTTCTCGTCAACGAATCTTGCCCCTTCTTCGCCGGTAATATGAGCTCGTACGGCTGTGTCGAGGCCCATCTTGCGAATGATGGTGGCACCTGCGCCACGAATGTCGATGTTTTGGCCATATGATTCTGTTGACTTGCCGCGCTCAACAATCGTAATGTTGTATTCGGGAGAAGACTTGAGCAGCCATGTCGCAAGAACAGGCCCAGCCACACCGCAGCCGACGATTAGGATGTCCTTGTTGATCATCTTGGGGCGAATGAACTTTTGCAGATCCGGGATCTGAGCGAGAAAGAAATTTGAATGGGGGCTGTTGAAGAAGCGTAGCTGAGTTTCGGGCAGTTTTGAGAGGGCACGATAATAATTCTGGCAGCTAAGCACACTCTTCGACATTGGTCGGTACGTCTTCTCTTCTGGTCAACAGCAGAAGGATCGAGGTAGATATACACACTTGCATGGTGGCTGAATGCAGGTTAATATTCGCCCGTCATGTTGTGGTAATCATGGTCGTCATCTCATCAAAAGCACGTCGGAGATCGGATACGGCTCGGGCCCGAAGAAGATATGACGTTGAATTCAGCCGCCGTCGTGGGAATCGCTGCAAGATCTATCCGTTTTGCTGCATCGATCGGAGCATCCCTGACGATCGCAAATTTCTATAAGTAATACGTCAGAATACTCCTAAATCGTGTGGAACAAGATATCACGTAGAGCAGCCTGAAAGGCTAAAACGGCACGAATGACTGAATAGAAGTACAACTGTAAAGCAAGCGCGAGAATGTCGGCGTCGGTGCGTTTTGCGCCGTAAATATCGAAAGTATTATTTTAGGCATGTGCTACATATGTTAGATATTCATTTATCTTGATCTACTTCAAATCCTTCTCGCTAAAACATCCTTATAATTATAGTATATTGTTCCGTAGAGACCTGGTAGTCGTTATTGCGTGTATAATATTCTGCGTCCAAATCGCTTCGATCACAATCCCGACCGGCCGTGAATCATAGAGGTCTCGATTGTTTTCAAAAGTTGAGGACACGACCTATACTCGATCGAGATTCAAGAGTACTAGAGGCAAGCGGATAATAAGCGGATCTGGTGCGTGACTCCCAAGCCTCATCGCGGCTCAGCCGACCATCTGGCGCGTACGAGCGCCTCTGATTCGTTTTCTTACTGCTATACTTATTGCAATCGTCAAACACCGGAAATGTTTCAGGGCTACGCTAAGTCCTGTTATTAATTAGACGCCGTATAGCACGGCTTTTTTAAAAGTCATTGGTAGATAATGGGCTTGATGTGACGATGACTTGATGGATGCTAGATATAGATAGAAGCCGGCGCGTATCCAGTGTCAGCGTCGGATCTCACCTTGTTAGATTAGGACAACTGCGGACAAGGCGCACGGATGATAACGGGCGCACCTCCTCCACAGTTGTCTCGCACAAACACGCCAACACAATACTTATCAATTACTAACATTAGCGATGAGCAAACGTGTCTTCATTCAGCATTACAAGAGCAATCAAACTCCTTTCCCTTGCGTATGAATCCTGGACAATTGTCGACGCCCTTGAGCTATGTTATCTTCGTTCCGTCGGTTCGGCCGATTTGGGAAGTTGCCAACTAGAGCCGTCTTTCAACCCTACGCCAAAATGAGCGGGTCATCTCTAACTGAGCCGTTCGAAGAGGAGCAGCTTTCCTGGTACAAAGCCGATCGGTTTTACCCTGTGCACATAGGAGAGATACTGAACGCGAAATACAAAGTCATTGGTAAACTTGGCTGGGGTGCCTATTTCACAACATGGCTTTGTCGCAACATTCTGTAAGTCTTCGCAGCTCGATCCGTGACGAGGACGTGCTAAGATATCGCGTAGAGACTCAAGCTTTACTGCGGTGAAGGTCGGTACAAGGGATGTGGATCGGCCCAAAAGCTTTGATAGAGAAGTGAAGTTCTACGAGCGTGTCAACTCCTTGGCTACCGATCATGCTGGCTCCGCGTGCATTCGTGGCCTTCACGAGGTCTTTAAGCTCAGCGGACCGACAGGAGACCACCTATGTCTCGTACAGCCTCCAATGCACATGACGATGCGCGAACTGCAGCAACGAAATTCCTCTCGAAGGCTGAATGAGCAACTCCTCAAGTGGACTCTCTTCAATCTGTTGCACGCGCTTTCGTTCCTTCACGACGAAGTGGGAGCTGTCCATACAGGTAGGCTTCAAAATTCCGAGGTGGCACCTATTACGATGCTGAAGCTTGTACAGATATCAGTCCCTCCAACATCATGTTCACTATCAGCGATGAGTCACTCCTCACCGAATTTGAACGTGCCGAAGCAGAAGACCCGTCACCTGTTAAGGTGATTGACAGCGTCCGCTCGATCTACGCCTCTCGAAAATTTGGTCTTCCGAAAGATCTACTGTGGGGTCAACCTGTGCTTTGCGATTTTGGAGAGACGCGTCTTGGGCTACTCCACAAGGGACCTATTCAGTCTGATTTGTACCGCGCACCCGAGGTGTTATTTGATATGGAGTGGACTACAAGCGTTGACATTTGGAGTGTTGCAACACTTGTAGGTCTACGCGTTATCGTCAACCCTGTAGGACAAACATCACTAACGTTTCGCTCTAGGCGTGGGACCTCTTTGAGAATCGGCAATTATTCCATGCTCTAAACGCGAAGAATCAGACATCAGCTACTCGTCACATAGCTGAGACGGTCGCATATCTCGGCTGTCCTCCTCTAGAGTACATACAGAGAAGTCCTATCACCTCTAAGGTCTTTGACGAAAGAGGTAAGTTCAATGGGCGTGACGAATTCTGCACAGTCTCACACGAAGTAGGGTCCTGGAGAGGCGCTGGGAATACCTCCATACCGCCGATAACTCTTGAGCAAGCCGAGATTGTGCTAGAGGGTCGTAGCAAAGAGGAATTCCTCGCTTTCATCCGCTCAATGCTCAAATGGTTACCGGAGGAAAGGCTGACTGCTGCGGACCTTCTGAAACATTCCTGGATGATAGATGCCATTCCGAAGTCAGAATAATTATAGACATATGCAAGCAATATTTTGATAGTCTGCACCATCGCCTGCCCGCACCATCGCCTGCCCGGTCGTATTGATGCCGCGATGCCCTCGCGGTTTCGTCATTGCCATTGAATCGCCCAGAAAATCGACGTGACAGTCAAGCCCTATATCGAGATTTCGCCTCCCGATCCATCGTCGCATTGAAGGAAGCTAATCCTCGAGACGATTGCAATATGAACTTGTCTGGGCAACATGGAACAGGCCTGCAATGTACGGCGGATTTTGGCCAGTCCGCATCACGCTTGCGCTCAAATGACGTAGCTGCCGGAAAGATATAGCAGATGCGTCAAATAACGCACATCAGAAGCTTGTGTGGTGCATATCGATCCTCGGGGTATGTCGACGATCGGCGTGACTTCCCCGAATGCAAGATGACGATCACCAGTCGAGATGTCTTGTCGCTTCGTTGACGTGAGCAGAATCGATCTAGATCTTCAGAATCCAGCTGTCGATCCGGACACTACACAAATACAGGGTGCCATAATCATATTTGATCGCGGCAGCACGTGGGCAGGTCGGCTACTAAAGGAAATTGTGCTCGGAGTCCGAGACTCGAGAAAAAGTATGAGGCAAAGCTAGTCCACGAAGCCGTGCAGCGCTCGTCCGCACACTACGAAAGGACATTTTATTACTGAACAGCATATTTCCATTAGGCAAATTCTGTCATACAACAAGAAGGGACATTTAGCACATATATCAACGATAATCAGGATGGGTGTCGCTCTAATTGAACGGGGCACCTCAGGAGCAGAATGAAAACGATCCGACTTGGACTTCCAAGGGGGACGAGGGCTGTATTAGTCATCGTGGAAATCGAAGATCAGGTTAGTCATCAGATTCCCGTCCGCTCTGGTCGATAGCTGTTTTGCGATATGGTGAGAGTGCTCAATTAAAGGCGATAGTCGAATACTCCTGAGTCTCCCATATAGTGACAATGCTATCATACCCTTTTGTTGTTCTAGGAGAACACGTGGAAAGGTGCAGCTCGAGTTTGTCTCGATCTCGGGTCCTAAGTAAAGCTTAGAACCCGAGATGACCGAGACGCCCGTTTAATGACGTCGGCCGTGTCGCATCTAGCGAATCACCAGCCTCGGGCGCTCACCTCGGGACAGACATCACAACCAAAACCAAACAACACTTAGTGACACTTCCATCTCGGACCCGAAGACTCATCTCCAGTGGTATAGTGCTGTCGTGGTATAAGAATACGACTGCCCAGCATGCAGAGACCAGATCGGACCATCCATCGCCTTGTGCACCCTTAACAACGACATCCACCGAGCGTCCTTGTCTCTCGGTCTCGCTGGTGTAAAGCAGTCTCACACAGCTACCATGTCTGCACGGAGCGACAGCGACGTCAAGTCTGACGCCAAACCCTTCGACAGCGATGTCGAATCAGGTCCCAAGCCAGAGATCAAGACCGAGATCCCAGCATCAAAACCTCAAGACCCCAATCTCGTGACTTGGGATGGTCCCAAGGACCCCGAGAACCCCAAGAACTGGCCTGACGCGAAGAAATGGCGTTACACTGTCACCGTTTCAGTGTTCTGCTTCATCTCGCCCATCTCATCCTCTATGGTCGCGCCAGCTCTACAACAGCTCGGCCGCGATCTTGGTACCACCAGCGATCTCGAAGTCGAGCTCGCACTGTCCATATTCTTGCTCGCATACGCTATCGGTCCCATCTTCTTCGGTCCTATGTCCGAACTTCACGGCCGTGTCCGCATCCTGCAATTGAGCAACCTGTGGTACCTCGCATGGAACTTGGGATGCGGCTTCGCCCAGAACAAGGCGGAATTCTTCGTCTTCCGCTTCCTTGCGGGTCTCGGAGGAAGTGCTCCGTTGGCGATTGGTGGTGGTGCCCTTAGGTGAGTGATACTTTGAATCCCTGACCTCGATTTATGAGAGTTGCATGCTAATCAATTCTTAATAGCGACGTCTGGATGCCTCACAACAAGGGCAAGGCCATGGCTATCTACACTCTGTCACCTATCCTCGGCCCAGTCATTGGTCCTATCGCAGGTGGCTTCATTGCTGAACGCTCCACCTGGCGTTGGGTCTTCTGGTCAACTTCTGCCTTTGCCTTGTTCATTCAGTGCATCGGTCTCTGGGGCTTGACCGAATCGCACGCTCCTACCCTTCTCCGTCGCAAGCGCGAACGCCTTGTCAAGGAGACCGGTAACACTGCTCTTCACACCGGTGAGGGACCGCCAATGAGCCTTCCCAAGCGCCTGGCTGATGCCTTTACTCGCCCCTTGAAGATGTTCGCTACTCAACCGATCGTCATGCTCATCTCCGTCTACATCGCGTACATCTTCGGCTTGAACTACCTCCTCTTCGTGATTTTCCCCGGCGTATACACCGGTGTCTATGGCGAGCCCATCGGTATTGCTGGTCTACACTACGCCGCCCTCGGAATCGGTCTCATCATCGGTCTGTTCGTCCAGTTCTTCTTCATCGACAAAGTCTACATGCGTCTGAAGAAGCGCAACAACAACGTCGGCCGTCCCGAATTCCGCATTCCCACCATGGTCATCGGTTCTGTCCTCGTCACTGCTGGTCTCTTTTGGTATGGCTGGAGTGTACAATCGCGCAACCACTGGGTCGTCCCCGACCTCGGCATCATCGTCTTCAGCGCTGGAACCATGATCTGCCTCAACGGTATGCAAACGTATATCATTGAGACCTACATGAAGTACGCTGCCTCTGCCATGGCAGCCTCAGCGATCCTTCGATCTCTGTGTGGTTTCTCGTTCCCGCTCTTCGCGCCTTACCTTTACAATGCGCTCGGCTACGGATGGGGTACCAGCGTATTGGCGTTCATCAGCATCGCTATCGGATGGACAGCTCCTTTCATCTTCTGGTTCTATGGACCTAAGCTTCGTGCCGTTTCGAAGTTCGCCTCCGGTTAAGCCCAGAGTCTGATAATGTCGCGAGATGAACCTCTGACGGCCTGAGTTGCCAAATTTTGCCTTTCCACGCTGCTTTCTTTCAACGACTAGAAGATTGTTCAGATGTATTTCTGTTGATATATTCCGGCAAGATACTAATTACGATTTTTATTGACGATGGATAGAGCGTTTGGACTCGCGAGGCAAATGATGGAATAGATTTGGGGATTTTGTTTGCTGTGAACTTTTGATGTGTCGATGATACTCCTCTCAAGCGTCGCATTATGAGCACCTTGGTTATCTCTAGATACAGAAATTGAAGACTTTCATGATGAATGAATCGAGCTCTCCAAAGATCAAATGAAAACAACAATTTTCTCACCGACGTTCGATAGCTTACTCGCGCAGCTTTTTCTCGGCGCGATGGGGGCCTTCGTAATTAATGGGAAAAGTGAAGTTCACTCCGAGCATCACATCGCGCAGGGTTTCCACCACATTTGATGACGGCGACACAAATGATGTTTTTTTAGGAATGCACATCTTGTGTATCAATCAAATCGGACGGGCACCTCGGTGACTCATCATATACTGACCTTTTCTGATGACTGATATGCCACTCGTGTGCCTCCAGGCTCCTACATCAAAAGTTGTCGTTGGATGAGATCGCGTTATTGTCAACCTGTCAGAGTGCCCTATCGTGTACGTAGTCCGTGAATTCATGTAGACCTCGTGGGTCCCACGTGGGGCTAGCGAGTGCGTCGTATCTCAGCCGCGACCGTCGTCATTTGCGTTCCCAAAAGCCGACCGAGCACTCTCACTCGGACACTACTCCCGAAGATCTATTGCTTGTCGTATTACCTAGCATTTCTTTTTGATTCCGTCACTTTATCTATTCTTGAATTCATTGACTATAAATATCAAGGTCATGGTAAAAGCCGTCGATGGAGAACTGTTTCTGTAATTGAGGAATGGTTCCCGGAGCCTATTATGACATATGGAATTGTAAGATCCGACAGGAGACTTATGCAGCGATCTGAGCAATGAATACTTGTATTTACAATGCCGCGAGACCGAGACCCACGGGCGCGCGTGTGTGAATGTACTCTTCTCCTCTTTCTTCCTAATCTTCGTGGTGCTCCCAACTCACTAAAATGGAAATCCTCGGCCAAAGCAGTGTTGCTCTGATCAGCTACGGCTTGATCGGCTACATCGTTTTCCACCTCCTGCGTAATTACCTCGAGCCAGGCCTTGTCGGAATCCCAGGTCCTTTCCTCGCCAAATTCACCGAGCTATGGAAGCTCTATCAAATTTGGAACTGGACCTTCAAATCGTCTCTTCCTGGACTCCATGAGAAATATGATTCGACTCTCATCCGAGTAGGACCAAAGCAATTGAGCTGCTCGGATCCGAAAGCGGTGGAGCTGATCTATGGATTTCATACGGATTTTCGGAAGGTGAGTTGGAATTTACGCAATCTGTACAGATCTGATCATTCCTGCGCGGGAAGGATTTGCATCTGGAAGGGCTCGTGCTGATCAAGGTCGTTTCGTGTAGTCCGATATGGTCAAGGCTATGGCACCGGTGTACCAGGGCAAGAAGCAGCCAACCATGTTCGCTGCTGCGGACAACAAAACTCACGCCGCCATCCGACGGCCTGTCGCGGGGGCGTACAGCATGACGAAGATGCTGCAGGTGAGAGCAACTCCCTCTGTGCTGCTAAGGGGGACACCGGTACTGATCGTGCGATGGAAACAGTTCGAGCCATTTGTCAACGAGAACACGAGAATCTTCTATCAAAGACTTCAAGAGCTCTTCATCAATCCTGGCAAAGCCTGCGATATGCACAATTGGTTGCAATACTGTAAGCTATGGCCTTGCATTAAAAGCGATTCGTGATGATAGGCTGATCAGACTTCAATTTCAGACGCCTTCGATATCATTCTCGAGATGACTATGAGCCGTAGCTTGGGCTTCATGAAAGCGGGAGGGGATGTCGACGGTGTGTTGGCGCAGCTACAAAAGGATCTGGACTACCGCGGTATCGTAAGTCGATTTTAGTTTTCGTTCGTGCCCATCTCGGGAGCTCTTGTTCCATTGCTTAATTCAATTACAGGCCCTAGCAATGCCAATAATCGATCGCATCTGTCGCCTGAACCCTATCAGCAAGTACTTCAAGCCAAAGCTGTCCGCCGTGTTCGCTCTACGCTGCAAGAAAATCCTGGCAGATCGTATCGCTGAGGAGAAATCCGGCAAATACGAAGTCCAGCGACAGACGCGCCCTCACGACTTTACCTATGCATTCCTCGAGGCTCAGCGGAAAGATCCAAGCATCTCAGACGGTCAGCTCATCGGTTATGTACAAGCCAACCTGGTCGCCGGCAGCGATACTACTGCTGTGGTCATGCGCACAGCGCTGTACTACACGATGAAGCAGCCATGGATCCACAAGCGCATTCTGGCAGAACTGGACGCGCAGAAAGAACTCACATATCCTGTTCCCTACAAGACCGCCCGCTTCGAGCTACCATTTTGTGCCGCCGTCGTCCGGGAGTCCCTACGCAAACACTTCGCCTTCATCGGCATGATGGAGCGACAGGTGCCCGACGGTGGCGCAGAAATGCCCGATGGACGCCGTCTACCGGGTGGAACTGTCATCGGAATGCACGGAGATCTCATTGGATTGAACAAGGACATTTTCGGACAGGACGCCCACGAGTTCAACCCGCTCCGTTGGCTTCCTGGAGTTGAGGAGTCGACTTTTGACTTTGAGAGGCGACTCAAGGCGATGAATTCCCATGACCTAGCCTTCGGCCATGGACCCAGAGGTTGTATCGGCAAACATGTTGCCGAAATGGAGATTTACAAGTTTGTGCCGACGTTTTTCGGACTGATCGAGGTGAGTTTCCGAACCGCACCTGCTCTGGAGCGCCTCGTAAGGAATCGACTTTGCTGACTTTCCCATTTCCTGCAGCCGGAATTTACACGACCTGGTCAGATATGGAGACTGCGGGAGTTATTCGTGTTCAAACAATTGGATATGGATATGCAATTGAGATGGAGAGAAGGAAAGTCGTTAGCTAGTTTGAAATTGTAGATGGGAGGAAGTTATGAGCCTCAGGCGTCTGGTCTCTGGGACGCGCTATGACCCGTGCTAACCCCAATTACAACCCTATTGCGAAATATGTCCAAGTTGTCGATTCTTCTCGTTTGAACACGAGCAAACAGCAAGCAACGATTACTTCACAGTGGACCTCGCGATCTCGTTTTTACAGACTAAAAATCATTGCGTTACAAAATCCTGTGCTCAAGATTGCGTTTTAAAGGTCCTCAGGTGTTCATCGCGCTGGACAGGACGGGCAACAGAGAGTTGTGTCGAGAGAGATGTGCACCAACGTGAATCTATCAAGCGTTTTACAACTAGGAGCTCGGCACTTCCCCATCAAGTAGGCAGGCTTGGATTTGGCATTAGAACACACACGTAATGCATTCAATGTGTGATTCGTAACAACAGCAGGACTCTAGAAGCTCAAAGGGACGATTTTGCAATCATTGTATCCGACGGTCACCTTCAAAGGCCAAGATCTCTTGCTTCACTGTAACGACAGAGCCCACCTCCCGGCAGATCTCCACGAGCAAGCCGGACACTTCGACCTCTTTGCCGAGCAAGCTCAAAGTCCGAGCTGCTGCCCAGAACTCGGAATGATGTCTGCGACTCGGCCTTTGTCTCGCGTGTGCAGGACTGACCAATCTGCGGCGGCACTCGAGACTGCATGCGCCTGAGCTGTCGGTGTCTGTTCCGAATGATATTATGTTGAGCGCTGCCTCATCGACTCTGCGTCCAGTCAATCGAGACGAACATCATCATGGCGCAAAAGCGAAAAGCCTCCATCAGTGAGCGTGTGCAAGAGGTCTTCAAGAAAGTGAGTGAGCAGACAGTACTTGCTCTGGAGCCAAGCTTATCTTGTCAGGTGCAGAGAAGGCGATCGCCTCGTACCAAGCTAAGCGAGTCCTCGATTGCGGACGAGCACTCACCCAGCCCGGCGCTTTCCAACATCGAGCGTTTCAAAGCAGTGTTCCCGCAAATACTCGACGATGTCCAGTCAGCGTGCGAAAAGTACTCGCTAGACATTGAGGTCTGGCAGAGTCTTGAAAAAGTAAGAAGATACATAGCAGGTTTATATACACTTAGCTCATTCATGTCTTCTAGTCCCTCAATCACAATGCGACCGGCGGCAAATATAATCGCGGCGTGTCCGTTCTCGACACTGCCCAGATGTTACTGAGTCGCGGTCTGAACGACGATGAGTTTTCCGATCTTGCCTTGCTTGGCTGGATGATTGAATTGTTCCAAGCCTTTATGCTTGTGCACGACGACATTATGGATGGCTCATTGACTCGACGTGGTCGTCCCTGCTGGTACAAATTGCCTGAAGTAGGGTTGACGTCGGTCAACGATGGTGTCCTGCTCGAGAGCATCATCTTTCTACTCCTGAAAAAGCACTTCCGGACCCATGCCAACTATGTCGGCCTCATCGAGTTGTTTCAGGAGACAGCATTCTGGACAGAATTAGGACAAGCATCTGATATGTTGGTCGCGCCTGAAACTGCTCGTTGGGGCGAGGACGGTCAACGACTCGACCTCGCCAGGTATAACTCGAAGCGCTACTCTACCATTGTCAAGTTCAAAACATCATACTACAGCTTCTATACGCCTATCGTGCTGGCTTTACTGTACACGGGAAAAGCATCGGCAGGAAACCTGTCGAAGACGGAAGATATCACGCTAGCGTTAGGCGAGTACTTCCAGATACAAGACGACTACCTCGATTGCTTTGGCGATCCGGTGGTACTGGGCAAAATCGGCATGGACATTCAGGACAACAAGTGCTCATGGCTAGTATGCCAGGCACTCATGCGGTGCAGCGTTGCGCAACGAAAGGTGCTGGACTTGAATTACGGTATTCACAATTCTGACGCTGAGGCTGCTGTCAAGAAGCTCTATGCCGATTTGCAGCTAGCTCAAGTATACCATGAGTATGAAGATGTTGCTGTTGCTCGGATTCAGAAGTCTATCACAGCACTCGATGAGAGGGACGGGTTGAGAAAAACGGTATTTGACGAGTTTTTGCGCAAGATCCATCGAAGAGATAAGTAATTGTATAAAGCAATCCAAAGTTTTGACGCTTCGCTTCATCAGGGACAAGCCAGGCCAATGCCTAAACCTTGTCAGCAGTTGCAAGATCTCGTTAGCCAAGATCGATCACCATAGTCGATCGAGTCGCTGGGACCAGGAGGCGAGCAGTGTCTCACCGGACACCGTCGTCTTCATGACCTCCTGGTGTTATAAGGTGGACCAGGACTACGTTCGTGATCGCAGAGATCGAGTATCGAATTAGTCATCGGAGTGCTCCGTCTGATCTGATAGATGCCTATATCATAAAAACATTTCATTCCGGGAAGTCCATGCATCTCACGCATGTTCAATGGTTCTTGCATGATTTCATATCCCGTGAAATGTCATATTCACATGCATTTCCGGTCAATGCCAATAACATGCTCTTGATACGTCGCTTAAATGATGCATAACAATCTTGCTTCAGGTGGTTGGTTTACGTGCGTGAAACTTCGAGATAGATGAAGTTTGATTTTCCATTAATATCTCAATGCATCCTCCAAATTTCCTATGGTATTGCCATCAACATTGCCATCAATCTCCCATCAATCTCCCATCAATTCCACCCCAATTCCCATCAATTGGCCGCACAGCACAAGCCTGTTGCAGCATTAGGCCTCCTCACACGGACCTCCTTGAAAGACGTTCATTACTCGCGCGCACATCCACGTGGTCAAGGGACGGCATTTCCTTATTACTACTCGATCGCCCGCCAATGCATCTTGCTGTAACCACACTTTATTTTTCGCCTAAGATGTCCTTTTCGGGCGCACTCTCCGATCATGATCTCCAACACACTCGCCACCGATAGAGTTGCTCAGACGATGCTTGGCAATCAATGTTTTACGTGCTTGGCAATCGATCTGGTTAAGCGGCGTGCCGAAAACCTGCAAGATGCGGCTGTGATGGTCCCGGCATGATCTGCAAAACCGCAGCTGAGACACGTGCAAGCAACCGATCTGCACACGTGGGAAATGCTGACCCCGGCGATCAATGACTCGGTGTATCCACAAATTCGGCGAATATGTGTAAGCGCTAGACTGTGAATTGTCCGTCAGCTGCATTCGTGCGAAAGCGAGCTGAGGCTAGAGGCTGCAGCTGCGTTGCATCAACACCAGCTGAAAGTGGAAAGTGTTCAATTGAATTGCCAAGCCTCGTCTATCGGGTGGCGATCTCTCAAGGACAAGCTGAAAACCATCAACCTCCTCAATCCTGCTGCTGCTGTTGCTGCTGCGATCTACCTAGAATTGCCGCACCAGCGTCAGCACTGCCACTTCGAGCTCCTTCGACGACTTGATCGGGGTTGTTTTTCATTCCATTGAACCATTTCGAAAAAGCTCGTACGGCTGTTCGCATGGCTTTATTTTCCCGTTCCAGCCCATGCAACCTAGAGATCAGACCGTCTTGCTGCTGATACTGTTGTGCTTCCAAATATTGGATGTACTCTATTGTCTTGGCAAATATCGTGGCCTTGTTTCGCTTCGCCGTCCAGGTAAGTCCAACCGCAGTCGATGCGCGAGAAGCTGACACAGATGTGCGTGTTATTGATTGCGCGGTTTCATCGTCCGCGTCATCATGCTCCTGTCCTTCGTCTCTGTCGCGCAGTGTTGGCACGATGCGGCGAAGTTCAGCGATGTGTTGGTCCAGCTTGCATCGATAGCGCTTTTCGATGCTTCGTGGGGTTTGCTTCGTAACCTTTGCTGGTCTGCCTCGACCTCGGACTGCGGGTCGAAGCGTTCCCAATATGGTCGCGGTCGTCGACGACGACGACGACGAAGATGGGGAGTCATTGGGAATAGCAATGACGGTCTTTGGCCGCTGTATCGGTGTAGCGCCTGATCCTGGCAGAGACGCTGAAGAATCTGACGTTAACACTGGCAAGCGAGGTGGCGACAGTTGACCAACGTCCACCTCCACCTCTGGTGTCGCGCCATGGAAATCGCTGTAGCCCAACGGCTCATCGGTGGCTGGCGGAGGCCACGCTACGATCCCATCTCCTCTCAGCAAGGATTGTCTCTGAGATATACCCTCTTCGTCGCTTCCATGAGCATCGTGATCAAATGGTGCAGCTGTAGGTGATGCCTCATCGGTTGCTATCCATGACCATTTATGTGGGAACGGATAAATTGCTTGCTGTTTTGGCACGGACTGTGGCAGCGGCAATCGCGGTGTCGTGCCCGAAAACGTACTCATGATGGCCTCCCAATATCAGGCGTCCTCTTGTTCCGCGAACACGGCATGGTCAACACCTCCCCATGCAAAGAATGCAAGCTACGGACATGCACACATGTTGGCCACATGGCCAGTCATAACGACTCGTTCTCATTGTTTGGAACAAATCATGGACGTCACTATCCACTACAATGCTTCATCGCTTACTTGTTCTTTCCGTCCGAGCAAGAGAAATACATGAATGGTCTCTTCCGAAATCTCATGGATTCGGAGTCCGGCTGCATTTTGATGATCTCTCGGGTTTAGGAATTTAAGCTTTTTTTTCTCGCTTGGGTAAATCGTCTCCCAGGAACCTCTCGTCTCGCCCGACTTGGCATTCTGCATGCCGATCAGATAACCTCTGTAGTCCATGTACTGAAGTACTGTGTGTTGCAATGTCCATAATATCCCTTACCAATTGTTTCATCCATCGTGCCCTTGTTCTGCGCATCCTTCCACGTGAAATCACCCAAATTTGGTACTTTCAAAATACCTAGGTATCCGGGTAGTTTCATCCTGCTTTCTCCTCACCAGATTCCAGGAACGAACTCCGCCTTTCCCCCACGTGCTCGGCTGTATCAGCAAGCCACTCAACCATCTTTCATCTTGTATTGCGTATCCTGCATCACACCCTCATCTGGTGACCCATACCAATCGCATGGGTGAAGGATTCTCGAGTGTGGTACCAAGCGCTCAACATGTGGATCTCTGTATCCGCGTATTATTACCCGTTTTGATCCATTTCCTGCCCTTACATGTACACTTACCGACCGTGCCTCTGCGCTGGTACTCTCCATCTGACATGCGATTGCAGATCTTCCGGTCGGTTGTCGAAGTCGAGTCCTTAAAGATGATAGCGTCAAATTATGTTGCTCAAAGGGTGTGATGAGCTGCAGGCGCCAATGAATCACCACAAATGAATGAGAGTGGAAAAAGCCGATCAAGATTATCTTGAGCTTTGGACACGAATGAGGAAAGGCTCGTGTACTGTCTGTAATGGCCAAGAAGGGTAATCATCAATTCTCATGCACCAAGGCAGATGCTGACAAGCAGAAATTCAACCTCGTCCCCTCTCGCTCGTACATGCTTTGCATAAACCAACCAGCCATCAGAAAGCCACATGGATATCTGCGCCCATGTGGAAAACAGTTCCATCTAAAATACGAACCAGAGTATAGAAGAGCTCAGAAAAGAATCAAGAGAATCGTAGCAAATAAAAGATCTCATAAACAGACATCTCCCATGATTAAATCGAAATCCATGCTTGCTGCTGCACCGTGATTTCCGTGGAAGGAATCACCAAAGCAGTCCTCCAGGAATGACGGCAAAGCCAAGTTGGTGGCTGCAGTTTTGTTGTCATGGATGGTGTCGTATTCGAAGGTTTCGTGCGAGAAAGTGCGCGCGAAACTTTCCATTTCGGCATCGTCGAAGTAGAAAGCTGACGGGCTTGAAGATGATGTGGAGTCGGGGACGTGCGGATTGGCCAAGCCGGTTGACGTTGAGGCGGGTACGATAGTGGCGGGAATCGTGGAATCATCAAAGAAGTATGCGGTGGTGGGAGGATTGTAAAATGTTGAGGAGGATGACGATGAGAACATGGATAGGTCGTCGACCAATGAAGGGAGATTGGTAGCCGTCGTGCTGGTGGAGGGGCGGTCGAAGAAGCTGGAAGTACGAGTTGATGAAGTTGTGGGAGGAGGTGCAGGTGGAAGGATTGCCGCTACTGTGGCAGTCGTGGTGGACGTCGATATTGGAGGCGAGGATGATAAGTGGGTTTTTCCAAAACCCATATCGGCAATAGGTGCGGTTGGAATTGGTGTGGTCATGTGACCGGCTGCTGTAGATGTTGAGGAAGTTGGGCGTGCTTGTGTTGGAGTGTCGACCATACCAACATTGGAAGTTGCTGCGGACAACCCGATGCTTGCTGTGGTAGAGGTGGCGGTAATCGTCCCACTAGCATCCCACAATCTTTGCTTGACGCGTTGCCAGGCTTCTCGAAGTGTACGGCGTTCGTCACCAGCGGCGGCCGTGCAGTCCGCGACACTAGTCTCGTCATGAACAAACATCGCCTCGATCAACGGGAGCGCAGATCTGAACAATGAAGCGTCCACAGTGCCGCACTGGGCGAACATGTCCACCACTGTGCCAAGAGCCTGCCATGGGATGGTGACATACCAGCGAAATGAATTGCCGCGAGGGTGAACTAGGATCGCTTGTGTCTTTGAAAGTGCTTGAAGAGCCATGCGGAGTAGTTCAGTATTGCGAGCATTGATACCGCTACTGCTGCCTTGGCTCACTGCTAAGGATTGGTTTTGATGCTGTTGCTCGGCGTGGATGAGCTGCAAAGCGAGGAAACGAGTCGTACTGACGATGCTCTGAGTCGCGTGCCACACGAACCATGCGAAAGAGGACGACCGTGGATCGCAGAAATTGAGCAGTGCGAGGGCTTTGCGCTCAAAATGCTGGCCTTGAAGTAATCGGCTGTTGCAGTCGGCAGCACTACGCTGCCTTGTGGTGTCGCCATGTCGTGGCAGGGTCGAAACGGCGAGACGTCGGCCAACTAATTGAGCATTGTAGGTGACGATAGCGAAGGTAGCGTCTGTAAGACGATTCTGATCTTCAGGTTCCATCTTTGATAGGGGACCGAAATCACGATCGTCAACATGTCGGACTTGGTCGACATAGAATGCGGCCTGCACATCACTGATGAGTGAGCCTCGTGAAGTACTCTTGGCTGTTTGGAAGTCAATCAGACAGAGAGTCAACCAAAGTCGAGCTTGCATCTGGATCTCGAAGGGTGTCTTGCTTGGTGAGACGGCTGGGGAGCCATACTCGAGGCATATATTCATCGCTATACGGACAGCTAGTGCGAGCATGGTCCAGACGGCCTTGCCCTTCCCCTCAGACCTTTGTGCTACCTATAAATCTGGTCAGCTCCATTCGGCTGCCTATGCGATACCAATGATGTGATTTATAAACACTCACCAGATACAGGACAAAAGCCTGGAGGACAGTAATGTCTTCTGTCTCCAGTAGGCTGGACCATTCCAATGCTTGCTCGGTCATCTTTCGGTACTTGGCTACCATTGAATTGCGGTCAACGGAGAATGTAGCAAGAGACTGTTCCGCCGTCATGCTCACTGCTGCAGTATAGCAGACAGCTGATCTAAGAGCAGTGAGGGAAGGATGGTCGGACGGGTATGATAGATAACCTTCTCCTTTGACAAGCCAATCCATCAATGAAGGACGATGAAGAATCTTGATGATGGGATCGACCTGTTGCAAATAGATATGACATAACTGGCTGACATCGGCTCCTTGGCTCTCACGAATATCTGTCGAAGGTTTAAAAGAAGTAGCGAGGGAGTTGTTGAGACCAAGACATCTCAACATATCGGTGTGGAGTCTATTACTTTGTCGTGACGATGAGTTGGCGTCGCTCTGTTCGTTGACCTGAGAAAGATGTCAGACTCGATCACACGTTAATATGAAAGTCGTGATGGTTACCTCGCCGACTAAATCGGACCAGAAGCAACCACCAAGCTCCCGGTCGCTGTCATCAGTATTTGAAGTAGATGAGTATCGATTGTGAGATATTGAGGCATTGAGGGCATTGCGAGGCAAATGCATCTCAGCGCCACTGGCACGCGATGAGTGCCATGAGGCTGTTGGCTGTGGTAATGAGTAGCCATTGACCATCGTATCCGACGCTGATCGGGCTTGATTCAAGCGGTCATCTTCGCCAATGGAGCTGGCTCCGCTGCTCTCAGCTGGCTCACTGGTGACGGACGGCTTTTTCTTCGTTCGGCTGTTGGACGCCAGTGTTGGTGATGAGCGAGTTCGTGCTGGGTGGGCGTGTCGACCTCTTGGGAGACGGTGTCTGTAAATTGGCACGCATGTTACGCCCGCTGACTCGCAATTGCTGCAGGGATCTAGCTTGTCGCATTTGACCTTGCGGTCACGACAGAGCTCGCAGCTGAGCTGTGGCGGCCGGGCGGCTGCCTCCTGCACCGATGACGGCTGCTGCTGTCTCGACACCATGTCGGCTGTATTGCTTCTTTCAACCTCAAGATGACTAATCGGCAGAGCAATCTGGCGATGACTAAAGGTCGGGACACACAGTGTTGAACAGACGTCGAATGGCAATGTTGATAAGATCAAAAAATCAGATGGATCTACGAAGGCGTCAGGGTGGCATGTACCAAGCCTTTATCCAAGCTTTGGGGCACACACCTCCAAGAGATACTCGTCAGCCTAAAACCATTGAACCGTAGCCTCGATTTAATTACAGCATGTTTCTTGTGGTACGGGACTTCGATCGCGATGGCATGCATATGGAGGTGGGCAAGATCACAGCCGCAGAGGGTACGGATGCGAAACCTGATGACTTTGATCAACATCTTGGCAGCCGCTCTCGGCTGAAGTTCGTGGGTTCTGTGCCTTAGACGACTGGGTCTATGGAGTGGGCAGTCATGAGGCGCCATGAACCTTAACAGCATGGCGTGCGCGCGAAGGAAGACCCAATCTCGAGCTTGGTGCGAAGCGCAGTGGTAAGCGAGAAAATGCATGATGTGCGAGCGGTGTCCACAATTGGACTCGACGAGAGACTCAAATGTTGCTGGCCCCGTTCGAGCTGAAATGGTTGCAGCTAGCGGTGCTACTTCCCACGTTCTGCCATGCCTCGAGCATGCATCCGGGCCGACCAGTACGGCTGCGTTTCTCGGAAGCTGTGGGATGGTTGGATTGTCCAAATGTGCTGTAGAAGCTGTGCGAAAGCGTCGCCCGGGTGCATGCCATGCCGGATGAGCTTGTGTTTAGTGGGTCCACTTTGTCCAACGCTGCGCCGCTTCAAAGTTCCATGTCAGTACTCGAAGTCTGCGTACCATCAAAGGCGATGCGGGCTGCATAAGCGCAAAAGCTGCTCGCCGGTCGTGCATGGAAGGATTGACGCGAGTGACAGCATGGTCGTATCACTAGTCGCGCGCGAAGGATCGAACGAGGGCATAATCTACGCTTTTGTCGAGGGGTCCAAAAGGTACGAATGATGTGATTGTGCAGCAGATACCGCGGCCTGCACTTCTACCCGTCGTTGTGAAGCCGACTTGGCGTTGATCATGATGACCTTGCGGGTGTCAAAGGACATGTAAGCTATGCGATGGACGTTCAATGGCGGTCTTCAAAAGGCTCGATGACGCTGAAGCTGGGGTCCTTCACATCGGGAACAGCGATAGACTTTTTGGGGCGTTCGCTACGATCGATGGTGATCGGAATGGACGACCGACTCCGCCGCTGAGAAAGGAGCGGTCATAGTCGGGAGAGGAGGGAAAGTCGGGAGAAGTGAGCATCTGATACGGAGATTGTTGCCTCAGGCTCAAGAGGCACGACAAGGTGAAGTGCAGGTATTCACTTCCAAGCACTACGCGTAACACAATCTGCCACGTGCTTGACCGTGTATGCGTATTCAATACGCGTACCTAGGTAGTCGATCGCATGTGAATTTTCGTATTTCGGAGATCAACGTTGGTCGTTGGTACGGGTGCAGCCCGAGGCACTAGGTTTGGCGGGTTAGAGGCATTCGTCCGAGTGATAAGGTGAGACGGGACGCGCGGTCAGCCGCAAATCGCATCTCGAGATCGTTGGGGCTGGATGCCACGTGCAATACCACGCGCCATGCAGATCGACCCTGTCCTTCTCATCGTATCGCCATCGTCAAGACCCGCATCCCAGCAACAGTCTATGAATGTTTAAATACACCTTATCATGGCGCGAATCGAGATTCGTCGGTGATCTCAGAGACTGTCTGTCACGCTGCCTCGAAAGGTGTCGTTTCAAATCCGGAGGGATAGCACTTGTCATTTGGTCCTGTCCGATCCCAGCGAGTCACTACCTCGACTGGGCTGCGGCGTGAAGCTGGCTGGGACAATTTGTGCGCACGACCGCGCTGAAGAAATGCTCATCATCCTGTATCATCCTGGTAACGATTGCACCACTAGTGAAAACCAGGGCCATTGCATCGCGGTGAGGGCACCGGGACGAGGCAGGCGCAGACTCCGCGAGTTATGCTTCCGTCTGTAGAGGGTGATCTTAGTAAAAAAGTCCATCTCACCAGGATGTACGCCACAACCATGCTTGCTTCCACATGTTCGACCGACTCTTTCATCGTCATCGCAAGGATGATGAAGTATATCCTATCAGAAGAGAAGTATCTTCTGCCGCTCTGGCCGCGCGACGAACATGACATTTCCATCTGCGTCGATCGTGTGGTGCGATTGTGGCTGAGGGGAGCTTCCCGCACCTGAGACCAGCACTAACGAAATAGAACAACCTTGAATCCCATGGTGTGCGAGCACGTATCACATACCGATCGGACCATTTCGTCACTCATAATGAGACGTCTTGGTTACTCATAATGACACACACTGATGCTCTGATATGCCCTACTCACCTTCCGAATCAAGACCAATCAGCAGAACGATTCCAAACCCGAGCATGCTACGCCAGACCTACTGATGGGCCTCCCAGGCGCCGAGGCACTTGATGGCAGTTGACACTCACAAGACAGAGACCGATCGGGTCGTGCGGACTTTGGCTCCGGCACATGGCCGTGTTTCCGAAATGGGCTTTTGTGTACATCCCGCACGTGGAGACAAAACCCGAGATGCTTTTTCAGAATTCGAAGACTGTCCGAATGCCGCTGTGGTGTTCAGAAGCAATGTCCGAAGCTGAAGTTGTCGATTTCTGTCGTGTGACGATCATGTCCAGACGCTTGCTGCCTCATACAGGTATAACATCGACGTCGTTAAAATGAGGCATAATCTCGGCTCCATAACCTTACTCGTCGAGTTTGTGCCCGTCTCCACGCGTCTCCACATCAATAGACGATCAAAATGGCCACCGAAATCTTGACGGCGAGCTCGTCGCCTCTCTTCAAGCACGACGAAGTGCTCGATCACAAGGCCGAAGTCGAGCTTGTAAGTGAAACCCTATCATCCGCATGCTAAATGGCTCAACACCAGCAAAAACATTTTGACGCTAACAACGACCTACAGACCCCTTCGGTCGCCAAGCAGGATGCAAGCATTGGCGTCTCTGAGCCCAGATTCAACCTGACCCCATTGACTGAGGTTGTCAAGATTCCGGGTTACCAGGAGCCTGTGACCGCTCAGTTCGACTTGAACTATGATTCTCAGCTCGAGATCTGGAAATCTCTATCTACTTTCCTGCCCAACGACAATGAGGACCATCAGTTCTGGTGGAAGGTCACTGGTCGCCATGTCGCTCGGATGCTGCATGAGGCTAAGTACCCGGTCAAGCGTCAGGTCGAATTGCTCATGTTTCAACGTTATCATGTCGTGCCTCGCCTAGGTCCGCGTCCAACCTCCTCTAAGCCATGGTTCAAGAGCCGCATTGCCCCTGGCATCGCTGATGGAGGTCCCATCAACTACAGTTGGCGATGGAACGTCGGTAACAAGAAGCCATACATCCGTCACTACATGGAGCCCATCGGCGAGTTGACGGGAACCCCAGCGGACCCGCTGAACGAAGTCGCTACTCGATCGATGCTGCACGAGATGAGCCAGGTCTTTCCCTCATGTGATCCAACCACATTCTACACATTCGCCAATCATCTGCGACCAAACCTTGCCAATCAAGAAGTTCGTCGTAATTTCACAGGCTCCAACATGCTGATCGGCCTTGAGATGCACCCAGACTCGAGTGTTGTCGATATTATGGCCGCACTGGTGACCAAGGACCCCTCACAAGTATCTCGTCTCTTCACTGAGATCTTCCCGGCGGCCATGAGGGATGCGTATGGTCCGACTGCTTCTCAATCCTGCCTCGAGATGACACGGGACTTCCTGCAAAACGACCCTGACGGCCAAAAGCTCATCGCCACGGGTGTGGTCGCCGTCGACTGCTGCGATGCCAAAACCTCCCGCTTCAAAGCATATCTCGTCACCCGCGATCTATCTTTCCGCCACATCGCCCGCGTCATGACACTTGGCGGACTTAAGGCCATCTCTCCAGGCTCTCTCGCGTCACTCCGCGAGTTATGGTACGCAATCAACGACTTGCCCACCTCTCACCCTGATGATGCCCCGCCTCCACCATTGTCAGCGTCGCTGGCAGCAGCCGACCCTCACGGCGCCAATACCGGCCTCAAGGGCACTCCCCGCGGCCTGACATTCTACTTCGACATCCACCCCAAGTACAAACTCCCACACATCAAGATGCAATTGGATGTTACCAAGCACAGCCCGTCCGACCACCTTGCTGCCAATGCCGTCTGTGGCTACCTGCAGCGTCGCGGCCGTGGCGACACCGCACAAGCATACCTCAACATGCTACGCGGCATGGTGTCGGCGACGGAGCTGCAACAGTTCCGCGACCCCAGCCAGACGGGTCAGGCAGTGCAGGCGTACTTTGCGCTAGCGTTCAAGGATGGCGAGATTGATATCACTAGCTATGTCCTCCCGCAAGTTTACGGGCGTTACTTTCATCATTGGGCGGAGATTGGAGGCCAAAGTAAGCCGTCGAAAGGGTCACCCAATGGACAGAGGAGGAGCAGATTCAGTGATTAGAAGATGTTAGAGGGTATCGGGAGCTGGATTTTGCGGGCTTGTGTAGTTCTTGGTGTTAGGTAATCTTTTCTTTGAGTTTTAGGGAATTTCTAGTCTGGTATCATGCGAGCGATATTAACGTACAATTACTCCGTGTGGCGGTAGTGAACTCGACGTCTAGCGTAGGACTCGCTCTCTTAAGGCGAACCCATGCATTGCCCATCACCGACTCAATGGACCTGGGAAAGTGTTCATCCCACGTCCCGTAATTGGCAAGCGAACAATAACCACGAATCGCTACAATCATCGACCGATTGCCACCCTCGATCCGAGTAAAGTGCGAAAGTAATCACATCATATTTCGGCTTCTGACGACCGAAGCTGACCCGAAGATTATTTCTGGTGCGATGTTAATTCAACCTCCAAGCCCCCAACGTCAATCGAGGGTCTCCAGACTGCCGATCGACACGCCTTGGGGAATTTTTGGAAAGCTTGGGGAAGCTTCAGTCGATCGGAGACCAGGTTCGCACGTGTATTGCACGCGAAGGCCATGGGAAGGCCATGCATAGTTGTGCGAGGATCAGCGCATTTTCTGCGTATAACTGGATAGCTGAGGAGAGGGATCGGCGCTCAACGCTGCGGGCTCGCTTCGGTTCGCCTTGAGTTGGGTGTGATGTGATGGCCGTTAGCTTCCGATGGTTGTTTTGCTGTACGGCCGTGAATACAAACGGAGAGATTCTCGCTCGACTGTGAGGTGAGAGCTTTTGTCTCGTTCATCTCACAAACATTGTAATCGATTCCATTCACAACTTTCTTTTTGAACACTCAGCATTTCGTTATTCCTTTCGCCAGTACACTTCCACTTTAAGAACGCAAACCATGGCAGTCCGGATTCCCGTCAACTATGGCGCCTGGGATGAATACCTCACTGGTCAAGCCGCGATGCTTCCAGAGCTCCCCGACGTCGAACAGATCACACCACGAGTCGCAAGGATCCTCGGCGCGAACCCAGGCCAGATGCAATTGCAAGGAACCAATACATATCTCGTCGGCTCTGGTCCTGAGAAAATCCTGATCGATACAGGCGAGGGCAGCGCCGAATGGATTGCCCGCATCATATCATTCCTCTTGGCTAACGATCTGCACATCTCGCGGGTCCTCCTGACCCACTGGCATGGCGATCACACTGGCGGCGTGCCGTCACTGCTCGAGTTCGACCCAAGCCTCGTAGACAGCATCCACAAACATCAGCCGGACTCGCATCAACAGCCTATTCATCCAGGCCAGACATTCTCTGTGCCTGGTGCCACGCTTCGTGCTGTCCACACTCCGGGCCACGCAGTCGATCACATGGCGTTCATGCTCGAGGAAGAGAACGCACTCTTCACCGGGGACAACGTCCTCGGTCATGGCTTCTCTGTCGTGCAAGACCTCGGCACATACATGGATACTCTCCGAGTGATGACAGACCTTGGCTGCGCCGTTGGCTACCCTGGCCATGGTGCTATCATCACAGATCTGCCAACCAAGATGCGAGAGTACACCCGCCACAAGCAGTTCCGTGTGACGCAAGTCCACGCGCTCCTTGTACGGACCAAGAGTGAGGTCGAGGAACAAAAGGCCCGATTGGCTTCCTCGCCGACCTCAGCGCCAATGATGCGGTCCACATCTTCATGCCCTCGCGGCGGGCTCACTCTAGCAGAGATCGCAGCATCGTTATACGGTGCCGACGTACCAAGTGAGATTGTCCAGAATGCTCTGGCGCCAAGCTTAATCCAAGTCCTCTGGAAGTTGGCCGAAGACCGCAAGGTTGGCTTCGAGCCGGGAGATGTCGCTAAGAGGAGATGGTTCGCTGCGCAACCTGCTGTGCGATCGCATATGGGCATGCGAAGAGCGATGACCACTGCAGTGTGATCCCTGCCTTGTTTCTTTCCCTTGACACTTGTCTTTATATTATTTTAAGATGGCGCGGGGTGGCGTTTGAAGGTTACAGTGCAACGATAATCCATGACCATTTTCAACGCTTATTTTCCGTAGGCATACTGAAGCCGCGTGTCATGAAGTCGGCACTCTTCCCGATGGGCTTGGTCTGATCTCTTGACGAAAACAAACTCTTGACGTTCTCATTGTGCATCCGTCGTCGTTTCGCCTGTTCCTGCTCTTGAAGTACCTTGCTTGTCAAGCTTGCGGTGGATGCGTTGTTGATGCCTTTCGACACCGCTTTGTTCTTCGCAGCGACATTTTCTTCTTCTTCTTCCTCCTTCTGCTTCTTCCTCTTCTTGCTCGCACTTGCTTTCTTCAACGAGTGCGTCAAACCCTTCTCTTGTAAAGTCTTGACGCGAAGTGCTAATCGTGCGATATCCGTGGGCGCAGTTGACAGAATGGGAACAACATCATTGGGCGCATACTCTGCGTCGCATGTGAGACACTTTTGACCTCCAGCTTCTGACGACGACGCTTCCTTGACAGCGCTGCCGGCGAAAGCATGTCCGCATGGAACCAGGTAGACGGCCTTGGCTCCAGGGCCCATTTGGTCGCCTGTGACCGGGCACTTCCACCTCTCATTTCGCTTGTCTTTCCCAGCCGCGTCGTCGACCTCGAAAATGACTTCTACGACGTCCTTAAGACTTTTGATCGAACCGCGGGTAGTGTTAACAAAATCCGCTGCGCGCGTGCCCTCAACTAGATATTCGAGGACTGTTGATTTGTTATAGAGGCGACCAGTGGCATCAGAAACCACGGGTCGTTCAAGAGGCTGGCGTGATATTGGATCCGTCGTCCATTGGTAAGTTTGCTGTTCCTGTTGCGACTCTTTTAAAGCGGTGGCACTCGGATTGCGAGCTGCTTCCTTGACGAGCTCACGCCGGGTCGGAATGCTTCCACCATCGTTACCCATGGCGGAAACAACGCTCGAAGGCTCGAAGAATGGACTATGATATGCAGGTATGCATTGGTCGTAGCCGCTGTGGAGAGGCACGTGTGTACTTAAGTTTACGGAGTAGAGATCATCAAGATGTCAACCGAGCTTGCCTCTAGGGCTTTCACAAAACGGGTGATCATATGTGAAAATCATTGTGTGACGATGCCCCGTCCGATTTGTCCAAAACCTGGATATTTCAAGAGTCTGCTTCGCAACAAAACTTCATCTTGCCTTTATTCATCGAAGCAGAACAGGTTATCGTAGCTTTGGTTGAATATTGCGTTCAATTCCTGATAAATAAACGCCATGAAGGGCAAAATGGAAAATCTACAATCGATAGAAAAGCAAAAATATCTGGACACTGTGGGAATTGAACCCACGACCTTTCATACATGATGTTGGTACAACATGCGAAACGAAAATCATACCCCTAGACCAAGTGCCCAGCCTTGACAAAATGGCCAAACTTTAGAGTATATGAATCTTTTACAATTTTCAATTCCCGAGTGTGTGGACGCTGGCCAACGGCCGATTGTCTGTAGCACGCTGGCTCAGACTTCATCCCACGACTGTGCCGTCTCGTAGGCGCTGGCGTCTGCATTCTGAAGAAAATGACAGCTCACTTCTTGACGGCGCTGAGCCTCCAAGGGGGCCGCGCCACTCTTTAGAGTTTGTGCCATTGTTTGCTTTATTTTTGAGCCTCCTGCCGTGTTTGAGATCGCGCTCACTTGATTCGACGACGACTCGGCCGCACAGGAATTAGACCATGCTGACATCACGTATCTTCCACCAACAACGTGTGGTGGACAAGAGGTCCCGTCAGGCGCTTATGTGCCGAAGCATGAGCGAAATCAGGCACGGCGAATGAGAATCTGAGTGTCACTCGCGATATTCTTCGCTGTCAACGTGTCTGATCGCACACGCCTTCTGCTTTGCTCGCTCGAAGACGCCATGTAGGATGAGAGCGATCGTGGCCAACATGGTGTTCATATTACGGGCTGCGCTATGGACATCCAGCCTGTGGGTGGGTGCTTCATCGCGGAGCGCCTGAAATGGCTGAGCATCGATGCCGAAATAGACATATGTCTTACCTAGCGCGAATGTCAACACAAGCCGCACTGAAGTTGATGCGATACTATGCTATTTCCTGTCCCGAAGATACGGCAATATATGCCAAATCAGCCGCAGGCGGCAAATGCTCGCACTGGAAACACGTAAGTCTACATTCTTGATCGGAATGCACCGGGAATGTCAAACCAGACAGATACCGCATCCATCATGCACTTTCGACTTTCGAATTCCCTCCTGGTAAATGATATTGCCCACTTCACAAGGTTAACATTCGTTCTCTGAAATCACAGTGTGAGGTTTGCATATTCCGATTCGTGTGACACTGTCGTCGCGATGCAGCTTTTCAGGACCAGCTTCGTCTTGGTGGCGACATGTCTCTTCACACAAGGCCATTGTTACGCCGGTAATATTTCTCCTCTGGTGCTCATACATCGGCGAGGCGTCCGGCACTGACACACCAAGCACAGTCGAAATCAGAGACGCAAGCATTGTCAATCGCTTGCCAATCCGCAACATTGATACTCCTATGCGAGTTCTTCCGATCGGTGATTCCATCACTGTTGGCTTCAAAAGTTCTGACAACAATGGATATCGTTTGGATCTCCGGAAGCTCTTGGTTGCCGCTGGTACTATAAATTCGATGTAGCTTTCGAGCTTGCGACTAACACTTGATAGGTAAATTGGTCACCTTTGCTGGGGCTCAGGCTGCCGGTGAGAACAACAACGAGAATCGGCACGAAGGGTATGGCGGCTTCACGATCGATCAGATCAGGCAAAAGGTCGACATTGACGGTGTTCTCGCTCAATGCCCTACTGTTGTTCTCATCCACGCCGGTACAAACGACATCGTTCTTCCTGGAAGTCATGATCTTTCAGACGCGCCACAGAGACTAGATATGCTTGTCACGGACGTCCTAGACAAATGTCCCGCATCAGTAATACTCGTCGCCAAAATAATCAATTGCACGTTGTCGACGGAAGACCAAGCAGCAATTGATTCCTTCAACTCTGCAATCCCTGACATGGTCTCCAAGCATTCTCGTCTTGGCTACAAGATCCGCCTAGTGGATCAAACCAACGTCGGCGGCAAATTTCTCAACGACCACATTCATCCGACCGATGCAGGATATAACCTTATGGCTCAGAATTGGTTCCAAGCTTTGCAGGCCTTGCCGGATTCTTGGATCAGGGAAGCTCAGATCGCTGGAGGAAGTACCGGCCATGCAGAAGACTGTGATAAAAAACGCGATTCGCCATTCGACGTCAGACGAGACGGCGTGAATGCCGCTCGACGGCAAGCTTGCACGGTCGTGCCTTATAGAGCTCGTCTCTGGCGCCTGTTGCGGAGCTTGTTGCTCATGGATCATTGAAACATTATTGGTGTCAAGGCTTATCAAGAAGTCTTTTCAGCTTTCCAGCGCGAGACCTTCCATCTTTCGTCCGGAGAGCGAGATCCATGGCTATCAATCATCTTGGTTCGCAGTGTTTCCGCCATGCGGCGCAGCACTTCGGTGCAATGTGACTTCTGACGTCTAGATTCCGTGTCTCAGCAAGAAGGGATTCTTGTCTCTATTCGCCTGTCTTTACGATGCCAATCACGGACTGGACATGCCTCATGTTTCACCTCAGCAAGATTTGGGCCGAATGCCGGACGAGCTTGCATCGCCACGAACAGGCTTCACTTGACAATCAACTCCGGGTGTTCCCGAACTTGAAAAAAGACAATACACAGAACATTATCGGTCAGGCTCGTCATCCGTTCCCTTTGGGCCGAGAAGCTTGCGAATGTGACGATGTAATAGATAGCAGCAGAGGCTTCGAAAATAGCTGCGCTACCAGGCTCCAACGTGTCGCTTGCCAGACTTCACGAATTGATACTCAGGAGGGCTGCATCTATGACCACAAACGAAGTGATACGGTACCTGCTCAAGCAAGGCGCGGACATTGCAATGGTTCCCGGCATACACATCACAAGAAGTCTCGACGAAGAAAATAAATAGCCCCAGCAAGTTCAAGAGCTTTTGGAGATGCCCATCTCCTATGGGTGGTATATCAACACGCTTTCAAATAGGCCCAAAGGTACCCCCCATATTTTGGAGTGGTGTTTCCGATCTCGGTGTTTTTGATTGGTGCTTGGATCATGGGGCGAAGTTGGTATTTCTGGACGAACCTTCAACACATGTTCTAACGGGGTGGAGAATCTAGTCGTCGAAGATCCGCAATGTGCACACATTACCAATGACATTTTGCAACGCTGCGCATTTGATAGTTGTTGTTGGGCTTGATGAAAACACTCCGGACGTTGAAATCTGCCGTTTGTCTTTCTGCTATGCAAGCTTATCTCCGGGCAATTGAAATTCTGTTTTAGTTACGATGTGTCCGTCAAGATCTCCAATGCAGGTCTGTGTGCCGGCCTGAACAATTACAGCAAAAAGATTCATAAATTTCAATCATGGAAATCAACTGACACGTGGCGACGTTTCGGGAGGAGACAAGCTCGTTTTTCGGCAGTATTATCAATGGTGATGGCTACCTTGGTGCTCTCTGGCACGGCTATACATGCCATATTCACCATGTTCTACGTTCGCTCTGCGTTCGTAGCGTGGTGAGAAAATGTTGTCCGAGGTTGTCTTTAGGGTTATCATATTCACTTGGGGTTAATTTTGCCCAGTGTGACAGCCAACGCTATGGGTATTCATGGACATGTCTCCAGAAGACTCGCTCTGTAAGGGCGACCAAGGATCAAGTATACGAGGGTTTTGAAGCAAGATACAGATATGAAGGGCAAATAAACAATAACAATAGATCATACCATCACGACCTCCAGAGAAACCAACCGTACCAACTGCTCACACAGACGCTGCCCAAAATCAGGCCTATCCGCCCAATTCGGCCAATCAATTTCGTCATCGTCATGGCCCGCATTTGATTGCAAAGCGCTAACGTCTGATCGCCCGTGTTCTCCACAGGGAACGGCACTCCTTCCGGTACATCTTTCTTCAAAAACCGACAGAGAGGCGCCCATCCTTCCGAAATATCCATCCTGAGAATATCTCTCCCCTCAGACTCTGCGCGCTTCAGAATTGCCGCATTGTGCTCGACATACACTGCGCGGAGATTTGTCAACATTTCGAATTTCGTCGGCGCGCGGAAATAGCCTTGGAACAACGCCGAGTACATGCCCGCCAGTGAGCTTGGGAGGAGTCCGACCCGTGCTGCTGCGGCAAATACATCCTTGCGCCACGCGAAGATGAGACATAGCGTCGTCCGTACGAAGCTGCGATACCATTGATCGATGTCGCGCTCCACCAGCAGGATCTTCGCATCGGGATACGCGGTCATGAGTTCGGCCCAGAAGGCAGCGCAGGGCATTTCCGTGACGGCGCGCACATGGCCGAGGATTTGGTCGAAGTCTTCGCGGGTGATGGTGGAATCCTCGGTGAGTGGCGATGATGTCGCTGTGGGCTTGTCGGCGGGGAATTTCCTCGCGATCAAGGCTTCCCAGAGTGGTCGGTCTTTCTTGGGATTCAGCGCGCAGCTATGATAGACGGGCCCGTAGCCTAGTCGTTCCAGGGCGACTTTGATGCTTTCTGTGCCGGTTCGCGACATTCCCAATGCGAGGATCTCCATGGGTACTTGCCGGGTTGTAGTGGCCATACTGGTGGTTGGTGGTGCTCTCCGCGATGTGATTTCAGTGTTGTGAAGAGTGCGACACCGTCTTGACACCCACAATGACTTGCTGGGTCCACTGCTACAGGGGTTGATTTGACACGAAACGCCCACGAAACATGGTCGGTCTCATGGCACCATAATGTAGCGATCGTCTTGAATGACCGGTGCGTGACCGATCTTACCTATGATTCGGTTCGTAAACTCCGAGGGCTGATTCTCGGACATCACCTTATGATCCGAAGCAATCTAAAGCTGCTCAACCGGTATATCCATGACACTTGCACTGTACATCACTCTGCTGACATGCTTCCTGGCTACCTAGGTGGTTTCAAACATCCTCCCACGCGTTCAAGCTCCGCCTTGTAGCTGAAGCTTACTTCCGAGGATGTTGATGCACCGCCACTTGTCATGAAGAGCACTCGGTATCTCAACTCCACAGCCTCTTGAAGGACAATGTCTATGTAATTATAAGTCGTACCAAAGTGGTGAATCGGGATCTGCATTGGCCCAAGATCCAGCTTCGGTGTTTGTGGCCGAAAGCTTGTCAGCTGCCGACGTCATCACAACATGCTTTCAAGACCAACAGTTCAAAAGGCGACATATGCATGATGGCGCCACAACTGAATGGTCTATCAAGGAGCATAACGGAGCCCAAGTCTATTGCTCACTCTTCGACACATCAATTTTCACCACCATGGCGGTTGCATCACTCACCGACGTGGGAATCGTGGGAGCCGGCGTCGCCGGTCTCTCCCTCGCCATCTACCTCCGCTCCATCGGCCTCAACGTGACCGTCTACGAAGGTCAGGCTGACAACAAAGCGGAATACACTAATCTTTGGACTCTCACTCCCAACGGTCTCCGGAGTGCAGAAGCACTCGGCGTGTTGCCCGAGCTTCAAGCAGTCGGCGTCGCCTACGAGAATATCAACGTGCTCAACGGCGCGAAAGAGCCCATCAGCAAGCGCGAAGTTGGATCCGAGTCCAAGCATGGCTACTCAGCGCTCAGCATCTCTCAAGCCCAAGTCGTTCGCGCATTGACAGCCAGGGCATCAACTGCGGGAGTTACCATTCACTACGAGCATGTCTTCGCCTCAGTGGTGACAGCGTCCACGAGCAAGGATGTCTCCATCTCTTTCACCAATAAGTCCACCGCCACCCACGGCCTCCTGGTCGGAGCCGACGGCCTCAACTCCGCCGTTCGTGCCCACATCGCCCCGACATACAAGACCTCCTACATGGGCAGCGTCGCCCTAGCCGCATCCGCCGCACGCTCGACTCTCGTACTGCCCGCAAATTCCAGCCTTCCACTCTCCATCGCCGACCCACGCGGCCACGTCATGTTTTCACCGATTGGCACAGAATCTTGCTCAATCGCAATGGCACACGCAATGGAAGCTCCAGAATCAGGCGACTGGACCGCTCTCCGCCAAGATAAAACTTTCATCCAATCTGTCCTTGATCAAAAAGCCGCAGCATGGGATTCGCTCGTCAGCGATGTCGTGAAGGATCTTGATCCTGTATCTCTGTCCCTCTGGCCGATGCTTTCGGGCGCTCCGCTTGAAAGCTGGGTTTCAGACCGAGTCGTTCTCATCGGCGACGCGGCACATGTTCTGCCGCCGGTGGGAATGCTTGGCGGGAATTTGGCGCTCGAAGATGCGCTCTCGCTGGGAACAACCCTTGCGAAACTCGTGAATGCCGGGTCGGAAGGTCTGCACACGGGTTTGAAACATTGGGAATCGCGCCGCATGACCAGATTGGCGAGAGTCGCTGAGGTCAGCAAGTCCTTTGGTAAGATGAGCAAGCAAGCTGGTTCGCCTAACGCTGCACCGGCGGCACCCCCGAAGCCGGACAATGGATGGTTGTATGACTTTGACGCTGTGAGGGATCTCGAGGTGCAAGCCTGAATTGATTGAGATTGGGGTCGTCCATGGCTTCGAGGACATGATGTAATGGGGAGACGTGACATGAAAATAGTCTGTGAGAAAGACGCTTTAGCTTCTATTTTTGGTGTATGTGCCTAGCAATCCTCGTGCGTCGGCTTGAAATCATCTTTGGCGCGCTTTCAGGAAGATTCAGCCTTTTACTCCTAGCTCACATGACGAACAGACAAACAAATAGACAAACAGCAAATCCAAAATCGACAAAGCTACAGAAATCACAGCGATATCCATGCAAATCGAGCTGAGACGGTCTTACTTCGTTTCTTGTCGTCTCGGGATTTGACGGTCGGCGATAGATTGGGTCAAATTCCGTTCGGCTGTTGTGTCCAGCGAGGTGGAACGCCAAACTACTCAAGATATACAATGACGAAACATCTCAGACGACAAGAGATGTCTTTCGAACAAGGAACTCTAGCACCAGGCTGATTCACGCAGATTTACCTGTGCATTTGCTCGACGTGCTTTCTTCAAACGAGACGGCTCGCAGTACTTACCAGACAACATGTCTCCTTGGATCGGCCAAGATCCATCATCAGTGAAAGACGATGCGCCGATCCTGATCATTGGCGCCGGTCTCTCTGGTCTACTTCTTGCTCGACTTCTCACAAACAGCGGCATTCCCACGATCGTCTTCGAAGCCTCCTCCGCAACGCGAAGTCAAGGATTCAGCATCTCACTACGAGACTGGGGCTATGACGAGATCCTGGCGGCTCTCGGAGATATCCCTTTGAGTCGGCTACTCCGAGGTGTCGCGCCGGATCGTCGCCGTGGTGGAAGTGGTGAACTTGATCAGGTCATACGGAATAATGCCACCGGAGAAGTTCTGATTCGCCCGGATCCGAAGACGATGAAGGGGATTGTTAGAGCGAATCGGGAGGCGCTTAGAAGTTGGATGGCGGATCAGGGTGAGGAGGAGGTCGATGTGAGATATAGTCATCGATTAGTGGAAGTTAGTGGTGAGCCTGGAGATGTCGTTGCGAAGTTTGAAAATGGGAGCGTGCATAGAGGGTGCTTTTTGGTGGGTGCTGATGGCGTGCACTCTGCTGGTGGGTTTCAGGATGATTCATTTCGTGCTGCAGCATCTGCTAACAGATATCTTTATCAACAGTACGCGCACAAATCATTCCACAGGTCATCCCGGAGACTATACCTGTGGTGGTCTACCATGGCGAGTTCACACTCACCCATGCTGAATTCGACACGCTTCTGCGGCCGTTGATGGGCAACGGAAACATTCTCGCGGGCATTGGAGATGACTTCAACACTCCGATCACGATGGCGGATGTGACATCAACTCACGTCCACCTCGACTGGTCATACTCACGAAACGCACGAATCGCCGGCCCAGACGAAGATCAAACCCATATCGATCCGCTGTACATTCCATGCTCGACTCGTGGCTTCTCCTCGAAATCTCCAACTCTTCCACTCGATGCTCTTGCAGCTGAGCTTTCCACCCGTTCGCTAGCTCATCCTTGGTCGGAGGTTCTCTCGCCTGAGAGAATTCTTTCAGGAGACTACAAGATCGTTTACTGGACGTCTCGATGCGTGACGGTGTCTCACAAAGAGGAGATGACTTCAGCGGCGAAGAGCTCTGGTGTTGTTTTCGTCGGCGACGCATGGCACGCGATGCCCATCTTCGGCGGTGAGGGTGGTAACCATGCTCTTGTCGATGCCGTGGAGTTGTGGGAAGAGATCGTCACTGCACGAGAGTATAGTAGTGAAGCTGGTCTCTCACATCAAGGAGTGAACAGCTTCTGGGAGATTAAGGCTGCTGAGAAGTACTACTCACGTGCCTTTGCGAGGTGTCAAGATGCGGTTCGACGGTCCAAGCAGAGATTTCAAGTGTTGCATCGGCCGATGAGTCAGTGGAAGGAGATTCAGAAGAAGAGTGAGATGATGTTGAAGCTGATGGAAAAGCAACAGCAGGGGAAGGAAGTGACAAATCCGAATGATAGAGATGCGGCAGTGGCCGTCAGCGCGACTGCATGATGATGGAAATGCCGGTCTTCATACACTTCACTGATAATGACACCTGACCGCGTGAATCCGTTCTGACATTGTTTCTCAACCTCAAGATGTCCTAAATTGTACCTCCAACGGTACCTCCGGCATCGTGCAAGACGTGTTTCTTCCAAGGTTCCCAATCAATCTTGAAACGTTCACCACGCCGTCACCAACCTGCCAGTGACTTCTGTCATCATGGCATTCACGCTCTCTCCAGGCTCAGGACAATATCTTCACCACGCCCTGGAAGATACACTTACCTGAGGAGTTCCCAGAGGGCAAATCGCTTTATGATTCATCAGCCATCAAGATGGACATGTGATTGCCACTCAGCATGCCATCGCAGTTCCCGCTCCATTGCATTCGGGCTCAGACTTGAAAGCCTCTCCCAGCCAGATCGCGACTTCTGAGCCGTTCAGAACAAGAGGACGATGCAATTCTCTGAGTGTCAATTTGCCATGGTCGGTCAGCTCATTCGTTTGCTTTCTGCATACACGTGCGGACGCCCTTGGCAGTCAACAGTAACGACCACTCGCTCTCAGCGCCTTGCGCGAGCTTCTTTATCTCCTCCTCGGCGTACTTAACAGTAGACTGCATCGCCACCACAAGGAACCCCAACTCCTCGCGCTCAACATCAAACACCTCCCACCATTCTACCTCGGGCAAGTTCACACTCACTTGTCTCGCGGCAAGATATATAGCTGCAGTGGCTAAGGCATTGGGTTGATGAGTGAGGTAGAGCATTTGGGGACTCAGTAGGGCGGTATTGAGATTGGCGAGAGCTTGACGGGCGAGGGACGCACCAGACGACGCGCCAAGGGCAGACGACGGGGCAAAGACATCGAGTGTTTGCAGGTAATTTATGCACAGACCATGAGGCAGCGCTACGTGTGTGGAAAAGGCCAGGGTTTGGAGTATTCGAGATTCGTGGTGGTACAGGCGAGCGCGTGCGGCAAGAAAGTCAGGTTCGGGAAGAGACCATGATATGTCGGTTGGCAGGCGACTTTCGTCATCAAGCTTTGTTGCGTGTGATGATGATGCTGCAGCGGTCCGTTGAGCCGCTGGTAGGCGTGTCAAAAATTCGAACACAATCAGGACTTGTCGTGGACTGACAGCGTGGCCGGTGGGTTTGGCCGTGAGGAAGAGGGCGGCGGCAGCGACATCCTACATCGCACGACATTGCGTGGTGGTACGCACTATGAGTCAACGCTTTGAATGACACGAGGGAGGTCCATAGCACGCGCGTCTGAGGTGGAGAATGAGAGCGAAAGCATGTCCATGTCTACATCCGAAGGCTACGTAGTATGGGAAGAAACGCACCTTGGCATCAGAGTCTAGCATACTCCCGCCATCAGGACCAGTCCAGTAACGGAACAAAAGGACAATGGCCTGTGCAATGAGGTCCTGTGGCAGACGAAGAAGAATGCCTGCAGCCTGTAGCAGGTGGGCAGAGTGGAAGCGTATCGCGTCCTCCAAACTAGGTGGAACTCCATCGAGCTGACTTGAGGAGGTCTCAAGTTGAGACGCCGCGACCAATTGATTGCAAAGGATCGACGAGGATGACTTCAGAACAGCCATGGTCCTGCGGGTCGCTTGGACGTGGATCCACGGCCTTTGGCAGAGTGGAGTGCAGAAGTTGATACGAGCCGACGGTAGGACTTGCGCTGAGCACGAGCAGAACGTGTCAAATCGTTGGCGTGGACGCGTTTCTGTTCACCTGGAAAACATGGGTGGAGAGTAAGGAAGGGATTCCCGACGACGACAATAATGATTGTAGAGGCGAGAGACGGAGATGGGAGTGACATTGGGCGGCTAAATCGGGATTGTATGAGAAGTCTTGAAAGTGAGCGCCCTGACGCGAAGCGATTGGTCAAAATCTGAGCGCCACTAAGATGAATTCGACTAGCGTGATCCACCAATCCCTAAGCGCCGAACCTCCCTCTCTGTTGTTATCACTGTATTGTCCTTTCAAAGCGTCTCGTCATTCTTTACCGCCCGGAAGATTGAACATCGTGAAACAATTGCAACCGTGAACAACGAACACAAGCATTGCACGCATCGCGGTCTATTGGACAATGCGTATTCTTATTTTGAGCGTTGGGTGATGTAAGCAAACGCTCGGCGCTTCTCTTGGATCCAACGACACTCTGCCCTGAGACTTCCTCCCACGACGACACTCGTTATTTGCTCGTGCAGAGTGGATCTCGTGCATCCACAATGACGACGACAATTAAATGACAAGCGCTTCACAAATAACACAGACCAAGTGTTGAACAAGCGGTAGCGCTCTCTATGAACCTGTCATGGCACATTCCAAGCATTATGCGCTCGTGCCTGTAGACATGGCCGACACGCACGGTCGTAGTCTGATGCCTCGCATACCAGGTGGAAAAGTATATCATATCCCTCCCATGCCGTCTCCCTTTGTTTGATCTCACAATCATTCTTTCCGTCGACATCATCGTGTTTGTGTTTGTTTGTTAAAAGGGCTTCCTTCTTTTTTCCTTTTATCTCGTTCCTCGTCGTTACATCTTGCTCCGTGAGCATCACCTTCGTTACCAACGATCCAAACCCCACCACTATCACTACTCCTCAATTTTAAGGCACTGGCTGTCTAGAAAACGAGAGGCAAAAAGTTAATTCTGATCTCTTTTCCAACTCTTCCAACGACTCGACGTTCACCATGCATTTGAGACGATTCTTGACCACGGCCGCTTTGGCTGCTACGGCATCAGCAACTTACGGTGCTGATCCCATGACTTGTGCCTGCAATCCCGCGGGCGCCACAACGGCCGTTACTTCGATCCAGTACATCACTGTCACTGCTGTCCAGCCATTGACCACAACATACACGCAGACTTCGACCCGCACTCACCAGGTCACCGTCACGCTTCCGGCCACGACCAGCTCGCCTGAGGTTGTTACCGGGGCGCAGACTGCGATTCCCACGACTGCTACAACTTCCATCAAGACCACGATCACCAAAGGAACCACAATCTACACTACCGTCTGTCCTGTTGAGACCACTATCACCACCGCCGGGGCTACCGTTACGTCGACTTTAAAATCGTTGACCACATCCACACTTACCTCAACATTCTCTTCGACTCTGACTGTGACCGAGGTTGCAATTCCTACGACTGCCACCAAGACCACCGTGACTCTGGGAACCACAATTTACACCACCGTCTGCCCTGTTGAAACTACCATCACTACTGCCGGTTCGACTTTGACCAGCACGTTGACTGGCCAGTTGACTACCTCGACACTCACCTCGACATACCAGGCAACCGTGACCGTAACTGAAGCTTCCGTCTACACCACTACACACAGCACTGAGACTCAACAGCTTGTGACTGTCACTGTGCCGGGACAGACGGGTACTACACTCCCGCCGGTCTACACTACGACCATTGTAACGGACTACGACGCTACCGGTGCCAACACAGACGTGACAAGCAAGGCCACCACAACTTTGGAAGTCACCGTGACTGCGCCGAAGCCTACGACCGTCACTGGCGCTGCTACCACATACGAGACTCTCCCAGCTTACACCATCACGTATACCGCTCCTGGTAACTACGGACACCCGAAGCCATCGGTCAGCCATTCCAAGTTGCCGAAAACTACTAGCGTCGCCACGACATCGAATGAAGTCTCGCCTACTCAGACAACCGCCCCCGTTGTCAGCGTAGAGACAACCACTCTCACCACCTCAACCATCTATACAACCCAGGAAGTTACGATCACCTCATGTGCTCCCACCGTGACCAACTGCCCTGCTAACAGCGTTACCGTGGTTACCAAGACCATTCCTCTGTCCACCACCATTTGCCCTGTCACCATTACCGTAGCCTCGACCCTGTCTACCGATACTCTGATCAAGCCCACTCGCGAGACTACCGCGGCAACCGCGAATGCTACTTCGATCGACAACACGGTCATTCCCCACTTTACTTATCAGCCGACCACCACTACTGCTACTACTTCAACCGACAACACGGTCATTCCTCACTTTACTTATCAGCCGACTACCGGTGCTGACGCCACGACCTTGAGGCCGAAGCCATACGTGGATACCACCACATCCAGCATCAAGAAGACTACTGTCTCCGGCGACAATGTTCCTACCGCGTACGGTTACGGTCACACCAAGGCCACGACTACAGTCGCTACTACGGCTGCCACTACTGATGCCACGACGGTTGCCACTACTGATGCTACCACTGCCGCCACTACCGATGCTCACGTCACTGGCGCTGATACAGCCATTACCAGTGGCGCCACCAAGCCGACCACTGCTGCCACCACTTCTGTCGAGACCAGCTTGCCTCCGATCGTGACTGAGCTTCCCAAGACTTATGGTGCTCCTCCAGCCTACAAACCTACGACTACCAGCAGCGAAGAGACAGCCTACCCTACCACTCAGGCCGCTCCGACCGGCTATGGAGGAAAGGACACCGCTGCTGCCGTAACCACCGAGGCCGCAAAGACAACCGATGCTCCTGCCCCACCTCCAGCCTACGGACAGCCCACCACTTCTCCCGAGGCCGTGAAGACCACGGACGTCCCGGCGCCTCCCCCAGCCTACGGCCAGCCCACTACTTCCCCCGAGGCCGCAAAGACAACCGATGCTCCTGCCCCACCTCCAGCCTACGGACAGCCCACCACTTCTCCCGAGGCCGTGAAGACCACTGACGCCCCGGCGCCTCCCCCAGCCTACGGCCAACCCACCACTGCTTCTCCGGAGGCCGTGAAGACCACTGACGCCCCTGCTCCTCCACCAACCTACGGCAAGCCCACCACCACATCCACAGACAAAGCCGCTACTACCACCGATGCTCTCCCCGCAGGCTACTACAGCCCGCCCGGCTATGCTCCGTACAGCCCTCCCGGCTACGGCGGTCCTCGAGGCTACGCGCGTGCGCGTCGCGAGGCAAAGATCTTGTAAAAAGTTCCCTGCGTCTGTCGAATAGCCCCATTCACTTGATGGTCTGGATGACTATGGCCTTTATGACAAGTCTGGTTGCTATCTCTGATCATTCGCTGGGTCGTTTGGTCTTTGAATACTGTGTATTGAAGGAAGGAGTTTCGTTTAATTGCTGTTGTTGCTGTTGTATCTTACATACGTAATTGAGTATGAAAATATGTGACATGATAGCTGATCGTGTTCTCAAGTGGATTTGATGCTCAAGCAATGTCTGTATGTCGCCACACGAAGTCAACTTTTACCAAACCGCCGACTACAACCTCTTCCTGCTCTCGCTTTCAGCAAGCGTGCTTCATGTCGCTGATCGCGATCTTTCCCAGCATGGACAGAAGGTCTCTCTCGTCAATGGATCGGTTGCTTTGAAGGGTACGGAGATGGACGGAATTGTCGACTCGAAGAATTCCCCACTGCTTCTGTCCATTTGGAACTTCATATCAGCGGTGTAGTGTCGTAAGTGCTCTATAGTTGACGGAAACAACCCAGGTCGTGGTCTAAATAATTTCAACAGTACATCCTTACGTCCCCACGAGCACATTTCAAATACTGATCCGATGGTTGACTTTGCTGATGACCCACATGCTATTCGTCCGTGACACATGGTCTACAGAAGAGTTCGCCCTTTCAAAGCCTCACATCATGAATCCCCCCAGGTCCCTGCTCATTGTAATCCGTACGTGTCAGATAGCCTTTGCTCGCGCCCCCATCAACAATGAACAACAACTTCCCAGCGACCTGTGCGCCCAAGAATGCCGCTTCATCGTACCCGACATCCTTCCATTCCGGAAAATACTCGGGGATCTTCGCGTAGCGGATCGTAGTGGGTGTTTGTTGATGGTGCGCAGAGGAATGTAGATTGTGGTGGGCGGCTGCTGGCGGATACGGCGGTATTGGTTGCTGTCCGCCTTGTTGGAATGGAGTAGGTGGTGCGCTTCCAGGAGTGGAAGGTGGGTACATCTGTGAGGGGTCCTGACTGCGTGCTGTCAGAGCGGCGTGCAGGAGAGGATTTACACTCGATCCAGGTCCGCCAGGTGCGCCGAGTGCATATTGAGGTCCGAGTTGAGGAGTGTTGGCGCCTGTGGCTGCGGGAGTCGACAGATTGGATGGAATCTCCGAGGTGAATATAGTTGCAGAGGATGGTGAGATGATGTACTTCGATTGCAAGGTGTGGTGGAGCGCTTCCTTGAAACCGCGGACCTTGCTGCCGTTGCCCAACACGATCAAACTGTCCCAGAGATCGCCCCGTCGCGAGGTATCGTTGCAGGATTGGATGGTGCGGTAGATTGCATCGGCCAGGCGCTCCAATAGCCCGTCTGATGCTGCCTGGAATCGTTCGAGACCCACTTCGATCTCACGGCGGGAGGTGGTCGATACTGGCGAAGGCTCTGCTGGTGCGCTTTCTTGGGGTGCTGAGATAGGATTTGCAGGCAGCTGTTCTGTGGTCGCGGACTGCGGCTCAGCAACGCCGGACTGTTGTCCCTCGACTGATGTGGCTTGCGGAGCTGGTGCGGGAGGTTCTGAGGCGACCGCATTTGTCGCACTTTCATTCGGCTTGACTTCTTCGTATATGAATGTGTTACGCATGCGCTTCGCGTTAACAAGTCTTGCAGGCTTATTCGCCGCAGCCAACTTGTCGTCCGCCCTTTTCTGCTTCGCCGCAGCCTTCTCTGCCTTGTCACGCTCTTTTTGCGCCAATATACTAGTCAGGTTGTTGCTGGTGACAATGCTGGCGATGTCCAGGACTCCGTCCTCTTCCCCAAGTTTCTTCTCCTCTCCCACCTCAGTGCCAGGTCCTGGACCGCGAGGGATGTCACCAACAAGCGACTGCTTCCTCGGTCCAGCCGGGTCGATTCCGGTTGAGGCCGCAGCTGCAGGGTTGACAGCTTCTGTGCTGGGCGCCTCTGCTGTCGGCAATTCAGCGTCGGATGGCAAGACTTCGCAGATGGGGCTCTTCTTCAACTGTTCGCACACGCTGTAGGTGAATGTTTCATTGTCCTTCAAGAGTTCGACCAGTCTTTGTGTCATGGTTTCTCCACCGCAATCCGGTACAGCAAGTGCGCGACCCACGTCCTGCAGTACATATTCCGCGATGCATGAAACGTTCGCCTTGTCAAATCCCACATCTACCACAGTCGCTGTAGGCACGCCGTATGCATAAGAGGCAGCGACTGCGGCATCCATCATAGCCAGTGCGGGCGTCTTGAACTTCTCGAAAATGAACTGCGCCACTTTTTCGCATTCTTTGTGTGTCCAGACCGGGTCGGAGATGATGAGTATAGGTGTATGCCACAAAGGCTGCGTTGATTGATAGACGTGTTCTATCAGCGCATAAAAACATGGCCAATCGACAATGCTTCCTTTTTGTATAGGCCAAATTGCACCCTCCTCGTTGGTAGAATCCTCTTCCCACTCCTCCTCCTCCTCTCCCTCTTTCTTCAATTCACCGTTTGTTGGCGCCGCTGACGACTCATTCTGAACAGCGGGCTGTGCTTTCTTCTCTTTTTTACGGTATCGGACGGGTTCGTAATGGCCAGCCTCTTGAGCCGGGAACATGCGAGATGGAAATCGTTGCCGCGCTGGTGTGAAGGACTCTGGGAGACCAAGTTGTGCTAAAGTGGTTTGCGACCCGGGCGCAATGATCTGGAACGTTGTCAGCGTGGTGAGTGATAGGTATCGACAAGGCGCGGCTTACCAGTATCTGATCATCGCGAAAGGGTGGCATCTTGAGCTTTGTCTGTGTACCGGAATGTCTGCTATGATGGACCGCGAACGAATCCCTAATCTGATTTAGCCGACGTGGAAACTATTTGCCTGTGCGTTTTGTTGTGATGTGGGGGCAAACAATGTTTCCAATGGGCATTTGTTCGATGCTGCTGGTTGCACACAGCTGTGTTGCTGGAGGAGCCAATCAGCTTAGGAGCGCATCACAGAGCAGATGTTGCTGACGCGAAAACACGTGCACAGTCGTTTATGCAACAGTTATGCCATTCACAAAATTTGGCCGGCCCACAGCGACCAGGTCATCCCAATATCTCGATTATTGCTCCATGAAACAATTATCGTAATAAATGTCTGCAGTCGTTTCGACGAGAATACGCACTCGCGTGGCGACATGCTCTGTCGAAGTCTTATATCTTCTCCAAATTTCTCCCATGGTCCTACGGACGCCGTGGCGCTGATGGCCTTGACAACTAATCAGCCAAGTCCATCGATCGCTTGGTCGTCCGACCTCACGGCAATCGTGTGCATCAATTGTGAGTCCTGTAAGAACCACAGCGAGGCAAGCCGTGGCGCAGCGGTCGTCCACTGCGCTTTGACGGGTATCTAGGTACTGTAATTCATTGCTCCGCGGCGTCCGAACGAAGTCTCTTCGAATGTCCCAGAGGAAATTGTACTCAGGTAAAAAGTCTGAAGAGCGGAAGAGTTTCACGTCGCCGCATCCTCCATTTTACCGCTCTCGTCTCTCATTCCTGCAAAGTCCTTGGGCCGCCTTTTCACGAATGCGCCAACAGCTCCCAGATAGCCTTCATGTCTGAGGAAGAACGCCTGTTTGGCTCCTTTACTCCAAAATTTGATCGCAAAAGAGAGAGTATGGATCGTTTGGCGATGACCGCGGATAAACGATCCGCCGAAGTATATTCTCTGAAGGTTGTGCTTTTCGGATTGGAGGTAGGCGATTTGGCCGATGTTGTTACTGTGGGATCGTTAGTTAAGAACAAGTCCCTGTCTCTGGCGCCCTGAAACTCACCTCACAGCGTAGAGAAGACTCCTTGAGATGTCTTCCGGCTTGAACATTCTCCCGTCTGTTTTACTCCGGCTTTGCACCGGTTGACTCGGAGTCGTTCTGGAAGCATTGGCTGCTGCCGTCGTGGTTCCTACCGGCACGATCGGGGGAGAAATTCCACCTTCCTCCTCTCCACCGCCCCATCCACTACCATCTTCCGCTCTCCGTTCAGCTTCGCGTTTCCTTTTCAAGACCTTCCCAAAACTGCTCGCAATGGTCTTTTCACTCAGTCCAATCTTCTCGTAACCCATCCCTTCACCATAGATGTCGCCGACAAGAAGATCGACGTTCGTGTTGTCGCCTCGATCAGCCATGGCCAGCATATCATCGAAAGTTCGCGCACCCGTGAGAAGCGACAGTAGACCCCATAGTGTTCCGCCGCCGAGACTTGTGCCGCCGATTCGTTCGTATTGTGACCTTCCGCTGACCTTGATCATGCTGACACCACTCCCAATATTCACAAGAAGGTAAGGATAAACGTGGTCTGGCTGGTCGATTGGTTCTTGGTATTCGACTGCGGTTTCCGGGTCGGCGTCGTCATCATAAGTGAAGACCTCATTGGGAATTTGCGTGATGAAGAAATCCAGGCCCTTGATGAGACATTCCATCTCATCCTCACGCTGGACTTCGACGCCCAGTCTTTCTCGGATGCGATCGTAGAATTTATATGCGCCCCCACCAGTGGCCATGATACTCAATTTCTGCTGCGATGACGTCGGTGAAATCCCATTCTGGGCTTCCTGATATTTCGATTGTAGTGAATGCAGGTATGCGATACATTCGTCAATTCTGTCAGTCTCGAATGAAAGAAAGTTGAGCCTACCGCCAGACTCAGCGCGTTCTTTCTCACGCGTAAAGTATACAACTTTTGCAAGTGAGCCGCCAATGTCCGCAGCGACGTGGCTGACAACGGCTGTGTGGTTCGGTAATCGGATATCACGCTTGTGATGTTGGAAAGTGTGTTCTTCCCCGGCGAACCCCGGACGAGGTGGTGATCGTTCAGGAGAGCTATCGTCATCGTGATGGATAATGTATGCGCCCGCGACGTTGATTTTGATTGAGCCTGGCTGAGCGATGGCTTGCTCCATATCATCTATGGAACTGGAAAGGCGCCTTTTCTTCACGCTCGCTCGAAGACCATCCGCCATGTTTGCTGTCAACGATGTCGCCATCTGGTCTTGCTCCGTTGTTCGTCTTTGTATCAACCACGTGCAACCTCACGTGGAAACTTTCCGATTTCGGCAAGCGTCTCGGACGATGCTGTTGAAAAATGCCTAAATGGCAGTAGGAGTAATTGGGCCGTCGATAAGTATGTGATTTGCGAGACTTCCATGAGAGAGACTTTCTGATCGGAATCCGAGAAACGATGTTGAGAAAGCGGCAAAGTTGGATAGATAGAGTGAGTCCCGCTCAATGTCGCATATTGAAGTTACAGATTCCGAACCGATTGGAATCCTACATTACTAACAAGACCCTTGCTACACCCCCAAAGTCCCTGCGGCATGCATGCGGGTCAGAAATGCCGTGGTGAAGAACAGCGCCGGCCCGATTCTGCGAGACAACCTTGGAAACTTGTTGATAAGGGCCTGGGAACATTGGAATTTGTTCCCCTCTTTTCACTAAAAATTGGGGCTAACTAGAACATGAGGTCAGAACGGGTGGGGGATGATGGGAGGCATGGCCTGTATCGCCCACCGTACGTTGGGTAGACTATACTGTAGACTAGATCCGAACCCGTGCAGCGAATTTCTACAATATGAGAATCGCTGAACCATTCGAGACAGCCAAACAATCTTACTTCCAGCGATTTCGACTCGTGCTGTTCTGTCATACCGACATGTACAAATGTTCATCACAATCATAACTCCATCACCGCCACTCTACCACCAACCTCTCCTTCCACGGTCATGACTCCGTCCCGTATCCTCTTCTCCACCGTAGCTAGGATCTCCTCGAAACCGACCCCAGGCCTCTTCGTTACTTCCATCCGTAGCCGTCCTGCCAGAGCTTCAACAGCGCCGAACTTGGCAGCCGCAACCTGCCATGCGGCGCTTTCGACATCTCCACGTCCGCCGCCGACAAGGTTTGCGAATGTCTTGGCGGGCTTGAGGAGATATGGGAGGATATGCTCCAAGGCAGGCGGGGCGAGGATGGCTTCGTGGCCGGTCGGTGGAGTCGCGAGCGCTGTTGAGGGAGAAGTACGGCTTGGTGTGGTGATGGTAGGGAGGTCTGGAGTTGAATCGTGCTTTTCCTGTTGAGTGGGCCAGGTTGCTGTTATTATGGAGCTAATGGTGTGTATCGCTGCGAGGGCGAGGTCTTTGAGTGCTAGAACTTCAGCGTGAGAAACGAGGTCGGCGTGGAAGTTCGGGTTGTGAGCGAGATAGTGGTAGTAGAGAGCTCGGGCGTTGATCGCTTCCTCTCTCTTTTCCGAAGTGCTTTGAGGGACTAGATGTGATGTTGGAGAAGCCAAGCTGAAGACAACTTCGTCTTCTGGACCATGAAATATCGTGGCAAGGGTATTGAGAACGTCTGGATTTGTCGGCTTTGGTGGGAGGAAGGAGAGTGGATTCTGACTCCAATTCGCGCCAATGGAGTCGTTGATGAGTGCTCTTCGGGGAAGACTTGCAAGGAGATGGAGGTCGTTCAATGGAGTTTCCGAATGTGCCCAGCGAGCGGGCGAGAGGTCCAAGGAAGTGCGTAGACGCTGTAGGACCTGCGCAGGCATCTGACTCGCCAGGAAATGTGCAGGATACTGTGAGGCATATGTCGCGAGATATCTTGCGGCAGGGCCGTAGAGGAACATTGTCTCCACTGGGTCCACAGGACCTGTGCCTGGCAATTGAAGATACATGGCCGCTGTCTTCATGTGCAGACCATGTGAGATAAGGAACAGCAGCCCTGGCGAGTCCACCGCTGAGCTCGCATCGTGGTGATTGGATCTCGTGGATAGCAGTAATTCGGAATAGAAGTCAATCAGACACCTGTACATGAGGATGTCATCTTTGGTGTCTACCATGCGGAGTGCGGCAAATTCAAGAAGAGAGCCGCCGTCGGCGAAGGTGGACTCTACGTCAGGATGATGACTCTGTGAAATGTGATTCCAGTCCAGTTTCGCTACGCGAGGGAGCCATTCCATCAAACGAGCTTGCGCGAGTGTGGTCTGGCTCTTGCTCAGATTGAGCGTCGATGACTTGCCGAGTGAGCAAGCCTCAAACAGCGTCGCGTAAACATTGCGATCTCCGAATATTCGTTTCCATACGAGACCTTGTCCACCTGCGCCTTCAAGTGACCCACCGCCTTGTGAGGTGGGAAGATCGACTCTCAAGAGGTCCACGAGGATGTATGATGCGCGACTTGCGATTCCGGTGTCACTCGTGGACAGCCACAATCGGATGAGAGCCAACAAGGTTTCGAGTGGTGTTGCAACGCTGGCGGCGTCAGCATAGTTCGTTGTAGCTTTCTCCAAGATGGCCAGGATCAGTCCATTGAAAGCAATCATGTGCTCGCCAACAGCAAGTCCATCGACTAAAGAAGCGCTACCAAGCAGCGCTGATATTTCTCTGTAGCTGTGCGTTGCCAATAGCTTTTCGAGGAGGCGGGTAGCCGGTGCAGGATCTTGCTGAATTGTCGGTAGTAGTGTCGTGAGTGATATTATGAGTGCCTTGCGCTCTTCATCCGAGATGGTCTCTGGGATGATCAACTCTGCCTGATCGAATAATTGACGATCCAGAGGCTGCAAAGCATCGCCGATGACGGCGGCAATGTTTTGCTTCAACTTGTGCACAATTTCTTCAGCCATAATGCGTCTAATTATGCGTCAAATTAGTGGCAGTCAAGGTATGTTCTTTGTTGGGTGAAACAGTGAGCATGAAAGACCTTCCGTCATGCTTGGCCACTCTGCCATGACATAAGCGTCACTTGTACGCTTCAGCCGACGGGTGTCTAATCATCTACACGGATAGTGACAGTAACATTTCGTCCTCGGACACGGCACGCAGAAAAGGCATATTTGGTCTTACTGCATGCAAGAACGGACAGCCGCTTCCATGCGCACGACAGCCATTTAGCAGAACCTATCATGACCAGGACACGACGAAATAATATGCCTCTGATTTTGTTGCGCAACGCCGTCTCTTCGACGGTGATACCCTAGCCAAAGAGCTGCCCCGACCCTAAGGACCTCTCTGTTTGGTATCGTGCGACACCACGATGCCCCGACAGTTGGAGCACTGAATCTCACCATTGCACGGTCCGACATGTCACCGGTCGTTAAGGACGAAATGAAGGATAAACTCGTGAAGACTCCTCGCACTGTACGACGGAATGCGCTGCAGATATCGCGAAGAAGCCGCTTCGGGCGACCCAATGCTTTCGATCATCTTCCTCGTCAGCTTCTCGAATGCGGGCATGACGACCGAGATGCCCAGCCAAGCTCGTTGATCATGCGGGATTCTGTCAAAAGCTCTTGCCCATAGATCACGCCAGACTCCGAATGCCCGCAGCAATTTACCTGATTGGTCTGGCAATGCCATAGAGACGTGCATGTTGAAGATGATTTGTTGCAAACCTGCAGCGTGTAATTTATCAGTGACAGGCTTCGGTCGGCTCGACCTCTTGTCTGAAAATATTGGCATCACTTATCGAACATTGCCACGTGGAGATGGAAGAGAGGTATCTTGTCAAGGGCGACTTTTGGCTCTGCCTTCTCGTTGATGAGATTTGCGATGATATCTCGAAGGCATGCAGACGATGTTTCACGAATCGGAGAAATGGACGCAAGATCTGAAGGAGGCGCAGCGTCCCAAATCGAGGTCTCACATGGAAGGTCTCCGGTCATCTCAGACATCGAGCACAATGGGCTATTGTTGTACAAGAGCGTAGCTAGACAGTCCACACAGAACATCCATGCGACGAGGCGAATGATCTGCTCGCGCCGCAGAAATGCTTGCCAATCCTCACCGTCTTGATGTCGACAGCCCAGGAAATGAAATTGTCTCAAAGCGGTGACCAGCAAAGGTAATCTTCGCGTTGTCGCAATGCACTGCATAGCTTCGTCGCTCAATTGAAGGGTATCCAGACCATACATGAGCAGGGCAGCTTGGCATATCTGAATAGCCTCTGGAACTACAATGCTGAAGGGCCAACGATCGAGTGCAGTATTTAAGTAGCTGAAAATGTAAGCGTCTGCTATGCGGTAAAAGCTCCGTGCATTTTGGATGTCTTCCGACGCGCAGTCGTGAGCGTAAGTGTAGCTTGCTCCTGTGAGGGCAATGACGAGCAAGAGCGGGAGCGGTACATTCTGGACAATGAGCGTAGGCCAGTGAAGTATCACAAATCGATAATGGCGTTTGCGGCAGAAGGTAGCCGAGAATCTTCGTACATTGGTGACTGTGAAGAGTCGCCGGAAAGCGCTGACATATGATGCGTCTCGAAAGCGCTCGTCAGGGTGTACGAAAAGTTGTAGTTCCGTTTCTAATAGGTCGATACGAGCCCGGAGCGGGTCGGGCTGCGACGCGGACCAAACAAAAGATCCTAGGAGATCAGCCTCGTGTAGATCGCCTATAACATAAGGCTGTAAGGTGGCCAAGTCTAATTGGTCGTCAGGAGGAAATGTAATTGTCGAGTCGATGCCAGCAAGTAGATCGTCAAGATCAAAAGCTTGACCTTCAGGTCCGGAAGGTGGGTCAACGGCCAAGACTCCGAGAAGCGCAGCTTCCGGTTCGATGGCTACAGCTCTCTCGGTGATGAAGTCCTGCTGCTCGTCGGTCGCATTGAGAAGGAAAGCTAAAGGCACACGCGTTGAGCGTTGTTGGCTATCTTCGCTCACAGGTTGGCGATGGGCGGCATCTATACAATATCGGCTAAACTTGCACTCAAGCTGACGGGAGACACAACTGGCGCACGGAACATGGGCCCCGGCATTGCAGTGCAGCTTCAGTCGAGAACAACGGTCGCATGAGATCGGTTTGCGGCCGCGCTTGCCAGGATCAAGAGCACGATTTCCTCTCTGGGCACACCGTTTCGCATGCCGCTTTGCCCCGTCTGCGCGGGAGAATGTTGTCGAGCAGAACGGGCATTGACGATTTTCTGTGCTCGCGACGGGGCGACGAGATGAATCGGCGATCGGGAGCCGGCAGATGGGACAGGACATCGGCAAAGCTTCGGAATCGGGTGTCTGGTGTTCCCCGGAGGAAAACGACTGTCATCAGTGAGAGGCGTGCTTATCTTCAACAGAATAAGCGCGACGTCGACCACACATGTCGAATGAAGTCAATAGTGAGCTGCGTAATGCTGGAACGCGTCATCGGTTTGATTCCCTCTCGGAGTCATACCGCCTGCTTCCATCTCAGCATATTCTCGAGATTGATTTTCATGTGATTAATACCTCGCGACGTTCATGAAGTGGATCGAAGGATGATCGCACGTGTACAAGACGTTCAGCCAGCCCTGCCAAGCCAACTATATACTGTACGTCGGCGCCCTCATGTCAACACACAACTTCCACTCAATCAACACGACATAATCAACAATCATGAAGAGCCGTGGCTCGCAGTGAAATACGCAATGAAGACACGATGTCCGCTGCTCAAGAAGCGGATGCCAGTCCTGACATGCTGTGTACTGCAGGATTACAGCTGTGTGAATTTTCCGACGCTACGGAGAATAAACCCATCAACGGTTCGCGGCCCGTGGTCCCTAAACTCCACCATATCTGAATTCCCGGATGTGATGATTCCTATGGAGGACTAATGATAATTGGCAGAGACTCTCGTTCATGTGTTCGCTGATGGAATGGCTCTCGAGGCTGATTTCCCCTGAGAATCGTCACCCAGTATGTTGGCTCCGCTAAAGCAAGGATGATACTTTAAGATTCGTCGATCGACCAACTCGCCTAAGCTGGCCCTGTTACGAACAAGATGGCGCCTGCCGTCAAGCTCGTCTACGACCAAATGCCTAACTCAAGAAGTCTCCAGCATAGACAGTTGTTGCCCTGGGGGAGTTTGTCACCAATGTCGCTAGACGTGTCAGCAAAAGCAGGCACTAGGCATGTAGGTGCCTCCTGCACTTCCAGTCACTCGGACGATTGTGCATCGCACATTGTCAACCATGCGAGGGGCGTCTTCCTGTGTCGAAAAGACACAATAAGGCCGCACCTAGAATTCTCATATTCTCGCGTTTTGAATCTGCCCAAGCGGGTGGGCGCGAATATCACTTGCATGATACACAAATTCTCTCTGCAGGCGCTATTTTTAGTAATTGCTACGCCCCCATACTGTGCCACGACAGGGGCTTTGCCATACAGAGACTCTCACACGTGTCTGCACCTGTGGTCACGCAATCAACTACATTTGCACAACCGTAGAATCACGCAATTTTCCGGAGCCGAATTGTTCAAAAAGGCAGGAACGACCAAGAAAATACCAGAAGAGTTGTCAATAACTCAGCATCGCTTCAACTGTCGTTCTTACCGAAAGCTTGAAGATCATGTCTCCAATCAACTTTTTTGTCGCCAGTCTGAACTTCACGCAAGCGGACAATGCATTCAAGGCTCTGCACCAATTTGCCGCAGAGCGCAGCTTGTTCATGAGTCTCATCGAGTGGTCATGGAGTAACAAGACTACCGACTGGCTATCGCAACCGTGTAAGTATGCCCAGTTCGTCAGTAGATGGAGCGTCGCGAGCTTACAGTAAACATCTCAGTGGTATATTCGGTCATTTTAGCATGGTGGATCACCTTCACAGCCGCCACACTCCTTCTTGGCTTGCTTGGGTTTGGTCCTAAGGGAATCATAGCAGGCACTTTAGTAGCTTCCTTCCAGTCATGGGTATACGGTGGATTTACACCAGCTGGTGGTATATTTGCAACTCTGACTAGCCTTGCTATGCTCGGATACTTCATGCGATTGCAAGCAGGAGTTGCATTTGTCATTGCTACGGGAGTCGCGGTCACTGTTTACTCATTTCAGAGTTAGCATTGAGCGGGAGGCTCTTTCATTCAGGTTTCGACAGTGATTAGATTGCATCATGTGTGCTCTCACTCCTCATGACACAATATGTGCCCAGGTACACTACAGTTAGACAAGAAGGGTGTGTTGGTGACATTTGTCCAGGGGAGCATCGAGTGGCTCTCAATTTGTGTATTGCAATACTTCAATAGCCTGCGAAATCTCACTGCTACACATGACCGATCTTTCAATCATGCAGGCGAGGTGATGTTGAATACCTAAACACAAACCTACTCGGTGACAAACGATTAGGATTGATGAGCCTCGTCACCAAGCCGTGAGTTGGAGTGGGGCGGTGCATTTTGGGGGCCGATCCACAGCCACGTCATCAAGTGTTTCGGTATGTGACTTTTGCTTTAAACATCTGCCCAGGAGAATCGATTATCGTTGCAAACTCTACTTCCAGGACCAGATATAATCTTCATCAATATCAACATGGCACTCCCGCGGTGGACCTCTGAGCGCATCGTCTCTGAGCTCCAGAAGTTTTTGTACTTCGGTAAGACAATCTAATAATTCTATCATGAACCGCAGACTCACGTGAATAACTGTCAAAGCCATCATTGGAGTCATTGTCTCCACGATTCACGTCATTTCGAGCTCCATCACAACAGCCTGCTTTGGCTTCGGTGCAGGCAAGGTCCGCAGTAAATCACGCGCGGCACGTTTCCAGTCCTGGCTGGGCGGGCACATTACGGACAAGACCGAATACTCGACGCCCTCTGGGAAGTGGATCCTCATGTCGACTCGTTTCTGGCCAATAACAGTCATGGTGGAGATGGCGTGTTCGATGGCCCTGATGATAACGCTGGTATACCTATTACAATTCGTTGACAGAGTGGCCTTTGACAACTATTACCACGATCAGTTAGCTTGGCCGTGGGATCGGCTGTCCAAATGGTAGTAATGAATAACTTCTTGATCTCTGCAGTATTAGGCGATGGTGGCGTCCGGCCATGTCCGTGAGCTTAAACGGCTGAAGGGAAGTGTCCCGGCTGGGCGGATTCTCGATTCCTCAGCTGATACGACATGATGGTAAATTATGGCTGAATTTGACTTACTGTGTCTATCATCGTATCAGATGGGCGGGAAATCTCGCCGACATTTATTTCTGACCGCAATCCTTTTCGTCGATCGTGCCAAATGAAGAGCATCTTTTCATATTCCAGGCTCGACGAAGCAGGTATGCAGACCAGGGTTGAGCTAGGCACAGATTGCTTTTATTCACCTCGCTTAACCTACACCCCGGTAGAGCCGATCTAGACGCTTCGCCAGCTCACCCTTTCGCGTCGATCTTTACTGCGAAAAGTGCAACAACATGACCAAGAGCATCTCCTGCATAAGGATCACGCGTCCTTCATCTTTACAGCAATGCAGGATGACTACTCGGGCGCCACATCGCGAATCCCGACATTCCAGGCGTGCAAGTGGAGGCGATCGAGTCCCACCGACGTACCCGAGGTGTGCCTCCCCGATCCTTCTGAAGCATGAATCCTTCGGCTCGAGCACATCCTATTGCAGATCCAGACGTAGTTTATTCTGCAAAGCTGTCACTCGCTTAAGCTCAGCTTCATTGGCAAAGATGTTGTAAGGTATGTGCGTGTCAGGGCATACTAATTCGAGGCGTTCGTGCGCCTGGAAGCGTCTCGGCCAATTCGCTCACCAGATAGGTGTTCGGATGTCAGACTTCTTGCAATCAGCTGTGAGCAGTTCATAAACCTCATGTATATAAGTCTTGAAAGGAAACGTCTGTCGCACTGTTCAAATCACTTCACCAGCATTACAAGTTCATCACAAAGGCAGACTACCCTTCTCCACTCAGACAACTCGTTTATTTCACAGAAACACCCAAAATTCTTCATTATGTCGCCCACTCCCTACACAATGACCGTCGAGATTAAGAACGACACCGACCACTACATCGCCTTCGTCGGATCTTCCACTCTGTCCAGCATCTGGGGAACAACCGAGGTCAAGACCGAGGGCGACATCCAGAATGTCAAGATCAGCAAGTCTGGCTCTACATCTGGTCTCTTCACGGCGCTGTCATTTGTCGCAGCCGCTGGTTCAGACTCCTCGAAGAATGTGCCCTTCTCCGTCTGGGCGACCATGGGTGCTTCTGCTGGCAGCACCGTCGAGGTCAAGCTCGTCGACGCAACGCCCATCATCAATGGCGATCTGAACCAACTTCGGGCGATCGATTGGGCCGATAAAATCTACGAAAACACCGCGTGGCAACAAGACAACGTCGATCGTGCGAAGTTCAAGGCAAGTTGCCGTGCTTCAGATTGTGGCGGTCATGCATACTGACTCTTTCATAGATCAGCCTCGAGAAGATTAGTGGAGAGTACCCCAACTCGTATTACAAGCTGCACATTCGCCAGTGATTGATTCGCCAGTAGTTAAGCATGCCATTTCAAAAGGGGTTCACTGTGGGCTCCGACACGCTACGAGAGCGTAAGTCTTCGCAGCTTCACTAGTTTTAGCGTATATACACGCTTCATGGATACGGAGTTTCTGCTTGCAATTGCTACATGGTCTTCTTCACTTCCTTGTTGTCGAGTTCCGCAACGCAGGCGCAACTATTGTCAGTGCAGCGATGACAGCGATTCGTGACTGTGCCACATGCCTGCATCATGAGACTCGACCTTGGAAAGGCCATGTGAGGATCGCCTGAAACACGTCGCAATGTGTGCGAGACCTCCCCACCAAGACTGTTTTCCATGCACATGTGCAAAAGAATTTCTCACGTACCAGCCTGAGAGGTAGTCATTCATTTCGATTCTCAATGTTGATACAGCGTGCGTATAGAGTCTGACTTCAACATGTTTGTATACATACTCAAATGAAGTTTGATACTACAGTAAGACAAAAATGCGGAGAGTAACAGCCCCAAGCGGGATGTGAAGGTGACAATGGTCGGAAAAAGAAACAGAAGATATTAACAATACATTGCCAGATGTCGTCGCCGTCTCTCTCTCACATAGTTTCGTGAAGGCGATACACCGAGAAACCCTGATGGTATGGTATGACATGCGTTCCTGCCTGTGGCGGAGAAAAGGATTCGGGCAAGAAGTAGAGGAACTATTCGTGAATGCACTCGTACAGGTAGATGAAGCCGAAGGCCAGGAATGCGACAGCGCCGCCGATGGTGACTAGAGGAAGAAAGAGGTTTAGCATGTGTCCGAAAAAGCGTATAAATGATGGTTGACCGAGGGACCAGGGAATCCAACTTACCCATCCGCATGCTGACCCGGCCGGCCAAAGCGCGGCCTCCGATGACAGCAAGACCTGTGCAACATGCATGGCCGACAATGCTTCCAGCGCAAACCCACCAATAGTCCTGTCCAGCAGCCATAGCGATCGTAGCAATCTGCGACCGATCGCCCCATTCACCTAAGAAAGTCATAATGAAAGTCTGCACCCACGCCGGGCTAAGCATGAGGCTGAAAAGATTCGTAAGGCCAGCGATCGTGGTAGCGGCTGAAGCAGGGCTTTTCCGCTTGCGAGCACCAAGGCCGCCGTTGATGGCGTGTCGTCCGAGACCTGGTCGGTTGATGCGCGGTGCGAAGTTCGAGTTGGCGGACCGGCGGCCAGACTCAAGAAGGTAAGGGTCGTTCCCGGCGGAATCGGAATCGGAATCGGAATCGTCGTCGCCTTTTCCTCGGGACCGCATGTCGAGCTCCTTCTCTTCCAATTCGGCCTCGACTTCCCGCATTTCTTCGCCGATGCCAGCATCGCGCGGCATATTAAGACCTTCGTAAAGGCTCTTCGCGCCGAAAACGAAGAAAAGAATGGCTGCTGCAAAGGTGGTGAGGCGCTTCGGCAGTAATGTCGGGAAAGCGTGGCCGAGGACTGCAGAGAGTACCGTCATGGCAATCAAAGCACTGAGAGCGGCCGAGAAGACTAGTAAGCGCGTGTGGCGCATCGCCATCAAGGCCGCAACGAGGAATGTTTTGTCTCCGATTTCACTGAAAATGATCATGGCGAACGATAGAACAAAGGAATGGAAGATCTCATGCCAGGTCTCATGGTCGTCGTTAGAATGATCGTCATCAGAGGTCTTCGTGGTGGTGGTCGTTGTGGTGGTGCTTGATTGTTGACCTCCGCTGCTCTTCGGTTTTGACTTTGGGGGATTGAGGTTCGTCTTGCCCTCAGTATCAGGCATAGTTTTCACCAGCCATTTACTGCGATCGACCGAGTCTGCAACGGGAGCACCGTTTCTGCGACCAGCGTTCTGGACCTCTGGTGCGTTCGCAGACTGTTGCGAGTCTGATTCACTGTCGCTGGCTGCTGCACCCTTCTTCGCACTATCTGCTGGCTTCACGTCCTCCACATTCTTGGAGCCGTATCCTGTCGCAATCTGGTTTTGCGAACTTTGCTCGACTAGTGGCGGTGGTGGTATATCCTTCAGCTCCTGTGACATCTTATTCGTCTTGACCTCTTCCTTCACAGCATTCACAATCTTGCCCGAAACGTCCTTGGCCTTATTTCCGAGCTCTTCGACTGATTTACCTGCGACATCCTTGGCATTATTTCCAAGCTCTTCAAAAGTCTTCGGCAACGCGTTTACAGCCGCCGCACCGGCCTCTCCGATCTTGCCAGGAATCTTCTCCAGATTGGCCAGCGGGTCGACTTGAGCTTTGGCATCGCGTGCATCAACCGGCTGAATTACTGCAGCACCTGCAGCGTCGGGAACGATGGCTTGCACATCATTTGCGATAGACGGGCCGATTTGTTCTGCCGCTGTATCCCGCCTCTCGGCCTGCTTTCTGTGTGCTTCGTTTAGAACTTCATCGGCGAGAATGAGTGATGGAGCAAGGCAGAGGAGGAGCGCGGAGGCATGTCGTAATCTCATATTGGGCAGAAAATTGTTATGAGACCAGCGCAATTAAAGTCCTAATGTTTTGAGTGATCGAGCGGATGGAGATGGTCGCAGCGATGTGTCTCGCGATTTTCGTTTTGAATTGCCGATTGAGGCGTTGTGGACAGCCACTCGGGCGAAATGTCGTAATACCGGAAATGATCAGATGTGAAAGAAGGCTCCAAGTTGAGATGAAGAAATGAGTGTCGCGTACGAAGATGGTGAGATGCAATGAAGTGGCGCGACTGGGAATGTGGACACTCTATCGAAAAGCTGACGCCGGAGGACTGGATTAATTTACGTTTCTTGAATGGTTTGACCCTTTCTTCCTATGTCATTTCCAAGGGGTCGTGGTTGTATCAATGGACGGGATTCATTGTATAAAGAGCTGTTATTAATATTTTCCCATCCGTTTTCTCGCTGATGCGATGCTGGTGACGATAAGCCCTACGACGCCGATCGGCTCAGCCCTGCAAGGCTGGATGTGCCATGGCCGCTGCCAATGGGAACAATGCCATTCTCCTTACGGTCCATGCGTGCGGCCAATGCAAAACATGTAACAGGCGACATTCAGTATTATCAGCTGATATTCTACGAATCTCGACGTGATGGATTCTCGACTTCATCCAGCTGATAACCTTCGTTCCTTAAAAAAACAACGTAATTCCCTCCAAGCGTAAACGTTCACTCCCCCCATGAATCGTCACCAACAAACTCCTATGAAAGAGACACCATTTGACAAAATCAGAATCGGTGTCATGCAGACAATCACACCTAATCACTCCAAAGTTCAAGATCGAGCTTGACGTCATGACGAACTAGCAAGTGCCTCTCCAATGGCCTTAGCCAATCTCCGATACTCATTGAGCAAATCCTCGACTTCGCCGAGGGTCAAATCGGCAGAGCTAGGCACTTCTAGGAAGCGTTTTCGAGGAGGTTTAATCTGTCCTAACGTGGCCAATGCCGTGCGTGCATTGCTTTCCTCCGGGTCGGCATCGGTCTTATTTGATTCGTTGTTACTGGTGATATCTCCCTTGTTGGCGGGAGTCGCACTGCGTTCTATTGGGGTCGATCGACCCTCGCTCGGCTTACGAACATTGCCATGCAGCGAAGACGTAGCCGCACTAGGCTCTCCAGTTGGGGTCATGGCGGTGGGCGAGGCGGTTTGCGGTGCACTGGTAGGTCCAGGACGCCCGAAGCGTGGAAATGTCGGCATTCCAAACCGATTCAAGGGATTGATCGACGCGAAGAGATTGGCGGGGGACGAGCCGAGCAGACTTTGTTCTTGAGCTGGAGTCGAATCAGAGGCCAGTGAGGCTACAGCGCGCTCCCGTGGAGTTAAGGTGCCACCAGATTCTGGGCCAGGACCCGTCGCGTTGATGGTAGAGGCGAACGCTACGCGTTTGCCGCTGCCGCCGGACCGAGCGCTGTCCACACTATGTTCACGCGTCGCGCGGCGGCCGCCAACTAGATCGACCAGCTTGCTGCTGCTATCCCGATGTGTTACGCTAGGTCGTTCGTTCGAAGACTCGCGCTTTCCCAGGATGCCAAAAGCTGGGTTTTCATCATCTGCGATCCCACCAATCGAGGGCGAATTGACCAGCTTCCGAGCTTCTTCCAGAGTCTTCGGGAGCTGGTGATCGCCTGCGGCAGCCTGCTCCTTGAACCGGCCAAAGATGAATTGAAAGCTGTTGTCTAACGTGCCGTTAATTGAGTCGTAGATCTTGTCTGCCGCATAGAGGATGTTCTCGCGGCCAGCTTCCAATCTTTCCGCCTGGGCTTGCATCAGAGTGGAGATACGCCGCGGATTAGAGGGAGTGTCGGATGTTGTGGCTGCAGGCAAAACTTCTGCTGCACTTTTGTCGCTGTTGCTCTGTTCCGTAGCCGTGGCGGTCAATGTTGTAAGACCTGGTGTCAGTGTCCGAGCGGTCGCAGGTCGCTGCATGAGGGGTGGTAGCTCGCTAGATGGCGTGGAGGGTCTGCTCGTTGACTTTGGTGGTCCTTCGGGGAGCTCGTCAGCACGCAAAGATGACAAATCTACGGTCTCGAGGAATGAGATGGCAGCTTCGAGGTTGACCATGCAATAGGCTGCTTCTCCGTCAACTTTGCTTGACGCTCGGAAACGCTGTATGAAGCCGAGGTTTCCCACAACATTCATCTCATCTGGCGGAGAAGTGATCAATGTGTAGATGAGCGTAGGGAGAATTTCATCCGCTGAAGATGTGGATGGGAAGACCTTCGAGAGCGTCTCAACGATTGCTTTGTGGGCAGCTGTCAGATGTTGAAGCTTGCCAAGAGGGTATCGCTCGTCATTCATGTTCTGCAAAGCTTCCCGCGCGACGGACAATGATTGGTATATCTCGTCTTCCTTCTCTTCCGCTGTTCTGCCTGCTCCCGTCGCTGACGAGTCAGGATCGATACGTAGCTCTTTCAACCCAATTCCTACGAGCGCCAGAGCGGCGGTTCTCGACCGAAGCTTCTCGTCACGAGCTTCGTCGTCCGTGCTTCGATGTTTCCATATCTTGTCATAGACCCTCTCGCACACACCACGCTCGACTGCCTCCTCAAGCGCGTAACGCTGCATCTCCAGCAGCCTCCGCGCTCGCTTTCTGTCTGCAACTTCGGTCGCAGTGAGCATCTCCCCGCCTCCGCTTCCTACTAGATCATCTGAAGACCCTCTGGTTGCGCCCGAGCCAGATCTCGATCGTCCTTTGAACAAGCCCTTTGCTGCGGACTGCTGCGCTGACGGTCCACGTCCTATGCGCGAGGCCAGTGTTGCGATATGTGTCGATATGTGCGATGCAGCACGCTCGTAGAAATCCTGGAATAACTCAGAGAGGTTATCCGCATTCAGTGGTGTGGGATGGACTTTGGCAGACAAACTTTCGAGGAATCGCTCCGCTAAACTCCGAATCTCTATTGGAAGCTCTTCAAAGCTATTCACGCCGCTCTTTCCAAGGCCATGACCCTGAGCCTCGGAGTCGTGCTGGTCTTCGTCATCGTCACCCTCGCGATTTTCGAAAACGTCTGTCTTTGGTTTGGCCTCGTCGGCGACATTTCCGCCTGCGGTCCCGGTTTCGGTAATCGTAGCAATACCCACCTCTTGAAAGGTACTCGCTCGTTTCCGAGTCGCGAGAGGTGCGGCTGTCTCCATGCGAGTGAATGATCGGGAAGTATGTAAGGCCTTGGGCCGGTCTGTGGGGCCCGCCATCGTAGGAGAAAGCGACGACCACTCTTATGACCTTGCTGAGATAATACAAGGTCGAGGTCCGTATTGGCGGTGGGAGCGGCGAGCGGCTGCTGCACGTAGTGCGCAATGCAACAATATAGCGAATGTGAAGGCGACCTGCGCCGAAAGTCTTTGCAGGCAATATAACGGAGAATCACATGGTCGATGGTTTCTCGAGTGGCATGACACCGTACAAGGGTGGTTGGATGGAGCGAAGAAAGACACGCAGCAGTCGACAGTGATTGCGCGTCCTGGTCAGAAGCAGCAACAGATACACTCGAATAGGACTATGCCACTTGACAACCTTGGAAATGATGAATAGTAGCTCGGTTGGAGGTGCCCAGCCCGGCGGACGTTGTCGTTTGTCGTCATCGTGGAAAACGGCCCAGGAACTCCGTTGCGACCCTGGGCTTGATCGACCCTAAGCGATACACGACTTTGTGCACCTCCATAAGACCGAATGAAATTCGCCATCTACAGTCCTGGAGCGGTTCGAAATACGAAGCGTATCGCACTATCCTATCATATATAGAAACAAAAACAAGATGGAAATCATACGGGCTGCATGAGGCCGGTCTGATATTAGCTATCAGAGCCAACGAGCATTGGGTCAGTCGTCGGAGTGTCCTGTCCGAGTCTAATTATTACACACCCAGGTATCCAGCTCTCCGTGGGCTGGTCCTGTCACTTACTGAGGGCAATACGCAGCCTTGTACTCCTGATGATCTTCGAGAGTTCACAGACACGAAGGAAATGCGACGTGCTAACGGACTGCCACAACCTTGAACAATCCCCCGTCAGCGAGCCTATCTCGCGTGTCAAGACATGCATGATTCTTATGCACATCACGCCTTTGTCGCTCTCAATGAATTCGGAATGTCCAGCCCGATGGAGCATTCGGGAGATGTCCTCAATATTCGTGGTAGCAGCAGGAAGCCCTCGAGTTTCAGGATTCTTGTTGAAGTCCGTGAATTGTTGCAGGAGCCCGGCAAATATTGGGTCATGTTTCATTCATGTTGTAAGCTGATCCGCCTGGGTCGAGCATTACTGATCTTGCTATGAGAATATATCCAGCATCCAGCATGAGCAGATCGCTGGAAACAGGTGGTCCACAGACCCGAGGCATTGCATCTGATATGTTTTGTCGAACTGAACCTCCACTCACGTCTCGAGTCCTCCATCGCTGTACTCGCGGCGATTACGCGCCCGACGATGGTATCAATTTACAACGCACGACATGCTGGCGTCAAGACGCGCGCTAACACGATTGATGAGGTCCTTAGAAGGAACGAGCGATGCTCTCGGCTCAGAGGTTCGCACTACTACCTCGTCCTTTCCTTCAAGGTAGTGCATCGAATTCTTGATCTAGATCCTGCTGGCGATGAGGGTGAAGATGAGTGGGGAAGATCGCCGCACGTGCTCGATCCGCACACTGATAAGCGCGGTGCGTGATACAAGAGACAACGGGCATGACTCGCGCATGACCCAGCCAGCCTGATTGTGAGGATTGTGGACACTGGACAGTAGAGTAGGCGAACGGGCGGGCGATAACGAGCTCAGACCGCCTTTGATGATGATGATGATGATGATGATGATGATGGTGGTGGCAGTGATGCAAGCCCTGGCTTGTTGACGCTTTGTGAAGCTGTTATGTCTGCCTGGCTGATGACTATCGCTGCTGGTCTGTTCCAGCACCTGACATCGAATCGGCGACGATCATCACATCTCGCCGCCACACCCACGCGCGTGATCCTCCACCTCTACCGCCTGTATCTCTTCTGTCATCTCCAACACACCACACAATCCTCACCACCTTAGTCCATTCACAACATATCGCCATATATCCACTGTGTTCATGACATGCTTCGCCGCTACAGCTCTGCCCAGAGCCTCTCATAGCCGCGACAATCACCTCAACATGCGAAACATCCTCACGTGCATGCTGCTTATAGCAGGCGCATGTCCAGCCACCTACGCCGCCCGAACTCCCGAACAGAGACAGCAGCAATCAAATCCATACCTTATACTACCGCCAGGGATCGGTGACAGTATTGAAGCTGGACATGTGCCAGAAAGTCTAGGCAGTCGGACATTTGTACGTGCTCTCTGCTGCTGAACGAGACGAAGGGCGAAGCTGACTGACACTCCCGTAGAGCTTACGGCACATCTATCACCATGGCTCAGCTCGGCTTCCGAAGCTCCATCGCTATCTCGATATCCATCCTGAAGACGAATTCGAGGTGACATCCGATTATGGCAAGACTTACGAGTCGGCGCCAGAGGACCTCCACGTCCAGATGGAGTCGTTTCACATGCAGCGGTTGGCCAACCGGCGACGGTCAGCCACGGACAAATTGTTTGATCACGCCAAAATTCACGGGACAGCTATGCCTCTGCCGGCCAGCGCATGGACAACAGACGTGATTCCCGGTCCGAACGTCACCGATAAAGAGACCATCCTCACTTTCGCCAAAATCGCTTCGAACGCCTACGTCACCAAGGCTCGGACGGGCGACTGGAAGGATGTCAAGGGTGGCTTCAATTACACAGATGACTTCGGCTGGGCTCAAGACGGCCTCCGGGGGCATATTTTCGCCGACGAACATAACGAGACGGTGATTATTGGCTTGAAGGGAACCTCGCCCGCAATATTTGACGGCACAGATACAACTGGAAACGACAAGTTGAACGACAATCTCTTTGGCTCATGCTGTTGTGCCCAAGGCGGTACGTTTCTCTGGAAGCAAGTCTGCGACTGCTCCACGTCCGCATTTACCTGCAACAATACATGCCTGGTAAAGTCACTGCAAGAGAAGGGTCATTATTACTTCGCAGTACGAGACCTCTACCACAACGTCACTGAACGGTACCCAAACTCCGATGTGTGGCTGTCGGGACACTCTCTTGGTGGCGTCGTCAGCTCGCTTCTCGGATTGACGTATGGCTTACCTACTTTGACGTTTGAGGCTTTCCCGGACGCCATGGCTGCATCTCGTCTAGGACTGCCCACTCCTCCTGGATATCAAATTGGCTCGCATCAGGCTCGTGCTGATACCGGCATCTATCACATCGGACACACTGCGGACCCCATCTTCATGGGAGTGTGCAACGAAGCCACATCTTTCTGCTCCATCGCCGGGTATGCATTCCAGGGTGTTTGCCACACTGGAAAGACATGTGTCTACGACACCGTAGGCGATAGAGGCTGGAGAGTTGGCATCGGGACGCACAAAATCTCCAACGTCATTCATGATGTTCTGGAAAAATATGATACGGTTCCCAAATGCGAGACAGATGTTGACTGCCAGGATTGCTTCAATTGGAAGTTCTTCGAGAGCAACGGCACCGAGACTACGACTACACAAAGCACATCATCGCATAGCAAGACTGTGTCGTCAACAATCACAAGAACCCGTACCGAAACTTGCAAGACGCCCGGTTGGTGGGGCTGCCAGGACGAGACTACAACGTCAGCGCCTGTAACGACCATCACTTCACGCTACACTACCACCATATGCAAGGATCCGGGTTGGTTCGGTTGCAAAGACCCCGACTCGCTCACCACGACCATCGCTACGACTATCACCAGTACCCTGCCAATTCCACCAGGAACCACTTCCGGAGTCATTGTAACGACGACGACCACCACTACCACCAGCTGCAAACATCCTGGCTGGTTTGGTGGTTGCGACGATGAGGACGAGGACAAGAAGGGCACAGCTACAAGCCCTCCAGCGACGCCAGCGCCCGCCGTCCCTGCAAGCACGCCTGCAGTGACCACTTCGCCTGTGGCATTGCAGTCTGCGACAGTTGACGCACGGAAGTTCGATCTCAGGAAGTAGTAAATCCATGTCATGGTGCACTGATGACGGCCAGTTTACCATGCATCGAGTGAAGCATGGAAAAGCTCACACTCGGAGTGTGATGGAGTGCTTAGAATGTATGCATGTCGGGCAGTCTTTGTGAAGTGTCGGATAATCAGGCGTTTGGGAGCACGAATGGATGGATATATTGCATGAAGACATTATGAATAAAGCGCAACCTGTTATTTTTCCACAGGAATCCACTTCGCACCCTGCGTTCCAAGAAAAGTAGTTCGATGATGGTGTGAATGCTGCAACCCTTCTAGAAGCTCATTGGCTTTCTCTGTAGGGCGTGTAAAGGTCGTCCGGGCCCGGGAGTGACGGCACTTCACTTCACACACTTGCAGCACTTGGCTTGAACCGGTTGAACCTCCGAAAACCAGGAACCAATTTCCCACCGATGGACACGCCCTATGAATTAAGAATCGCTTTTTTTGGGCGTGAAATCGGGGCTATCTGCGGCGCGCATGACACGCTCCGCAGGCGCGCATTGCACATGTAGTCCCCCACCCTGGGCCTCTTGTGGCGGAGTCTCAGGCGATAAGCCGCTGTGGGATGGTTTATGCCGACGATACCTGTGATAAGTAGGATAACGGCCGCCACTTCTTGAGTTATTTAAACCTTGTTGAATCACCCAACTTGAAAGGACGACAGCAGATGGCTACGGATCGCTGACAAAGTACGTGATTTTGAACAACCCGGTCGCTCGCCTTACGCACAAGAAGGGCGCCTGTCATCAACGCGGTACATACTCAAGCGGGCAGAATCAAGGCCGGCAAGCATGGCCTGCGGCAAAACCATCTACCGAGGAGCGTTCGTCCACTGTGCCTCGTTGAATGACCTGGACATCTGCGAGAATGGTTCTATCGGTGTTGACGAGAGTGGGAAAATCGCATTCATTCTTCGAGATGTCGGAGAAGGACCTCAGCATCTACCCGATGGTGGTTGGGAGCAGGCAGAGGTGATACGTGTAAAGGATGAAGGCTTCTTCTTCCCTGGCTTCATTGGTAAAGCCCGCACCGCATGATCATTGCATGACATGGCAAAGACATACTAACTCGATTCGACGCAGACACGCACATCCATGCTTCACAATATCCCAACGCCGGAATATTCGGCAAGTCAACTTTGCTCGATTGGCTTCACACCTACACGTTCCCATTAGAGTCGTCGTTTTCAGATCTCGCCGTAGCCCGACGAATATATCCTCGGGTCGTCAGCCGCACTTTGTCACATGGCACAACCACCGCATGCTACTACGCGACGACCCACGTCCCAGCTACGAATCTACTCGCGGATATCTGCCACGCCAGAGGCCAGCGCGCCTTCATCGGTCGCGTGTGTATGGATCACCCGGCCACCACAGCAGACTACTACCGGGATCCCGAAGACGAGAGCACAACACTAGCCCTCTCGCGCGCCTGTATCGCACACATCAAATCCATCGATCCTTCATTCTCGCTACTCTCGCCGATCCTGACACCTCGCTTTGCTCCATCATGCTCAGTCGAGAGCATGCGCGCCCTTGCGGGCCTGCATCGTGAAATGAACATTCCAATCCAAACGCACATCTCCGAGAACCCTGCCGAATGCGCTTTAGTCAAGGAATTGTACCCAGATCACACGAGCTACACACACGTCTACGATGCCGTTGGACTCCTGACGAACCGAACCATCCTCGCACATGCCATCTATCTCGATGCCTCGGAGCGCGCCCTCATCCGCGACCGCGGCGCGAAAATCAGCCATTGTCCTGCGAGCAATACCGCACTGACGAGCGGAACGGCGAAAGTCCGCACATTGCTAGACGAAGGGCTGACGGTTGGGCTGGGCACGGATGTCAGCGGCGGATACACACCGAGTGTTCTGGCGGAGGCGCGAGAGGCCATTTTCGTCAGTCGCCATGTCGCCATGGTTGAGGGGGAGAAGGCAAAACTTTCGGTTGCGGAGGCACTTTACTTGGCTACCAGAGGTGGAGCTCAGGTTTGTGGATTAGAAAATAAAATTGGAGGGTTTGAAGTTGGCATGGATTGGGATGCGCAATTGGTCGGTTTGCCGAGAGTCCCGGGTGAGGCGAGCATACAGGACAACGATCTGGACGATGCTGGGTTAGTCGACGTCTTTGGCAACGAGAATTGGGAGGACAAGATCGCGAAATGGCTGTATACTGGTGATGACCGGAATACCTTGGCGGTATGGGTTCGTGGGCGATTAGTGCACAGCCGGAGGAGTTTCCAGCACTCATGATTTCTGGATCTAGAGTCTCATACAGATCGGCCACCACAGTCAATTATATAGAGAGGAAGGACATCTTAATCATCGTGATAGACGCACAAATGACAGGCCGATTCTGGCCTACATGTCCGGTGGTAGAGGACCGCCGAAGCGCTTGAGACTGGCATGGGCATGGGGTAGAGCGGGCCGAGGGAGAACAGGTGGGGCAATTAGGCGGAAACGAGCTTCCCCAGGTTACCATTGCGCCTATTGACGTAGGGTGGCCCGCCTGGAGGCGAACAGTCGGCCACGAAGCATGGTGTTGGATTTAGCATCCGATTGGAGGCTGTGCCCTTCCTCCACGACAGACAATTGTGTTTTTGGAAAAACGCTCACAGAATCACACATTATCTTTCAAATAGCTACCCTCAAAATGGTGACTACCGAGATCTTCACGATGGCGCTGGCGCCCGGAAGCGATGTCGGCGATCCGACTACCAACGCCGCGCTCATAGCATGGGAGTCGTTTGAGACCATCGCAAAGGCAAACGGTGGCCACAAGATTAACTTCGGTACACAGCGTGAATCATCGCAGACGTTTGAAGTCTTCATTAGTATGTGGCTGACCGTGCCGGCTCGCAATACATCGGCTTGCTAACCTGCATGTCGCAGACTGGGAAGACCTTAAGGCGCATGAAGCTTTCAATTCCGGAGAGTCATACCCAGCCTTCGCAAAGCGTTTCCAGACCTTCAGCGGTGGCAAGCCACGCATTATCCACGTTGATTTCCAGCCTGAAGGCGCTCTAGACAAAACCATTACGGCCCCTGTGACCGAGGTGGCGACTTTCATCTTCGGACCGGATGGCGCACCCTCTGGCTACGGTGCTGGCGTCGAAAAATTCGGAGCTGCGATCGAGGCTGCTGGAATTCATGGGTTCTTGGGCGCGGCTTATGGCTTCACTGTTGAGGAGGTCGAGCACGATGGCAAGAAGGGCAAGGCGGCTGTCCTCACGGTCGGATGGGACTCGGTCGATGCACATCTCCAGTTTCGCGAGACGGAGACGTTCAAGAATCATATCCATCTCCTGCGGGATGGTATTGTAACCGCTGAGATGCATCATGTACAGTTCTTAGAGTTCCTACCGGCTCAGTAAGGCGTCGAATAATCGATAGATTCGTGATCAGAGAAAATTCGCAAATTCACGATCTTGCTCCCTTCTGTTGCGAGAGATTACAAAGCCAGAGTATTTACACACGCCGAGTAAGTAAAGAGTAAATGATCTTTCTAAACAAAGTGTGGCAACGAGAAGCGAGAAGCATAGCCTGCCAGCGAAGTCGAGACGATCTTGCTCCCTTCTTTTGCGAGAGCTGACAAAGCCAGAGTATTCACACACGCTGAGTACGCGAAGAGTGTATGATCTTTCTATACGAAGTGTGGCAAAGAGAAGTGAGGGAGACAATCTTGGGCGTTCCGTTAATCTGCATCGAACCATGGATCCTGTGCGATCTCGGCGGCTGATGCCCTTGAAGATGGTTCAAAGAGGAGTAGTCTGCGCACAATTTTGCAGAACTGCACGATTTCGTTCTTGGTAAGATCGACCGGGCGTTGCCCATCGAAATACGATTCCTCGAGCCAAGTCTCTAGCGAGATGTCATCGTCGTCATTGTGAGCCGCGGAAGTCCTCATCGATTGCCACAGGGGTTGCCAACGATCAGGAAGTTTATCGCTCGCCATTCCGATCATCTCACCGACTAGTGTAGGCTTGGTCTGCATGAATGTATCGAAAGGTGGTTGACCAACCACGAGTTCATAGATCTTCAAAGTCGTTAGTTCGGGAGTGTTTACATGGCAGTATCTGGGCAGGCTTGGGCCGGAGTTGCTACGTGCTCACCATGCAGGCTGCTGACCAAAGGTCTACGCTTGTCGTCAAATCATCTCCAAAGATAACTTCCGGAGCTCGAACAGGAAGCGGTGTGTGTAAAGAGCTTAGTGGAGCATCGTTGCGGAACGATTCGCCGAAGTCCACAAGCTTGATAGTTCCAGAATACTCGGAAATCTTAATGGGAAACGTGGTCGGGCGAACGATGTACTCGGGGACGTGTATGCCTTTCTCTCGCCCGTCCCTTCGCTGGATTTTGCTCACTTCGGTTTTACCCATTTTGAGCATGAATTCCTCTTCGTTAACGAACTCGAGCATTGGCAGGCTCAGTGCCAGGTTCCCGATATGGATATCTACATACCGTTAGTCTTGCGGAATCGACTTGGAGATTGAGTTCCCGGGTACGATACCCCCGTGCGCTATTCCCTCCTGATGCAGAGCTGCGAGGCCCTCGAGAGCACTCCTCGCAAAACGTTTGGCCAATCTACCAGGAAGTCGATCACCCACGCATTTGTCTCTTACTAGATTTGCAACACTTGGGCCTAGAAGTTCCAGAACAAGACAGTTATGGCGCCCATTTGGTCCTTCGCATTGGAAATTATCGAGCATTTGGATTAGATGGGGTGATGCCGGGAGGCTTGTCTGTAGACTCCTCAGTATCTTCATCTCGCGCGTCTCATCAACAGAATCAGCAGCGGCTATCTGCAAAGCAACGTATCGTTCGGTCCTGTGCTGTTAGCAAGGGCAGGGGCATTTAGATGTTGTATTGACACGAACTTCAGATCTCTGGCCGCCCAGACTGTAGACCAGCCGCCCCACCCGAGTTTATGAATCACCCGATATCGACCTTCATGCATCACATCGCCCAAATGTACGGGATGGTAGCCGCCGATTTGATATCGGTGGATCGGTTCTGCATCGATTTCGCAGACGTATGGTGGCTTTTCCATTGCTAGCGATCGCGCTTGCGAGGCACAGGAGTTAGACCGGGGTTGGGTTAATGGTGGGACACAATTCGACAGAAAGGCCTGTGGCCATCGGTTGAAGCGCATATGATGAAGCGAGCAACTCGCGAAAGAACGACGATCGTTGAGCAATCAGAGAAAGCTAACGAGACGCCTCGAAGTTTTGCGGGCCTGTGACGTTGGCGTGCCTGAGTGTTTACCGCTCGGAATAGTTGCCTTAAGCTTTCCGTGAGGACAATGCTCAGCTGGGCAGTCCTAAATTTGGACATGCGGCAGCATGCCCGGCGGCAGGACGTCCAGCGGCACCAGCCCCGGCCGACTTGGGTAATGTCACCAACGAGAACCGCTCACTAGACGAAGTCCGAAACATACTAGACGACATGAGTGGGTATTATATGAAGCCTCACTCGCGCCCGAAGCCTAGCTGGGAAGCTGAGACCATGCTCAGCGGCTCCAAGGCTTCACGTCCTGATTGATTGGTTTGACATTGGATTGTCTGTACTGAAGCGAGACACCGATTCCTCCAGGCGCTGGCAGAGCATGGCTAGCCGACTTTTAACATCAGCGACAGTCAACGGCACGTAGCAACGTAGGTGCCTAACCTCGAGCATGTAGACTACATAAATATGAATTTCCCTGATGTAGGAAACGAGATGAATCGACATCTTCCTCGTTCGCACGATCCTACCAAGAGCACTTTCCGATACAACACGAATAGCTTTACAAAACCCCTTGAAGCATGTCTCCAATCACTAGAAGTGTCGTCAGATTCACTCAACGGATCAAAAACTCCGCTGTACGAAATCAAACTCTAGCTCTTATTGAAGTAGCTTCGAAGCAACCTGATCTTGCTCACTTCACGATCGCGGAGTGCCTGTTAGTTCTCAAACCCTTCAGCATCACGCTTATCGTGATTCAGGCTGTTGTTACTATGCTCTTCGACTGCTCCGGCCTTTCTAGAAATCCAACCCATACCAGCCACAACGAGCCAAGACCACATGCAACGGTTCTCCTTGCAACAAAAGAGCAAGCGGATGCGAATAGAGCACAGGCTATTCATATCTTCCACGATGAGACTGGAAATTACAGTGGGCATGAATTGTTTCCTATCCACAAATTCCAGCTGTGATGGAGTCGATCACATATATTTACTAGCTACATTTGGTTCGGGTACGGACCCTAAGGGGGTCGATCACATGGGGTCGATCACATAGGGATGCCAATGTTTAATAATTTCCAGATGGGTACCCAAAAAAAGCGCAGATTTTGGCGATCAAACGGACATAGTTCTCGTAATTTTGCGACGTTGTTTGGTATGTCGTTGTCGGGGTTGGAAGTAACCCAAAAAAAAATGAAGTTTGCGCGGGAATTTGGGGTTGGCTAGGGTATACAGACACGCTCGCGTCGCGAATGTCACGACGCCGATAGCTGTTAGCGCGCATGCGAGGTGCATATAGTACAGCCATTTGGTACAACATCATAGAGCTATTTCAGAAATACTTCTTACATAACCAGGCTTGCCAGGTCATAATCTGTAAGCAGTGTCAATATGCCGTTAGCCCGGCCCATATTCAAGGCCATTTGCAAGAGAAACACAAGAGCACCACTGTTCGGCAACGAGTCGACATCGCAGCGTTTGTTCAGCGTCTGCCCCATGTCGCACAGACGCCCGACAAGGTTAAGTATCCCGATGCGAGTAGTCCGCCCATCGCCGGCATTCCCGTATATCCCAATGGACATCGATGCGTGTTCAACGTCGACGGCCGCGAATGCAATGTCACATACCGCGAACGCACGGGCATTCAGAAGCATTGCAAGGACCAGCATAATTATCAGAGTACCCGAGCAAAAGGCCGACCGGATTTCGATGCCGTCCACCGTCCACCATGGGAAACGAACCAACCATGCCAACGTTTGTTCCGTACAGGCAAATGGCAAAAGGTATTTCCCGTCCAGGTCGTGCCCCATGCCGGCCCAGCCGTAGACATCGATCATGCCGCCCAAGGCAAGGCATGGATGGCGAAGTTGTTTGCCGATTTTCAGCAGGCGCAGGAAGACGCCCGCACCGAACGGACGCGGTATGAGCCTAATCCATGGTTAGAACACACCGGATGGGAGCGTCATTTATCGAACGATCATCGACGATGGATCACCGAATGCGTCAAGGCCGAGCCTAATGTCGACAAAGTGCAGGCATGTTTAGAAGACGATGCCGCCCCATTCGCCCCCGAATCGGAGCAGGCGTTGTCGCGGGCGTGTGACGGTACCATAGTGTTGATCCGTCGTTCGTTCCAAGCCAGCCGGGTAGAGATCGTCGGACGACATGCGTTGCATTGCGTCAATCGCCGGGAGACCGGCGCCGACAACAACAACACGCCAGTTCGGCATTTTGGATTGCCATGTTCGATCACGAGTTGAAGGACAATGAGTACGTCAATGGCATGTTAAGCGGGTTGGCCGTATTAGGCACATGCGGCGAGCGGAACGGGTGGGTGCCCGCCATTTCTTACACGACTACATTGGCCGCGGTAATCACCACTATGCGCGCCATCATCGTCCGCCGCGCATGGCGCATCCAACAGGACCACGTCCAGCAGCAAATACAGCAGGGCCGATCCCACGACGACGCCACCGACGCAGCGCCCGCGATCCATCAGTTGGTGCAGCAGGACGTAGCGCGGTTCATGACCATGACCGAATTTGGTGGCCAGCCGCATCCCATCCAGACCATTTATACCCAGAAGATGTATGGTATGAAGATCCGATACACCACAAACGCCGCCGGTCAAATCGGATGGTCCGGGGCAAACCAGGACGTAATCGTCGTCCGTAAGATCCAATTTGGAATAGACCAGATCCGCACCGTCGTCCATAGGTTGTTAGCAACCACCCGACGGCGATTAGTCGAGGAGTTGATGTTTATAGCGCCCCGGGCGGGGGGATGGCAGGCCGCGGACATGCCCCGGTTCGATATGGCCACGATCGTCGACAACCACAGCGTCATGGACGAGGGGTTCGGGTTCATCCAGGACGCCCGCAACGTGTGGCCCGTCGATGGCCGAGAGTGGTTGGGCAAGCGATTGTTTACCGAGCCCGCCATCCGGACGCGGTTCATAGTAGACGGCCACAGCGACGCCCCGACGTTCCACCCCGACGCCGTCGAGGCGTATTTGCGGCAGGCGAAGCGATGGAAGGAGGAGTTGTTGGTTTTGGTGCACATGTCCGCCGGCGCCCCCGCGCGCGCCACCGAGTTGGTGAGCATCCAGCACGTCAACGGCGAGAGCGCCCGCGGCCAACGGGGCATCATGATCGATCAGGGCATGGTGGTGTTCATCACGTCATACCATAAGGGGTTCAGCGCCAGCCAGAGCGAGAAGTGTGTCCACCGGTTTGTCCCGCGCGAGGTCGGGGAGTTGGTAGTGTATTATTTGTAGTTGATCGAGCCGTTTGTACGCATTTTGCAAGGCAGTCGCGGGCAGCGGACGTTCAGTCCGTGGATGTGGGAACCCGCGCCCGAGGCGGAATGGGGCGACGAGGAAGAGGAATGGGTGGCCGACGACGACGACGACGACGT